AAAAAAAAAAAAAAAAAAAAAAAAAAGGAGACGCGAAAATGCAAGGCTCCAATTTCGGAAAGGCTGCCCAGCCAGCGGCGACGGTGATTGGCGCTCCGACTGGGTCATACCCCGCGCAGGCGGAACCCAGACGTCCACTGCCGGTGAAGCAAAAAACAAAAGAAGAGAGAGAGAGAAAGAGTAACAAGTCCGGGTGTGTGTATCTCCAGGCTTATTGATTCGGTATCATTCCCGAGTCACAAGACAATCATCATGCAATATTGATTTCATGGTGGATCACAAACATCAATAAATATTTGATATCGATTTCGAAAGAAGACGTGATGGAAAAATTCCCATTCCCATCCATTATCCAATATACGGAGTACGGTCCACCATCCGAAATACTGGTGGAGGCCAGGCGATCACGGCAGTAGCAGGTAGCAGTAGAACTCCCGTAAGGCATAGTGTATCCTACTCCAAGAGATAATATCTCCAAATTGGCCAATCTCCTCGACGGATATATGGGGTAATATTAACATCATATCTCGGATGCTCACCGATGACCAGCATGATAAAATATAATCATATTCGTCCGTCCGTCGATCGGAGTTAAAACACCCCCTTTCACTGAGTTTCCCCTCCCCTGCCTCTCTCTCCACCGTGGTACCATTATTACCAAGACCTGACTACATTATTTCCCCCTATCCATATCACCTGCACTGAATCATAACGTCGCGTCGGCTATCGCTGCAAATGTCAAGATCCATTCATTCGCAATTAAACTTACCATTCTTTTCCTTGCTTGACCTACTCCGTGCAAAGGTACAGTAAATAAGTCTTCGGATATACTTCGCCAATGCTCCATATCAAATGCAACCCAGGCAGTGTTTTTTGATCCACCACTCGCGACAACTCACAGTCATGATCCATATCGACCCCATATTCCTGATGGGGCACCTGCACATGAAAGGGGGCTGAAGTTTCCAGCTCAAACAAATTTATTCTGTACTGAGGCTTTTCTTTTCTTTTTATTACACTTTTTACACTTCTCGTATCTGGCTCGGATCGAGAAATGATCAATTCCATCCAAGTCGATCGTTATGTACGGGGATAGATGCATATACATACGTATTATTTATTGTCCGCGTATGCACGGAGTACACAATGTCAATCTACTCCGTACATATGCAACGGTTATGAAGTAATCATAACTGTCCGTCTGTGTACGTAGACGATGAGCAGTGCCATGTCCACCCACGTGGTCTGTTGGTTATTATTACCTTGTAGTGGAAGCAAACTACAGGTGTCAGTTATAGTGCACATCTTGATATTTATTCCGAGGCTATCTATCATCCTATCTAGTATCTACATTTGAGTCAACGATGATCTCGTAGATTCCAATAAGCGAATCCGGGGTTAAGCCAAATTCTCGTATTCCAATTGAGCAGCGAGCATCACAAGATGCCGCTGATCTACGCACTCTCAGTACCATGGTTCATCTTATATACATTGTGGAGTTGAAATGCCACCATCCTAGGACAGATCCATGGGTGTGCTACTATTAGTAGCACAGAAGATTGTTCTAAAGAAAAAGATCCGTCTCAAACTCAAGGGAACACAGAGTGGTTGGGTTTGGGTCCAGGGGGGAAACGAACCGTCTCGAGTCTACTGAACGCCAATGATGCTTGATCTGTCTGTCTGTATAGATGCAGATGGATACATACGGTGAGTACCTATCTACCTTAGATATGTTACAATCGTCAACCTCAACCTGGCTGTCTTATGGATGGATCAACTGTACACACTACAGAGTAAACAGCACTCTCCTCTTCTAAAGACCATATCGAATGATCAACGGATTTATCGATATCCTGTAGGACAGTCTGCAGATTGATGTAATTCGTGATCAATAATGACGATGGCCAAGTCCTCTCTTCTGATACATCACTTCTATTTCAGAAGCTGAGTTTGAACCTTCTTTCCAATCTCCATCCTAGGAGGCTAGTAAAATCCTCCGCCTCCTAATATCCGCATACATATTATAAGAAAACGCCATCCAGCTGCACCATTTTGCATATTTGATGTTGGTGATGTTACATGTTCCATGCATGTTCTTCGGCTGCTCTAGAGCCATTTTTAGCCCGTATTACTTTACCTCTTCTTACACAATTACACAGCCGTAACATACAGTAAACCATAATAGACCGGCGGGTTTTCCGAATTCCGTGCACCAAAAATTTAGCTCCACTCCTGGTTGGCTGGAGGTGAGCGGACTAAACCGGTTTGGGGATAGCTGCATTGCCTAAAGCTGCTTTTGCTTGGGCGGCTGCAATTCGCTCCTTGGGCTTGTATCCAGCCTGTACTCCGTAACAAGGAATAATAAATAAATCCTGGAAAAGGCTGACTGGCTTTCAAAACGTCCGTTGGGTTATTGGATAAGATTAATCTAAAAATATGCAGCTGATAGGTTGCCATGCACGTTTATTAGAAATCAATTACCCAGTACTGTATACTCTCCCTCCTACAAGGTACCTGAGTAGTACCTGAGAATCCTCTGATACGGAATCCTCCGCGTAGCCCCAAATCAACCGTGGTTGCCACTCAACCGCCCCACCAGAAAAGAAAAAAGAATTGTCGCCAATGCTCGGGAATTCCGCGGCAATATTATGTATTTACCAGCAGAATACAGATTTGAATAGGTATTTAATATTAATATTCGAGGGTGAATTTAACACGGAATACGGAGGAAAATAATAATAATCAAAATGTACAGCTGGCAGGGCCGTAGATAGGGGTGGAAAGCAACAGAAACAACCTGCACATTTCGGTCTTTTTCGGGGCTCCGTTGTTCGTTTTCTTCTCCCTCCCTGTTTCCACTTTTTTCTCTCCATCAACAAACTGCGAAATCGGACATTAATTATTATTTTATTTGATTGACATTTGAAAGGGATGCAATACACGTGATCTCGCTTGGCACTAAACCCCGCAGTTGAGCCAGAGAGGATCATCATATCATGAACAGCTTCATTCGAAGATATCCTCACTGGAAAGGCAAATATACCCTACCAATGCGTAGTAGACTATTTAAAGTATCATGAATATTTCCAAATCAATCCAGCAATTCAAACATTTCCATATTGCATTACAATGAGACTTAAACTGCATACGGAGAAATACATTCCGTCCATCTACCCTATACCAAAGGATGCGGGGGTCATCAATAAGATGAACGAGTAGCTCGTCTCGTTATAACCTCACCAATGGCTTAAAAAGTCCAATCCACGGCTATCATTTCCAGTATACCTTTACCATGTTATCCATGTGGCGATTCCTAGTCTATGTCTGCGTCTCAGTAACAGCAGTAGCACTCCCCCCATCGTCTACCAGACAGCATGCGTTCAACTGGAATTCTACCAAGTACCTGTCCGTCTATCTTTGACACTAAACAGTCCATTCTAACCCAAAAGAAAGCATCGCATTCGGTGACTCGTACACATATGTCCAAGGAACCCATGGACGCCAGAACTTCAGCTTCATCGGAGACCAGCTGGATTTCGCCTATGATGGACAAGATCTGCTCTCGAACATGATTTTTCAGAATCAGGTCAGCAAATGTCCGAAGATCAGAAATGTGTTGAATTGAGTCGCTTACAGAGTCTGCGATATCATATAGACATCCACTGCAGAAGGGGGTCCTAATTGGATCGAGTTCCTGACCGGCTGTGGTGTCAAGGATGGACTAGTATCGCCATTGAATTGCGAGAGACAATTATGGGATTTTGCATTCGCAGGTGCAGATATCTCTGTTGCGCAGTATGCATCTCCATCTCCATACCCACCCTCGATGTCTGGACACTCACGATAAGAAACAGCACTCCTCTCCATCACAAATACACCATCTCTCTAGTCAACCAAATCACTCAGTACAAAACCTACGGCCACCCTATCCTCAAAAACATCGTGGATCCCTCCCAAACCCTCATCACAGTCTGGATAGGCATTAACGACATCAACGACAGCGCAGACTACAATGTCCACTTCCCTACCTTCTACAATACCCTCATGACTACCCTCTTCTCCTCCATCCAAACCCTCTACTCCCTGGGGTACCGCTCCTTCCTATTTCTGAATCTCCCACCACTAGACAAAACACCAGCAAACCAAGCAGCCAGCACCATCACGCCCAGTCCCAACGCGACACAGATAACCTGGTACAACGACGCTCTGGTAACTCACGCGGCTGCATTCCACAGAAACCACACTAACACGAACGTATTGGTGTTCGATGCGCATTCAGTCCTTGGCAATATCATGGATCATCCAGCGGAGTATGGGATCGTGAACACGACTAGCTTCTGTGCGGGATACGACCAGCCAGACATTAACTGGAATTACGAATCGTATGGGTGTCCAACGCCATTGAGTAAATACTTTTGGTTTAACTCGGGCCATTTGACGAGCCATGTCCATGAGGTTCTTGCAGATGCTTTGGAGGCGACGTTGAAGGGTTGGGAAGGTTAGATATACTATTCGTAGCCTATATATGTAGATCGCTAGCTATCCAATAAGAGATGAATTAACAGATGTACTCGAATCAAAAAGGTAGAAAGTAATGAATTATCAAACTTAAGCATCACTATATATATATTTATTAGCCTACTGTCATCCTTGTTCTGCTGTACTGCATACATTACTGGTACAAACTATCACCACCACTACTTACTTAGCGGTAATTACAAGCAAGATCTCCTATATCCTAGCGTCCTCCTGTATATGCATTAACCGTGGTTACTTAGTAGACGCTAACTAAACCTTTTCGCTCGCTGCAGACTAGATATGTATAACTAGCTTCGGCTGCGGCTGCTTTAGTTGCAACAGGATTTTAGGGCTGGTCGGAATATATATCCTAGTAGCTTCATATTGCCACCTGCAAGGCTATTCTACCCAAGTCCTACTAACATATCGACCAAGTGACATCTATCCAAGTGAGTTTATTTAGACATTATATGATCCAAGGTCTGCGCACTACTTTAGATGTCATATTATATACGAGTAGACAAGCAAGTGGATGATAATTAATGATTTTAACATGTCAAGATAAATACATAGCCCCTCAAATATGAGCATGCAAAACTAAACTACACATCATTGCAGGCCCATCCAGCAGACGAGCCAGAAATAAAGAACTTTTGAACCAAACTAATTAACAGATGAGTCCGCTGTGAGGTCTTCGTGCCAGCCAGGGTTGCTGGAGCCGGCGCCTCGAATCTGCAAACACGTTAAAAAGCAGCCCGCAGGTGCCTCGAAAAGCAAAAAAAGACGTAACAGTCTATCGTGACATCAATGAACGCCGCCCGTACCGAGTTACGAAAAATGAGAAAAAAGAGGTCTACCGGTGTGACAAGGGGATACAAGCTCAGGATCTAAACTGGGCATCATGATCGTTTTACCAGCGGCGGTTGTTGCCAAGGGGAGCACCGTTGGAACCAGTGTAGCCACCACCGCGGCCACGGCCACCACCACGGCCACGTCCACCCCAGCGACCGTAACCACCATGGTGACCACCGCCACCGCTGTAGCGAACCATCTCGGCGAGACGGGGATCGATCTGCTGCTTAGCCTCAGTGAGAATGGTGACCAAGTCACGAGCCTGCTTGTTGTCTGGAGAAATAGTGGGTTAGCTTTTGCATAACATCGCGCAGTCAGAGGAACTTACTGTCAGTGGTGAAAAAGGTGATGGCAGTTCCCTTGGCACCAGCACGACCAGTTCGACCGATACGGTGAACATAGTCTTCCGAGTTGTTGGGGTAGTCATAGTTCAGCACATGAGTAATGTCGCGAACATCTTCAAACAAACTTATGTTAGCAAACAGAGCATTAGTGAAAATAGCAACGTGGCCTAGGGGCCGTTTTTCAGTCGTGCGAGACTTGATGCATCACTCTCTCGGAATTCTTGATAACAATGCAAGATCCGTTGGGGCGAGTCCATAGGCCGGCAGATATCGCGGTCCTAGAGCGACCTTGGAATGCAGTTTCAAACAAGTCGAAACCAAAGAAACCCCACCTCTCTACCAGGGTCTGAAATAGAGATGGAGAATCAGAACAGAGACATATGCCTGCTACACTGCACTGTGAGTCCAAGGTCCTCTCGGTACGAGAACCAATTCAGAAGACCCGACAAGCCTGGACGAGTCATTTATAGACCGACATGTATAAAACACATGTTCTCGGAGAGTTAAGCACCGTGCCATTGTCACACAACATCAATACGGTTGATGGTGCTAGAAAGGAAAGGAAAAGAGGGGAAGGGGGAATGGGGAGGTTGCAATTTCATCATACCGATACCACGGGAAGCCACATCGGTGGCCACCATGATTGGGCTCTTGCCCGTCTTGAATTCGTTCAAGACCCAATCTCTTTCATTCTGCTGCTTGTCACCGTGGATAGCTGAGATAAAGGTTAGTAAATGCTATACAGTGAATGCAAGGCAAAGAAAAAAAAAAACGTACAGAGTGCTGGCCATCCGTCTTGACGGAGGAAGCGGGTAATTTCGTCGGCAATACGCTTGGTACCAGTGAAGATAAGGATCTTGTTGCCCTGGCTCTCCATGATCTTCTCCATGTGCTTGATCATCTTGTCGCGCTTCTCGAAGTCCGAGACGACCTCAACAATTTGGGTAATTCTGTGGTTAGCGGACAAGTCCATAGAACCGATGTTGACCTGAATGTAGTCGTTCAAGAAGTCCGAGGCAAGCTGGCGGACCTCCTTGGGCCAGGTGGCAGACCACATGCAAGTTTGTCTGTCAGGGCGAATCTGACCGATGATCTTGCGAATCTGGGGCTCGAAACCCATGTCCAGCATGCGATCGGCCTCGTCAAGAACAAGGTAGGTAACACGGCGAAGGTTGGTCCGGCCAGCCTCGAGCATGTCAATCAAACGACCGGGAGTGGCAATGCAGACCTCGACACCACGGCTGAGGTCACGAATTTGAGGACCCTTGGGGACACCACCGTAGACACAGGTGTTGCGAATGCGAGAAGACTTTCCAAATTTGGTAATTTCGGTCTGAATCTGGACGGCAAGCTCGCGGGTGGGCGCAAGGACAAGAACAATGGGACCGTCGCCAGGGGCCAGAAGGGGCTGAGCGTTGATGTGAACGATGGCGGGAAGACAGTAAGTTAGGGTCTTTCCGGAACCAGTCTCGGCGATACCGACAACATCACGACCGGAAAGAGACATGGGCCAACCCTGGGACTGGATAGAAGTAGGTCCAGAGAAACCTTGGGCCTTGACTTCACTCAAGACATACTGGGGGAAACCAGCCTCATCGAAGGTCTCAACAGGACGAGGGACGTTTCTTCCTTGGACAGCCATCTCGTGCTTCTTGCGGAAGTCATCAACTTCTTGCTGGGAGCGGTTGGTGACATCAGGGTGCTCCTTGTAGAAGGACTTTTCGAACTTAGGGAGAGAGTCCAAGTCTAAAAAAAATTGTTAGTAAACGTATACAAGATAACGCCCAAGATCAGTAAACTTACCCCAGTCTTGCTTCTTCAGACCAGCACCGAGGTTGGACATGCGGTCACCACCGGCACCACCTCCATAACCACCACCACCGCCGCCATAGCCACCTCCTCCGTAACCACCGCCGTTGGAGTAGCCGTTGGAGCCACCTCCGTAACCACCACCGCCGTAGCCACCGCCACCGCCGCCTCTAGAGCTGAAACATCAGTTAGCAGGTATTCCCAAAATTTGCAAAGACAAAGAAATGTCAAAGCTGCAAGTGTTTGATTACTGCCTGTGGCCTTCTTGTGTTGAGAACCAAGGTGACAGATGGTGATGACGGAACAGACGCCACCTGAACTTCGAAAAACACGAAGGGGCGGGAAAAAGCGCCCAGTGCAGGGAAAAAAAAAAAAAAAAATGCAGGACAGAAGCCCAAACACCCAGTAGATTCGAGATTTCCCTGAAGATAATGAGTCAACTTACCGGTAAGAGTCGCGCTGATATCCGCCACCGTACGACATTATGATGTCTTAAGGGGTATGTGGAAGGGGAAAAAAACGAAGGAAAACAAATGAATGAGATGAAAGTACCTGGGTGCAGGTAACAAGGACGAAATTCAGAAGAAACTGAACACGTCCGGAGGGAGAGGAAAGAGGATAGAGAAGAAGGAAAAAAGATGAAAGAGATGAGGAAAGGTGATAGAAGAGCGAAGGTGAGGAAAGAAGAAGAAGAAAAAGAGAAGGAGCGAAAAAGAGTTCAAGAGGCGAAAATGCGACACTTGCCCGATCGGTGCTAGCGCCAGGGAAAAAAAAATTTTAGAGCCAAAAAAACTTCAACACCGCCTTTTGTTTCGCCGTCACCGCCAGGCCTCGACTTTTGGGCGACAACATCGCTTCGGCTATGGTCTTGATGGCAGTTTGTTATTCAGATGGTCATCTATATCTCTTTATAGTACTCCGTACATGCTTTATATATAATATCAATTCGAGTCAACTATACATGGTTCTATATTGCCCGTCAGAATTTCTTCTACTGTTTGCCACCCAGGCCCATGTCCCAGAAGCTTATCTCCAACTCGGTGGCCCGGACAAAGATCTTCACCAGCTCCTCCATTCGACTGGGCGAGACCTCTCGTACATGCTTTTCTAGAAGCGCTGTGAAGGAGTTAGAAAGAAAGGGAGGGAATCTCAAGGACAGGGATTCGTACCAGATCCCAGTTCTACTGCTTCCGAGTAGTCGTCCGCAACGTAGTTCTCAATCCATTTGTAGTATCGGTTTCCTTCGCGGATGGTATCCTCTGCAGCATGGAGTCTTTTGGCAATGGCGCCATATCCGATCAAACAAGGCGCAAGAGCCATCTGGAGTGCGAGCCAATCCTCTGATTGACCCACGTCAAGTATATACCGACTGTATGCCGTGCATGCTGTCGTAACGAGCAATTAGTAAACGGATCAAGCCACGCCGAGGTGGTTTCTATTTCCACTCACCGTTGCTCTCGGGATATCTTTCCATTTCTTGCTTGGACAGACCAAAAGAAGCACAGTAATCAAGATGTAGTGCCATCTCTTGCTCAATGTGTAACACGATTTGCGCCGACTAAACAAGGCCAAGCCAGTCCACTGTCAATATGATGCGTTGTAAATACCGTTGATATGTCTTACCGCGGAAATTGATTCCATGCTTTTTGCCTTGTAAGAGGCCAGTGCATTGCTTCGAGCAAAATGGACCTAAGAAGCCTCTCTTGTCAGTGGTGCTTTGAAATGGGGGATAGAATGATACTATACCAAGTAAAGATAATCCTGAACAAGATACTCTTTGAATCTTTCCAAAGGAAGCGTACCGTTTCCTAGACCCTGTACAAATTGATGTTCTGTGAAATGCTTCCATACCGACTGAACATCAGGGCGATCTAGGATATATTCGAGGAATCGGCCTCTGCACTTTATCAGAAAGTCTGCTGGAATGGCGAGGAAATCATGCACAAAGATAGTGGACGACTTACGGCGCAAAGGGTAGGGTATAAACAGAGTGGAAGTGATTGATTGGCCCACTGCCCTTGCCCATGTTGAAGCTTGTCTTGATTCCTGCCTCGACAAAGCGAACACCACCGTGAACGGCTCTCCTCATGTCTTTTCCGAGCGCGAGATTTGCCGCAATGGCAGAGGCAAGCGAACAGCCCGTACCATGGGTATTCTTGGATACCAAGAAATCAGTCTCGAAAAGGGTCACGTTCTCACCATCGTAAAGAACATCCACCACGGTAGATGCCTCTTCTTGATTTTTGGGGGTCTTGTGATCCTTGGTGAGCGGCAAATGGCCTCCCTTGAGTAGGATTCCCTTGGGTCCCAAGGAACAGATCTGCTTCGCGAGGGCAATCATGTCTTGTAAGTCCTGGGGCTCTTGAGCCTCAATCCCAGCATCTTTCAGTAGGAGTTTTGCCTCGGGAATGTTGGGCGTGAGAATAGTTGTTAGGGGTAATAATTTTGTTCGGAGCTGTTTCACGGCTACTTCCGGCAGTAATTGTGACCCGCTCGTGGATACCATCACCTTTTGAATTCTGATAAGTAAGGCTATAAGAAAAAATTAAGCAAAGAGACATACCGGGTCCAGAACCACCGAGGGAATTTGGTATGTAACCAATGCATCCGCGATGATATCAATTGTCTCGGCGGAGGTGAGCATCCCTAACAACAGTTAGTCTAAAGTCACATAAGAAGCAATTGAAACGAAAAGAAAACACTTCACTTACCTAGTTTTACCACGTCTGCGCCCACATCTTCCAGAGAAGCATCAATCTGCTTCTTTACAAACTGCGCCGGGATGGGAAAAATGTCCTTTACACCCAGCGTGTTCTGCGCCGTAAGACCCGTTGTTGCTGTGAGAGCATAGCACCCATGGGCAGCAAGAACTCTTTGATCGGCTTCAAGGCCACTAGATTCGAATTGGCTGCATTAGTTTCTGTAAGAGACAAGAGACGACCGGGGCTGGCATTGAAGGTTTGAATAGCAGGGGAAAATTGATGCACATACGCGCCTCCCGAGCTGTCGGAACCGGCGATGACCAGGACCCGTTTTACGGACATGATGAGGATGAATTGTCGCGACCAACTACCGATCAAATCAATTGGAGATGAAACACGGATGAACTGGACTTGAATAGAGCAGCACGTAAGTCGGGGTTAGTGTATGTCACCGGCATGTGGCCAGCAAAAGAACGTGGCAGGTGGGGGGAAATCCTCCGTTCCCACTGCGGGGCTTATGATATTATGGGATTATCGATAACAGGGAATCATGCATTCTGCTCTTGTTCGTGAGATTATTATATCAACACCATTATTCATCAGAGACCAGCGAAATAAATTATTCACATCCAAATTGATTCCAACGAAAAGAAAATACCAGAACCGTCCCAAAATGCCCTTGATGCTATATACAAAATGCCAACGCCTATAGTGCCACCGGGGCACTCTTACGGCATCATGAAGCGAAACAGAGTGTCCATTTCGACCCATTGCCGTCCACACTTCTTCAGATAGCCATCCACCACGCCCTTGACGGTTCCGAACCGGGCTCGGTTGAATTCCGCCAGTGCAGCCACGCTGTCTTTCTTTTCACCTGCTTCCTTCTGAGCCGCAGCCTTGGCCTTGTCCACGTCCCAGAGACCAGCAAAGTACAGCAGTTGGTTGTACATATCTTTTTCTGAGTATTCATATGACATTCGGCCAAGACAGCCTTCAGCGTGGCCCCGAGGACCAAGACACCGATGTCCATAGACGCTGATTTGTCGTGTTCGATTGCCACAAGCCGTGTCATCACAAACGAGCCAACCTTCATAGTACTTGGCGGTTTGTGCACGGATCTGGCTTTCGAGTTGTGCAATGATGGTGAGAACCGAGAATGGTTTCTGACAAGTTTGGTTTGAGCAAATCAGGCCATTAGGAGTGCACATGTGCGAAGAACCCGCCAATCCTTCAAATACTGATTTTTCTTTGCAGAATCGACAGGTAAGTGCCAGTCTTGCTGCGCTTTCAAAGCGCACAGAGTCAGGGATCTGCGACTCCAATGGGAAGATTTCTGCGTTTTGCTGGTTGTTCGCGCTGGATGTATTGATCTGGTATTTGCGAGCATCGAGACCCAAGCACTCGGCCAGCCGGACTGCGTCAGTTCCAGGGATAGGAGCACACAGACGTTCTATAGGAGGGAAGATCTGCTTCAGAATGTAAAACTCGACGTCCGGTTTTAGGCCCGAATCAGACTTCATCACATCCTGAAGGGTATAAGATCGCTTAGCCGGTGGAAGAGAAGCTGTTTCCGAATCTCCATTGGTTACAATGTAGGAAATGACATCGTTAGGCCGAACGTTTTTTCCACGGGCAAGTTCGCGGAGCGCGACTTGCGCGGGGGGCATCGACTCTTTATTCGGGTATTCGTCTGGTCTCTTGGAAAGTTTCTGTGAAAATGGCATTAGTACTCTGTCCAAGACTTTGTAAGAAAAAGGGTCACATACCGTGTAAATGACGTATTTCTGGACTGGGATTGTAAACTCTCGCATCTTACTACCAAGGTCACGCAGGTAGTCATGCACCCGGTTAAGAACCAGCTCCTGATCTTCTCCCGAAAGAACCTCATTCAAGAGCTTGGATGACACCTCCTTGGACAAGGCACAGTATTCACGTCTCTTCATGTCAAGACCCTTTACTTCCAGCTTGTCCACATACTTTCCATCGACCTCGGTCATATTGATAGCGGCATACTTCTTCTTAGCATGCAGTAAAAGCCGACGGAAGATATTATCAATGTCAATCTCCAAGAGTCGGTATCGCTCATTGACCGATTTCTTGAACTCATCTCCGACTTTGAGTGCGTCGCTGACAGTGTCCATGTTCGTGTTGATCATAACGGAGTCAGTATCACCATATATAACCCTAAGCTGGTTGCTTTCAGCCAGCTCCTTGGTGCTTCTCAGAATCTCACGACCCTTGAATGTGGTGAGCATCGCTAGGGGACGGGCGTAGAAGCGACTCTGGGTATATCCCAGACATCCGTACATGGAGTTGGCGGTCAGCTTAAACGCCAATTGTTTCGTGTCCCATAAAGCAAGCTGCTCAGGCGTAGCACGCTTGTCTTTCATCAGCTTTTTCACCTCACGTCGACGGCCAACAAGGGTTGAAATAAGTCGAGGCAAAATTCCCTGGTCTTCATCCGAAGAAGGAACTTTGGGTACTTTTTCTTCATTCTCGTTCTCAGCCTGGAAAAAGATATGTTAGTATATATCTAGCATGCAAAATGCTAAATTGACGTACCGTGGCATTTCGTTCCACTGTCGTAAAACAGATGTTGTACTCCTGGATGATACTGGGATACAAACTGTTGAAGTCCATAACCAGAATGAATTTGTCGTAGAGGCCCTTTTCGGGCTCGAAAACGAGACCTCCCTTGTATTTATCCTTCTTTTTCTTGTCAACGGATTCATCTTCATCGCCCTCCTGAATCTTCTCTTCTGCTTTCAGCAGCTTCGAAGAGTATTTGTCAGGGCAGATATATTTGTTCCGATGGAATTCGTGTAGAAGAATGTATTCGTTACGTTCAGCGCGGGTTCCACTAAGAGTTCGAGCCCATGAGTTACCGGCAATGTTTGTCAGGACTTTGGTCAAAGGCAACATCTGGAGCTGTAGCACCAACGCAGCGATGAAGTAGGTATCCGTATCGCAATGGTTTACGAAGTTCATGAGACCCTCTTTCGATGTTGCCCAAGTTTTCAATGCTGCTTCAGTGTCCAGCTCTTGGCGCGTATTGTCTTGTCCGAGGTAGAGCTCACACATCTCCGTAAGACTCCACTGTTGACATTTCATCATAAGAGACTATTGGCTATTAGAATTTGCGCGTAGTAATCGAGTATTCGTGAGTTTACCTTGCCCATATCGTTGGCCACGTCACACATAAGTCTTCCAGAAATCAGATGCCTCTCAGCAAAGAAACCTCCACCCTTGTTGAAGTTCTTGGGCCATTCTCCACGCCTTAATCTTCCAAGACGATGCCAGCCCGGGGTCCTCTTCTCCTTCAATCTGCTCAATAGAATGCTGAGGTCAACTTCCTGTAATTGGTGTCCCATAAGAACATCTGGGTCCATCCTTTCGAACAGCGCCAGAAATTTACTAAGCAGAAATTGTTCACTTTTCTCCAAAAGGAAGGTCCCCCTTTGCTTTCGTATTTCAGCTTCGAAACCCAATGGGTATGCTGAGCCAGCAGGCCGCATGACAGTGAATGTCTTGCAGGGCAGTTTCTCAGGAGGCGTTGTGTCCGTAAGGGAGACATTCTCGTAAACTCTGGCACTTGCTAGCAAGATTTCTTGCTTGTTCTCTTTCACATTCATTTGCGTTCTAAAAGAAAGACTCATAAGAGTAAGGGGTGGCGTCTCCAGATTCTCAGAGTCAGGCACAGGACTGATGAGTGCTGGTTTAGCGGCCTGACACTCAAACTTGCAGTAAGATGCGTTGTTCACGGCAGAGAAGTCTGCCTCTTCAATCTTAAGCCAGCAAGGGCCCATTATATTCTTCCACAGGACAAACTGCTCGAACAATGCTGTGTTGGTACCGAATACGCGGGAGAAAGTTTCGCCCTTAACATCCATGGGTAATGCGGGTTTGTCGTAAGGATAAAGCAGCTTCAGGTAATCTCCTTCCTTGGGAATATCGGGCAATTCGAAGGCATACTTTCGCGTGCATGGCTTGATCTTATGCATGCCAACCTTAAGCCTCGACATCATATCGTCCACTTCACGATAGACATCTTCCATATCCACCTCTTCATCCGTGTCCCTTCCATGTTTGTGTCTGAACTCTCTAGGAAGGAAGTAAAGTTTGCGCAAGATGTTGTCAATCTTGACGAAGGCACTCACGTAAGAGCCATTTTGCTTATTTCTCACTTTACCAAACAGACACAGACTGCCATTGATTTCAGTAAAATCTAGCCAGAAGAAGCGCAGACTTCCATCCTCTTCGACGGCATCCTGGGGCCGTAGCTTGCCAAAAGTCCGTGTCTCTTGGGCCGGGCTGCTCATAACGTTCAGTTTGTTTCGCACGTTGTTCCAAGAAGCATTCACTTCCGGCCCTGGCTTCGCAGGCGAGGATGCGAATGGGACAGGGTGACTCTCCTTTTTGATTTTGGGAGGCGGCCGGCTACCGGTCATGTTGACGCTTGTCGTTTTGCTCTCGTCATTGCCAGTGGCTTCCGCAATTTCCATCAAGTCATTGTCATCGTCATCAGATTCCTCCGCCTTAACAGGAGCAGATGCCTTCCGCTCTACTGCTTTGCTGATGGGTGACGATGGCATTGGGTCACTCATCGGAAAGTCATCATCATCTGCCTGTGGGAGCGGACCGTCATCATCGTCCAAATCAAAGCCCTGTTCCTGACTAATTGTGGGTTCTGGGCGGTCATTTTCGTCCTTTTCGACTTTCTGTACGCGCGGTCTGTGCGATAATGGAGGCGAAAGGATCCGGACTTTTCGGCGAGTTTCTGACTTGACTATGTTTTGTGCTGGAACATGGTTCGAGACAGCATTGTTATCAAGATCCCCTAGAAGATCCGCCATGAAAGCTTCATCCTCAGCAGTAGCGACAGGCTACATCGATGTTAGATATGCCAGGTCTCACTCAACTCAAACAACGTACCTTGGGCTTGGGAGCAGCAGCAGCGCCCTTGTTGAAATATTTCGAGATTCCATTGTTGATCTTCTCTTTCCTTTGCTGTTCCTCCTCACGCTTTCTTTTGGCGGCCTTTCCTCGTGCGGGTAATTCGTCTTCGCTCTCACTGTCGTAATTTTCCGTCTGTTCGTTCCAGACTTCTCGACCGTCATCCGCATAACCTTCACCGTTGTCATCCACGACGAAATCATCCTCATCAAGGCGATCCCGAATGACCTTCTTGTATCCTTCATCATCAACCTCTTCGTAGATATCGCCTTGGTCCTCCACTTCGTAAGTTTCCAAGCGTTTCTTTCCTGCGGCTCGCAGGGCTCGCAGCTCTGCCAACTTGGCGCGAGAAGCCATGGCGTACACTAATTACCGCAAGAAATTGCCGCCCATCAACGGTCCTTCTCTGGCCTGGATTTTGCTGAGGAACAGAGGCTAAATTGCTCTGCCCGTATCTGTGTCGTGACAACAACAGGATGATGGATTGTGGAAGGGGTGGCAGCCAGGATCGACAATCGCGAGAGGGAATGCGGACGCGCAGCGGGACGCGAACCGGACGCGTTTTCGACCAATCCCCGTTAAGTGGTTTTTGAACACCGCCAACCGCCTGTCTTGTCGCATCACATAGTTACTATGGAGTATTAATTAGTGGATGGAATGGTCTATTTTCTATTAATGATGGTTGGCTTGGCTAATAGCATGTCAGAGACATGCCCTGTTGTATCATTTTATCTGACCCAATCGGCTCATTACAAGCAGCCCTCATTTGCTGTTAATCGTGAATACTGCCTTTGTCGCTGAAATGGACAAACTGCCGCCTTGAACTTCTAGTTACAATTCCCTAGGAAAATACTCCATTGATTGATATCTTCGGATATGCTTCGATCAATCAGACATTTCCTCCGAGTCCGCATCACTGTATTCCTCTATAGTCTGTGTATCAGCATCGACTTTACGATGTCAATGATGTATGTAGGTATACACTTACCATATACCAAGCCAAAATCAAACGACCCGTCGATTTTCTTTAGCGCATCACGAATCGTGGTTTGAGATTCCTCTGTAATATCAGTCGTGGAGGTTGAACTCAGGATCGAAAGGTTCAAGCCCCTGTTGCCCGGTCCTAGCTCTGAGATGAATGAGAGCACCCCCAACGTTGTGAATTCGCTGAGTGCATGAATAACTAGACTCTGCAGCTTCGGGAGACACAAGAATGCTTGCCAGATACTATCGTCAAAGAACTCTCCGCTAATCCAGAGCTTCTCCAAATGCTTAAGAAAGGGTGTTATGCTCATAACATACCCAGGTGGAAAACAGTCGGATATGTCTTTGAGTTGGAGTTCACGTAGATTAATCAACTGAGTGAGAGCTGAAGCGAGAACCTCGTTGTCCTCAGGGTTTTCTTGGCCCTCGCCATGAAGACAAAGGGTTTGTAAAGACTGATGAGACCCAAGAGCTTCATGAAATGCACGGCTTCCAGCCATTGTGTACCCTAATAGAGAGAGGCTGGTCAAGCGAAGCTCGTCGCCTGTGAAAGTTTGTGCTAGCAAAGCAGGGTCGTCGACAAATCTTCTGAGCTCCAAATGCCGCAATGATTTACAACTGCGTATCCACTGAGCAACTTTCTCAATAATCGAGTAGAATCTCTCATCTCGTGTCACTGGAACCGAGTCTGTTAGGACTAAAACTTTCAATGCCGGCGGTGCTTCTAAAGAGGGCAATTCTGCTATTGCGTCAATCCCTAGACTTGTTAATTTCAGCTCCACTAGCGAGCCCAATTGCGATCCCAAAGCTTTGATAGAGCGAGGACCCAGTTGAGAGTAGCTGAGCACCTCAAAGTATTCCAGAGTATGAGGATGTAATTCATTCAGGAATACCTCCGAGTCGTCTTCTGCATTTCTGGGGGGTTCGTTTGCCCTAGCCGAGGTGAGATTAATATGAGTAGAACGAGCCCAAAAGATAGACCGATAGCATACCATCGAAAAATTGTGAGCCGTTTGAATTCAGGGCAGTGGTTACGGATTTTATCACCAGAATGCTGGGTGAGAGAATCTCCAGACCAAACGTTCAGGGTCTGCAATAGAGGCATCTCTTCAAGCCATTCAGAAAGCGATGAAGATGGAACTGAGGAGATTAGCATCTTCAAGGCCTAACTCTATATTATAGTTTAGATATCACTTACCGCTGCAGGACAGCCCATGTATCGACCTTGTCCTCTCGACAATCGCTTCAAAATAGTTAGTAAAGACGGACACGATCCATAACATCCCATGTAGCCGAGAATGTGAATAGGCACTTGACTAACCAGAGCCAATCTTGACCATTATCCAACTGTTATCAGGGAGATTTCTCGATGACCGAAGTCGCTTGTTTCCTTTCAACTCGTAATCACGGAAAACGAAATCATGAAGTTCTGGCGTAAAGAATTCACTACAACCTGTGAGACATAGAAACAAGGGAAAGGACAAGATAAAAGAAGAATAACCTACTCTTTAACTTTCCCGTTGAATCCAGGATCCCGTAGGAGATCCAACAGGTCCTCGAGGTTCAGGTAACGGATATAGCTGTAGTAAGGAAGGTAAGTCTTATCAAAAGTGGACAGAATAATCGAGCGCCACATTAGAGCCCATTTTCGAAGCGCAGTTTCCTGCTCTTTTTTGACTACTGCTCGGCGAGTTTTGAAGAACTGCTCTTCCTCTATCCCACCGCCTCTTACCGGCGAGGTGTCATGTAATCTGGATGTTTTGGTATCAGTGGACGGCATAAACACATTGGGATGAAGTCACCATCCCCACCTGTATAGTATAGTCAATGCCTGCTCTGTGAAGTATTTTGAAGCGATGGCACATTGAAATATGCTGTTGTAGTCTCTTTCATCCCGTAGGATATCTAAGATCATATAGACGATGTCATTGGGCAAAGTGACGGCCATGGTCACAACGAAATATCAACCACGGTAATTGAAATAAATAGCACATCCAAATTATGCATACAACACCTATACCGATGGCTTTGATAATCAAGTCTCTGTCAAGATGATGTTGAGTCTTGGATGAACGTCCGGGGGAGGCTGCCTTACTTTCAAACCCGATTATGTAACCACGCGTCGTTCGTGTCGCCTGCGCGCCGTCGAGGTTGACCTCTTCCAACAGCCAAAGACTTCGAGAAGAAGCATTATCCGTGATAAAAGACGATTTGGACGATTTTATATAGATCGACAAATAAGGAAATTATTTAATCCCACGCCCCGATTACGGGTAAAACGGCATTTCTACGTGCGATATAACAGACATGACTACCTTACTGGTTTCCCTCTCCCCAGATGCCTTGGTCCGGCTACATGATGCTTTAATATGTCTGGCCAAATTCGATGAAAGTGTCTCTATTGAAGCTGAATATGACCTGGTAAGTGATATCAGTGGTGTAAGTGCAGAGAACGAATATCACTGACAATGGTCGCAGCTTCGTCTGAGTGCCCTCAATTTAACCAAGACTGCATACTCTGCGTTTGTTTTTGAGGCAGACAAATTTTTTGAAAACTACTCTTTTGAAATGAACAATCCCCCAAGAGGTAGTCGCCCGGATAGATTCTGCTGTCAGATACTCTTAAAGGTAGGGCAAAGGCCTGTCTGTTCCAGTCTTTTTCTCAATCTAACACCGACTAGGCCTTGCTATCGGTTTTTAAGGGAAGAACCAGTGAAAAAGACAAAGATACAGCCGTGGAGCGCTGTGAGCTGGAGATACATGAAGATGATGAGCAGACTGAATGCAGACTCGCGATCAGGATGATATGTGGACTTGGTATGTTCCCATCAAAACAACAAGGTCTATCCATATGAGTTACCGGCACTAATAATTCACTACAGGCGTCATCAAGTCTTACAAGCTTACTTACGAAGCCGCTACTGTTCAGCATGCAATTTTTGACCGAACGAGAACAACAAACCAGTGGAGTATCGAGTCCAGGTTTCTGAAAGAAATCACAGACCACTTCAGCGCATCAGCTGAGTTGCTGGACATCTATTCCGAGGGTGACAAGGCTATCTTTACAAGTTTTACCACAAAGATCACCGATGGAAAGGGTTGGTTCCATATGAAGATTTCTGTTCGATCTCTATACTGATTATTTTGATTATAGAGATTCTCAAGCAGCCTATCCACACTTCGGTCGCCATCGACAAAAGAGATTTTGACGATTTCTTAGCTGGAGACAATCTTCATGTCGCTATAAACCTCAAAGATTTCAAGGCGGTGATAGCACACGCTGATACGGTAAATGCGAGAATCACTGCTCGATATACCGTTCCATGTCGTCCCATGCAGCTAGCATATGACTTTGAAGGCGTAAGGACGGAATATACCCTGATGACAAGAGGCGAATCCGACAATAATACCCCGAACTCCTCACGACCCACCATTCCACAGCTATCCGCGAGACAAACTCCAGCTCCCGTTTCAGCACGTGTCAGCCAGGCCAACACTAGTACCAGTTCGAACTCCAGACAGATGCCTCCTCCCCGCAGCCGATCCGCTCGCCCACTCACTGGGACGCCGGCTGTTCGTGTTCCAGAAACAAATGTTGAGCCGCAGCAACCCCCGGCGGCATCGATCAACTTTGATAGCCTCTTTGTTCCAGCGGATGATGACGGACAATGGGATGTGCCAAATGACGAGGAAGAGGCCGAAGACATGCTCGGATGGGACGCAACTGCTGATCAGGTTCGTTGTTTTCGAAAGTTGCCGTTATCATATGAACGGACCGCTGACAGAGAACAAGGAAACATTCAATGCAAGTCTTGGGCCACGTCTCAGAGACACCGAGCCCAGTGTGTCGTCTCGTAGTAGAAACGAACAAAACAATGACGACCAAGATATGGGACTTCCACCCACGCAGCGCATGTCACAGGTATGTGTATTCATCGAGTCTGTTCGGACCATACTGACTTTCCATAGATTCAAGGCCTTGGTCTTTTCGACTGAGGTATCTGCTGCCCTTGAGTTCCTCCATAGTGCCTTTGCAGCAATGGCCAGAGTCCTCATGTGCATTGACTTCGAAGATAGTCACTCAGGGCGGTTCAACTTCTTCCGCTCATGATGTGATGATCCAGCTAGTGGCGCAACCTGCACCAATACCGATAACTTCGGCTCGTTCCTCAGCAGCCAAGGGTACATGGCTGTACGTCTCCTTGACATTCCCCTGGGCATCAGTGTCTGGGCCACAGTTGCCATGCTCACCCCATCCAAACGCCACCACCGTCTTGTCATCAAGAAGAGCAAGCGCATGCTCACTACCAACGGCTAGCTTTTTCGTCTTCGGCAAATCGGCCGGAGGAAGCTGGCCGCGATCATTCCGCCCCCAGGCCACAACAGACGAATCATTCTGATGTACATAAACACCATGCCAACTGGTAGCTATACTGGCGTACCCCGATGACAACAACACACCCGGTGCAGGCGTATCAGACTGGATCTTCCACTTGTTATCCGAGGACCCTAGAATCGCGAATTCCCCTGCGCTCTTGTCCCCCATGATGATTGTAAACTCCCGCCCACACACAGCATCAGTTGCGTAGAACGGCACATCCCCCACCTTTACCGGCGCCCAGGCAATCTTCTTCTCCTGAGCCGCACGCCCAACTTGCCCTTTCCTCGCCCCACCCCATCCATAAACATCCCCATTCGATAAAACAACCACAGTATGACCCATCCCACTCGCAATCGATACAATCCTTGTCCCAGCAGGCGGGAAATCTGGAATTCGACCAGACTCCCCATGACCAACCTTCACCTTTCCTTCCCCAAGCCCCAACTCCCCCTTCCCCCCAGATCCCAAAACAAACATCCTATCTCCCTCGCCTCCCAAATCAGCAACCAAAAAAGTCCCCTCCCATGTCGCAGAAACACCCCTGAACGTATCAATGACCCGTTCACCGTGGTTGGGGTCATTCACAGTCACCCGTCTAAACCTGAGTACCATATCACTCGAGGATCCATCCCCTCCACATCTGCCATCATCATCACACCCAGCCGCATAGATGGACCCATCCTTGTATAGAATGAGGGTGTGGTTCCCTCCGGCCACGATGCGAATTACTTCTTCTGCCTCTGCCCCGCTTTTTGATATTGGGGGTTCGAATTGGCATTTGGTTGGGAGGGAGACATCTTCCATGTGTCCGAGGCCTAGTTGGCCGGAGCCATTTGAGCCAAAGGCGAAGAGGGGCATTTCTTTTTCTGTTTGGTCTTTCGTGTCCTGAGTGATGGTGAGGGTGGAGTTGGGATTTTTGCGTGGTTCTTGATTTCAGAGATTAGTGTTTTGTGTTTAATCTTCTGCAAGGAGCACTTTTGGCCATATAACCAATACGTAATTAATACCCCGACTCTCTTGCTGTATATTCTAGGATATACTTGATCTTTGCAAAAAGTTGATGAAGCAAAAATAATCCAATCCTGTTTACTTCGAGTACTCACTGTATCACCGCTATGACTACCGCTTGCGATATAAGAACCGAAATACCGGCAGAATTGCCATGGTTCGGAATAGGTCTAGCCCCGTTGCAGCGGGTGTTGTCGCCGAACTGGCAGGCTGGCAACATGCAACGATGCGATGATACGAAACATCGTGATATTGTGACGTTGTGATTTCAACTTGGTCAGATGATAATAAAAATGGAGTCGTAAGAATAGTATCCGCTTCATAAGTTATCTAGACTAGCCATGTGTCTTCAGCAACCAAAAATAAACCCTAACGCCTTTTTTATGTACAGAGTACGGAATATGTATTTCGAATCTTCGTTCAATAATTTGAGTAAACATAAAGATGAGAGCAAAAACAACAGAGCCAGTATGCAGGGGTATGAAACGTTATCCAAAGTCTAAAAAGGGCGTCCCAGCCCGGGGAAATGCATTTTGTTTAAGAGAGGCAACAGCCAAACGACGAAGTCCTCCCCGCCTCTTAAACAAACAATAGAATAATATTCACGGAGAACAAATTAGATGCAAGAAAGGTATATGGAACAAGTCAAAGGGTATCGAAGCGGTTCATCACGATGATTTCTCGTTGAACGAAGAATCAACCGAGTCACCCTCTTGCGCAGCGGGTGGTAGCGCGAAGTCATCAGCTTTGTTGGAGCCCGTGTGCTCCATCGGACGGAACATGGGGCTAGTACGGTGGAAGTAAGAGTGGACGTGACCTTCCAAAAGAGTTTCATCGGTATCCATTTCGAGTTCTTCGCCCTTATCCTTCTCGGCAAGCTTCTGAGTCATAGCTTCTTCCCATTGGGCACGGTATTCCTCGACCTTGCGCTGGTAATCCAACTCGGCGTTGTAGTACTGACCCTTTCCAGTAATGCGCTCCCAGAAAGACAAGTGCTTGGGGTGAACAGCAGGGCCGTGGTACTCATGCTCACGACCTTCACGAAGGTATGTCCAACGACGCTCCTGCTCCTTCAAATCAAGGCCGGTGGTGTCGGGCAGGAACATGAAGGTGAGGATCATACCAGCAAGACCAAACCACGGAACAACCAGGAACTTAGTCTGTGTGTCGATGTAGTTGTACAGAACGGACGCGAGGAGAGCACCCAATTTACCGCAAGCGGCGGAGAGACCGTGGGCCGTAGCTCGGATCGGGGTAGGGAAAACCTCTGCGGCAACGAGGAAGGTGACCGAGTTGGGACCGAACTGGTTGAAGAAAGAACTGAGGAAGTACATGGCTTGGAAGGCGTGAACACCCTGAGGGCTGGTGTAGTACTCGTAGTTGAAGGCGGGAACAATGAAAAGGATGAAGTCCATCAGGAAACCAATGATCTGCATCCATTTGCGGCCATAGAGCTTGTTGTCGATCATGAAGGAAGCTAAGTAGTAACCGGCCAGCGAAACGCCCACATTGACCAAGTTCCAAAGCCAAGTCGGCATGAGCGAGTCTGTCGAGCCGCTGAGGACGGAGATGAACTCGGACTGGAACAGCTTGTTTCCATAGAAGAAGACATCGTTGGCGAACCAAGCGCCAGCAGTTGCGACAATGCGGAAACCAAAGTACTTGAACGTCAATGCAAGAGACTGCACATCGTAACCAGTAACCGCGGACTTCTTCTTGGCTGAGACCAGCTGCTTACTAGCTGCCTTCATGTGGTAGGCACGGTAGTAGACCAGCCACAATGTGCCAACAGCGGGGATAGCGAAAGAGATACGGTAAGTCCACTGAGCAGAAACGGTCGAGTAAGGAGGGTTTCCACTACCGTGGAAGATCAACAGCAAGATGAGAAGAAGGACTTGGTTGAAAAATTGGCCCCAGCCCTGCATCAAGAAAGCACTGGTGACCTTTCTACCACGGTGAAGACGATCTTCCTTGGTGGAGATCTTTCCGGAGCCAACGGCATTTTCCATACCACTGGTGGCGGTCATTGGGTATTCTCCGCCTAGCGCAATGTTAGAAGACCATCAGAAGAAAAAAAAAAAAAAAAAAGAACGGCGCGAATCAGCCTTACCAACACCAATGCCGTAGATAAACAGCGACCAGGCGTAGCAAATAACCCAGCCATTTTGGGTGACACCCCAAGCAGCCGTGAGCATGACCAAACCGAGAAGCATGACTGTAGCATCCTGAATCAAACCGAATCGACGTCCGAGCCTATGATCCAGTTAGAACATGCAATTGGACAAACTGAAAAAAAAAAAAAAAAAAAAAAAAGGCAAAAAGCCTTCGGAGATGTTTTCCATACCAGTCACCGACGATTCCAACCAAGATCTGACCAAAAATAATACCCACGATTTCTAGGTAGTCAACGGCGTTGATCCACTGCTTGTTACAGATCTCGTGCTTGTCCCAGCAAGCCGGGAAGACCTGTTGAAAGAGGGGCTTGATGTTTCCGATCGAGAAGAGCACGTAACTAACAGGGAGACAGGATGTTAGCTTGCATTGTCCCAACTCACGTAACTTGCACAAAGGCGGGAGAAAAAAAAAAGAGGATTACACACCCTTCCAGACCCAGACCCGCACCAGGAAGGACCATGTTGCGGAAATAATAAGAAATTGGCGAAAGAGGATCGGCCTTGAACATATCCCAAATGCTTCCCAGTTCCCGTTTCGCTTCGGTAGCATCGTAGGAGCTCACAAACTTGACCCTCTTGAACAGAGGAAGATCAGCCCAGTAGGTACCGTCGGTAGTGTAGCTGTCCTCGGGGCGGATGAGGGCATCAAAAGCACCCTTCTCGTTGATATCCATGTCCTCGAGAGGCGGATGGGTTCCCGACATGTCGGGGCCATGAGGAGCACGAACGCCATAGTCGGTCATGGTGGTGGTATCTCAAGATCTGCGATCTGGTCAAGCTTGCTTGGCCTTGCGAGACAAGAGATTTAGTGAAGGGCAGCAGAGTCGTGCTGGAAACCTTCGACAAAGAAGACGGTTGTCAGGATGACCGAGGGAAGGCGTCACACACAATGCAAGCCAAGTCGGACAGAAGCTTGGGGTCGCACACTTATATGAGACGCAGACGGCAATTGGAGCGAAGACCAGAGAAATTCTCTGGGCCCTCTGACAAGACGACTGTCAGCAAGACCAGCTGGGAACCACCCGCCGTCGACACATGTCCGCATGCTGTTCTCTGATAAGTCAACACCAGAACCAGGCCGGGGCGGCGGGCGGTTCCACCACACGCTCAGTGGGTGATACTAATCATGGTCGAACCCCGTCCGCCTCGAAATAATGCTGGACGCTAACCGGTCAGCATAACCTGGACGGCCCATCCGGTGGTTCCTTTCTTCGTTCTCCGTGCTCGAATGATCCATTGCCGGAACAGGCACGTAAGTTTCCCTTCCAGGCTTATTTTTTTTTTTTACTTTTTTTTTTACCCCTCGGCGGAACTGGAATCCATGCAAGTGCGGAAGGCGGGATCCTGGATCTGAAAACGTCCTGACCAATCAAGAGCGCACGTGGTGGCAGAAAGCGTGCTTGCTGGTCAGACACCGCCTTCTGAGACCAACGGGGCGGAGATTCCGGCAGCCAATCAGAAGCGTCGATGGTGCAGATTCTTTTTTTTTCTGGCCTTGGCCAGAGCCACCATCGCCCATCCTCTCCGGACTCGGTTTAATCGGCTTTACAGAACAGGAAGACCCTCCTCCAGTGCAGTAGTCTGCATCCATAATAATGCACATCACTTCAACTGAAGTCATACGTGTTCCGTCAAACACTCCGGACTGCGGAGTAGATAGGCTGCAGGTAGATGTGTTGTCAAAATCCCAATATTGTGTCTACCTAAGATCAACCCTATCACATCATCGGCTAATCATACACCGTACATAGAGATCCAAATATTCATCCCTGCGGAAGAAATGTGTCAAATGGGCTGTCAAAACGAAGGAAATCCCAAGTCTCATCGCCTTCCATGCCTTCCAACTCTGGACGGGCCGAAACTCGTGGCCAAAACCCATTGCGATCCCTGGCGTCAAGGATGAACGGAAATCAACAGCCATCCATCTTGGCATGCAGATGTCGGCGGGAGCCAGTGAGCGTCCATCATTCGGGCACGTTGTCTCTCCAGACGCTGCGTCAAGTCAATCCACCACACCCCGGGGTTCGAGAAGGATACCCAATATTGCCATATGGGGCTGGTCCAGTTGCGCTCGGCCTCTTTAATAGAACTCTGTTCTATGATTGTATCATCTGAGAGCACGTGCTCCCCTGTCTATCATTGTCTTTGACTTTGACTGTCAGATATGGTCCATTGATATGTCTCATCCCCTGGGTTGAAACGATCTGGAGCTGTAGCTCTCTGCATGCTGGATAGAGACATCCAACGCATGCTACTATCCTGACGCCTCTGGGTCTACGTTGCGGTGGTCATTGTGGATGTCTTATCAACAGCTGGAGTCAATTCGTGTCTTCTGTTGGCCAGGACCTCATCTTTGACCCTCTACAAGTGTACCACGTGCTCCGAGGCGCCCTCGCTTGGTGATAGACATTCTTGCTGCACCTTGAAACTTACTTTCTTCTCCACTGTAAGCCATTTACGTATCTATGAAGTCAATAATCTCGCAGCTTCGTGCCCCATAGGGAGTTGACTGATCAGTCCATGACTCGTCTCAGGCTTTTACAGCCTCGTGTCATCCAATATCGACTTGTCCATCGTCTAATCTAGGCTCCATCAGAACCAGAATGAAGAGATTATAATGTCCAACTTCATTTCGAGGACGGCTCACTCCGTCAGTAGGTAAACCTGTGCTACATCACAGCTTGATTATTGGCCACGGTCATCTCCGATGTATAATTGGAACCGAAATGCTTGGTGATGCTTAGCAAGATAGACCAGCTTGGCCCTTTTTGCTTTCATAGCGCGGCAAAGGGAAATTACGAACGTCTCCTATCGTGCAACGAACCCGGAATGATTCGGCCGGTAGAGCAGGAGACGGGAGCTTTCGTATTGGGAATCTGGTCTCATGCCGGATATCTTGTTCTGGATGCCCATCCATTGCCTGATATATCGTGCCGCATAACCGCAATGTTGATCTTTGCTTGGACGCACCAAGCCTCGAGGCGTTTTTCTTGTTTTTTCCCTTTTACTTTCATGGCAAATATCACCTGATGTTTCAAGTTCCATGATCCCTGAAACGACTTTCATCTGGAAGCATTAGCAATCTACAATGGCGGTGCATGCATGCATACCCTACATATGCAGCTCAACGCCCACCCATCGAACAAAGTACAGAATACAAGTCAACATGAAGTCTTAAAGCCCCCCGCACAATATTACGTGGACTTCAGAAATATGCAAGATCATCCCCAAGCAAAAAATAGGCAGACGGATTGATCTGAAGCTAAAGCTGACTTCTATTGAAGATTATTGGCAATTGGCACCAGCTGTCGATATCATCTTGCATATTTATGCGGCAGCCTGAAACTTGACTATCCGGGGAAGTTTTTACCCTGTCTGTCCGTATAAATTCCATTTTTATAGGAATCTTCTTATGTAAATTTTTTTATGATTTATTAATAGTGTTGTTGATCTCTCTTGGGTGGTGTTGTACAACAGTCGTTGAGATGCTACGGTGACGCTACTATTGGCTAGGTAGGTAAACACCCTTACACTCAGTGTAGCAATTAAAGAAATATTGGTACCTAGAGGACACAAAAAGAATGGAAATAAAATTAAATCTACATTGAGGCTATGTTTCGATCGATACGCACTGTATCCTCCTACGGACTAGGCAGTCGGCAGTCGTTCATGTCCACTACCATTAATGTACGACAATACTACCAAGTGGCTAACGTTGTTTTTGTTAAAATAACTTTGCTCTATTGGAGATATATTGATTTAAAATTAGACAAGATAGGTGTTATTGGTTGCCGATTGCGAGTCAATGACAATGGAGCCTGTCGAAACATGATGATATATATTTTGGTGATGCCTTCAAAATCGGCATCTATACTAGAGCATATACAGGGCTAAGAGTCACTAATAAGAGAAAAATCAGTGTATTCTAAGGCTAAATATACCCATATGCTCTGGGTAATAACCCACGGTTTGGAACGGTTTGGAAGGTTACTTTTGGTGTGGAGTAGCTGCTGGATGGAGAGTGAATACTACTAGACAAGATAGTAAGTACTATGTCACTCTTATCAGAGATAGCTTCAAGATCCGAATGAGGGGCTGAATATATATTTTTTTTTTTGGAGAAATATACAGTGTGTTATTTTATAACCATCATTGAACTGCTCCATACGCTACCAAATGAACTCGTTTTCCTCTTGGTGGTGGACGCGAAAGATATCTTCATCTTGTGGCGTAAAGTGCTAAACTAGTCACGGATCATGATCCTTCAGTTAGAAACCTGAATAGAACTTATGATATAATTCTGACAGAAACCGGCCATGAAAAGGGATGTAGATACAGGACGAAACCCTTGGGAATGTAGCCCTACATAGTAGCTTGTTGGATTGCGGAGTAGGCCGCATGCGGAAACTCATTTAAAGGGATGGGTGGTTCTGGTTATTTTATATCCTCATCTATGTTTATTTTCATGCAGAAAAAAAGCTACGTTGACTTTTCTTTATGTATGCAACTCGAATGACATGGTTCTGCCTGCTTCCTCATCATCTTTTTCCATATTCCCTTAGAACGCGATGGAAGTGGAAGTGGGGTCTTGGCTGTAGATATTTCCAGAAACTACCTTGAACATAGAATGGAAATCGCCCAACTTGAAGCCCAGAGCACACGACTCGATTGGAAATCTAGGCGCGGGGATGCTGCTAAGGGTATGCGCAGGCGTCTGCATTCCTAGAATGGGCGAGCAGCACCCCATTCTCTCCCCTTCTCCCTCGCTCCCCCCTTCAACATCCCACTCAGTGGCACACGACTTCCATTGTCCATAATGTAATTCAATTCAGCCAATAATACTATCAGTCACAATTGCATATCATGTCAGAGGAAATTCCATTGGAGGCACTTTGCCTCATATGTGACACGGAAAAAGCACTGTCGGATCTGAGACATCTCCTTTCGGGATGCCGATTTCCACCTCACCATCAGCAGGAATGCGATGAGCGTCGCAAAATTGTCTTAGTTGAGAGATGTTTATGAACAGAATCATCCCTCGTCGATGGGCTCATTCGATGAGCGCTAGTCGTGCAGACTGACTAGACATGAAAATTGACCCAGCCTAACAATTCATTCCCAGGCCTCATCCTCCAAGGGCTTGTCAATATGCCCAATGGACTGAGTGGGCTATCGACCCTAGCTGCGTTTGTCGCCTTTATTCTGAGTGCATTATGTCTGTTCGCTGGTACGAAGACGAGTATCCTCGTGGACACTGACATCCTGACAGTACGTGGTCAAACCAAGAGCAAGACAGACCAGGACCTAACTGACCAATGGTTGGCATATAGCTATATACCCCTGATGTCGGAAATGACTTGGGAGTCTCCGACTTTTATTCAATATATGTCATGAGCTACTGCGAAGGGTCCCTGGGGAAAACGGATGATGGAACCCTATACAGGGAAAACTTCACATATTGTTCCGATCGCGCCGTGCCTTTTTCGTTTGACCCGTTCCATATACTGCTGGAAGAAACTGGAAATGAAACCTCGCTGTCTAGTATGGGATGGCCCAGTGCCATCAGTGGTGACTTTCGGGCATTCTCAATTACCAGCCAGGCCATGGCGGTATTTTACTGCATTGGAGCAGGGGTCGCGGGTTTCATGATTATAATCAAACTGTTCTCTTGTATTTTGCGATCGTCGCGACAGTCGATCATTGAGGCTTCGTTTTTACTGGTGCGTCCCATAGTGTAGCTTCGTGACCAAGTTAACTGACATTCCGGACAGCTTGGTTTTATCAGTCTCAGCATCTCATCGATTATCGCAACCGTCTATGCTTTCCAGTTTGTCGCCCTTGTCAACTACCACGGCGAAGAAGCCAACGTCACTGCGGGCTACGGACAGAAATTCTTGATAATGTCTTGGGTAGCGGCTGGCCTACTACTGCTGGGGAGTATCATCAGCCTATCGATTGTCGTGGCCGACCATCGGCGGGCCGAACCAGGTCCAGCACTGTCCCACTATGACCCGAAGGTTGGCATGGAGGAAGAGAATATGACGATACGGTCGAGAGTCTGACCGGTATTTCTGACGATGGAAATGAAAACAAACAATGAAATCATTTTAGTCAAGCGACGATCCCAAACATCCCCGTGTTGTATGAATGCAAGGCCATCAAGTTGATGCGAACCTTGCCTGTGCGATACGATGGGGTAATCGGCTCTATGCGGTTAACGTCACGAGTGGAGAATGTCACTCGGGTAAGCGTCGAATGACCGTACCATACAAACCGGTTTAAAGCCATTTTTAATGGGTCTGGCTGCATTGGGTGCCATGGTGGATATGCTGCTTAATCGATGATGATGACACTTGGGAAGTGTTCTGTAAGGAGCATGTGGGATGGTTTGGGCTCTTTCTCCTTCGAAGCCCGGATGACACCAGCTGGAACATTGCATTGTTCTGATTATTCCGTCTAATGGATGGCCTAGATTATATTGTTCTGTTCATAAATGCCGATTCTATCCACATGGATGCCCAGTTTTTCCCCCTGTGTGTCTACTAATGCCCAGTAAACCTGTCTGCAACTCTGTACGAGGACAAATGAGGGGGCGGGATTAACCGGAAAGGCTGCAAGATTACAGACATTCTGTAGAGGCTGCAAGTCATAGAACGGGGCCATGGATCTGAGCGTCCGAGAGACTCTCACTTTTTCTGGGCGAATATTTGGTGATACCATCATTCCACAAACAACAAGAAATGTCTCTCACATTTCAGCTTCTTGCTCTTGGTCTTTTCCGTGTTCTCATCACACGGAATCCAGACCCGACAGTAGATCTGGAATCAGAAAAGCCAAATAATAATAGAAATAATGACTACATCATCACCTGGGCAGAATAATAATCGTCATATGAACTCTGTCTTTCCCCTCCCCTCACTGCCCAAACAGGAAAGGTCCCCTCAGCGGCATCGTCTCGCACCTTCCAAACCGTGAATTCCACCGGGTTTCTCTGCATTTCCATCCCCTCTTTTTCTTCCTCTTTCCATTTTCTTTCCTCTCCCTTCTTTTCCCTCACCTCTTCTTCAAATAGGCTGGCTTTTCTCCTCGCTGAACGCTTTCTTTCATCATATCTTGTCATCCCATCTCTTTTTCTCTCTCTCTTGGAGTAGACACCCACACACAAGGCCTTCTTCGTCTCTCTCTCTTGCTTTACTCTTTTACCCTCTTACCTCTTTACCTCTACCCCCATATACAACCACAATGGGAAAGAAGGCTATCCAGTTCGGCGGTGGTAACATCGGCCGTGGCTTCGTTGCCGAGCTCCTCCACGAGGCCGGCTACGAGGTCGTCTTCATTGATGTCATGGACAATGTCATCACCTCTCTCCAGGAGACCCCCTCTTATCAGGTCACTGAGGTCAGCGAGGAGGGTGAAAACACCAAGACCATCACCAACTACCGTGCTGTCAACTCCAAGACCCACGAGAGCGATGTCATCAAGGAGATCTCTGATGCCGACGTCGTCACTTGTGCTGTTGGCCCTAACATCCTCAAGTTTATCGCTCCTGTCATTGCCAAGGGTATTGATGCTCGCGTTGCATCCAAGCCAGTGGCTGTGATTGCTTGTGAGAATGCCATCGGTGCTACTGATACCCTTCACGGCTTTATCAAGGAACGCACCGACCCTGGGCGTGTCGAGACCCTTTATGAGCGTGCTCAGTTTGCCAACTCAGCTATTGATCGCATCGTTCCCACCCAGCCTCCCAACAGCGGCCTCAACGTCCGCATCGAGAAGTTCTATGAATGGGTTGTCGAAAAGACTCCCTTTGGCGATGTCGGCCATCCTGATATTCCTGCCATCCACTGGGTCGATAACCTGGCACCCTACATTGAGCGCAAGCTCTTCACCGTCAACACCGGACACGCTACTACCGCCTACTACGGCTACAAACTGGGCAAGAAGACCATTGCAGATTCTTTGGCCGATCAATACATTCGAGGCATTGTCCACAACGTCCTTGATGAGACTGCCTCCCTCATCGTGGCCAAGCATGGAATCCCAGAGGAGGAGCAGAAGAAATACGTCGAGAAGATTGTCAGCCGGTTTGCAAACCACTACCTCGAGGACACCGTGGAGCGTGTAGGCCGTGCTCCTCTGCGTAAGCTTTCCCGAAATGAGCGTTTTATCGGACCTGCCTCGCAGCTTGCGGAACGCGGCCAGAAATTTGATGCTTTGTTGGGCTCCATCGAGATGGCTCTTCGTTTCCAGAATGTTCCAGGAGATGACGAAAGTGTGGATCTCTTCAAGACACTCTCTCAGCTGTCTCCTGGTGATGCAACAGTGGAGCTCACCGGACTTGAAAGTGAACACCCTCTGTACAACCATGTACTCCAGGTGGTGGACAAGGTGAAATTGGACATCAAGTAGGGGACACTTTCCACCATCTCGTCCATAGACGTCTGAGAACTTTTTTTTTTTGGGGGGGTCACATTTTGTCTGACATCTTCTTTGCCAGTCGGTATGTGATATGAAGGAGCCCAAGTCGGTCACGGATGACAGCATGACGAAGCGCACGATATGTCTTTTCACAGCGACCTAGGAGCGGTTATACCGCGGGACGGAGTTTTAACCGCATGGGATATGGCTAATACTGGAAGGCGCGATGAACAACTTCGATTTACCTTAGCATTGTATTACTTTTACTACCTGGCGATAGTTGCAGAGCAACTTAGCCGCAATGATATTTCCATTCTAGTCACTTGTTCTGTATTGCCTGTAAACGACATTTGTATTATCTTGTAAAGTTGTGTTGCCATGACCGGGATGCATGTGCATTTACAACTTACTGTCCACCCAGTTGGGCTTCCTCTTCTCCACAAACGCCATCAGCCCCTCCTTGATATTCTCTCCCTCGTACAACCGTTTCGACCATCCATCGATCAGTAAGCGGCTGCCCTCCTCAGCTCCGACACCTTCCCATCCCATCTTGATACCTTCGCGCGTGACGATGACTGCATCTGGGCTGTTCGACGCGATCTGGGCTGCGATCTCAACCGTTCGCTTGACCACCTGCTCATCCCCACCCGAAACTACCTCATTCACAAACCCCCATCGCTCTGCCTCGACAGCTGACACTCGTCGCCCAGTCAAGGCCATCTCCATGGCCCTCTGGCGCCCAACCGTGCGCACCAACCGGGGCAACGCCCCAGCGATGGCAACGACACCGCGCAGAACCTCCGGATAGGCAAACACAGCCTTCTCACTGGCAATAACCATATCGGCATTGATGATCATCTCACAACCACCACCAAAACAGATTCCATTGACAGCACAGAGGACGGGCTTTTTGCCGCCGCGACGCGAGAGACCTCCAAACCCAGAAGGTGACATTTGAGCACGGCCTTTGTTTTGTGATGGGGTTTGGGTTTGGGTGTTGTTGTTCCATTCTGAAGTTCTGTTAGCAAATATATTCCCTCTCTCTCATATATATACATCAAAAGATACTGATAGATAGTGAAATGGGAAACAAAAAAAATTTAAGTCAACATAGCATACATACCCTTCAAATCCGCACCTGCGCAAAACGCCCTCCCGGTGCCTGTCAGGACACCCACACGCAACGAAGGCTCATCATCCAGCCATTGCCAGACAGCGTCGAGTTCCTCGTGACCGGCGGAGTTGATGCAGTTAAGATCCCGGGGTCGGTTGAGAGTTACCAAAAGGACATGGGGGGCGGGTGAAGAGAGGATGGCGTATTGGGTTTTTGGGGGGTCGGTGGTGAAGGATGGCATTTTCATATGTATAATATATGGGATTATTTAAGTTGGAGATTGAGTTTGATTGATTATTTTGGGAAATTTGATATGAAGATGAATATGAGGGGGGTTGTTATGTAGTTTTTTGATGTTGGAGTTCTGGGTATCTTGCTGGGAGCCGAGGCCCGATTGCTCTGCTGTCGTTGCGGAGAATGTGGAGTAGGTGCAGTAACTAGTTGATGCGACTTGTCTTAGTCAAGGGATGATGTGCAGTAAACCCATGGATGGATTTAAAAAAAATCAAAAAAAGAAATCATAAATAGTACAAAGTAGTTAGTAGTATGTAGATTACTCGACCCTATATTGTACAAACAAAACATGGATGGTCAGAGAGCATGGTCAAAATATCCCATTTCAGATTCTAAAATCAACATCTTCCGGTTCTGCCCTACAGAACGCAAACGCCATTCCATCAAATTTGGATATCAAACAAAAAAAGTATCGTCATCCCTCGCAGTTTTCTACGACTTGTTGATCCATCCACTGTGTACCATAAAATCGTAGATACGGCCCGTTTTGGCGCTGTCAATCTGTATCCTGACTGTCAGTTCACTGTCTTCCCTGTATAGGTGGTGAAGGAGTAGATAAATACCTTGCAAATAGTCCGTGCATCCTTCTTTTTCAAACTCCCTCCCTGTTTCATGGCCTCCTTTAACAGTGTTTCCTTAATGACCAGGTATGGTTTGGGTTGGACGTGAAGCACGTTGCACACCTCCACCTCTTCCTTCGTCAACAAATGTAGATCGGGAGCACCATCGTTCTCTAGTTTCCATGGAACCACTCCATTCAACGGCGGCACCACGAACTTGGTCTTAGCCGGCTGTGGCGTGGAAACCGGGTCCCCGTTGCTGGCAAACATCCGGTCAAAGTCATTCATGGCCTGGTTGCCGTTAGGTTCGGGGGTCTTTGCTGCACCAGTCGAGGCCTTCTGAAGTCGCAAGGGGAGCTCGGGAGTTGTTAATTGACTGGCCGCCGTTGGATGTTCCGGCTGCTGAGACTGCTTTGGCCGTGAAGTTGCGAACCGATCAAACGAGCCCTGAGGCATCAGTCGCTGCATACGTTGCTGCTTTTCTTGTTCATATTTCTCCCCACCCTTCAGATCCCCGATTCCCATCTGTCGCCATTCTTGTAGCTGCGAGATGGCAAGTCGTAGGTTGTGCTCGTACTCCAATCCCTTGCTAAATTCCTCGAAATCGTCGTGGTTCATCATCCGCGCAAATGGCTTCGTCTTATTCAGCAGATCTCGTTCCTCCTTAGTGCGCTTCTTCTCCAGTGCCGTGTTCTTTCGGTACTCGAGCAAGCCGTGCTCAAAGAGAATCTTCTTGCGCTCCGTTCGGGCCGTAAGACGCGCGTTATAAATATCCACCACCGTCATCTTCAATTCCATCTCGGCATCGTTTTCGCCGTTCGGTAGGATACCTGCACCCGGGTCGAAAACCATGTGCTGTACTGCCTCTTCCGCATCGTTCAAGAATTCGGTCTCGAACTCCAAACGCCCAGGCATATACCCTTGCACCTCGTGGCATGCCGGTACACTGGCTGTTGGCTTCTGTTTCGGGGTCGTTGGCGGAGCTGCCTTGGCCGCATCCTTGCGCTCTTCGATACGTCGCTTCTTTCGAGCTTGGAATTCTTCCTTGGAGATCGAATCGGAAAGACTTGTATCGTCGGGGTCTGCTCGTTCGGGTAACGGAAAATTGGGCGTGAAAATGTAGGTGCTGTAGTAGTGGTCTCGCACTTCGTCCTTGGTACGGTAGCCGCCAATATGATCCGCAATGTCTGCCCAGGAGCCTAGTCCGTAGATGTCGGCACCTTCTAACAGCAGCAATTCCTCATCCGCCCCCCAATCTTCCTCGAAAATAGGAACCGAATTTTGCTCGATCACTTGATATGGGTGTGTAGTGGGGTCGTGGTTTTTGGACTTTTCCCCAGCGGCGAAGCAGGGAACGCAGAGATCGTATTCATTGCAAACCGGGTGTGCACACGAGATGCGAACCTAGAGTAACACGGCATCTCATTTAGCAATAGCCAGAATATCACAGATGAAATGTCATACCGTTGAAGTCACATCAATGGAGCAAATATCACAGTGATATTTAGTGCCTGCTTCAGTACCGCGCGAAGCGGTCTTCTTCCGTATTACACCCATCGGTCGTGGGTCCCTTTCATCCTCCGCTGTGTCCGAGTCCGTCTCGTAAGACAATGCAGCCCTTCAGCAATCGCAGAGGGCTACAGTAAATGGTGGAAATCGGGGTCTAAACAAGGTCGGGTTTGTTGTTGAGAGGGGGAGAAAGGAGGGGGGTGTTTGCTTTTCTCCGCAGCCGAGTGGAGATACGCGGGGAGAGCGACCGATGGATTGGCAGATAGAAAGGGAGAAAAGAACCCAAAGAGAGCGATCACGACAAATCGAGGATAATTGCGGTCGGTTTTGGCCTGGTTGGATAAGAGCGTCTGCGCGCAGTGACTCTGGCCCTGACAGCAGCCAGCCAGAAGCCATCGCGAAGTCCGGGGCGGTGGCTGAGCCTATGGCTGGGGCTGGCGTGCACCGCCTCAACGACCCTTCAGCCCTGTAGCCTCAGGCAGCAAGGGTGCCAAGGCATTCAGGTGTCGAGGCACCAAGGCAGGCAGGCAGCAATGTTCCTGACCCAATCAGCGGCCCAGGATTCCCCCTCTTCCACTCTTTCTTCCCCTCTTCAGCCTCCGTTAATCTCTCTGTTTGTTCTCCTGCTTCCCCCCTCTATCATTTCTCCCCTTAAACAAACCAAACAACCTGGGTCGTCCTGTTCCTTTTTTCTTTTTCTTGATTTCTTTTCGACCCTGGTTGTTTTCTTGTCACTTCTTTATCTTATTTTATTTTTCTTCTACTCAATCTGTTTTGGTTTCCTTTCTGTTGTGTCTCCTCTATCCTCCGGTCTCTGTGCGTCGACAGTGTGGCTGTGGCGATTCTGCATCTCTGACATTGCGCCTGTTATTTCCATTGACCCTCTAGAACACAGAAAGTCCCTCCCTCTACCTCCTTTTTTTTTTTATCCTCACGCAGATCGACTTTTATCTTCACTTTTATCCTTCCTACACCTCACTCTCTCTTTGGAACTACCTACACCGTCCCTCACAATGTCGTGGAAACTCACTAAAAGTATGTTTAGTTGGTCTTCCCTCCTCTTCATTTATAGCGCAATAGTCTAGCTGTCTGGGCATTGCTCTACTGGCAAGCAAATACTAACATGATATTATTCACAGAACTAAAGGAAACGCACCTTGCCCCGTTGACCAACACCTTTACTCGGTCTTCCTCCACATCCACCATCAAGGGTGAATCCGGCGAAGAGACCCCGACTGTCTCGCAGGCCCCGACTATCTCTGTCTCGTCTGCAAACCCCGATGGAATCAGTATGCTTTCGCTATGCCTAAAATAATCCTTCATTTAATCTATCCTTTGCTAATCCATGTTACATCCATAAAGCTGAATCCGCGTCCCTCGTCTCTCCCCCCGTGGCCCCTGTCAAGCCGGGTATCTTGATCGTCACACTCCACGAAGGCCAGAGTTTCTCTCTTTCCCCTCATTACCAACAGATCTTCAACTCGCATTTCCAGAACAACAGCGCCTATGGCTCGATGCGCCCAAGCTCTTCCTCCTCTCACTCCACCGGACAGGCGGGCTCCTTCGTGCCGAATAACCGCCCGCAGTCGACCAGCGGAGGAATCAATGCTGCCCCCACTATCCACGGTCGCTACTCAACCAAGTACCTCCCTTACGCTCTCCTCGATTTTGAAAAGAACCAAGTCTTTGTCGACGCGGTTTCGGGAACGCCCGAGAACCCCCTCTGGGCCGGCGACAACACCGCCTTCAAGTTTGATGTGTCCCGTAAGACAGAATTGAATGTTCAGCTTTATCTGCGAAACCCCGCTGCTCGGCCTGGCGCCGGACGAAGTGAGGATATCTTCCTCGGTGCAGTCAAGGTGCATCCTCGCTTCGAAGAGACTCAGCCATATGTGGAGGACCCCAAGCTCAGCAAGAAGGATAACCAGAAGGCCGCTGCTGCTCATGCGTCGCAGGAGGGTCATCTGGGCCAGATGGGTGCTGAATGGTTGGACCTCCAGTTCGGAACTGGTTCGATCAAGATTGGTGTTTCGTTCGTTGAGAATAAGCAGCGTAGCTTGAAACTGGAGGACTTCGATTTGATGAAGGTCGTTGGTAAGGGTAGTTTCGGCAAAGTCATGCAGGTCATGTAAGTCTCCCAAAAAAGTCACACGGGTTTGGTGGGCGATCAACATTTGATACTAATGCGGGATACGTCTACAGGAAGAAGGATACTGGCCGGATCTACGCCCTCAAGACCATTCGCAAAGCTCACATCATCTCTCGATCCGAAGTTACACACACTCTCGCAGAGAGATCGGTACTTGCACAGATCAACAACCCTTTCATTGTTCCCTTGAAGTTTTCTTTCCAGTCTCCGGAGAAATTGTATCTCGTTTTGGCGTTCGTGAACGGTGGTGAATTGTTCCATCATCTGCAGAGGGAACAGCGTTTCGATATCAACCGAGCTCGTTTCTACACCGCGGAACTGCTTTGCGCACTTGAATGCTTGCATGGTTTCAAGGTTATTTACCGTGATCTCAAGCCCGAGAACATCCTTCTTGACTATACCGGACACATCGCGCTCTGTGACTTCGGTCTTTGCAAGTTGGATATGAAGGATGAGGATCGCACAAACAGTAAGAGCCCCACCTCCCTTGTCAGGTAATCGGTCCACCTAACTAATTGTGACACAAATAGCATTCTGTGGAACTCCTGAGTATCTTGCCCCTGAGCTCTTGCTTGGAAACGGATACACAAAGACAGTCGATTGGTGGACGCTGGGTGTCCTCCTTTACGAGATGCTTACGGGTCTTCCACCTTTCTATGATGAAAACACCAATGAAATGTACCGGAAGATCTTGCAGGAACCCTTGACATTCCCCAGCAGTGACGTCGTCCCTCCTGCCGCTCGGGATCTTCTCACCCGCCTGTTGGATCGTGACCCTCAACGTCGTCTTGGTGCCACCGGTGCCGCTGAGATCAAGTCTCACCACTTCTTTGCTAACATTGACTGGCGCAAGCTTCTTCAGAGGAAGTATGAGCCAAGCTTCCGCCCCAACGTGGTATGTGAAACTTTATGACCAAACAATTTTTTTCGTTTTTATCTAACTCTCTGTAGCTTGACGCCCGTGATACCGCCAATTTCGACCGCGAGTTTACCCAAGAGGCTCCGCAAGACTCGTACGTCGATGGCCCGGTTCTCTCCCAAACCATGCAGCAGCAGTTCGAAGGCTGGTCTTACAACCGCCCCGTCGCTGGTCTTGGAGATGCCGGTGGCAGTGTCAAGGACCCATCTTTCGGAAGTATCCCAGAATAAGCAACTCTGATAGCTGTTTTTGGGGCCCAATATGGATTGGTTTCACCCGAAATCTAGGAGGGATTGTTAGAGACGATTCTCCTTTGTATTTTCTGCTTTGCTTCTCCATACACATTGTGTGTTTCCAAATTTTATTCATTTTCTTTTCCCCTTTTCTTAGCACAAGGAGTCTGCGGCATCTTTCTGTTGGAACCTTATCACCGAGACAGCGATCTCGGCCTCAATTGAGCGTCTGGTTTTTTCTTTTCCCTTTATCCCCTTTGCATTTTACCGCACTGTTCCAGTTAGGCGGGTCCCTCAAAAACCACATTTCATATGCCTTCGCGCATGGTTGTTGAATTCATCATGTATTTGCATCCTTCTCTCGGGCGTGCGTTGGTGTTCTGTTTTCTCCCATTATCTGGAGATAAGCAAGGCCATGAGCATGCTCCCCACTTATTATTTTCCATTCTACAGCATTGGTATCATTTTATTTGGGGAGAGCCTGTCCGGGGTGATCACATCTTATCTTTATCAGCTGGTCCGATCTCATCTTGCTTAAAAGGCGAAGCCTGCTCGCACCTAGGGGAGGTCTTCATTGATGGATTTATCAACGACACCTGCGCATATGAACAGAACAGTCTGAATCTAGAATCGGTTATTTCTTGTCTTCTTCTATTTCTGCTCCTTTTCGTTTTCCCTTCTCGTTTTCGGTTCCGGGGGCTTGTTTTGAACATGGAAACGAATTCAATGATGGTCAAAGCACGGGGTGCTCCATTCGTGAAATTCACATGACTGGGTCATAGATAGCATTGATTGATTGATTTGAAAATAACCCTTTGAACAAACATTCAAGTAGTTGAGTCCTATGTAGACATTTCTCCTATCTTTGACGAGTCATGGAATATGCTAAAACCGCTATTTGGCAATAATTAACTCTTTGAAATTGATTTGATTGGAAATTGAGGATACAGACCAAACCGGTGGTAGACACAAAAGATGAAAGGCAACAGGAAAGAGCTAATCAACACAGTGGGAACAAACAGGTAAATCTAAAAGAAAAGAACAAAAAATATGTTAGGGGTAAGTAAAAGGCGGAATAACGGTGCCCAAGTCATGATGTGCACATGAAATCAATTTATAGGAGGGGAGGAGCAAAGGGGATCATGGATGGATTCTTTTAAATTCAAGTTAACAAGATTTCCTCAACAAACAAAGCACATTAGAGGTCCCTCTGGAATGGAAGGACATTGTATCTACTACTTCATCATTTAATTCATGCTTCCGCCTCCACCTCGGGTGCGCCATTCTCTGCGCTCTCGGCCTTTTCTCCCTCTTCGTCGGCGTTGACGTCGATGAGAGATTCCGAGGATGGCGGTTCAGGGACACCACCTTCTTTCTCAAGGCGGAGGTACTCGTCCCATTCGGGGAACAGGTCATCGTCTGTCGCGGTGTCGGGGGCACCCGGGGGCACACCAACCAGACGAGCAACCTTTGTCTTTCCAGACTGCTCCAGGGACTGTTTCCATTGTGTCACGAGCTGGGGAGCCCGCGAGGGCTTGTAAGTCTGGGCGAAGAGAACGGCTTCCGCAGTACGGCCAGTCTGGACGAGAAGGGCAATGCAGCCGTCGACATCGCCAACAGACCACAGGGTGGAGAATGCGACGTTGTGAAGGCCGGCTTCTGAGGCTTGGTCGGCCAGGGCTCGAAGGCCGTCCTTGCTGCCGCTGGCGGTGTGCAAGAGGAGAAGGGAACCAACATCCTTGGCGTTGGTGAAGCATTCCTGGGCCAGAGCCAGGTTCCATGCAGACATGGCGGCATCACCGACGATCTTCCACTTGTGCTCAACATTGGCCTCGCGGGCAATTTCAAGGGCAGTCTCGAGATCATTGAGAGAAAGAGAGAGCTCGAAGCGGTGCTCCTGGTCTGTGGCAACCTCCAACGCCATTTCCTTGTACCCTTGGCCTTCGAGGAATCGGGCGACCTTGTTCATCTGATCTTGTGGCACATCCTTGAGCAATTCGGCAGCCAGGTCCATATCTCCGCGCAGTACCACTGTCTGGTACTCGACCATGCTGAGAGAAAGACCAAACGAAACAACGTTGACATCCTTGTCAGCCAGGTAGATTCTGCCATCCCGTGGCAGGTAGCCCACGACATACATGGCCTGGTCGAAGTGAGAGATTGTATAGGTTTGGTCGCCAACGAGGTAATTTAAGCGGTTTGTCGAGTTTGTGTAAATAAAGCAGTCTCCGACCCATTCACCTGTTCGGACAGACTCGTTGACGTCGGTAACGACTTCAAAAGCAGACTCAACGCCATCCTCATCGGCTTCGCCATCATTCATTCCGTTGACATAATTCTCCCGCGAGAACCGGAGAACGTAGAAAGAATCCTCGCAAGCAAGGGTGACCAGCTCTCCCGATTCAGACCAGTAGACCTGTTTATGACTTGTTAGCTAACAAAATCCCGAAATAGTTATGGATAGTGGTTGTCTTACAGCCTTGGGCTCGACTTCAATGCGTCGGACCAAGTTTCCAGTCTCCCAATCGAACATGCCGATTCCTCCTTGGCCCTTCACACCAAGCAGAACACCGTCCGTCAGACCTTCGGCTTGGAATCCTACATCCAGGCCACCGCTGACTTCTTTGAAGTTCTTGAAGATCTTGACACTAGTAGGCGACTCGCGGATGGCGTAGTCATTGCTGTTGTCCTTCGACCCCCAAGCAAAATCAAGTGCCTGACCGAAGGCCTTGTTTCTCCAGGCTAGCGCAGTGTAAATGATGTATTCTCCATCACCACAGACTGAAACGAAACGCCCGTTCGGTGAGTGCGATAGAGTTTGAGGGTAAACCTCACACGATCCCAGGTCCTTGGTTGGGAGAGTCAGGGGTGTGCCATCTTTGACGCTCGAGTCACCGCCCTTGATCACAGTCGACACCACTTCGTTATGTCTTGCCCAGACAACCTTTCCTGACCCATCCATGGAGACGGCTGGCTCTTCTCTGCCCATCTTGACAACAACTGCACCGTCATCGAAACCCATGGCAATACCTTGTCTTCCACGCTGGTAAGAGATACACCAAGCTCTTTCTAACCCATAGCTCAATGACTGCTCCAGTCTGTATGTGTTTGCGTGCCAAATCTTAATTGTTCCATCCTCGGAACCTGAGATGATCACCGGGAGTTCTGGGTGATAACAAGCAAAGGAAACGTTGCTTGTGTGTCCTTCCAAAGTCGCGATGAGCGCCTTCGTTGTGTAATCCCAGATCTTGACGGTCTTATCGTCGGAAGTAGTAAGAAGATACGGTTTATCGGCCTGCGGGTAGTAGTCGACATGGTTGACACCTTTCGTTTCGTGTGCCTCGAGGGTAAAGTTGGCGTGGGGGGAACCAAGGCTCCAGATCTTCACAGTGCGGTCCAGACAAGCGGAAGCAAATGTGTTGGTATCCTTGGGGTTGATCGACAATCCCATAACATAATGGCTGTGCCCCTCAAAGACCTGGACGCACTTCCAGCCTTTCTCCCAATCCCAGAGTTTGATTGTCATGTCATCGGACGCTGTAAGGACGAAAGGTTGGGTAGGGTGGACAACAATCGATCGAATGTAGTCGGGGTGAGCCTCGAACGAGGTGATCTTTTCGGAGGTATTGTAGTTGTACACGCGGAGCTGGAAGTCATCCGAGCCGCAGACGATCCAGTTCTTGCGGGCAATGAAACGCCCGGCTCGTACAGGTACATCGGTGAGTTCAAAGGTTTTGATGATAGACTAGAGTCAAGACTGTCAGTGGGATTCTTTTCCGTATCTGGCCATATTCCTTGGGGGCTTACCTGGGTTTCGTAAGACCAGATGTATACATGACCTATAGCACGATTAGCGCATTCAAATTGATAATTGGCGACGGCCGCAACGAACCGCTATATAAAGTCGTCAAGATCTAGATGATTGTTAGAAAGATAGAGAAAAACAAGCCAGCAATGCACACTCACCCATGGTTCCGTAGGATGGAAATCAATGCCCTTTACCCGCTCGGAGCGGGCAAAGAGTTGTCTCTGTAGAGCCCAACAATAGTCAGCGACAATACAATATCTCCACGCAATTGCATATTAATGCCTATCGCATTCACTCCTAGCACAAAATATTAAGTCCTCCTCGTGGCTTGACGGCGTACCTTGATATCCAACCGCATATTGTGTGGGGGTGAGAGTCGCGAATGTGTGCGGCGTCGGGGAACGGCCTGTGAGAGGGAGGGGAGAACCAGGCCACGAGCCGCTCAAACAGCCCAGCCCGGGATTGCAAAGGGTTAGTGAAGAAAATGCGTGTCAACAGCGCTGTTGGCTGACACAAATATGACGAGTATATCGAGTGGATTGGCCTGTTCGAACGAGATAGTTCCTCAGGGACTGGCAGCGATGTGTCCACAAGGAGACGGAATCCCGCCAGCTATCTCGAATCGGCTAGGCGACATCAGCCTCACCGCCTGCGCTTCTGGTGCATCCTACGCCTGCACTGCTGGATCTGTTAGATATGACATCTACGATCTAATAAAATCAAGAATTGATGGTTACTGTTATTTTTACTCAGAGGGCTAATCAGATATTCTCCAGTAGTGGGGTGTAATGTCGAAATGTGGGGTCAAGCCTGCCTTCCAGGCGTAAGATCTTGAAGCCATTGACTTCACTACTTCACCATTGTTGATCCTAAATTGTAAGAACTAAAAGAAAAATAAACGGCTATTTGACTACAGTGACTCGTAGATAATTCCTACAGTTAACAGCCGTTGCAAGTCCCCAGGAGACATGCTAACCGAAGACATCAATTGAATACGTTTCCCGGTGATAGTGTAGCAAGGCTTTTATGGTCCGGGTATGATAAATGTGAAACAGCGATAAAAGGTTGATCATAATGCGAGAAGTTGTCACAGAATTGTGTTCGTTCCAAACGAACACCCCTCGACTAATAAATACAGGTGATTTGGGTTGATCAAGAATCTCCGTAGGTCGGAGCTCTTTATGATCGCTCAAAGTAAGTCCACTGGCCAGGAACAGGCTTCTCCTCAAGCTCCTCCCATCTGAATAAAAGTCAGTCGAATTTCCAGGAGCATCAGCAGAAGCCGGTGGTTTTGGCAATAAACTTACGCCTGCGACTTGTGCATCTCATCCACAAGGCTCAGTTCGCCCTCGGCAACCTGAATGACTTCTTCAATGAGACCAGCACCAATCTGCTTCTCAATATCGGCGACCCTGAGCGGATTAATCATTAGTCCCTCGGTAGTATCATTCAAGAGAAAGGTCCAACATACTGGTCGGCCTCGAGAGCGGGTTCGTTCTCCCATTTCATTTGCTCCAGGTAGAAATCCGATCCCTTAGAATCCGTCTTAGTTCCGTCCTCAATGGCCTGCTCCCACTGCGCCTCTTGTTCCGGAGTACGGGCAGGGCCCTCAGAGGTGGCCTCCATTGCTTCACCATCCCATTCCTCGCCACGGGGGTTGTCGGTTCCATCGTCACGCTGGCTGGCTGCGTATGAACCATCGGCGCGGCGGAGGCTTGCGAATCGCTCAGGCTCAGCGCCCACTGTCTTCTTCACACGCTCCAACCAAGCCTCGAATCCAGGCGGCTTGGTAGATTCGATAATCTGCAGGCGCTGGCGGGTCAGAGCCTCGGTGGACTGGCGATAGACCGACGACTCGGGGAAAGCCTTCAGTTTCTGCAATGTAGCTGTGTAGAGGTAGATCAAAGTCGGGCGAGGGCTGGGGTGGGTGGTGAGGCCGGTCAACCCGGTAGGAGCGAAAGGCTCAAGGTACCGGGCCGACTTGACGTTAGCCAATAACCGGATGGTAGACCTCATTGTGAGGATGTGTGGGAAAAAGGGAAGAAATTGACCCCAAAGGGTGTTGAATTATATGACCAATGGCAAGTGGTTTGTAACTAAACCAGAGAAGCGCACTGTCTGTGAATCCCGCGAAGGTTGAAGTCCGGTCGGGAGGCGGAGAAACAGAGACTCCAGGACCCCCGTCCGAATTGACGGCCCGTCGCCAGTGCTAAACTTATCGCAGTCCAGTCCTTCTTAGGGGGCAAATCATCGTCACCTTTGATTTATTGCTGTTACATTTGACTACGTTCTCGGGCCACCTTGGAACCTGCATACCTTGGTGCAGTGGCAGCAGCAGCAGGATATCTATCCGCGCTTTTGATACAGACAGCTCTGCCAGGTTGCTCCATCTTGAGAGGGTGTTGACACAGCCCGCGCTTGTCTGAGCCGCATTCAGACCCTCCATACGGAGTAGTCCCATGTGCCACTCGTGACAGCGTTTCGATATCCCAACCGTGGTCTTTTTTTTTTTTTTGCCATTCGCTCCAAGCGTCATTTTTTCTGTATATCTTTTGGTGTCTTTACTTTATCTATTTTAATCAATTAACTGTCCAAGGTTCTTGGACCTTGACCTGCCCAGCATGAAGGCCTCTTTGCTGGCGTGGTCACTTCTCTCGCTTGTCTCCGTCCCAACTTTCGCCGCTCCCTCCGAAGGAAACGCCCCCAATCTTGAATCGAGAAATGAGCATCTCTTCAAGAGAGGTGGATCGTCCGAGAAGGTTGATCCGAGCACACTTCCGAGCACCTTCAATGGCATCGAAGTGCCTCCGCTCAAAGAGCTGACCCCGGAAAACTTCGAGGAGACTGTTAAGGATGGCTACTGGTCAGGATTTTATTTCGTGGAATTGAGGGCTTCACAGTGATACTGACTCTCACTAGGTTTGTCAAGCACTACTCTCCATCTTGCCCCCACTGTACGGCAGTCGCTCCAACATGGCAGACCCTGTATGAATACTACTTTGTACGTATCCCCTCATCGAAAACGAGATATTTGTCGTCGGCTTATACTGATAGTTTATAGACTTCCGATCCTTTGTCTTCCTCGTCTTCGAAATCCTCTGATACTCAATCGCTGAATTCCTTCCACGGTTTCTATAACTTCCATTTCGCGTCAATGAACTGTCTTGCCTACGGAGATCTGTGCAAAAAGCTTCAAGTTGATTATTTCCCTATGTTCTCGCTTTACCAAAATGGCGAGCTCATGGAGAAATATGAAGGAAAGAAGACCATGACGGACCTCAGTGAGTTTGTGGAAGAGAAACTGGAATTGATCAGACCTGGATCTCGTCCCAGAAGAGGCATCAAGCTTCCAGAGCCAGGTGACAAGGAAGTCGATACGAACGCTACGCCGGATAAACCAGCCGCTAAGGACAAAGACCCTGGGGCGGGTACCAAAGCTGGTGAGAAGCATAAGGAACAGGTTGCCCAGCTGGCATCTCAGGATGTCAAGAAAACTTCTAGCACAAAGTCGAAGCCGAACTCAGCCCCCGCAAACCCCCAGGGCATGTCTGTTCCCCTCACTGCTGAGAGCTTCCAAAGGCTTGTTACTACCACAAGAGACCCCTGGTTCATCAAATTCTACGCGCCGTGGTGTGGCCATTGCCAGGCCCTGGCTCCCAACTGGCACCAAATGGCCAAGGAGATGCAGCACACTCTCAACGTTGGAGAAGTCAACTGCGACGTCGAATCTAGACTTTGCAAGGATGCGCGTGTGGCTGGCTTCCCGACAATGTACTTCTTCCGCGGTGGTGAGAGAGTCGAGTACCAAGGTCTTCGTGGTCTTGGTGATCTGGTCAATTATGCCAAAAAGGCTGTTGATGTCGGCACTGGCTTCCGGGATGTCGATGCAGCACAGTTCAAGGCACTGGAGGAAACCGAGGAGGTTATCTTCCTCTACTTCTATGACCACGCCACGACATCGGAGGACTTTGCGGCTTTGGACCGCTTGACTCTCAGTCTTGTTGGACACGCCAAGATTGTCAAGACTGACAGCGCGGCTCTCGCGGAAAGATTCAAGATCTCGACATGGCCTCGACTTCTTGTAGTCAGGGACGGGCGTCCAAGCTACTACAACGCTCTTGCTCCTAAGGATATGAGAGACTTCCGACAGATTCTATCCTGGATGCAAACCGTATGGTTGCCAATCGTCCCCGAGCTTACAGCCTCCAATGCACGTGAAATTATGGATGGCAAGTATGTGGTGCTTGGCATCCTTAGCCGAAGACGCTCAGATGACTTCATTCAGTCCAAGAGAGAGCTCAAAAATGCGGCGCTTGAGTGGATGGACAAGCAGGTCCAGCTATTCCAATTGGAAAGACAGGAACTTCGCGATGCTAAACAACTACGCATTGAGGAAGCTGATGACCGTAATGACCAGCGCGGATTGCGAGCCGCCAAGAACATGCGTATCACGATCCGTGAGGACGACAAGAAGCAAGTTAGATTTGCTTGGGTGGACGGCGACTTTTGGGAGCGCTGGCTGAGAACTACTTACGGCATCGATGTAGAAAATGGGGAGCGAGTCATCATCAACGACGAGGATGTAAGTACACCCTGCCTCTGGATGCTGTCTCCCTACTTGAAACTAATGATTTTTACAGAACCGACGCTACTGGGACACCTCCTCTAGTGGAGCTTCTATCATGGCCTCTCGTACCTCCATCCTTGAAACCATTCCTCTTGTCATTGCCAACCCGCCAAAGCTGAGCCCTAAGTCTACTGTTGGAAGCATCGAGTCTGCTTTCTTCTTCACTCGGTCTTTCATCTCCGATCATCCGATCATCTTCGTCCTCTTGTTGATTATCTCTGTGGCTGCGGTTACCTTTTTGGCCCGGGGAAGAAAGCGCGGAGCTCTTGGCCGAGGTGGCATCCTGGGCGCTGCTAGCAGCAGCGGTGGCTTCTTCCAGCTGGATGGTAAGGAAGGTTTGCTGAACGGCGGTTCTACCGGAAAGGTAGATTAATGAGTGTAAGAAACATGTACAGTTATTCTTTTCCTCTTCTTACTTCCTCTTGTTTTGTTTCTTTGAGCTATCTTGTTGCATCTGTTATAAATTTTCAAAAGGTTCTTTTTCCGTTGGAGCTATACGTGTAGACTATACAGTCTCATTCCAAAGCTTCAGATCAGGGATGCACTGGCAGAGTGCAAATGATTTTATCTCTTTTGGCTGGTCGGGGTTATGGCAATTTCTGATATTACTGGGCTTGCTTGTATCTTCTTTAATAAGTACATCGTTAAAGAACAATTATATTATATTTTCCAAAGAATATTTAGATCTTTTGGTGGACTTGAACGTTGATAAGTATTCGGAATCGGAAATCGAAAGCATCTGATTTGACAGCCAGTGTATGGTCACATGATCTCCAATTGCCGGTCTCTGATTGGTCGTCGGGCTACCGCAAGCACTGAACATCGGAGCCTCCCGGTTTTCGTCGACTGTTTCGAAGTTCGAATCCTCTATTGCAGCTGTCACCTCTTTGCTGGAGCAATTATCGTCTCCCCGTGTGCTTCGTGTGTCTGACAAGATGGTAAGCTTTCTGGAACCCTCTGTCGACCTGTGGTTTTTCTGTGTTGGCTGTTCGCTGTGTCCAAGGGAGGGTCGGAGATTCAACCGCGTCATTGACCGGCACTCTGATATTCGAGATGATACAGTGAAGTTGGATATTTGCATGGATATCAATTGCTAACGGGATTTACAATTTGCAGGTCTTCTCCCAAACCCTTCGCCGCGCTGCGGCCCAGTCTGCTGGTGCCTACCGCTCTCCTTTTGCGCCCAAGTGAGGCTTCCCGAATGAGATCCCCTCAATAGTCTTTGACAGTGCTTGAAAAGAAACATATGTCTATTGGTTGAGTTTTTTGGTGTTGGGATAGCCTGGGATATTACCGAGGATTGGCCAATTGCTGAGGCACCTTTGGCTCGAGGATTGGCTGCACTCCGGAACTCACATGAAGACATATGGACAAGCCTGTCAAGGTCTATTCAAAAATCCAAGGAATGAATAATGACTGACGACGGTGTCGAATGAATTCAGATACGCCACTCCCTTCCACTACCACGGCATCACCCTCAACGGTCTGACCAAGTTGTAAGTGCTTCCGGGCTGTACGTATGCTTTCAGGATCTATACTAATGGATTATGCTATAAAGCGGTACCATCGCCGGTACTTTCGGTGTCAGCCTTGGCACCTTTGCCATCTTCTTCTTCGGTGAAATTCCCCGTGTTCGCAAGGACATTCTCCAGCAGTTGCCTTTCTTCGATGAATACTTTGACCGAAGAATCGCCCCCGAGGACAACGTAAGTGGCATATACTTTGGTCTTTTTTATATTGGCCGCCAGGAAGGGAAACTGACAATTGTATAGCCCTTCTAAACACTTTTATTTACGAAATACATACCTTCAATCATCCCTTTTGTGCATTGTACGCAAGGATATATCTATCACTTCAGGGAAATGTGCGCTCTAGAGTGGGTACGGTCAAGGGAGCGGAGTTGGTGCTGTATTGTGTAGAATAGCGATGAGTTTTGATAGCACATAGACACGTCCGCCAGAATCAAGTTTGTCTCCGTGTATTCTACCTTGGATATCGACAGTAGATCTGTCTGGGAATAGTTGGAGTTTTTATTTTTCATGGGGATTGTTACTAGTTCCATTCAAGCAGGTCCAGCCTGACAGACCATCCATAAATATCTCGACTATGGGCGTTATCAACGGGCTGAATCTGACTCCCTTATCTCGACCCTATCTCGAAATATCGTCTTATCAACCACCACGTCGACACGAATCCCAGAGCATTGTCGCCATTTCATCTACTCTAGTGATCCTTGATATAACATCCAAATATGCCTGAAACTTCCCTTCTAGGTATGGAGTCCCCCAGCCAAGCTTCATGACCCCGGCTGCAAGTAAGCAATAAGAAAAAGGCACACGACGACGACTGCGATCAAAGCCACACAACACGCGGAGAAGCCCGACTCTCCCCCATCTCTCGCCTTTGTCTGGATGATCTTGTATGGGCGGTGATCATTCAGCTCGAAAAACAGAGACATCGTGACCCATGCGCCAAGCAAGTAACTATTACCACCCCCGCCTTCCGCGTGCATCCATCCAACGAATCTGGTCTTATCGTGGATTGTGATTAGATATGATCGATCGTTTTTTCTTTATCAAACAGGAATAAGGCTAAGTGCAAATAAAAAGGTTTTGACGTTTATCAATGAATCTGGTCCCGAGGGAGGAAAGGAGGGGATGGATAGATAACTTTGTGCAGACTGCAGAATGTATGGATGGGGATATAATGTTACACAGTCCCCCATCCCTTACGCTGGGGTTGTATTCATATTTGCTTATTTTTTGGGCGGTTACATACCTATTATAATAAAGGGTGGGCCAGTCCGATTTCACTTCGAATGCTAGAAAGGGATATCTTCCGATTAATAGTTATATTCTCACCTCGAGTCAAGTGGATGTAACACAAGGCTTGTATATCATCAAAAAGCACAGCATTCGATATGAGTACTGCGAAACCACCAGATACATACGACGATACTAGCCATGAACCAGTCACGTCTGTGTTGCCGGAGGGCGATGTCCCATATACGGACCGTGACATGGACGCTGACGAGAGGGTGATTGTGGCCTTGGGCTACAAGCAAGAGTTCAAGCGTGAATTCTCCCTATGGACGACTTTCTGCGTTAGTTTTGCTGTTCTAGGGCTGTTGCCGTCGTTTGCGAGTACTTTGACTTATGGTATATGATGCTGGAATGCCCAATTTGAGTATGGTTTGCTGACTTTGGAAGGGATGGGATATGCGGGGACGGCGGGTATGGTCTGGGGTTGGATTATCGCCATGGTCTTTATCCAGTGTGTGGCGATGGCGATGGCAGAGTTGTGCTCTGCGATGCCCACGAGGTGTGTGAATCCTTATACATGGAGTGGTATATGAACTGACTCGGTTAGTGGTGGACTGTACTATGCTGCGGCCGTTCTCGCGCCGCCTGGGTACGGTCCCTTTGCAGCCTGGATCACTGGGTGGTCGAACTGGATTGGGCAAATCACAGCAGCACCATCGGTGAATTATTCCCTGGCTGCGATGATGCTGGCAGCTGCTTCAGTATATAACCCTAGTTATGTGCCGACGGCGTGGCATACGTATCTTCTGACGACGCTCATCATGATCATCCACTCGGTCATCAGTAGTATGCCGACGAAATGGATCGCGCGGTTCAACTCGTACGGTTCGACATTCAACATGCTGGCCCTTGTCGCTGTGATTATCGCCATCCCAGCAGGAACCAAAAACGTGCCCAAGTTCACGCCGTCCAAGGAGGTCTGGGGGACCATCACCAACTTGACCGATTTCCCAGACGGCGTAGCAGTCCTCATGACCTTTGTGGGAGTGATCTGGACCATGTCAGGCTATGACTCACCCTTCCATCTGAGCGAGGAGTGCTCCAACGCCAACATTGCCTCACCGCGCGCCATCGTCATGACCTCAGGCGTGGGTGGATTGATGGGCTGGTTCCTGCAGCTCGTAGTCGCCTATACGGTGCTGGACATCGAAGCCGTGATGGACTCTGACCTCGGCCAACCATGGGCTTCGTACCTGCTCCAAGTCATGCCCCAGAAGACCGCGATGGGCATCCTCGCCCTCACCATCGTGTGCGGCTTCTCCATGGGCCAGGGCTGCATGGTGGCCGCGTCGCGGGTGACATACGCCTACGCGCGCGACGACTGCTTCCCGCTCTCGCGAGTCTGGAAACAAGTGCACCCATCCACGCAGACGCCCGTCAACGCCGTCATCCTCAACAGCATCCTCGGCGTGCTCATGTGTCTCCTCATGCTGGCCGGGGACGTGGCGATCGGGGCGCTCTTCTCCATCGGCGGAATCGCGCAGTTCATCGCATTCGCCATCCCCATCGCCATCCGGGTGTTTATGGTGGGTGATCGATTCCGGCGGGGACCATGGCATCTGGGTCCGTTTGGGCGGGTGATTGGGGGGATGGGCGTGTCGTTTGTGTTGCTGATGGTTCCTGTGTTGTGTTTGCCGAGTGAGACGGGGTCGAATCTGACGCCGGACTTGATGAACTGGACGTGTCTGGTGTATGGGGCGCCGATGCTGGCGGTGACAGTCTGGTGGGTTGTGGATGCTCGTCGGTGGTTCAAGGGACCAAAGGTGAATGTGGAGCATGCGATTCACCCCGTGGAGGAGACGGTGGGGGTGGAGGTGGAGGTGGATAGTGATGGAGAAAGTCCACCAGAGGATGGAGTGAGAACAACGGTTGAACATATGTATCCAAAGTCGACTTGATGAGTGGACTGCGATTGTCTATATAAATACTACCAGTATGTGTTGACGTTGGTGTTGGATATATATTGTAGTGTGTATAGACTACAGCAACTTTAACTTCATATATATCAAATATACAGTAACAACAACAATAACAACGATATAACATCCTATAATTCAATAATAATCCAGATACTCCTACCGTTACACCGTAGACTCAATATCGAATAATATCGAATACTCTAAACTTCAAATAGATGCAGGTAATCGGCGTATCCGAGCGTAGGATCCCTGTTCGAAATGGGTCATGGCCCACGATGGTGTACAGCTCTAGATGCATGCCCAGTGTCAATCATCCTTACTAATTCTGTGCGGTACTTGTGACTATATTTTCTTTGTTTGAAGGGTGCGAGGTGTCAAATCAGAGTGGGTAGACTATATGATGTATCAAAAGTATCTCACATGCAGTCAGCAGCCCTGATTATGGAGTGATGAGGCAAGCCAGACAGTTATTTGGGATGCAAATTAGCAAATACCCGGCAACACCCTGGCAATAGTTAATATCGAGATAGCCAGCCTTGTTCTGCCTATAGCATCGAGCTGAAGTAGAATCCGTAGGCTACTGTATGGTGGCGACAATCACCGGGCAGCCTTTGGAAGATGGAGGTGTCAATGTATGTGCAGTTGAGAATAGACAGATACCGTAGTGCCGCAATATGTAGACTTGTCTTGACAGAGTATATGGAGTACTCCGTACATATTGTTATGATATTATTGTACAGTACTTTGGTGATAGATCCACATCCCCACTGACTTTCGTGGGTATGGATCGAATATGCTTAATCCCAGATGGAGACCCGTATTTACTCTAATTCGAGAGATCAGATTGACTCTACTTAGTATCTACATACATCAGTCTACAGTCTATCTCTTCTTTCATCTACTCTGTATCATCATACAGATAGACACTAGGTGTCTGTTAGCTCGGCAAATAACGCTTCCTGATCTGCCGAAATGGCGAATCCAGCTCTTTTTGCCCTCATCTCTATACGTCATGGATGGAGATTGGCGACACGAGCGTTTAAGTTGCGATATCAAAGTTAATTCTTGTACTACCTGATACTAGCAGTGCTAAAAACTACTCCAACGAGAAAATTAATCCCACGTTTGAACCGATAACCGCCTCTAGGAAAGTTAGTGGGCAGTTAGTAGCTGGTTCGAATGTTGGATAGGGGATGTATTCCGTGTGATGGTCTAGGATTGATTGACAGGGGGGGGAAGCAGTCTTTCATTCTGTAAATTATCAGGATTGAATTTTGAATTTTGAATTTGGTATCATTACAGAGGCAAATAGGAAGGTAAAATAGGAAGGTAGTATTTCTTTCTGCTTTTTTTGCCAAGTAGACATAATAGATGATGAATCAACTGCAGTGTGAAATGACCAGTATACGGAACTCGGATCGAGCATCCTGAGACTATCAAGATCGGTCTGTCTGCCTGTCTGCCTGTCGTCTACCACATGTTTGTACGACACCATCTGAGACGACGTCGTCAGATACCCTGATTCAACTGACGCGGCCTGGATGAAATCATGAGATTACCCTGTGCCGTCGGTCGAAACCGCAGCCATAATCAAACATTCCTAGTGATTTTATTTCGTACAATTGACTTTGCCAGTCCATGGTTCGAGTGTGCCTTCTGTCAGGATCGATCTTCCATCTGTTGCTGACTTGCCCTCCATAAGACAGATACTATCTGTACCTAGAAGTAGCTAAGGCTTAGGGTACTAGAATATGTATCCTTTACACTGTCACTATGGAGTACTAATACAAGATGCATACACCGGATAACCAACAGCTTCTCGACCAGTGAAGCTCTTGGCGCGACGGTGATGAGGTGGGTGGCGCACTCTGTCGGGTGCTGCAGGACCCCCTGATTGGCCGGCCCGGTGGAGGCAGGCGCCACTAGAAAAAAAGCTGAAACCTGGACGATCCAGACTTGGCTTTCGGCGTTATTCCGGGTTGGGCCGGAGAAACACCCACCACAGGTAAAGTGCCGAGGGAGAAAAACCCTGTCCGTAATCCGTCTGGGAATCCCGGATTCGGCGGAAAGAGTCGAGTCGGAAGACAGAGTGAGAGGGCTAGTAGAGACAGTAGTGCTGCTTGATCTGCAGGTTTAGTGCCACTCCCTGAACAGTCGTGTTGAGTCTCCTTGCCACGTAGCCCTACTACGGGCAGGGTTTGTGGGCACAGGGTTTTTAACCCTTTATCTGCACGCACACTGCTTGGCCTGATGCGGTAATATTCATGTTGTTCATCCTCACCAGCGTCCTTTCTCCGCGCTTTTTCTCCAATATCGTCTCCATTTCCAACTCCGGAGTTTTCTGTCATTCTCAATTCTGATATTCATTTTCTGTCGGCTGTCACTGTCTGTACCTGTGGACGAAGTAGTGCTGTGCTCTGCCGAGTACTAGGTGTTATGTACAGTGTACAGTATTACTAGTAAACAATGATGTAATAGTATTATGATCAGAACTGCGCGATTAATATCGTTGAGAGTAGCATCAAAATCATGTGTTCCGACTCCGTGTTCTCCGTAGACCGTAGGATACTGGATACTCTATCTCCAAGCGAAAGAAAGCCAAGCTTCAAGATCGTGCAAAAAACAGGCGACGATCCATTCGGACAATTCTAGCTGAACAGGCTGAACAGAACTGAGTTTCTGAGTTCTTCGTCTGAGTCGCTCATAGATAGTCATCGACATAACCACCAACTAGTTAGGATATCCACACACCGCCATGTTTTCTTCGGTGGAAGTTCTACGAGGGTACCGAATCCGTAACTATCGGCTGCTGGAAAGTGGAGCGGAATAGCCGTGATCGGATGGATCCCTTGCGCGCCACTTTGAGCGAGGTGCATAAGGGAGTGGCTCCACCGGATCTGAAGAGAAAGTGGCAACTTAGGCGAGCTATTTTACTTGCTTGTTATTCGGTGAGGAAAAAACGTTGGGTTTAATTTTGATATTTCATACTGTCATCGCGGGCATAAGTGATAGTTTCACGGTTTCACTAGTTGGGTGATGCTGTAGGTTGTATTAGAGAGCATTGCGGTCGAGACCAGTTTCTAATTATTATTATTATTATTTATTATCTTTATTATCTTTATTATCATATTTCATTATGTATTTCTATTTATTATCAAGAATGTATAAAACTATTCAATCAATATTTGGAAGATGGAATGAAACCCTACATACATACATACATACATACATACGTCGCCCTGGTAAAGCTGACATGACAATCACGACTCAGATCAGATAGCAGAATGCACTCGATCTAGATATCTTCGCCTTAGCGGTCAAAAAGGTCCACAATCGAAGCGGGAGAAGCTCCCAACGAAAATCTCCTGGTGGAGCTTGTAGCCGCCAACATGAAGCCTAAACGGATGGGTCTTCTCCATCTTGACATTGACCTCAACCTTTAAACTGTGCTATGTAGTTTTGTAGAGTTTTGTTCTGGCAATATGGCAAAGCAAGATGGAAGCTGAATTATACGAATATATGACCTATCACACACTTTACTTGGAAGTGGCAAATGAGAAGGGTGTCAAAAAAAAAAAAAAAAAAAAGACACGACATCGAGGGCAAATTAATGGGAGGCGCTACGTAAGTCCATGGCAGGTCGAGTTGGAAAGATGCCAATGGCGGGCTGAATACTTGTCCTGCATTAGCTGCCCGGGATTAGCTACCGGGTTGGACAAGGGCTGGGGTTGTTATTATTCGCAAGTGGTTTGATGAGGTGCGTGGACATTTGGGGGTGGTGGTGGTTATTGTGGTTGACAAAAGTACTCTTCTGTAGTTGTATAAAAGTTATGGTAGGAGATATCAAGATATAGGACGTAGTGTAAGCTGTAGTGTAGTAGTGTAAGTAGGACAGGCCGATATTCGCAGCAACCAGCGGCTACGGACATGTACATGGCACCGTACAGACTACAGATGGATAAATATATACCTGCATGAATTGCACATCTGCCGCCGAGTTTACCGTGAATCCTACGAAAACGGAATCTGCAGTCTAATGTATTATGTATAGGGCCGCCATACGAGGCAACCAACGAGATTTGCAGACAGTTTAAAAAAAAAAAAAACATAGCATGACACCCGACTCCAAAGAAAGACCCTGCGTGAACTGGGGATCTGGAATTCTGGAGATATGGATATCTCCATTCCCGTTTCTCCATCCTCACCCTCCATGGTGTACGGTACTTGGGAAAAATTGGAACTCTGACACCCACCAGGAAAGTATCCATCAACCGATCAGAGGGGCATTTTTCTCGAAAACCACTCCACTTGAGGTAAACTGATAACTCTGATAAGCACATGTGGGAAGTGGGATGGTGGGTGTGTGCCATTGACAGGAACAGCGGGACTGTCAACTGCGGAGATGGGATGCACGAGTAGTCCATATTTTTTGAAGTCTACAAACGACCACAAAGCTGGTGTTTCATGTTGGCTGCAAGAAGAGATCAGAAGGGAATAGTCAACAGTAACGCGATCGGAGCGGCGACTCGGAGTCCTGAAAACAGACAGCAGTCTTTGCTGTAGTCCGCCACATCCGTTGTTCCGCTGTCTTCATCGTATTTTTCTACATGATTACACCGTATCCAAATGTCCTCAACAGTCTACAAAGTGATCACTCTCAGCTCAATCGATTCCCATCCAATCACCGCGGCTATTCCGCCGCTTGCGTCTGGAATCGCTCAAGTCGTCGCCAAGTATCTTTTACGTATCTGGATGCGGCAAGAGTACCATCGTGGTACTTCCGGGCTCGCTCTGTCTTCGGAACACGCCCGACACCCCCCAATTTCTAGCGCAACCCCAAAAAACCATGCAGAGCGGAACGGCGGTTTTCATCTGTGATTTTTTCCCCTGCTTGCCGCTGCTGCCAACCAAATTATCTGCTTCTCTTACAGAGTACTTGTAGAATAAACGAAATAAAATAAATAAAATTGAATAGAGTAAAAACGAATAGATAAAATAAATGTCTACTCTATCATATATTTAATATATATTATAATAAGAAAAAATAATATTAATAGAATATCGGCTCTGGTTTTCGGAAACCGGCTGAGGCACGAATCAAGTCCCCGGCACCAGCTTGGAGAGGCCGTCCCAGCCGTTGGGTTGCTGACGCTGGCTGACTTTCTGAGAGCGCCTTTTGCCTTTCCGAGTTAGGATCGTCTCTCCTTCTGTCTCTCTCTTTCCTTCCTCTTTTCCTCTTTTTTCCCCCCCAAACCAAACTTTTCCTCTCGCTCTTCCGACTAGCCAAAACCAACCAACCAACTAACTTACTGCAGACTTGTCTTTTTTTTTTTTTTTTTTTTTTTTGGTCTTAACTTTACGCCGCCGTTCGCCCCTCCCCCCTTCCTTGCCTTTCCTTTCCCCTCCCCCAATTCCATCCTATACTGGCTGCCTTTGCTTTCCTCCCCGTGATCAGACGCTACCTTGGTGCTATCGTTTGATTTTTTATTTTATTTTATTAAAATTTTTTTTTTATTCAACCTTTTTTATTTTTTATTTTACTGTATTTTATCTTTCTTTTTCTTTTTCTTTTTTACTTTTTTCTTTTCTTTTCTTCCTTTTTTCTTTTTTCCCTTTTCCTCCTCTTTTTTCCCCTCGTTCTTTTTAACTTGTATTATTTTTTAACCTGTTCCACTCCCTTGATTTCCGCGCCTATACGCGTTGTCCCTGGCAGCTTGTCCAACGGTTAGAAAATTATCCATCGACAAAGCAGAAAATTACCCTGGTCTCCATCTCGCGCCTTTTGTTGACGCGAGGCTTCTAGCATCGCTGGTTGTTCAGACCCACTCTCACGCCGCTTCCCTGGTGTGGATACAGAAGAACCATCTCACTACTGTTTTGACAACGTGCGGATAAAAAGAAGTTCCCACACAAACTCGATTTTCCTGGTGGGTGACCGTGGGGAATTCAGATTAAGCATTCGACCTCATCCTGACCTTTCTATCGCAGTGGAGTCCTACTTCGACCTTACTCTTCCTCCATTGCCCTTCGTCGCTCGTGATTTTCTCCTCGTCGCCTTATTGACGTCCCTCTCTGGTCGAATCTCGCGTCCGCCATTGGTTCTCCGCGTCTGTCGCTGAGACCTTGCCGAAGAAGCAATTAACAGACTGAGAAAAGAAGTCATCGGGAGAGACGCAAGAAAAAAACAAGAAAAAGAAAATTTCTTGTGAACGCGGTCAATACTGCAGGGTTTTACAGGAAATTTCATCGCCCACTGCCTCCCCAGTCAACGGGCATCCACCCCCAAAAGGTTTTTTTGCTTGCTCTGCGTAACGTTCAATGATCGGGATACCGTGAATTTTCCGCCAGTCCAGCCCTATCCCCCTCCCTCTTTGATCCCTCTCCGCCCTCACGATGGATCCTCGGTCTCATCCTTCAAGACCTCCGTCCACAAGCCTGCCTCAAGGCTCCACGCCCCTCTCCTCGACGCCCATCTCGAGTATGCCTATGCCTCAATACACTATGCAGCCTCAGTATCCGGTGTCCCAGCCCCATACTCTGCCCCCGCTGCAGCCGCATCACAGTCAATCCCCTGCCCCTCACTCCTACATGGGCCAGCCGCCGTACAGGCCGGATCTGTCGAGATATCCTACAACTACCCACGATGTCTACGCGTCTTCCGCCGCTCCCATCATGCCGCACACCACGGTGGGCAGCCTGCCGCCTTCTTCGTTCCTCTCTCACCCCAACCCGCAGGCTCAAGGTCAACCGCCGCAACACTACCCTCCCCCTCATAGCGTGCTGCCTCCGGCCTCCAGCGCCCAGAGCTACCCCCAGCCAATTGCGCCGGCACCTCCGCGGGACCGCCGCCCAGACTACAATGGTCTTCCTTCGGGCGCGTTCAGCTACAACGACGGCAAGGCATCTCCCTGGGTGAACCCCGCCGACCCTGTCGCCGGTGCAAATGGTGGATCTCCCTACGCTGCCGCAAAGGAGCCCCCTCGTACCCAGGTGGTGGGATCTCAGGGCCGCCGAGGCATTCTCCCCAGTGTTCCGGGTCGCGCTACCCCCGTCGCGAATGGCGTCAATGGCACTGCTAAAAACACAACAATTCCCGCCAAGGACGCGGATGGAAAATTCCCGTGCCCTCACTGCAATAAGACTTATCTCCACGCGAAACATCTGAAGCGTCATTTGCTTAGACGTGAGTATTCTGGAACAAAAATCTGCTCCCCAAAACCCCCCGGTGGAGGAAAAGGAAGAATCCGAGTTTTCGTGTTGCTTACAAATCGGTTCAATACCAGATACCGGTGACCGTCCGTACATGTGTGTTCTTTGCAAGGACACCTTCTCTCGAAGCGATATCCTTAAGCGTCACTTCCAAAAGTGTTCGTTACGACGCGGAAACCCGACGGGAGCGACTCACTTGTCGCATCCCCAGGCACACTTGAAGAGGTCTCAAGCTGCGGCAAATCCTGCAAAGCCTGTTCAGGATGAAGTCAGTAGTACCGTTCCGCCTTCCAATGGCATTGCGGGTACGACTTTCGGCGAGGGACCCGTGAACGGCAATGGGATGGCCTCTGGCCGACCCGGTTTCACGGACCAGCAGCCCCTGGGCTTTACGATGTCCTCTGTCAACGGGATGAACCGTCAGCCAGAAGACGCGTACCCCGCTGGTCAGCCGCATCCGAGAGCACCATGGATGGCTGCTCCCAAGCAGAACCCGTACCTCGTGCAGCCCGGCACTGATGCCTCTGGCCAGCATTTGAGTGTTGACCGTCCTTCCCTTGAGCAGGTAAAGCCCCCGATCGTTCATGATCCTAAGCGTCCTGTTATGCCCGGACCAAACCCAAATCACTCTGGCGAAATTGACTGGACTTCGATGTTTCAGCCCGGAGCCTCCGATGGTTACATAAACCCCGTTTTCCCCCAGTCCATGGCCGCCGGCCAGGAGCCGATCCATGCTCACGTCGAGACCGAACGCAAATACTACCCCGCAACGACCGCAGGTCCCCAGGAAGGCGGTATGAATGGCCTTTACCTGGCTTCGACCATGGGCGGTGACGGTATGTGAATTCTCTTGTGATGTTATCGTACGGACTCTTTCTGACCACTCCCTCAAAAAACATAGGCACCGTTCAACCCGCGAGACAATAGTCGTGAACCGAGGGGGTATCCGCCGACGACGAAGACGTGTCGACATTGCGAATACGGAATGACAAAGGCCTCTTTGGCTTGATTGCACAAAAACTACATCTTTCCTTTCTTTTCACATCTGGATTTTTCTTTTTCTTTTTTCTTTCTTAAAAAATTAGAGTTCTGACGGTCTTTTCTAAGGATCTGAGACTTTGAAAGTGTCGATCACAGATTCACCTGGCTCGGCGGGAAATTTCATTTCCAGCTTTTGATGCCGATGCGATTCAATGGCTGTAAAGCCACGAATCTCGAAATTTGCGCGTCATTATGATCCTTGGACCGAAAAAGGTTGAGTTCGTTACTGGAATTTCGAACTTGAAAGCCATGTCTTATTTTATTTTACGATATCGTGTACAACGTGTGCTATTAGAAGACGATTGCGATTTCCGAGCAATTCAAATACGAAAAAAAAAAAAGGGTCATCGCAGTGGACCTTTGCCCCGTGGTTCCGACGTCAGCATCATACTATTACTGTTATGAAGATTTTCGAATTGTGTTTCATCTGATCACCACGTCTCTTTTTTTTTTTCCCCTTATTTCCTTTACCTTTTTCACCTTTCATTTTCGCAAGGTCTTTCTGGTCAGCATCTATCTACGGCGAGTGCAAATTGTGGTGATCCTGAATCTGTTTTCTTATTTCTTTTCCATCCATTATGAGTGGGCAGATCGGATGGTCGGTGTGGTTTATCAGGCGTCCATCAAATAGACTTGGGCATGTGTTTGTGTTTATTGTGTGTTTTTATCATTTCTTTCCTTTTCTCCTTTTCCTTTTCCTTTTTTCCTTGAGGAGACTAAAAGAATCTAAGGGACGGCTGTTGTCGAATGCTTCATTCTGTTTTGCATGCTTTTTTCTTTTCGGCCTTCGATGCACACACAGTGTGTTGTACTCGAGGTTGGTTTGCATCGCATCAACCGTTCAAAATCTGCATTTCATTTTCGACTCCATGTAAGTAGATTTTGTATGCTCTGCACGGACATATGCGCGTGATTTGAGCCGGGAGGCTTCGTGAAATTTGTGTCTTTTTTCTTTCCATCTACGCTTCATTTGCAGCATGTTGTTTCCACCTAAGTGTCGGATTTCATACTTTTTGCGGCTGGGTTGCATTCGGATGTTGGCAAAAAAACAAAAGTCCTGTTCGATCTCCTGCAGTGATGGAGTTTCTGGTCAGCGATAGTGTTGATTTGCGTCGATGCAAGGCCCCTGGTCAAAGCCAAATTATCTTCCACCGTACTTCCATCTTTCGTCCAGTTTCCATTTCCCCGACGCAGTTCATTTGGGGTTGAATGGGAGTTCATGCACTCTCCAGGAGGATCAGGTGCTGCGGGTCAACAGCGCCTGATATCTTCTTCTTCCAACCAGATACGATCTCCTACCTGGAAGATGATCAGGGGACACAAGGCTGGGAGAGAGCCCAGAGGGAAAAGACGAAAAGAGAGAAAAAAAAAGGGTTAAAAAACGGAGAGAAAAAGAATAGAATATAGACGACCAGTGGTAGTGGTTCTCGGATCAGAAAAGGAAAAGCAAAAAAGGTTCGAGTGCAGGAGTTTTGCATGTTGATTTGTATACATGTCGTTCCGCCATCCTGTATGAAGTTGATTATTCCGTTGAGGTTGTGTATGTGTATAACCGATAATGAGATATTCTGATGCAATTAATATGAATTAGCCATCTCCATCGTATGCGTTCCTTTCCTCCTGATATCCAGACATCCTTGCTTCCCATCTGTCCGAGGCTGAGCCGATTCCAAGAAGAAGGAAAAACGAGGCATCTGATTTTTGCCATCCCGAGATTTCCCTAACGTGCTTTCCCCTCTCTTTCGGGAATCCCCTCCTGTTCTTTAAAAAGAACAACGACTCACCGGATATGAAATGAAATGAATCTGGGATCTGGACAGGTGAGAGACTGTGACTTGCACCCCAGACGCTTTTCTTTCCTGTCTGTCTTACCCCACGTTTCCCCTCTGCCTTGTTTTTGGTCCATCTTTTTAGTACTACTACTTGCTCTCCCCCAACCGGTTTGCGACGGGGAAATTCGATGAATCAAAACTGATCTAATATGAATGAACTCACTTCCGACAGATCCTCTTGATATAAAGCAATTAAACCCATTTTAAATGCATCATTTGGCCAGCCTCCAATCCGCAGACGTCACCGCTGGGCTTTTTTCCCCGGACGATATCAGCAACTCCTGATTGGCTGCCGGCGTCCCCCTCTCCTTCTCTCTCCGCTGCGTCACGGCCTTGCCTCTTCGTCCTTTTCCCGTTTCGACCTCTTCTTCGCTGCGCACGCTTCGTCTTCGCCTTCTACGGGTTCCTTCGGAGGATATCTGGGAAAGACTATTGCATGTCCCGACTGGTCTTTTTTGGTTCTCGTGTTCGGTCCGACCGCTGTCTAACTAGCCGCCTTGCGTCCTGAGAACAGGGTACTCGCTTCTCTTCCACTGTCACTCGGCCAAGTCTATCCACCTACTTCCTCTCGTCACGGATCTTCTTCCTATCGGGAATACAACACTCTAAACTCTTCGATTACTGACACCCTGATCTTTCAATCTTTCTTATACCCGTGTACGCATCGAGCGCTCGTGATCAACGGGAACATCGCATCGTGACCCGCTCGGTCCCCTATTCCGTTAAAACAATAAGCAGAGCATCATGTCAACCAACAGGCCGTTCCTGGCCAACTTCCTGGCCGCATTTCGAGCGCAGTCAACGTACAAAGCCTCCACGGCTGGATCCCAATCTACAGCAGCCACGTCGTCTTCTATCTCCTCGACACAGATTTCCCAAAGCGCCCGAACAATAGCAACTAAAGCCGCCGGCAGTGGCTCCGGCCCATCATCCTCTTCCTCGGCAGAACAACAGCCTTCATCATCTACCTCTACAAGCCACCACTACCACCACCACTCCACTTCTGCTTCCTCCCGTCCACATTCACACCCGCGATCACCTTTAAACCAAACCGCCCCCGCCGACTCCTCATCGCCTTCGCCGCTGGCTTCCCCTTCTTCACCCCCGACACCCGCATCCTCGAACCCCATCCCCATTGCCAACACACACGACCGCCAACGACGGGGTAGTGACAGTTCCAATGGCTCGGGTGGATTCCGCGATGCACTCGGGCATGAGAAGTGGTACATCGGCGGGCGAACGCCAAGCGGAGAGGAACGGTTCTACCGGTTAGGGATGGTAACTAAGGGCGGCGGACGACTAGGAGGGAGTGGGCGAGTAGGAAGTATTGATCAACTGAGTCTGTGATTACTGTTCGTTCCCCCTGTGGATTATGATTATGATGGGGTTATTAGGTTCGGTGTATACTTTTTTGTTCATCTTTTCTTTTTTTCTTAATTTTGGGTCCTTCTGCTTTGGGCATTGATGGGGGTCGTTTTGGCGTTTTGGCTGGAAGACAACCCGAAAATACTTTTGATTTATTTCTATTTCTTCTCCTTCGTTTGTGGTACAGGTGGATTTTGTACTTGATCATTTTCTCTCTTTCTCTCTCTCTCTCTCTCTCTCTCTACTCTGTTACATGGCCAAGACTGAAGGTGATTTCTTGTCAGTACTGGTTATGGTTAAAGTTGGTACGGTACACCTTGGGGAGGACTATGAACAGTGATCCCTTGCTATGGACAGAAAAGCAAGGGATTGAGGATTAAAAAAAGAAAGCGAAAGTGTAAGAAATAAAGACCGATAGGTCTTGCTGCTTCAATACAATCTATTCAGCCTCATTGATAGATACGATGTCTAAGACTGTTGGTTGTTGCCAGGTTGATACTCTAGATTAATGCATATATCTCGGGAATAACAATGAAAAAACAAGCGTATTTTTTTTCTCTATGATGCAATGTTCTATATTATTTCATGTGCGATTCGAGGTTCATATAACAAACCTATACAGCCCGATTACCATCCAGCAACCTCTCCCTCTCACCGATATTTTCAGCTTCAGCATCAGCTCTCGCCTCCACGGCCTCAGAACCACTCAACCAAAACATAGGCACAGCCGTCGCAGCTGCCAAAAGCCCCAACACCAACGTAGTTATCTCCCACCCAAACCGCCACTCAAAAACCCCAAACATGGGGCCCAGGAACATGCCCAGGAATTGGTACATGGTCTGCAGGCCGAAGGCCTGGGCGACGGCGCCGCGTTTGCCAAAGATGCCTGGCTGGGCGCGTTCCATGGACTCGAGGACGGATTGGGTTTCGACAAAGAGGGCGGGCATGCAGAGGTTTACGAAGACGCCGATGAGGGCGAGGAGGGTGAGGAAGATGACCTTGTGCGGGGTTGTGTTTGATTCGACGAAGCGGAAGAGGATAAGGGTTGGGGCGAGGAGGAGGAAGGCGAGGACGGAGATGATGCGGTTGCCGTAGCGGTCGGATAGGTGGCCTTGGTATGGATGTTAGTGACGAGGGAGTTTGAAGAAACTGAACTGTTCAAGAGGGGAGTTTACCAAAGTAAGGCTCGAAAAAGGCTGCTATGACTGGTGCAGTGAATACCAATCCTGCCCCGAGAGCACTCCAGCCGTAAGCCGATTGGACGAAGATGGGAAGGAACTAGAAGTTCAGTTAGTAGGTGATTTTTGGTTGGGAGAGATGTGGGCATACCGAATCAAAAGCCGAGAATATCAAGCCTTGCATCAAGAGACCGATGGATGAGATCACTATCTGTGGTTGCCTCAGCAAAAGAAGAAGAGCTGGTTTACTCTGACTTTCGACGTGTTCGGGGGTCTGAGGATGTCCACCGGGGAACGTCTGATGCTCTGTTCGAGGAGAGACAATTCCGGTCTCTGGGAGCCAGCGCGCCGCAACGCGCTTTTCAATCACCGCTAGTCGCATGGCCACATCGAAGAGCACCACGATGAATGCCATCACAAACACTGCGTTATACCCAAGGTGCTCATAGACCAATCCTCCAAGCATCGGTCCGAACATGAATCCACATGAAATCGCCGATCCCAAATATCCAATCGTCTGGCCCAAGCTGTCGGCGGGTACGGTGTCGGTGATCAGGGCCAGTCCCGCGACCATCACCATGGACGATGAAGAACCTTGTAGTATCCGGGCCGCCACAAACATCCACGGTGCATGCGCAAGTGCGAGCATGATCATAGACGTGCCAAGGAGGAAGAGACCGCCCAAGAAGGGGAGTGAACGGGTGCGCGAGCGATCAACCAGCCAGCCAAAGAGGGGACAGCTGATCAAGCCAGACCCGGCTTCAACCATTAGAAGTATGCTGACCCAGAATGCTCCTATTTTGACATATTATGAGTATAGTGGTCGGTGGCAAGGTCGAGGGTTCAATGGAGTTGGAAGGACGTACGATTTTCCCAAGGGATACCTGCGCGATGCACGAGGGCATCGGGCATGACAGGAACAATCTATAGCATATTTTTGTTGGCATTCTATTTCATTCTGATCCATGCGTCACATATCCACAAAGGTTGCTTACCATGCCATAGAGAAAGAAGTCCTGAGGGGAAGAGGAAATGGTCAGCAAGGAAGTCTTGGTAGAACAACAGCAGGTGGAGAAAGAAAAAATACCGTGAAACTCGACATCCAAAAGGTAGCAATGATAAATGAGGTCGAGGAGCGAAAGCCTAGTAAATATGGAGGGCCTCCAGGGCCGTGCGGTTTTGAAACGGCCATGGTGACTTGAATTGAAGATTGAGTATGAATTGGTGTTGGATTGGAGTTATGAGGAAAATTGTTTATCGAGGCCGTATCTTATCGATTATCGAGCAAATTAGTCCGGAGAGACCAAGCAGCCATGCCTGCGGAGTGATGGAGATTTCAAGGTGAATCCAGCCAGGATTTTCCCTTTGCTCCAGATGAATTGTCTGATGAGCTAAGATGGCGGAGGTGGATAACGCAGGGCCAATGATAAAAGCACGAGATATTATTGATGAAGGCGACATTCGGAGATTAATAGCAGTTGCTTTTTCTGCTGCTTGGTGAAGGCAGTTAATTCAGAAAACATGCCATCCTGCATGTTATTGTGAAGGATTCACCATTATTTCCACACCATCCGGTGCTTCTGGGATGATCAATGGCAGTGGCTTCTCTGCCCAAGCGGTACTTTCTGCTCGGCTTCTCAGGCCCACCGATCGTGATGATCTTGGACCCGCCTGCGGAGCTCTCAGCCCAGCGACAGAGTGCCCCCTTTCAGCTTCAAGTGTTCTTCAAGGCATAAACACCAGCGAGCCATTCAATTGAATATTCAGTGCATCATAAAATGAATCCATTATCCAGTACTGTCATCTTCAGTGTTAATATCGCACCCCCACATTACGGACTAATGAATGGTGCCATCGCTCTAAGTGATCGACTCTGCAGGACGTAGTTTGATTAGCCAAGAACAACGGTATGGAGTATGAGTATGGAGGGTTTTGAATAAGTCCTCTCGCTTGTTGTAAGCTGTCAAAGGAGTGCTCACTATTGTAATCCATACCCATCAGACGAATGCATACCGGAGATAATCAGATGTCCTGTTGATGGGGAGTCCAACGGGCCAATGGAATATCCCACTCCAGATGTTTACCCCCAATATTCATATCAGATCCGGGATTCATCATGTCACTCGAAATACGCAGCGAATCCCGGGTTGACGACTGAGCCGCATTGCTTGTTCATAGAGTGTACAGCAAACGCCGTATGGTTGAGGAGAGGGACGGGGAACACCGCTATTGCTTCAGACCCAAGCTAATGACCGGTATTTGGATGTCAACGGTCTCTGCCTTAGTTGCAGCAGCTTCGGAGGGGTGATTTTCTCTGAAGAATAGCAGTGAAGCCGTAGTGGGACGATATATCCTCTGCAGAGTGCTGGCCCGATAAGATAAGCCGGAGGAGGGCTGCGGCCGTCCGTCTTGCACGGGCATCGGAGCTGGCCGATGACCTCGCCAGCGACCATCATGCCATCCCCTCGTTACGGTCTTAAATCTTCCAGCTTCCAGATTTATAAAGACTGTTTGGTTCGCTACCTTGCTTCATTTGAAGACAGCTTATTTTTGTGATTGAGGACCAGAGTACCGTCATATAGACTGAAAAGCGAGCTCCCTTGCAAGCGATAGTATCCACTATCTACTACACCGCTCACTTTATCATCAATCCTTAACCAAAGACCACCATGGCTTCCCTCGCTGCTGCGCGTTACGGAAAGGACAATGTCCGTGTATACAAGGTTCACCGGGATGAGAAGACTGGCATTCAGACGGTGGTGGAGATGACCGTCTGCGTACTGCTGGAGGGAGAAATTGATGAATCGTGAGTGCCCCCAATCTATAACGATACCGACTTCATCGACACCATAGCTGATTATACCGGTGTTCTACAGCTACACAAAAGCTGATAACAGCCCCATTGTCGCTACCGACTCCATCAAGAACACCATCTACATTCTCGCCAAACAGAACCCCGTCACACCCCCGGAACTCTTCGGCTCCATCATCGGAACCCATTTCATCAAAACCTACAAGCACATCCACGCAGCCCACGCCAAAATCATTACCCACCGCTGGTCCCGTCTCAATGTTGACGGCAAGCCCCACCCTCACTCCTTCATTCGCGACAGCGAGGAAACCCGCAACGTGCAGGTGGACGTGACCGAGGGCGTGGGCATTGACATCAACACCGCCATCTCCAACCTCACCGTGCTGAAGAGCACCAACTCCCAGTTCTGGGGATTCCTGCGTGACGAGTACACCACTCTCCCCGAAACCTGGGATCGCATCCTCAGTACCGATGTCGATGCCAACTGGCAGTGGAAGCGATTCAGTGGTCTGGACGAAGTTCGCGCCAACATCCCCAAATTTGATGCCACCTGGGCCGCCGCGAGGGACATCACCCTCAAGGTGTTTGCCGAGGAGAACAGCGTGAGCGTGCAGAACATCATGTACAAAATGTCGGAGCAGATCCTCGCTTTCCAGCCCCTGGTTGAAACCGTCGAGTACTCGTTGCCCAACAAGCATTACTTTGAAATCAGTAAGTCCACCTCTTGCTTCATTATCTTTTCGCTTTGCTCTAACATTTGCTTCCCATAGACCTCGACTGGCACAAGGGCCTCAAGAACACTGGTAGAGATGCCGAAGTTTACGCCCCCCAGACAAACCCCAACGGTCTGATCAAGTGCACTGTGGGACGACCAAAGAGCACACTTCAGGCTAAGGCCAAGTTGTAAGGGCGTGGAAAAAGCACGGCTTTTTGTTTCATTTCTGGAGTTGACCAAGGCATACCTGTATGTAAATAGTTCTTTGGGATAGGGTATTCATTTAGCATTCGACTTGATATGGTTTCATATAGTACAGCAGCACCAAATAGACAGGGGATGGATGCAAGTAAACGAAGAACCGATCCCGCCTCAAAACTGTCTGTTGGGGATCGAAGGATCACAAACAAGAGTAGTAATGTCACAAAAACTCCCACCCATGCGCTTGCAGTCGTAAGAAAAAGTACAAAATAAATTACAGAAACAGTGCCCTGCCACATCTGGCAGTGTAGGATATAAAAAAGTGAAAGACCTGTTTTCTTTTTCCCCGTCTTCCTCTATGCGGACGTCTTGGCAGCCTTGAAAGCTTCCTGCACCTCGGGGAGGCTTCCAATGACCGACTGGTTGCCGTACTTGACAATGTTCTCTTTGTAGGGGTGGGCAAGACCTTCGAAGGCTATAATACAGTTAGTTTAACTTCTCCAGAAGCACATAGACAATAAGGTAGACAATGGCCAAGAATCGTAGACCCAAAAGACACCTCATCTCCATAAGGCAAAAAACTCACTCTTCAACCGAGCCAATCTCTTCTCCCTTAACCGGTTCTTGGGCAACATCCCCTTGACTGCCCTTCTCAGAACCTCACCACCGCCCCATTTCTCAAACATCTTGTCCATGGTCATGCTTTTCAGACTACCGGGCCGGGTCGTATGCGTGTAGTAGAGCTTCTGGGCGCGCTTCTTGCCCGTCGTGCGGAGGTCATGGCAGCCAACAGCCACCACGTAGTCACCGCAATCGGTCGAGGGGTCGTAGATGGGCTTGTTCTTGCCCATCAGGAAAAGGGCGATGGATGAGGCCAGGCGCCCGAGGGCCCGGGGATCCGAACCGACATCGACATAGTGCCATGTGCGAGAGTAGGCGAGACGGGTCTGAGTTGTTTGATTAGCCTTGCTGAATGTATTTCGCTGAAATATAAGGTATATCAAAGCAATTGCTATCAATGTATGATATCAATGGGGTACGGTACCTTTCCGATTGTTTGCGACATGTTGACTTTTGATACCTACGGCGTAGGATCAACCACCCAAACACAAAGGAAATAGAAAAGGTAAAATAATGTAAAAGATAAAGCCCCGAAATGCAGAAACAACAAGCAGTATCAAAGCAACCCAGAAGCTACCTAGCAAAAGACAGCCAAAGCCAGCAACACCTTCCAACGTAATCAACCTCCTTTGATAGACCGGAACGGCTGGGCTCGAAGTTCTCAGCTCACGTGATCTCGGACCCCCGTGAAGCCCTAGCCGGCACTAGCGCCGCACACTAAGCGAAAAACGCCCGCACGGATTGCCCATTATCTCGAATCGAGAAATCGAGCGAAAAAAGCCCTGCGACGACGACCACCCTTTCAACAACCACACTCCCCCTCGACACCGACAAGGGCCATTTCACCCACCATGGCTTCCGTCCCGAGTGTGCAATGCTTCGGCAAGAAGAAGACGGGTGAGTTATTATTTTTGAAGCCGTTTTAAAATGACCGCGGAGTTTTAGATGATGGGGTGGTTTGGCTGACATTTCTCGATCTTAATAGCTACCGCTGTCGCCCACTGCAAGGTATGGATGATCCCTCGTTCATGATCGGTCGATTGGCAATTTCTACGTTACGGAATGGGAGGAACGACGGAAAGAAGAAAAAAAAAATGCTACGTCGATATGGGGAATTTTTGGGATATCCATTTATATACAACCGAAAGGATACTGAGACTCGTGTTATCAACAGCAAGGCAAGGGTCTTGTCAAGGTCAACGGCCAGCCCCTCTCTCTGGTCCAGCCTGAGATCCTCCGCTTCAAGGTACGACTCGACCCTCCCCTTTATCCCGAAGTCAAGCGGAAACAAAAAAAAAAAAAAAAAAAAGATGCATAAGCAACGACATCGGGAGGAAATACTGGGGACGACATATCTCTGACATGCGCAATTCTTCAATTTAACAGGTCTACGAGCCTCTCCTGATCGTCGGTGCCGACAAGTTTGCCGGTGTCGACATCCGTGTCCGTGTCACCGGTGGTGGTCACACCTCGCAGGTCTACGCCATCCGTCAGGCCATCGCCAAGTCGATTGTCGCCTACTACCAGAAGTACGTTGACGAGCACTCCAAGAACCAGCTCAAGCAGGCTCTTGCCCAGTACGACCGCACATTGCTCGTCGCCGACAACCGCCGCACGGAGCCCAAGAAGTTCGGTGGACGTGGTGCCCGCGCAAGGTACCAGAAGTCGTACCGTTAAAAAACCAAAATCAAAAAGAAACGCAACGGCAGAATGGTGTTTGGTTTTTTATACGGTGGACTGGGGGAAGAGGGGATCCATGGGGCGATCCTGGGCGATATGTCAGGATACGTTCGGATATGGTTGTGGTAGTGGAATGGGATACTGGCTCTTTCTCGGCTGGAAATAGTATAGGCCAGAAATCTGAAATATCACCCATTTTTTTTCCTTTTGTTCAAATGAAAGGAATGTGATTTCCGGATGTTTGTCCTGCATTAATGTTTTTGGGTCTGGGAGACAGTTCGCCTGTCTTGAAACTTCAATATCGCATGACCAGGATGCAGCACAGCATAGAAAAGCAATGAAGAACCACTTACGACCCTACATGGATATTCCCTTCCCATCAATCTAGTTTACCATACCCGCTCACCAACTCTAATGTACTAGATACCTGGTAGATGCTCTATATCTTTCATTGTGCTATCCTGTCTAGGTTTGTAGTTTTCCTTATGTCTACGTGCTGTATTCCGCGGAGCTCTCTTGGTTATTCTACCCCGCTTGCAGTAGGTAAAGCATAGATGTTGATTACATTCAAGTGCTACCCTTTCCATAACCTTCAGATGACGAGTGATAACCGCAACCCAGTCTCTCATTTAAGTATGTCTATTAATTATTATCATGGTATCTGCGAGTGAGATGAGAGCCGTGATCGAGTCCCAGATAAAATGTCTGCAAATAAAACCTTGTCGAAGAGACCGTGAAAAGATGGGTATGAGATGTTAAAGTAAAACAAGCGTCGTCGATGCATCAATAGAGAATTTGAATGCCTGTCCTGATTAGATCCCTACCAAACACCATACGTCGAAGCCTAGGCGTATACGCTATTATCTGCCCAGCAAATACCGCCATATAACGAAGGGTGACCGTTCAGATCATCTGGTATGTTCTCATAGCTATCGCTCTCTTCTTCCTCGGTGCCATCAAGGGAAAGAAGATGAAAACGATTGAGTGCGGAAACTGGTTTCTTCGGAGGAACTTGTAACATGTCTTTCTTCGACACTATAGGCATTTGGGGCAGAGGTTCCGCACAATCATCCGGGTAGAATCCGATTCTCGTGCCCTTGTAGACGAAACGTGACATCATACAAGAGCGAGCAAACAGTGCATTATGGACGGAGTTTGTGGATATGTAAGCATTGCCTTGTTGAAATCTGACCGAAATGACAATGAGATTATGGATATGTTCAAGATCATTGCGAATGTGCGACTCTGTCATGTTTGGATTCACATTGTTAATGACTAGATTTCTTGAAGCCCCATTGTTGATCTTGGCTCTGACATAAGGTGGAAGGTAAAATTGACGTTCGCTCCAAGAAACCTCCACCTGTATGAGGGTTATGGTTAATATATAGATGATACGCTGGATAAACGAGTCGACTTACGCGCTTCCCGGCCAAATAGAGACCGTATGTCTTTGTATGCTGGAGGAACTCTTGGGCAGCCGTCTCTTCCACGAATGACACATTTGCTGTGCGCTCCCGAGATCGGATATAAATATGTAGAAGAGCACCTCCTCGCACCGCATCAACAATGTCTTGATGGAAAGCCCTATCTGGCAAGTTGCGGATCAAGATGGTGCGCTGGCCCGTAGAAGCAGTGTAAGACCCTCCACTCCTCGACGAATCATCGTAGTCATCCTTTTCGTCACTGTTCTGAGAAATGATAACCCCATCTTCCTCCTCGTCATCATCTTCATCATGGTAGCTGTATTCTTGATACTCATCCACAGTTTTGCTGCCGTTCAATTGGGTGGGGCTATTTGAACCGACGTGCCTAGTAGAGTGCTCGTCACCTTGCTGATAAGGCTTTGGTGGAGGGGGCTGCGATCCGTAGATCAATATCTACAAAAAGAGTCAGCGGTTGTCAATCGTTCTAGTGATAAGCGTGCTCTAACATCGAGAGTCTCCTGGGATAGGCCCCCATTGAGAAGCGAATCCTTTAACTTTGCTGCGAGTGTATTAGGTTCAAACATGGGATTTTGTTGTGCTGTAGGCATGAAGCTATTTGGACATCCTCGTAAAGAAAAGCGACGTACTGAAATGGCAAGATGTTTGAAGCTGATTATCGGTCATAATTGAAATTAGCCATAGGATCCATGTCATTTGATTGGAAATAAACATGGATTGCTCACCAAATACTCGTATTCTGATTTGGAGATTGTCACCTTATCTATGCCTGGAGGGCTCACATCCTGGGAAGAACGTTTCTAGACCGGATCTTATGAGCAAAAGATAGGAAGCCAGCAGATAACCCTTGTCACTCACGAGTTTTTTCCTGTCAGAAAGATTGGCAATCAGCTTCTGTTCTGTCATGGGAGACTCGCTTAAAAGATGCAGCTCACACCTCAGAGCGTAAGGGAGATCAGGCGAAGATACTCATGTACACTCTCAAGACGATGTAGAATAAAGCAGAAACTGGGCACTCACCCCTGAAGCCAAGGTTCAAAATGATTCTTTTCGACTGCGATAAAGGAAGACATTCTGGTCATTATCTGGGATACTACTCAAGAGAGATCAGATAAGTGGTTATCCACCAGAAAAGAGCAAAGGAGGGGAATGTGTCATCTAAATATGATGATCACAGCCGAGCTCCACTCATGAAATGCAGGAAGATAAAGGGGGGCGAGAAAATGAAAGGCAAATAAAGAAGGCTGTCTTGTGGTTCTTTGGGATGGAAAGACATATCACAACATCACCCCACGTTTGCCCTGCAGGAGCGATCGGCCACTTGACTGTTTTTGACCCGAAAGAAATAGCTCTATTTCACTCACCACCATCAAAGGGTACCTCTGATATTATCAGGAATTTTGAATGGATGTGGTTGTCAATGGATGGTTGGGGTGGAGGAGGGAAAAGAAGAAGAGAGGTGGGAGAGATGCTTGTGTGGGAAGGTGTAGAAGAGCATGACCAGTGACTTTTTTTTTCTCTGCTTGAAAGAATGTATGTGTTGTGTGATCGACGACCAACGGTTTTCAACAAATTCAATAGCCCACCACATAAGAACAAAGACAAGAAGACAAATGCTCAACCTGTTGAACAAGTCAGCGCTTTGACTACTCAGCGAGACGAAGACGATCAATAACAATACTCCACCAGTCTATGCTCTATCCAAATAGCAAGACCAGCTTAGCAACAACAGAGTACTAGTTAAGTTCTTCTACATATCATCATCTTCATGCGGGCTGACGCAAGGCGCCCCCTCTAGTCTTCAACGACGAACACTAACATTTATCTGCAAAAGTTGCATCCCAACCCGTTTGGGCAGATTGGGTTTCTCCCGCCTATAATGGCGTCGTGGCCCAATAATCGATTATAAACTCAGTCTTCATCATGGGACACAGTCTTCAAAAGTGGCAACCCGCTCGAAATAATGTGACAGGGATCATGCTGCTTTCGTTCTATCCGAATCCCGCTCCCTCATGCATAACACTACGGGTGTGACGGAGGGAAAAATGGACTATTTGAATCATTGCAAGGGATGTGCATGCTATTTCACCTCCATGATTTAAAATAAGGATGGACCGCTCATATCTGAAGGATGCTCAAACCAAATGTGGAAATCCTTTAGACCAAGATACCCAAGGCCTGGCTTCATCTCACGGTTCGAAATCGTACTATTTTCGCAAGGCCCAGATTCTCGCAAATTATCATTAATAGCGTATATGCCTTGCTCGACGCTGCGCCTGCTGACCACAATGCGCAACTTTTAATACCGTATGTTGGTCTTGAAAAATGGAACGTTGCCAACGGAAAAGCAGGCCTTCATCGGCCATATCTGCTGATTCGGAACGTTTTATAGCCCTTGGCATCTTCGTTATTTCTGCCGTATATGGTTCCAATACGCGAGAGGCTGATCTTTTCTGCACGCAAAAAGCATGCGAAGTATTGTAAGTATCTCATCCGACGTCTCTGGTAGACTCTGAGGCCAGTCCCTCAGCTCCATCTTGTAGCTCACCCAAATGCCTAGGCTCTTGTCGTGCTGGTGCAGGCTGTTCAAAACTTCTGTCAGCTTCTCCTGCTGCAACTCTCCGTCGTCTTACTCGTGCGACTTGGACAAAATTGATGGCCACCCGCGCTATAAATAGTGCCACAAGAAGGGCTATCACAACCGACTGTGGTATATACGTCTCTCCCCCTTGGCCCTCGACTAGCTGCTGGCGATTTCCCGATGAGGGAAACCCAAAGGAGCCAAATGAGATAGAAACTGACAAGGGGAAATGCGTAAAAGAAGTCAAGAATCTTGTAGAGCCTAGTGGAATGGACGATGTGATGGGACCAATTGCCAAGGGGAGGACCGAAAAGATGAAGAGAGGGACGGCTAGTCATAAGAGAGACAAAAAAGAGGGCCGCGTCGACCTTTAGAAAGAAAAATGGTGAGTATCACGAACAGCTTCGGGCTTATGACGAGCCGAGAGTAAACATACCATTCTCTGGCCTCCAACTTCCTGATCCACCGTGCGGTGATCTTCAACCTCTCCCGTACGCTGGTTGCAGACAAGAGTGCATACTTCTCATCGTCCGAGACAGGAAGGACGCTGGCAAACCACCAAGGAAACTTAACTGGATCGGTCGGTGTATCCCCGTACGCCATCAATACACGTGGATGAAGCCATGGCGCCTTCTCATTGCGCTGTTTTTGCACAAAGTCCAGTCCAAGATTCAGCAACTGTTGCGTGGACATGGATTCTAATGACATCTCTGCGAAGTTAACTCCAGACGAGGATAGATCGACAGTGGCTGACGTCTCCATAGCCTCGATCCGTTCCTCTTCTGAGATCGAGATATCATCAACACGTTCCGTTTTACCAACATGATAGCCGTCCACAACGTCGGATTTGGTCACTCTGAACCGTGACACACCTGTGGCTATAACAAGACTTCTTCCATCTGGAAGCATCTCAAAACGGTCAACTAACAAGACAGTACCATACTGCATGAACTGTGTCCTCCCCAGATCACCCTGGGATCGTCGAGTACGGTTAAACGTGACCATTCCGAATTTATATTCGCGATTCTGCATGACTCTCCGTATCATGAGGCGGTATCGAGGCTCATAAATATGCAAAAAAGTTGGCATATTCGGGAATGAAAGTGAGCCAACGAACAAGGGAAGAGTCTTCTCATCGTCTAGACTTGACCCGTCCTGAGCCAGGGTCTCTATTCGTTCTGCAACCTGATCCGGGAACAGCCTCTCCGTAAGGTTGGCTATCCTTATGTTTAATGGCTGAGACTGTACCGCCGACGGCATGTTCAGCTTTCGTCGGCAAGTAGGACAGAGGTCAGTATGCTTCAAAACCATCGCAACACAACTTCGACAGAAGGTATGTCCACAAGGAGTCGTCAATGGATCCACGATCAGCGAGTAGCAGACATGACAGTCCAACTCGTTCCGTACGGCTTCTTTTAATTTTGCGAGGATATGTTGTTCATTACTGTCATATTCGTGCGACTGCCGCCCTGCCCTTTTATCTTCGTAAGAGACCTCCGATGCGTCGTAATCAAGCGTGCCATGTTTCGTCAAATCGTAAATACCTCGCAGTAATCCTCGCCTTAGATCTGCGCTTTTAACTTCCAAGTACCCATCTCGATAATCGTCCCAGACCAGCCTGGGCCATCCGTCCCTTTCTTCAGTAATGTTATCGGTGTCATTCTCAAGAACCTCCGCAAACACATCAACCAATTTCGTCATCAAGACATCGGCACCACAATCTTCCACGCAGTGCTCTACAGCACACTTTCCCCACGAGCATGTAAAGCCCTGCAACCGCGCCTCGCCCCCAGGATAGCTTATCCCCTTCCGTGCTCGAGTAGGTGGAAGACAAGTCCGACACAGTGTATTTCCGCATGGTAACCGAATCGGGGCGCGAAGGGGTCGCGAGCATCGCGAGCATTGAATCAGACGGATGACATCATGGGCGAGGAGAGGGAAGTCCGTATCGATGGAGGGCGAAGTAGTTGAGTTTAAGTCTCGTGTTGTTATCGTGATCGGGTAGGTGTTGTCATCTCCAATCTGTGGTGGAGAGTGTGGAGAAGCGCCAGCATCTTCCATGGGAATAATAGGATCAGGAGACTATCTAGAGAGGATATATAGTAATAATATATGTATTATAAACGAAACAATTCCGATTTAAAAGTTGGAACCTGCTGATTCTGTACTGGATCAGTTGTTGGCCAGGTTGCTTGGTGAAACGTGAAGAGGGGAGTTTCTGGGATTCGTAGCTAAGCCGGAGCTCTGCGCATCCGAGGTCGCAGTGGAGAGACCGACTCGGAAGATAGATTCCAACAAAACCGGTCGGCAGTTGACAGCAGATGGACTTGGTTGGTTTCCTTTTAAATCTATGATTAGTTTCAAGCGTTCAGACAACTGAAGTTATAAGGCATATGACTCGAATGAACACGGACTTCTACTGCACTGGAGCTTCTATGCCAACGGTGAACAGGGCAACGCAGTATTTCTCCACCTGCCCTTACGTGTATATGTACATATCTGCAAACAAACCAGATATAGAAACATAAAAATATTCCAGAGAGACACAATATTTCAAGATGATGGTTTGCTTATTTGTTTCCCCAACGGCCTGATACATCAACCCAACGTAGCGCGGTAGCAATCGAATCGACCAAACCTCGTGGACCTTACCGGAGGACTCCAATACGAGATGAGAAAGACAAAAGAGAAAGTAGAAAAAAGTCCAAAAAGACGTGTTGGTGATATCCTTTCATTGCTCATGACAAAAGCCGTCCTAACGCCGCACCAAAAAGAAGAAAATGCAAAAGAAACATGGCATTTGCTCATCTCTCGGAGAAAGAGATACTATTCCTTGTATGGCGAAGATGATAAACAAGTTGAAATACCCATCCGAGTCCCGTGGACGATGAGGAGTGAGTTGTTCCCCGAGGAAAAACCACCAAGAGACGAGGAGGAGAAAGGTGCAAATCAAAGACGATAGAAATCACCCAGACTCCTGTGATGAGGTTGTTTCTGACTCAGTGTCTGAGTCCTCTTCTAAAACAATCCGTCGCATGACACTTTTATCGAAGAGATCAAAAGCATAGCGTCGCGCGGGTAGTCGAAAGTGATGGCCTTCAAGAATACACAGAGCCTTTCGGAATAACTGGCTTTGGTGGAACCGTTCTGGCTGCTTTGATTTGATGCTGTGGTATTTAGGGTCAGCCTCTGATGCATTTGAACACTTCGTGGATATGATCTGTCGCCCACCTGTGCAGATCTGCCGCCGCCCTCTTAGAAAGGACGGTGTTTCCCATATCAACGACCAGTTTAAGGATCTTTTGGTTAACTGGGTCCGGGTCCATGGTGGCAGCCTTGAACTTGTCGCGAGAATTGCGCTTCGCGTCAGGGCTTCGACCGTGAGCAGGGAACTCAACCTAAGGCAATATTATTAACCAATGGACTTTATAGTTGAATTTGTAGAGGCGAAAACATACCAGAAACAGCTTGTTGAAGTCGGTCGGTAGGCAAAATCCAAGCGAATCTCCTTTCTGGTCGACTGCAGAATCCCATCCAACACTTCGCAATACTTTCAGGCCGTGTCGACTGCGTGAGATCAAACCAAGCACAAAAAACGCAGTTCCTCTCATTGTCAACACCTCGGCGCTTTCTGCAATCTTCACGATATGCTCGACAAGATCTTTCTCCAAGAATGGTGCTCCAAGTTCCATCGAGCCAACGTTGCCAACTGCCCAAAGACATCCCTTTACTTTGAGAAGGGACTCGTTGTCTTCTTCATTCAATTGGAAATCCCGAACTGTCCAGGCGAATTCATTAAAATGGCCGGACTGCTCGAGAAGACTGCAGCCTTCAGCAGTTCGTGCAAGCTCTCTATAAAAGTGAGGTGGAACCAGTCCAATATCCTGCATATCGACAAGATCCTCAGGAGCAAAACTACTCCTTCGTGGTTGATCAACGTAAGCACGGGATAGAGCAGCTTCCACAAGACCAACATAGGCATCGTTGCGGCCCAAAAACCAGTCGTCCATTTCCTGTGTGATGTAGTCCAGACCGTCCAGGTAGTGGTATCCTACCGACGTTGACAGAAACCGCAAAAGTAAAGGTGCACCGATTTCACCAAGGTGATCGAGGGATGGTCGGCATTTGACCACAAATTCGAGGTAGTCACGTTTATTGCACGCCTCTTCGAGAATCTTCACGGCAACTTGGCACACCGAAACATCAGGATCGTAAAGCTGAGTCACTAGGAGTTTAATGACCCAGTCTGCGTTGCTGATAGCCATACTAGGGGAAAGAGTGCCATCACCAACTGCATATTTCCAGAGAAGCCTTGTGGAGAAAATTCGAATCTCCTTTGAGCCAGTTGTAAGAGCTTTGGAAAGCATGACTCTGAGATGGCTTTCGTGGGCGTAGTCCATATTCCCTAACAGAGTCTGTATCAAGTCGTTTCGGTCGCGGAGTTCGATGATATGGTAAAACATGTTGAGCATATGCCATCTTTCCATCATGGCCAGCCCGTTGCTATCACCACTTAATGTTCCCAACATGGCGAAATACCCCCCACTCAACGTATTAGCCATCTGTTCCCGGGAGAATAGAGGCGAGGATGAGGTGAGTCCACTCATCCGATCCACTTGAGCAAGACATTCAGCAACCTGTCTCAAAAATTTATTTTCTGCCAAGTATTTTGTTCCTTCTGGGTTCTGGACCAAAGTGCGCATCAACGCGCACCCCGTCCGAACGTAGCGCTGGTTAATCTTCGTGTTCGAAATCATAGAAAATCGATATTTGAAAGGTCGGTAGAATCCGATGAGTCGTTTGACAAACTTTGAGCCTTTAATTGCCTCGTCTAACCTCTTCGGGTTTATCAGAGGCCCCTCAACGATTCGGTGAATCAAATCCCACTTCCACTTGATGTAATTGACGGTGTTCAAGACATTAGTCTCCAATATTGCATTGCGAAATTGGGTTTCGTCCATGGTAGGACTGAGCTTGTCTTTGCCTTGATCGTTGGACAAAATAGACGCAGATATGTCAGCATCAACACTATACCGAGCAGCCCCATTCGAAAAGCCTATAGAGCGCGCGAGTGTTCTATTTATGCTCTCTATTTGATAAATCGTCGACGTAGAAATATCGTGATTGTCAACGTCGAATTTTACCGCCGCTGGAAGTAGATGTGGAAGAACCTGCAGGTTTGCGCTTATGCTCTGGGGCAAAGAATGATGAGCCAGTTTCAGAACTTCTGTAAGTAATAAAGTTGCTTTTCGTCGAAGGAAGAGATCTATTTCGTCTTCGATCAAATCAGAAAGAGCCTATGCCTCATTAGTATTCTACAGACTGCACTGCAATAATAGATGCAACAAACCTTTGATAACCCAGCCTCAACCAAGGTTGCCAGCACGAGCGTCGAAAAATGTGCAGTGAGGTCAAATTTGTTGCTATTGTCATCGTAGAATCCGCGATATTGTTTAGTATCAGTTTCAGGCCTGAGGTTCGCGACTCTGCCATAGGTCGTAAGCCTTCGGCCTGCGAAAAAAGACGAAGACCACGATGGAGGTTTTATCCGAAGGGCATCAAACAGAAGTTCCATAATCAGGTCTCTTGCTTGCGGATCTTGATAGTGCAGTGACTCCAGGAGAGAATGAAGAGGCTTTGTTTCGTGTCTTGCAAGAACGACCAACCCTGGCCAGGTTTTAAGCATCGCCGAGATGGCCTTGGCCGCCGACTTCAATCTCCCATTGCGCACAGAGTCAGACAAAGAATCAGTAAATGGAGCGAGAACGGCTTCTAGCTCGCAGCCACCTTGCAAGTGTTTCCTGCTATGCGGAGTGTCAAGGACATGAAGAAAGCTTGATATCAGAGATTCCGAAGCACCAAATGTTCCTTCGGCTAAGGCATCATGCAATGTTCCAAATCCACCAGCGTATGCGATAAGCTCGGGGTCTTTGACCAAAATTTCAGCGAGAGTCATGATGGAGATGTTTCGAAGGCGGTCCTCGTGGTGCTCAGCAACCGCGACAATGGTACGGACTACTGCACGCGAAATCTCTTGGACACCATCCTTGACGTCCAAGAAGCCTCTCACAAATTTTAGGGCTTGCTCTCGTTCAATGCTAGCTTTGCTTTCCTTCACAAGTGACAATATGACAAGCTCGTCGGTATGTAGTGATCGGATGGTCTGGAGGGATTTTCGATCTGCTATAGCGTAGCGAGTAAGACGATAGCCAGCCGCCACAACTTCTTTACTGTCGCCAAGCAGCATGACCTGAACACGCAGACCGAAAACAGACCATTCTAGGTCATACTTCAACGTGGGGTGTCGTTTGAAGAGTTCGACGAGACTGTTTGCGCGCTCGACATAGAAATCGGGTGACATTCCTTCAATCTCCAGCGCCTGCAGCGTCTCCGCAAGGACGTATGTAGGTGACTCGATCTCCCCTTCTCCCTCTTCCACCAGGGGTCCATCATCGACATGGTCATTGGTGCGACTGGGCGATCGCATGGGACTACTTCGAAAAACAGTCGACGAAAGGCGAGTCCGAGGAGGCGTCGACGGCGCCTGCGCACGTAGTAATTCCTCCTCAAGTTCATGTTGCAGCTCGGCCAGCTTGCGATTGGACGAGCCCAACTCCGATTCCACCTTCAACCTTTGATCTTTGGCGTGCTTCGGTTTGGAAAGCAGTGCTTCGAGCATATTCTCCGTCCCCATCTTGATCTTCATTTCTTTGGCGATCCTATCTCGCAAGGCAGCCTGTCGCTCGTCGGTGCCGAGTAGATCGGTATCCTGGTCGACATTACTGCTGCTCGGCCTCCGCGGGAAAGTGCCATCAGGTCGTGGTGTAACACTCCGTGATGTCATGCTCTTAAGTTCGGAGCTGAAGCTGCCAGGTCCCCCGATGGAAGGAGCCAGAGAACCCCCAGATCCTACCCTGGGCCCGATAATCGAACTACCCCCAGATTCTGACCGTCCATTCCGTCCAATCCTGGACGCAGAGTCCACCCAACTCCCATCCGCCGAGCCATCGTCGTGACTAGTCCGTCCATCACCCAGAACACGATGCTGGGTTGACGTCCCAGAGAACCCTGAGTTATATCCGGACGCCATAGATCTCCATCTAGCCGCAGGAGGGGGAGTGTCTATCACCTGTCGCGAAAGAGCCGAGGAATGGAGAGCTGCATTGAGTTCGCAGTACGGGTATCAAGGGCGGTTGGGATCACACAAAATCGCGTTTGTCAGATACGGAACGAGTGTTTTCGAATCGGATCGTCGCTGATGGCGCAGGAGGCTTAGAAGGGAGGGGAGCTGAAATCGTTGCGATCCCGGAAAGGTGGTTTACTGCTGCCAGTTAGGGTGGGGTGTTCTTGTTTATGTTGAGGCTCAGGCCGCTAGCCACATGGAAAAGAAAGACAGGATTCCAGTTATAATCCAGGAAGCAAATAATCGTCCGATTCATACCTAGATGAGGGTCTATCCCACCGCTGTTGGTCTCACAAGATGTCTTGGCATCGATCAGCTGACTAAGGAGCCCTTATCGCCTGAGGCTTCCATTGTTTTCGTTGTTCAATGTTGGTTTCAAGCGTGTAAAAAACCAATGTACTTTACTCAACTGCTTTTTCACAGATACTAATGCTTTTATTCAAATTTTAATTGGCATTTTGAAATATTTCTATGTATAATGACTTGAAAGTCGGGGATCTCCTATCCCAAAGATCGGGTATCTCCAAAAACAGCGCTCAACAAAGCCTCATAAGCTCAATATGTTCTCAAAAAGGAATATCCAAAAGGGAGCTTTGATAGATAACAGAAAAGGTAAAATAAAGATATACAAGAAAAGATTGGGTCACACGTCAAGTAAACAGATGGCTCGCACATGCTAAAAAGGTGAATGCAGGATATGAATGTGCAGAATGTACAAGGAATAGAGTACATAGATTGAATTAAGCAAAAAGCCAACTCCAAAGATGCAAAGGCTCAATAAAACGGTAAATGGTAGAAGACACCTGAAGAAGATCAAATACAAAAGGTTGCGATCACTGTCAAGGTAACCAAGCCTTGTTTTTGGATGCATCGACATTAAGTGAATTCGTGGTAACAGGGGGATGACTCCCCTTTTCAGCCAAAGGCTTTCTGCTCCTGGAACAAAACCAGGGTTTGAACTTGAAAGTTTTCCATAATACAACAGAAACGTAAATACCACCAACCGATGCTGCTATGAGACCATATGCAATCGGTGAAGCGGGTGGAATATCAGGGTTTTTCGTCACAGCATAGTGGAAGCCGATTCCACCATTGACAATGCCGAGGATACAGCAGAATCGGCCGAACCAGCGATGGACCAAACCATACAGAGTCTTTTCTTTCGTTTTGCGGTAGCGTAGATGCTGTATGATACCAAGAATGGGCTGAAAAACGGAAACCCCAATAATCGCCACGTAGCCGAGTATACCGTGGTAACCACCAAGCTCTTGAAGATCCTTGGCGACAGAGACTCCAATTCCAAAGCCCGCCAAAGCCATGCATACGGCAAACATCTGGAGGGGGGCATGGATCCACGGGACGGCAAAGCGAGATGGGATGAAGATTGTAAGGGCGAAGTTGGGAAATAGAAGGACAAAAGCAATAGAAGTAATCACGCCGTGTGCAATTCGCTTTTTATGCAAGAGGATGTCGCTGATTTGTTGCTGGAAAGATTTGGGGGTATAGTCGAAAATCGAGTGGTACGGTATCGTGAACGGGTTTTCAAAGTTGCCACCGATGGCCTTCGTCAGATCTAGCGAGAAAATGCCATGCCAGTCGTGTTGGTCCAAAGGATAGGAGGTGTTGCTAGACCGTAATGGATCACCTTGCTTCAAGGCCCATATCCAACTACTCTGGTTACTCATGATGTTGTTGCCGCTATGCAATGACATGCAACTATCACAGCGGATATTCGCTGTCATGAGTCCGTGGCGAACGCCGGACCCCTCGAGGAGAAAGGCTCTGATACTCGAGTCGTATGAGGGTTCGTAATGGCCGGATGTCGATCGAGTAGAAAGAGTGACGTTGCCATTAATCCCAGAGTAGACAATAAAGAGGTTTCCATCGGTCATTTCAGAGCCCTGGCCGAATGCAAACCACGAAATATTTGCAGGGGCTTCTAATTGAAAGTATATAGTACCGTTGCCCAACTGGGCCGTTTTTTTAGGTATATTGACGCTATATGTCACACCACTCCCGCTCGAGGGACTGTATGAGACGATCTGTGCGAAGACTGAAGGGACTAGATAAGAGCATCAGCATTCGTTGCCAATCTAACCACATGAAATGAACTCACCGATGCCCATCAGAATTGCCGTTATATATAAAAGGAATAACATCATTATGGCGTCTGTCGAAGGAATGTATGTAAAGCGGGGCTCAGGCGGAAAGGGGCATCCAGGCCGCGAACGTGTCGTGCGTATATGTCAAAGTTTATATATAGATAAGGAATGGATGTGGCGAGAAGAATGTATGTATAGAAAAGAGATTCGTCAAGGAAAGGTATTTCGAGTAATTCCAGGCGTCAATTGCTTGGGGAATCTGTATGGTGCGTATAAAATTCAGCTATCAGCTGCTATACTGTAGATAGTCGCGTATGTATGAAGCCGTAGTTGTCGCTGAATCGGCAAATGCAGTCAGTACATGCAGTAGCAGAAGCGCTCGACAGGCAACATCTTTCCGATTTACTGGGCGACTTCCATGGAGATGGAAAAGACTCCCGATCACGGCCAAATGGTTGGGGCATTGGTGAGGGGTAAACGATGCCGCCAGGATGAGCAAAAGGAACTGAGGGGGTTTGTCTGCATACTCATAACATAGGTAGGAGGAAGTTGAGAAGAATGGCTGCCTTTATCCACATAGCGTTGCTGCAAGTGTCAAGCGAAAGATCTGCAAGACAGTTCTAACGTTCTGAATTTGATCAAGAGGGGGGGGATCAAATGAACGATATGTGATATGCAAGATTCAATTAGGGGGATCACTGGGGCATGACGATTAAATTATTCGAATATCAAAAAAGGAACGGCGGTTGGGACGATTCAACGACACAACATGGACAGCAGGTGTCAGCACTCAACAGCAGGCTACACAGTAGCGACAGCAGCAGTGGTTCGCAAGGACAGGACGAGCAACGTGACAGAATGAGAGAAGATCGTCAGTCAGCAAGATGGATGATTGTCAGATAGAAACAACTTCCAGGGCCAAAAGCGGGTACATGGTCCTAATAATGTATCGATCAGCCATCGAGGGCCACGGTGAAAATCCTCGGGCTTTTTACCTTAAAATCTCTCTAGGTTCTTCCCCCCAAGCAAATGCCAAGTTGCCAACGCCTGACCATATGGGCTTCAGGGCCGGTGCTGGCGTGGATGTAATTGTTCGAAATTTCCATGGGGGCGACGATTGGACCGGAGAACGGCCGACCCAGTTAACCAAGAAGAGCGGGGTTTTGACTTTGCGACGGCTTCACCCTTTTACGATCAGGATACGGTCGACCAAGAAAATAATCATGCGATGGTGGCTCTGCTGCCAGGGCTGAGGAGGGGGATTACGTATGACGGGGGACTACGGAAGAGCACATACATATGAAGCCGCCCTCTCGACTCCGTTATGTTGGCCATATATGCAGGCCGCATAACTGTCGCTCTTGCGGCGAAACACCAGGCGCATGTCGAGTCCTCCGCCTAGCGCCAATCGCAGTTCATTTCGCTAGTGTATAAGTGGGTCGGTTATCCAACATGTATTCGAGGATCAAGACAGGTTTTCCACGCCAACGCTAAGTCTCATCTATCGGCTACGACTGATCCATCTTGATTCATGTATCATCCATGTATCAGGATATCTGTGACTACACATAAGTCATAACTAACCATTCACCTAGGTAGTAACTAGGTAGCAAGTCGGCTATGAATTGTTGGTAATACGCTGTAATGCCCAGACATCGGATCTCGGGCGGAACGTCATTTTGCCGATCCAGGGTGCCCGGAAGCACTAGCGGAGTGTCGGAGCCAATGAGTCCATGGAAGCGATGGCGTGGCTTTCCCGTTCGTGGTACTTTGCATGGCGTACCGTTCGGTGGTTTTACTCGACTGGAAATAAGATTCTGACTGCCCTGCAGGGGAATAATTCCATTTTTTACATACGGAGTACCGCACGGTGTAACATTCGTTAAGGGGTAGGCTTGACGGAGTCACCGAGGTCCATGTCCCTTATATTTAAAATCAGTCTTGCTCCTGGTCAATTTTCGAGTTCACTTGGAAAGAGATTCATCATTATTTCACCAAGCCTGATACTCGTCAGCGATTAATATCCGTTGGTCCACTCCACTGTTGCCTTTGACCTCAGTGGAGGTTATTATTAGAAAGTTTTAATACGTATTACCGGTAATGTAACCAAACAGCCATACCTAATTTCTATCCGTCCATCCATCCAGGTAATTTCTATCCATGGAAGCTCTTATCTTGCCTCGAGTAGGTAGCTCTACTATGTACATCTACATCATCATCATTATTTTATTTTTGTTTTGTGGGCACGGACTTCGGGGTCTTTGTGACATTATAACAGATGTTAATACTCCGGATGAAGTCTCATCCTTCTGGGGTCCGTATGTCTGATGGCACCATCATGCGTATTATCACGGTGATTGCGAATCCCAGCGCTCCATCATGCATTATCGAGACCAAAGAACTAGAGCAAAATGCCTATGCTCAAGAATTGAAATGAAGTTTCTTCTTGATTCATAAGATCATGCGCTCCAGGTAACTAACTCACACATAACAACTTTGGACTCGTACATAGCAATGGAGTGTGTACTCAATTCCAGCCAAGCCAACGCCACAAACAAAGTCAGCCCCCCACACTTTAATCCGGCTCACACGACAGGTTCTGAAGTCCGAACGCATTAATGCCAAGTGCCAAGCGTCCTGTGTTTATTATTTTGATGATGATTCGGTCGTCTTCTCGAGAATAGTCTTCATCATCTCGTTTCCAAGCTTGGCGGCCTCTGGGAACCGAGGAGCGAAATATTCTTGGATTCGTTCGAAGCGGTGACGGTAAGACTCGAAGTCACCAAAGGAAACGCAGTCGGACCAGGCCTAATATTCACAAGGATGATGTTAGTAGCTAGATCAACAAGGCACAATGCAATTCACTGCATTAGTGTCGCACTTGTGCAACACTTCAGTGCATGTGCTTACCCGAGCTGCAAAGGTGAATTCAAGATCGTCCGAACGGAAAGTATTGTCGTCAATCGCAGTATCCAAAGCCTCATCAAGGAGTTCGGGGTTACGAAACAGATACTCGGTCACACCCAACCACAGACGAAAGAGCTACGCAATAGTTAGCAGGTTCATCAATATACACCAGTGATAACAGTGTAAAGTCAATCGGCAGGGTCACTGACTGGGGTGGAGCAAATCATGTGGTCATAAGGGACAATGCCAAGTCTTGACCAGCAATCAACAATTGCAAGCAGACTGAGATGATTGTTGGGAGGAGCCTTTTCGCGAGACCGGTTCGAAAGGGAAAAGCGATCGAGCACTTCATCCTTCAGGAGCAAATCTTGTCCTTCCGTTCCTTCTTTGAAGACAGCGGCACCCGCAGCCTTAACCCGACGCTTGAGCTCTTCTCTGTGTCCGCCAATGACGAGTTTATACAACTCAGTCACAGATTGCGCATACTGCCGGATCTGCTCCTTTGCAGCAGGGTTGAGGATAGCAAGTCCAGCATAGACATGCCACTTATTGGAGTAGATGCGTAATGTAATATTGATTTTTACATTCTCAATTCCACCAATCCAACGTGACATTTCCCACGGGAACTGGTTGTTGGCTTGCCATGCGGTTCCCATACTCAGGAAGGCAGCGTGTGTTACGGCCTGTGTATCTGCAGTAATGCGGTCATGCATTTCACCTGTGAGATAAACATACTCAGATTCGAAGGAAGACAAGACTTCTTCAACGAATTTAAGACTCTCGTCGGAGGCTCGATGTTTGATCAGGACCTATACCAGTTTGTTATCATAACAAGCCAACAAACCATATACGGCGCATAGCATACCAGGGGCTGTCCTTTAGGATTCACTTTAGGGCCATGGAGGGAATGGCAAGATACGACTTCTACATCCGCGGGAAGGTGTTTGTCGAATGCAGCCAGCTCCGGGGCCTTGCAGGACGTTTGGCCACCGACGATTGCACCGACCTTGGTTGCTTTCCACACGAGTCAGACAACAGTATCGAAAAAGTACCAAGTTGCCTTGGTTTGAAAAAAATTTGGACATACATGGCCCATACTGTGCGACTACCCTGTCGATAACTCCAGCTTCTACACTGTATAAAATGAAATCGCTAACTCTTGAAACCAGATGTCCATTCGGGAGAATTGTAACTCCTTGCTATATAGGATGAGTTTATGGGTTGTGTGACGCTGAGCAAAAGACATACTTGAGAAGCGAATTCTTTTTGCAGGTCTTCATAGTTTTCAGTCTTGTCACACGCGTTTATCCTTGAATATATCTGCTGTTAGTATAACTGTTCGGATTCTACCGAGAGATACAAAATACAATAAAAAAGACCTATTGAACCGAGAGTTAGCATCATGTCGACAAACAGTAGATGCGTGGCAGATAATCAAAGACAATGTTCGAAATTTTTCAGACAAAGAAAAATAAGGTAGCTGAGATTTTACATCATCGACGACCTGGCTGCCAACCATCATGCCAGAATGGCATGATAATCAGAGGCTGCCAGGTCATACTCGAGCCAAATGCACTCAAGTCATCATTCAAACAGAGGGGCAGAAGGAGAAGGGAAGGAAGATTCTTACCTAAAGCAAAACTCGCACGCATGCTGAGATAACAAAGGGAAAGCCATCGAGATTACCTCCACCCTGCCATGCTGAGACGCTGGGTATACATCTTGCCCATGTCTCCCATGCCGATAATGCCAATAGAGGCATTTTCCTTCGTAAGCACCATTATGAGTCACTTGCCTCCTGAGGCCGAGTAGCAATTTCGAATTTCAGATCAAAAACCTATACCCCAAGGTACAGGTAACTCAGAGAGTGTAGAGCACAACAGCAAATATACTGGAGCTACTACCAGTTCAAAGACACCCTCACTTCTGTCGAGGGCAGTTTTGATTATTCAAAGGAAAGAAGGTGTGAGTGTGTAAAGGAAGATTTAAATACCCAAGTAGCGCGAGAGAAAATTGCTAGCTGACCGCCCTGTCGGCCCGACTCCTATGCCGGGGATTTCGACGATCAACTGTCTTTTTTTATGTATGCCTCAGGCACCAGCTCGCTTGAGCACGGCCGTGAGTGACTCTCAGCCAATGAGCGTTCGACAAGCCCGCTAGGGCACACCATCCATTTTCTTGTATCCAAGTCCTTGAGCGACTTCGTTTTTTCTTCTTTTTTTCCTCTCCATATTCCATCCCCAACCAGCACAATGCCTCCCAAGAAGACCACCCCTGCCGCTAAGGAGAACGTCTCTCTCGGCCCTCTGGCCGGAGATGGTATGTTTAATTTCAGTGTCGATTTACAATGATCATCATTAACGTTTTATACCAGGCAAGCTCGTTTTCGGTGTTGCCCGCATTTTCGCCTCGTTCAACGACACCTTCGTCCACGTTACCGATCTCTCGTTCGTAATCCCCCTTTTGCAGTCTTTGCGCGAATTCCACGGACTTCGATATAAGCCGATAGTAGGGTCATTGAGGAAGATATAATCGCTAACGGGTTTACAGCGGTCGCGAAACCATCTGCCGTGTTACCGGTGGTATGAAGGTCAAGGCTGACCGTGATGAGTCTTCTCCTTACGCTGCCATGTTGGCTGCCCAGGATGTTGCTGCTCGTTGCAAGGAGCTCGGCATCAACGCCCTCCACATCAAGATCCGTGCCACTGGTGGTAAGTTGCGACTTGGTTTATATCTTTTGAGTTGTCAGCAGGCACTAATGGCTTTCATAGGTAACGGCACCAAGACCCCCGGTCCCGGTGCTCAGTCTGCCCTCCGTGCCCTCGCTCGTTCCGGCATGAGAATCGGCCGTATCGAGGACGTCACCCCCACCCCCTCCGACTCTACTCGTCGCAAGGGTGGTCGCCGTGGTCGCCGTTTGTAGAAACGTGCAGGTGTGTCTTTTCCGACTTGTGCAAGGCTTTTGCATGGCTGGAATGGAGGCTACCCGCCGGGTCTCTTACCTGCGGATATGGATGGAATAAACGCGAAGAACGGCAAATCTCGCCTGGTCTTCAATTTTTTCCAAAAAGCATTTTGTTTGTTTTCGGTTTTGGTAGTTAGGTAGAATATGTGGTTACATAGCAGCTACTCCCGTCAATCAACACCTTGGCTGAAGACACTTTTTTTCAAACGGTCAAGTCCACGCAGCATCCGACGCCGTTGCGTGAAATTGGCTTTCGTAGAGCTTATTTCGTACTCTTTGAAATTTTTTACCAAGCATGGCGGCTTGGGTGTGCATTCTATGTTGTGAAGTAAGGGAACGTATGGTCTTCAAATAAATAAGATAAGATAAAATAAAAATAAAAGTAATTCAATCTAAGAACTAACGATTTTTTAACCTTTGGTCGGAGATCATTAATTTTTGATGTTTCTAGCCTGGGCGGGACAGCTACCTAAGCTAGGCAGGCCTACTAAGATCGCAAGATTCAAGCAGCAGTTCAGTCAGGTCTTTACTACTGCCAACCACATCTTTTACCGCAATTTTGGGCCAAGAATATTACGCCCATACGCAGGTTCAGCAGGCAATAATCCCTAAGGATATCTCAATTTTAAAGTTTTGAATACCACTGTCTTCTTCTGGTCGCTACCCACTCGATGCTATCATGAATTGACGTCAGGTTTGGAATCTGCATTGCTAGAGCAGTTATCTAGCACATCACCAAGAAGAAACTCATACCTTCAACGGATTTTGTATATTGTATCTTGGGGATCCTGCTTTACATTCGCCGATACAATAAGGGTCACGCTACAGTCATGCCTCCCTTCCTCTCACCGTCCCCCACCATCCTCATTCCTAACCTGCCACCAAAAACTCTCGTCGGTATCGATCTCATCACCTTCACATCCACGGCCAATTTCCATGGAATACGCGATCTCCCGAATGGATGGCACTTTCTATACTCGGGTACAACAGAGACTCTGTCTCTCAGATGTGGTGGATGGTTTTACGTTGGCGATATCAATACCCTTCAAGCTAGCCACGATGGAGCCATTGTCCCAACGCGACGGGCGGATCTGGGGCCGGAAGTTGTCATTTGGAAATGGAATGCAGATACCGAGTCTTTGATACCTCTAAAGGGTGATAATGATGCAGACAAACAAGAAGCTATGCGACATAAAGCAAATCCGGGAGCAGTCTGGCAAAGCGGGGGACTGTTTCGGTACCGAAGTCGTGTACCGTCGCCATTGGTGGGGAAACAGATACCTATGCAAGATGAGATTGACGAGGAACTTGAAGAAGAAGGGAAAAGTAATTGGGATGGATTGACCAACAGACTATCTCCAGCACTCTTGTCGCGAATTATCGGGGATCCAGAATGGGATGTTGACGGCCGGCCTCGCTGGATGGTCACGTCTGCTGGAACAGCAAACAAAGATTCTGAAGAAATTCCAGGTATCGCAAATTCTGCAGAAGCCTTTAATGACTCGGGGGGAGCTATTGAGGAACAAGATGAATTCACTTTCCTCCCAATTGATCTAAAGAGAACTTGGAGAGAAGGCGCTATTGGACGGGAGAGAACTGAAGCTGCTCAAGATCGCTCGTGGGCCCTCGGGGATCTGATACTCCGGTATTCAAGCACGATCGAGGATACAAAAGATAATATATCTGGAGAAGCGCAGATACTGGGTGAACTGCAGTTCTGTTTCCTAATGACTTTGACATTGATGAATTACTCATGTCTCCAGCAATGGAAACGATTGCTAGGCTTGATCTTAACTTGCCGAAGTGCAATAAAGGATAGGGAGTTGTTTTTTAGGGATTTCCTAGCACTGCTGCTGCTTCAACTCAAAAGATGTGATGATGTCGACGGAGGACTGTTCGAAATCGACGGTGATGAAGGCGGAAGGTTCCTGCGAAAGCTTCTGATGAAGTTCAAGATACTACTCCATGAGGTTGTCGGCGATACTGGGTCCATCGTCAAAACTGAGTTTGAAAAACTAGAAAGATGGGTACAAGAAGAACTCGACTGGGAACTGAATCGCGATGCTTTTGTTCGGAAAGGTATGTTTCAATTGGAAGATGGAGAGGAGGTGGAGCTAGAAATGGAAGACGACGAAGACGACGAGACTGGTGAGTATGCTCCAATGGTGGTAGAAACAGAATAAGGCAATCCTGCATAAAACATGGATATAAGAAATGCTATATATTTAAAATTGGATGGCTTTCCTCGGTCAATAGGATAAAAGTATTTGTATTGAGGACTGTCGTAGATATATATTCCAGTGACTGCTGGCCAAATACAGTCAATTCTGTTATACTATCCTCTATCTTATTACACGTGTATTAGTTTACCGACAGTTTTTTTATAGCTACTGCCAGAGTTTTTATATGTGTGTGCTGGTACCCTGTAGCCACTATCCACCATGCACTCAAGTCACGCAGAAGCACGCCATGGAGATAATTGGGAAGCGGAGTAAGAGTGTCTATCAGTGAGGAGAAAGTGCTCCAGCTTCTCACACCCCTCATGACCTCAAGATCTTTACACCAACAACCTCTTACAAGGTCAATCGATTTCCTAGGGTATATATATAATGATGAAAGCCGAACCAACTCATGAGGACGGCCAGCCCCTTTCCTTGGATATACCCACTTCTCGAAATACAGTAACAGTCCGAGTTATCGATACCACGACTGAAATGATCCTAGGGGTAGGAAACATTGTCTACCCCCGTATCACCGGCCACACGGAATTTATCTTTCCTTCTTATTCCTTTCTGGTGGAGCATGAGCCTTCGGGAAGAAAGGCTCTATTTGATTTGGGGGTACAGAAGAATTGGGAGCAGCAAGCGCCCATGATTATTGATCGAATTAAAAATAATAGATGGTCAGTGAAGGTGGAAAAAGATGTGGTAGACATCTTGGAAGAAAATGGCTATCGGGGAGAGCAAATTGAAGCTGTTATATGGAGGTAAAATTCGATTGTCTCTAATTATTAGGTACAGTACAGTTGATGACGTCTCTTTTCCCATAGTCATTACCATTGGGATCACCTTGGAAACCCATCACGATTCCCCTCTTCAACCGCCATTGTCGTCGGACCAGGGTTTAAGGAGAGGTTTTTTCCTGGGGGAAATGCAGCCCCCAATTCTCCGATAAAAGAAGAATACTATCAAGGACGTGGTCTTCAGGAGATAAAAACGGAAGACTTCTCCATGAATATTGCAGGGTTTGGGGCGTTCGATTACTTTGGCGATGGTAGCTTTTACCTCCTTGATACTCCTGGGGTAAGTAAAGATATTATTTGGGAGAAATATGAAGACTTACGACTCATTTAGCATGCCACGGGTCATCTTTGTGGTCTCGCCCGTACAACTCAAGACACCTTTATCTTCATGGGAGGCGACATCGCACATCACTGTGGTGAATTTCGACCCAGCAATCATCATCCAATACCCTCGAAGCTATTCCCAAACCCCCTGGATCTTTCATCCGTTCTTCCTTGCCCTGGATCCCTCTTCACATCAATCCATCCTGATGGCCGCAGTGATACGCCATATTATCGCATCGGGACTTGGCCCGACGGATCGACCGCAGCAGACGATCTTCAAGAAGCAGAAAAGAGTCTTAAGAAGTTGGAAGTATATGATGCGAAAGCAGACCAGGTATTTGTTATCCTGGCTCACGATCCAGCGATGCGCGGTGTGATCGACTTCTTTCCAAGTGACGTGAATCGATGGAGGGAAAAAGGTTGGGGAGAAAAGACGAGATGGGCGTTTCTGCGGGATTTCAAGAATGCAATTCAGTTTCCAGGCCGAATTGATTAACGATAAAGAAACCTTGATGTTGATGCAATTGAAAAAAATGGCGGTGGCCATTGATAACCTCTATATATGAACGTTTGACACCACAAAGTTGTCATCACGTTAAACTCAATCGTCAATATATACATTTTGTCTATTAAATCTCCGTGGTGTCATCAAAGCTTAATTTTCAACTTCTCCTTCGATGACATAGGCCCATTCGTGGTCTTCCTTGCCGTACATGATGGCCTCAAGCCATGACTTGATCTGCGCTGCGTATCCGGCACGCTTGACGCCTGCTTCAAGCATGTTCATGTCGACATCACCATTTCTGATCAGCTGGACGGGGCAGATAAAGTACTGCATTACTGATTAGCATTTTCAACGAAGACATTTTCTGAGATAGAACAGGAAACTCACAGCAGTGCCGGAGACGAATGCCTCAACAATGCGGCCCTCCTTCCAGGCTTCTTCGACCTCACCGATAGTCAAACTCCTCTCAACAACGTCAAGGGGTGCAAGGCTTTCATTTGATTGGGAAAGCTGAGATCGTGCCAACTCCAAAACACTTCGTCGCGTGACACCAGGGAGAATCAGCTGGCTGTCCAAAGGAGCGGTGACAAGCTCGAGTTTCCCAGTTTCCTTGTTGTCCCAGACGATAAAAAAGTTACTGGCACCTGCCTCGGTGACCTGACGGTCTTCACCGAACAACCAAAGGACTTGGTCAAAGCCCAACCCCTGAGCTTGGCCATGGGCTGCCAACGAAGGACCATAGTTTGCACCAAGTTTGGCGTATCCAAAACCGCCTGGCCAAGCGCGGATGGTTTCTGGTGCTGAGGCAAGAAGCTTCAGACCCTGTGGAGTGCTCGACTGTTCTGGCTTCTTCTTGGAGGGATCAGGCCATGGCACCGCAATGATGAACAGGAGAGCTTCTTTGGGGGTCTGAACGCCCAACTGCGTGCCGTTTCCAATGACGGTGGGTCGAATGTACAAGAACCGACCGGGTTGGTCCTTGGGGAGCCAGCCTATGGCACATAAACATGTTAGACTCTTTGCTTAATAATTGAGTAGACAAAGGGTACATACGGGGTCCGTCGATTTGGAGCAACTTGCCAACCAAGCGCTTGAGCTCTTCGTACCGGAAACCAGGCAGAGAAGTCCTCACAGCACTGTTGGCGAGTCTCTCTCCATTGCAGTCTGGCCGGAACAGACGCAGCTTGCCATCATATCCTCTGTACACCTTCATACCCTCGAAACACTCAGTGGCATAGTGCAAACAAGATGCGGTAGGGGGAATGCTGAGATTCTCAAACGGCTTCACTTCAGGCGTCTCCCATCCATTGTTCACAGTCCACCGGACAGTCACCATGTGGTCTGAGCAGTGGGAGTGACTCAATTCCTCTGGAGAACCCGGCAGGGGGACATCGCGAAGGGTTGTCGAACGAGTGACCTTGATCTCAGATGCATCAAGCTCTCTCAATTTAGGCGCAACGGATCCCATTGTGGAATTAAATAGATCGGTGTCGGCTTCAAGATGTTCTCAGCGGGGCGATTGACTTATACGGCGTGCACTTGGAGAAAATCGACGTCGGCGCAAGAAAGATGCGGTTTTATGATGGAGAAACAAAAAACGGAATGGCGATTGAGTCACGCCCCCGCCATTTTATTCTCCTACCACGATGACCTAGACCCATATTTTCCTTGTCGGAGAAAATCAGAAACAACTAGAAAAGAGTTTTTCTCTCTCCCGAGCGGAGTCATTCCTTTGGAACGCCATCGATATCCGAAGTGCCAAAGATATCGGACTGGCAAATACTCATGGTAATCGCATCAAAAAAAGGTACCCAGGGCCTTATTCATTGGCTGTAGCGATCATTTTACAGGTCCTCAAACACCTAGAAGTCGACTTCACCATTCTTCAGTCTTTGCAAATATGCGCGCCCTTCGCAATCAATTCCCTGTCGCTGTCACGCCCTTTTGGGCGTATTCTTCTTATCCAACAAAATCCCACCCACCGCCTTTGCCCCCTCAATGGGATGCCGACTCTAACCGCAGGCGGGGAGACAAAACTCGGATAGTCCCCCCGAGAACTGGACGTGGTTACACTTGCACACGTCGGGTACGGTGGCCGTTGCGATGATTCCCGCTGCCATGGACATGGTATTCGTCAAAGACGATCAATTTATTCAGCAGAAATTCAACGACATATCTCAACAACGGGGCCGAAGGGAGAGAGCATGATATGGACCCACCCACTGCACTGGACCAGAGATATAAACCTCAGAATGCACCCAGCAAGACAGGGCTTGAGAGGACAGTAGTATCGGATTTGATGCTGGATTTGATTGAAGACTAAAATTATGCTGCTCTTCTTGCTAAATATGTATTAGGCTCGATTGAGTCCATGACAGCAGACCCACCCGACAAAAAGCAATATGATTCTCAGAGATAGCGACAATAATGTACTATGTATGTTCTTCTATCGATATTTATTTGACGAACAACATAAGACTTATTGATCTGCGGTCATGAAAACTACTCGAAACCAGAATTCGGGAATCGGTAAGCCTTGGTGCTGTGTAGGCGTTCGTCCAACTGTCAGCACCTTAAACCAACCAACTTTTTCACCATCCTTGAATGTCATTCCGATCAACCGGTATAGCCTGCATGTTAGTGGGTGGCTGATGGAAAGCTGTCGAATTCTATCCGGTTTTTATTCATAGTCTGGGTTGGCAGGAGAACATCTGATTTGATGAAAAGTCGTGGCGGGTGGCGGCAGATCATGCACCCCCTCCCGTTTGCACTACCGAACAACGAATGAATAAATCCGGGGTCAGTCCAGATTATTCTTGAGGTTATTCGGGCTTATTCGGATGGCACTTCCGACGGTACTTATGACAAATACCCCAGCGCCTAGTGTGTACCGATGAGATGGTGTTCCAAGGTTGGTGTTATCAGCTCCACCTCTCCTCCTAACTCTAAGTACCTACACATAGCAGTTACATATGTCGGCTTGCTCAGTCTAGGATTAATTAGAGGCTTTCCTAGTTATGCTAGGGGCTCGGGGATGATGGGGATACTTTGGTCGACCCCCTTATTGTTGACTTCGACTTTGCAAGGTTCAAATCCCGGTCTCCTGAGCCGCGACGTGACATTCCCGTGTTTCAACCATTGCATTGCACAAAGCACCATGTACATTGCCAAGGCATTGAACGCAGGAAGGCAAGGTCGATTATTCAAGACAAATGGGTGGTCATCCGGTATAGAACACGCAATCTGATTGTGTTTGGATAGCTCCGAGGAGATATGGTCGCATGATAGTCAAGGGATCTTTCCTTTGATGGTAAGTTCTGGGATGAGCAGGACTTGAGGGAAGCAAACAAGTTGTTAGTTGGGTCTGTAAGCAATATGGGCGGGATAGAAACTGGGCTAATTGAGCTTCATGAATAATGCTGGAAAATGGTGGGAGAGAGAATTTACCCACCGCCGGATCAGATTTCCACCTATCATTGTTTTTGTTGTGTTGCTAAAGGCATCTACTAGTGACGGTCTTTTTTGGTTCATTTTAATTTTGTTCTTGACGATTATCTCATCTGAAATCTCTTTTTGTCAACATAATTTTCCATGCAGTGTTCCCTTCGGATGTCTGCCAGGTAAAGATCTCCGACCAACAGGCTCTCACGGCTGGTGCTTCGGTGGCCAACAGCCCTATGTAGGAGTAACATAGAAAGATGACCAGAATCATGAATTCTTGAGTTGATCAGGAGGAATCAGAAGGTTTCGCCATGGAACATAGATAATGGTTCGGTGGAACGGTCTAATACATATCCTCTTTGTTATTCCTGCATGAGCATGGTGCGTCTGGCAATAGTTGTATCGTGAAGCCAAACTGGGCTGCCACGGAAACCTGATTAAAAAAAAAAAAAAAAAAAAAAAAAAAAACCACTGCCGAGCTGTCCACAGACAACAATACATCCGGCGTGATGAATACCTATCTTGTTTCACCCTGTCATCAGCAATAGCATGTCTTGAGCATAATCTCGAGCCAATTTCCCTGTCTCTCTGCCCGGAATCTAGAAGATCGCTGGGACACGGAAAGCCCGTTCCAACCCCCATAAAGGCTGACCAACCGCGCCTGTTGGCTGCGTGACCAATGTCCTGACCCTGCAAGGCTGGCGTATTTTGGATATAGCTTGTTGGTATCCCTTCCCCACCTTCTTGGACAAGTCGCTTGAATCATTTTTGAATCACTGTCAATCGTCTGGCGGCGGGACCTTCCGTCTTCCTGAAAGTCGATATTCTTAGCACTTAGCGACCATTATAGCCAAACGCGACATGGCCTTTCCCTCTGCACCCCGCCCTCACACTGCGTTAGAAACGCATCTTGCCTGACCCCAGCGCTTCGAGTTAGACGTGGTGAGATGCTCGACGAGTTCCCAGCACATCTCTGCCGCCACAAACACCCAACCCTCAGCGACGCAGCCCGACCCCTCGATCGTACCTGTCCCTGAACACTATCTATCCGCTTCATAATCCTTCCCACTCAAAAGGGGAAAACGGAAGAGGAAAACAACGGCTTGGTGCATTTGGACTTCATGCGTGGCTGATCCAGTTATACTTTCCTTCCCTTTTTAATTCTCTTAACGCCTGGCGCGGAAGTGAGGCTGAAGATGACCTCCAAGGATCACAACAAACATCTTCCAACCCTTGCTCCAGGGCCAGGTGGTGTTATCCCGTCTAAATCGAAAAGGCTTCTCCCGGGCCCCAAAAAGAGTTCTGTGGCTTGTTTGCAATGTAAACAAGCGAAAAGAAAGGTATTGCGGCCCCGGCCACTAGAGTTCTGAGTTTTCTGCGTTGAGTCCCCTCCCAAAAGGAGAACCAACTCGCATGAATTCTCTCGAAAAGATATCAAATATTGAACTCGCTAACTGACTGCTTTTTGTTGAATTTTAGTGCAGTGGAGGCACGGCACCTTGCATAGCATGTGAAAGTGCCCATGTCGAGTGTGTATTCGATGAGTCCCTCGATCGAAGGCGCAAGGTCAGTGCGAAGCGTACAAAAGATGAATTGGAACACTATCGAGGGCTGTTATATTCTTTGTTAGAGTCTCTTCGCTCTTCGGAGACGGGTAAATTCAACGAGGTCGTCAGCTTGATACGAAGCAATTCGCCCTTGGACAGGATCGCCAGCATCATTTCAGCAACAACTATCGGTTTTGGAGAAAAAAGTCCAGCAGAATCCCCGAGAACCACAAGCCCAGATCCCCCCCGGCAATCGAGTCTGCTGGAGGCCCAACCTGCTGATTATGGCTCACGAGTATCATTGGAAAAGCTGTGCGATATACCTTTGTTCCAAATACGGGCGAAGCCTTGGACGAGTGTCACTGAGGATGATCATCTCGTCTCACATTTGGTTTCTTTGTACTTCACGTGGGTACATCCATTCTTGCTGCTGTTCGATCAGAAGATCGTCCTGGATCGTATGGCTGCAGGAAGCTCTAGCCCAGAGGTTTGCACTCGATTTCTGGTCAATAGCATCCTAGCAGTGGCAAGTGTATGATATCGTAACTTCTTTGGCAAACGGTCCATGGCCCCTTTTAACTGAGATATAGGCATACTCTGACTACACAGAGGTTTTAACCATCCCCGGCGATATAAATTCTCGTGGTCGACTCTTTTATATGGAGGCAGAAAAACTTTGGAGATCCGAAGAGGGTAGAGCCACGTTGCCGAATATTCAGGGCGTGGCTCTCATGGCCCATTTGTATGCATTGATCTTCAAAGAACCTGCCCACTGCAAGTCCAGTCAACTGAATCAGGCTAATACATCTGTAGCTTGAAATGTCAGGGCAAGAGTCGACCTGCCTGGTTGATGTTGAAGCAGGGCGTCCAGCTTGCCCAGGATTTTGGATTGTTCCAATCCCCAAAAGCATTTCGCCCCCCTTGGAAGGAGATGTCTGAAGACATACAGCATGTCTCTGCAGTCACAGCTTGGGGCGTCTTCATCTTGAACTTGTATGCCTTTCAATTTTCTTTAGTTCCAGTGATATGCGACCAAACTAATTGAATTGCCTAGGCAGGTATCCATGGAACTTCAAACAATTGCGAACCTAGCCCTCCCCATTTTGAAGCCTTTTGAAAGGGAGTCTGCTGATCGTGATATCTGGTGGACTCCGTATCCTCGCTCAAACCAGGTGGATTATGCCAAGAAGCCCGCCCTTTTCGGTTATATTATGACTGAGATTGCCAAACTGACTGAGGTTATCGTGGATATCCAGGGTTTGCTGTTTGACAAGGCGTTCTATATAAGCATTGATGGTCTCTGGACAATGGCGAATGAGCTGCACCATCGTCTGCAGTTATGGCTTAAGAGCCTGTCAGATGTTCTGAACATCGACGACCAGCCACTCCCACAAGTGATATTTCTGCGGTAGGAATGACCAAGACTCCACGTGCTCATCAATGTGCCTGCTTTGCTAACACGTTCCTAGTATCAAATGCCACCAGACAATCATGTCACTGTTTGCTCCCTTTTCGTACCACGCAAACTTTCGGCAAGCTGGACGTATACAGCTTCAATCTGCAAGGGAAATAGCACAATATATCCTCATTCAATGTCAATGCTATGGCCTAAAACAGAGCCCAAGCCACTTTATTGAAGCTACTAACAGTAGTATTCTTGTGCTGCTATGGAATTTGGACGATGACGGGTGTAGAGATACATTCGTTCAGCTCTGTCGAGTCATGGTGGCTTTCAGCAAAAGATTTAAATCAGCCAAGGTAATGATTGATGGAATTCACCCGATCATCGAAAATTCGCAAATTGTGTTACCACCCGAGGCTCTAGGTATTCTGGACTACGTAGAGTCTGGGGAATCACCTGAGCCGTGATACCCAGTCGTGAAAATCCGCTTTCCAAATGATAAAAATTGTCGCCTGGTCTGGCCTCCTTTGGCACTGTGAAAGCGCACACTCATCTTGACGGGGGTGGCGAGGGCATAAAACGGAGGACGGTGTCGGCTGGGGAATTCAAGGACCTAGGAAAAAGCACGCTTCTGGATGATTAAGTGACATTAACGTGAAGGAGAGTCGGGCTTTCCTAAACGATTGGTCATGCTAAGTGACGAATATTGGCATGTCTGCTGAGTTCATCAGTCTATCCTTCCCATTAGTTATTGTCTAAGACTTTTGGCGAGCAAAGGCAAAGTTTGTCACTACATCCCGTTGATGTTTTTTGACATGGACGAAAAATTAAAGAAGAATGGCTTAGAGATAAAATATCGGAAAAGAAGATGGGTTGTCCTGCACACGGAGCAGGATTAATGATGGAATAGGGAAGGAATAATGATGGATGGATTGTTGGGCTGCAGTCTGGCATGCTTGATTTGGCTGGATAAATTATCCGGACGCTTCTCAATGGTCAACAGAGCAAGCATACTATGGAGAACCCGCCGGAGTCGCTACTACCTATTAGTCCTCCATCCATGGGCCATATTTATCTTACCTCACAGAATCGCCAATTCCTGCTGTCTTTAATTGGCAGAAGATGCTGGCTATGCGTCTCTTTCACCTCGCGGAGAATGCTTATGGCAATGATTGTTTGCTGACTCCCACGTCTTGATTTTTGCTGTGGTTCACTCGACTCCCTATTTTGCCAATGGAGCCACAACTATGCCCTGTTTGCACAGCTTGGTATTGAACGGCTTGAGTGATGCATGTTGCTTCTCATTCGAAAAAGGGATAGCAGGAGCGTCGAAGCCGGGTATTGCTTCATCTATGTATGAAAAATCCTCCAATTCTTTTACCCTGCAATGAAAAGTTACTTGTTACTTGTTACTTGTTTTTTTCTTTTCTTTTTTCTCTCTGAGAGGGGGATATAGGAGAACATGTTGTGTAGAAGCCCTGTTTACGGAGGTCCGTTTTCTCCTACCTTCATACCACCCATACTTCAATATTTATATCATCGTAGACAGATATAAATAGACTGAGGGAATTCTTGTAGAAGAATTGAAGAAAAATTTCGTCCATATAAAATACAAACCCCAAATAATGCATTTGTTGAACGCCTGTCTTCATAGCTGACTCAGCAATCACTTATGCACAGATAAGATAAGCACAAATGGTACAAGCGAAAACCCTCAAAATTCGACTCCGGCGAAACGATCGAAATCCCACACGCCGACGCCAAGTAGCTACGCAAGCCGACGTGCCCTACCACCTTCCCCATCCTTCGTCTCCATACCGACTGGGTGATCCCCCTGCTTATTTGACAATCTTTACATCCTCGAACGACCTTTTGTCAAGATGTCCTACGACGAGCGCGCCAACGCGCGCCCCAACCTGGGCGACGAGTCCGATGTCGAGGAGGAAGCGCTGGTCAACGACTACCGTGAGCAGGTCAACTTTGACGATGGCATGAGTGACCTGGAGAGGACAACATCGCTTGGAGGTGCATCTCAAACGCAAGATCTTCAGGCACAGCTCGCTGCCGCTGCGACCCCGCTTGAATACCAGGCTACGTTGGAGACCAAGTTCGCAAGCTACGACAACTACTGCAACCTTTTCCACTATATCTTGAACTCGGAAGGTCCCGTTGAGCTCGAGGTTCCCTCTGTATGTGTTATTTTTACTCCCACAAGATGCAAACTCCCCCGCGCTTTGTTTGTGCGGTGTGTGCGGGTTGAATGTGTGTGTGTGTGTATGTGTGTGTGTGCATTAATTAGCTAATCCGTCATTCTTTATCAAATAGTACTACTGGGCCTGGGATGTGATTGATGAGTTCATCTACCAATTCGAGTCGTTCTGCCGCTACCGCAACCGTGTCGCTCGCAGCGGATCCAACGAAGAAGAAGCACAGCTGCTCCGTGAAAACCCCAACACATGGGGATGCTACTCCGTGCTCAATGTTCTCTACTCTCTCATCCAGAGATCGCAGATCAACGAGCAGCTGGCTGCCATCAAGCGTGGTGAGGACCCGTTGGCTTTTGCCGGAGAGTACGGCTCTCGCCCTCTTTACAAGATGCTGGGCTACTTCTCCATCATTGGACTCCTCCGTGTCCACTGCTTGCTCGGTGACTTCAGCCTTGCCCTCAAGACCCTTGATGACATTGAGATGAACAAGAAGGCCATGTTTGCCCGTGTCATGGCAGCTCACTTCACCACATACTACTACGTGGGTTTCTCCTACATGATGATGCGCCGCTATGGCGATGCCATCCGCATGTTCAGCCACATCCTGGTCTACGTCTCCCGGACAAAGAACTTCCAGAAGGGTGGTAACAGCTACGATGCTATTGCCAAGAAGAACGACCAGATGTACGCTTTGATCGCCATCTGTGTTGCTCTCCACCCCACCCGTCTCGACGACACCATCCACTCCGCTCTCCGCGAGAAGTATGGTGAGCAGCTCCACCGCCTCCAGCGTGGTGGCCCCGAGGCCCTCCCTCTGTTCGAAGAGCTCTTCCGCTCTGCTTGCCCCAAGTTCATCAGCCCCACCCCACCTGACTTTGACAACCCATCTGTCAACGTCGACCCCGTTGACCACCACACCGCTATCTTCATGGACGAAGTCAAGAACACCCTGTACAACCCCACCATTCGGTCGTACCTCAAGCTTTACACCACCATGGACCTCAAGAAGCTTGCCGGTTTCCTCGAGGTCCAGCCGGAGCAGCTCCGTTCTTGGTTGTTGGTCAACAAGCAGCGCAGCCGCCAGGTCCGCTGGGTCGAGGGTGGTCTGCTCGAGGGCGAGCCTGTCAGCGCCAACGACTTAGACTATGCTTTGGAGAAGGATCTCATCCACGTTAGTGAGACCAAGGCTGGACGACGCCTGGTGGACTGGTACCTGCGCAACCTTGCCCGTGTCTACTAAACGTCGGCCGTCCTATGATTTCTAAATCTCTATCTGGGACTTGAAACGAGATATGCATTACGTCTGTGATTGTATATGGGCTTGCGGAGTCCTCTTAAATGAGAAAGGAAAGTGTCTAGAGGAGGCACTCACGAGTGTGAGGTGAGGGAGATGAAAGAAAAGTTGGAAATCAGAGACGCGTCAGGGGAGGGCACACATGAACCATGGATGATTGAATATCCGTCTTTGGCAAAAAGAAAAGACACCATAGACATTTCCACAACAAAAGAAAGGAAGGGAGAGAGGGGCCAAAGAATTTTGGCAGCGAAGTCAACAGGGCTGACTCAACATGTCTTCTTTGCCCCCTCTACCCCAGTTGATATTATGACATTTCCCTATTTTTTTTACCAGTGTTATTATTTTTTTTTATTTTTTTTCTTGTCTCTTTTCATGTTTCATCCAATCTTCGGTTTACAAACTTGAGCCTGTTTGAGGTTACAGGTTTGGTGGAGTGGTTTCAAAATAAAACCGGGGGATTGTTCGGAGGCGTACTGTCATGCTTGTTTGATATCTGCTCTATCCTCATGTCTAATCTGTCAAATAAAAGAAAGAAGATTTGGCCCAGCAGAAAACGATATAAGAAGAGCCTGCACGGTGCATACATAGCCCTATGGTCATAGGATTGTGTAGCCAAAATGGAACAGAGAGAGGGGTATAACATGTATTATTCTATCTTTTTAACGCTGATATGATATACAAGTATATGCGAAGATGAAACACAAGATTCAATCCATATTTTGACAAGATAATTGGAGCGAGCAGCAAGCAAGGTTGCTAGTCGTTGACATCGAAACTGGTGCCACAGCCACAGTTACTCGAGGCACGAGGGTTGTCGACGATCTTGAACTGGCTTCCGATCAACTCCATGGTGTAATCAACCGTACTTCCGTGAAGAAGCTCGAGCGAGGGTTCATCCATTACGACTTTTGCCTCGCCAGGCCCGGCAGTCGAGGGATCTTCTGGCGGCCCAGCTTCAAAAACCGTGTCTTCGTCCGGGTCAATTTTGGAGGCAGACTCCAGAGACATGATATACTGGAAACCATGGCAGCCTCCACTAGTGACTGTGATTCGAAGGTGATGATATGGGTTTTCCTCCTTGATAGCAGAGGGGGATGAGGTTGGATCAGTGATCTCTCGGAGACGCTGTTTGCCTGTTAGTTTTGTACTGCATAAACGTTGCCAAAAAGAATCAAAACGATGATAAAAGAAAAAGACAATACCAAAAATTATACAAGAAAAAAAAGAGAACATACAACAGCAGGGATTCGCTGGTGGTCACCCACCCAACTACTGACCTGCCGGCGTGTGGCTTAAGTACGGCTGAGCGGACGGGAAGCCCTGTTCTCCACACCCTGTGGTCGTATGTACTGGAAAACAAGCAAGACGGCTTTATAACGGGCAGGGAAACCCGAACGCTCTTCCAGTAACATTACCAGTTGCCACTGCAGGGAAACTTGTCTGAACCCGACAAAACAAAATAAGCAAGAGAAAAAGTATTCGACCTACCTCTGCAGCACGAGAAGAAATATCAATCAAAAGCGAATTCCCATCATCATCGGTCTTTGGATTTTGTAGCACCTTGGCTTCCGAACGGACAGTCGAAGAGGAAAAGGCATATCGCTGTCGCGGAGCAGCGAATGGAGACAGGGAAGACTGTGGGAAACGGTTCCGGGACAAGGGACTCTTTCTAGAGACGCCAAAAGCGCTGGATACTGATCGATAGGAAGGCGAAGCGCAGAAAGCCGATGCGGAGAAGTTCAAAGCCGGTCGGGATGTAGAGAATGAGCGAGGACATTGCGAAACAGAAATCACGGAGGTCGCAGATGCAGGTGATTGCCGTGAAAGCTGGCGAGCAGCCGACGAAAGCATCGGACGAGACATGATGGCGACTAGACACAGGAAGTGAAGCGATGTGTCGGATAAGATCGCATGGCTTCGATTGTTTTATGCCGGCAACGATAATTTGATTATATATCCAGGCCGTTAGTCAGAGGGTTCGCCATGACGCCATTGGCCGATCGGGGCCGGAGGCAAGTGGCAGAATTCCAGTGCAGAAGAAGATCATCGCGGGGGAAGAAGCAATCTCAATGCCGGTTTGATTTGTGTCTGGGGATAGAACGCTGTCTTTTCTGTATTATTGCTGGACACTTGAGTGGAATCTCAAAACAATTCCGCTCTATCAAGATCATACTACTTGACCACAAACGGCACGATGGGCTCTCCACAGCAGTCTGTTGATTTCAACAATCAGCCCCCGCTTCCTTACAGGGACGATAGCAGAAGCTTGTCCAAGGAATATGCCGAAGCCCGCGATGCTCAAGATCCTCTGGGACGCTTTCGCCAAGAGTTTATCATTCCTTCAAAGAAAGACCTGACGAGGAAAACCTTGGCTTTAACAGAAGGTATGTAGATGCTCTGATCTAATGCTCTCTATACATGCTGACTGCTTGTGGTTGTCTTAGAGGAAGACCCTTCTGACCCAAGATGCATCTATCTTTGTGGAAACTCTTTGGGACTCCAACCTCATAATACGAAGAAATACATTGAACAGTACCTCCGAACCTGGGCAACCAAAGGCGTCACCGGACATTTCGTGCCACATGACGATCAGTTACTTCCTCCATTTGTCGATGTCGATGCAGCCGGATCGAAACTTATGGCACCAGTTGTAGGTGCGCTTCAGAGCGAGGTGGCAGTGATGGGTACTTTGACTGCAAATCTACACTTTCTGATGGCAAGCTTTTATCGCCCTACCCAAGAGAAGTACAAGATTATCCTCGAGGGGAAGGCTTTCCCAAGTGATCATGTGGGTAACCTGCTTTCATGCAGTTTCCAACACAGGAACAAAAAGATGCTAATCCAATATAGTACGCTGTCGAGTCTCAGATTCTGCATCACAATCTCAATCCGAAAGACGCCATGGTCCTGATAGAGCCAGAAAACCCCGATTTTCCAGTTCTCGGTACAGAGAAGATCATACAAATAATTGACGAGAATGCCTCGAGTACCGCTCTGATACTACTCTCCGCCATTCAATTTTATACTGGACAGTACTTCGACATTAAACAAATCACTGCCCATGCCCACTCGAAAGGAGTGGTAATTGGCTGGGATTGTGCTCATGCAGCAGGCAATGTTGACTTGAAATTGCACGATTGGGATGTGGATTTTGCTGCATGGTGTACCTACAAATACCTCAACAGTGGACCAGGAGGAATGGCCGCAATGTTCGTCCACGAGAAACATGGACGTGTGGAAATGGAAAATACTGGGCCTGAGGGCCAGTTTCGTCCCCGGTTATCTGGATGGTGGGGTGGTGATAAGAAGACTCGTTTCCTCATGAACAACAGTATGTGTCATTTCCCTCTTTATTGAAAAGCATTCATTTAATCCTTGCAGAATTCGTGCCCCAGGCTGGTGCAGCAGGATACCAATTGTCCAATCCATCCGTCCTAGACATGAACGCAGTGGTAGCATCCTTGGAGTTGTTCAGCCGAACATCGATGACAGAAATTCGCCAAAAATCCCTGGATCTTACAGGTTACCTAGAATACCTTTTGTCACATATGTGTGATACCTCAGAGGCGAAACCATTCTCTATAATTACCCCTTTGAATCCAGCAGAACGCGGCGCTCAACTCAGTCTGCGCCTGAAGCCAGGCCTCCTCGATTCTGTGTTGGAGAAGCTGGAGGAAAATGCTGTCATAATCGATGAAAGGAAACCAGATGTGGTCCGAGTAGCGCCAGCACCTCTATACAATACGTATATGGATGTATGGCGGTTCTCACAGATATTCATAGAAGCATGTAGAGAAGCGGTCAAGATACAAGGATGAGATCCTAGTCGCACGGAGGGGAAAAATATGAGCTGTTGTGATTGACTGCTTGTATTGAGTCAAGACAAACTTTCCTTTTTCCATTCCATCCAATCCTCGCTGATGACTCCAAATGATCCATGAGTCGCTGATAAGCATCAAAAAGACGTTGGTTCGGGTATCGGCACAGGACCCATTTCTCCTTCCTCCGCACACCAGACCCTATTACTATCCCGATTAAAATGGCGATTTCGTGCTTTTTTGCCCTAGTGAATAACCGCCGAGGGGTTGACTAGTCTTAAATACTTCGGGGGCATTTCTTGCAGAATAATGCTGCCAGAAGAAATTTTTCTTCGTCCTCGATGAGATGGGTTCTTCTGACACAACTGAGACATCGGTGCCTCCATCCCCCATTACAGACTTGGAAAGAGGTCAAAATGTAAAAGCCAGTGATGGCGATAAGGTCGTCACGGAGTCCAGTGCCTTGAGGCCCGCCGACATTGATTATTCGGTCTTCACCAGGAATCAGAAACGCTATATCGTCTTCACTGCATCATGGGCTGGGTTTTTCTCCCCTGTATCCTCGCAGATTTATTTTCCTGCCCTGAATACCCTGGCTCAGGATCTCAATGTGTCGAATTCCTTGATCAATCTAACACTAACGAGCTACATGGTGAAGCTTTCCAACGTCCCGGGAACCCATGACATAGCTAACACGATGAGCAATAGATCTTCCAAGGCCTCTCGCCTATGTTTATAGGTGGCTTTGCCGACAATGCAGGGCGACGACCAGCATACCTGATTTGTTTTACCATATACATTGCCGCGAATATCGGACTGGCATTGCAGAACAGCTATGCAGCCCTTTTTGTTCTTCGATGCCTGCAGAGTGCAGGGAGCAGCACGACGATTGCCCTCTCCTCAGGCGTTGTTTCAGATGTAGCGACAGCGTCTGAGCGAGGCTCATATATGGGTTTAGTGACGGCAGGCAGCCTACTTGGACCCAGCATTGGCCCCGTCGTTGGAGGGTTATTAGCGCAATATCTCGGTTGGAGAGCCATATTCTGGTTTCTAGTTATTTTTTCTGGAGCATTCATAGCGCCCTTCCTCCTCTTTTTCCCGGAAACTGCCCGTGGTGTAGTCGGGAATGGTTCAGTTCCGCCGCAGAAATGGAACATGTCATTGATCAGCTATTTTAGGATGAGGCAAAAAAGCCAGGACGGAGAGCCTGCGCCTACCAGTCCCTCAAAGCGCAAGATTGGCTTTCCGAATCCTATCAAAACTCTTTCAATCGTGTTCCAAAAAGATACTAGCATCATTCTTGCGTCGAATGCGATTCTCTTTGCGGGGTTCTACGATGTTAGTGCGTCTATTCCGTCCATATATAGCGAGCTATACGGCCTCAATGACTTGCAAGTCGGTCTCTGTTATATTCCCTTCGGAGTAGGAGCTGCGATTGCATCCTTCGCCAATGGACGGTTTTTAGACTACAATTATGCCCGCATCGCCAAGGCATTAGGGTTCCCGGTCGCCAGGAACCGAAGTACAGATCTGAGGAATTTCCCCATTGAAAAAGCGCGTCTGCAAATTGCCCTGCCCCTCCTGGCGATTGGAAGCATGTGCGTCATCGCGTTTGGATGGTTTCTCAGCTTTGGAGTCCACTTGGCTGCCCCCACGACAATTCTCTTTTTTATGGGTCTGGCTTTGACAGGATCATTCAATACTGTCAGCACCTTGCTTGTCGATCTATACCCCTCTACGGCTGCCACGGCCACAGCTGCGAATAACTTTGTACGTTGTCTTCTGGGTGCAGGGGCTACGGCCCTGATTGACCCGATGCTGAGTGCCATGGGAAGAGGCTGGTGTTTTACTTTCATCGCCTTTGTGATGCTAGGAACTGCGCCTCTTTTGTTGATCGTCATCTGCTTCGGACCAGGATGGAGGGAAGAAAGACGCTTAAAGCAGGAGGCAAGGGCTACTAAGTCTACCGTTGTTGGTGAAAAATAACCCAGGACGCAGGCCAGCGACATGAATGATGATTATGACTCATGCTACAAACGTCGACATCGTTTTAGAGGTGTCTTTATTTTGATGGAATTCGTTATGACCTCAAGCGCGTTTAAGATTATATGGCTAGGTATGCATGTGATATCATGTCAACCGCGACGTATTCGAATGTTCCTTTTCTCTGGCCTCTTTTAATGTATCCTCACCCTAAAGCGAAGTAAGCTCGTTCAAGCGGTCGTCGTTCTGATTCCCAAGCCAACCAGTCCGACCTCGTCGTTCTGTAAAGCAAGACGGTGTTAGCCTTGTACCAAATGGGGGACATATAGAAACATACGGCAAAAGCCCCATCGCATTAACCTTCCATATCCCCAGCGCCAACAATCCCAGCTGCATCACCACGTACATAGCCTTCACTCCGAGCAGTTTTGCGTGTGTTCCTTCCGTGTCGAATTTGGTGAAGACGGTGTTGGTGTTTATCAGGCCCTGGATGGGACCCTTGAAGAGCATAAACACCATCATAATACTGAAGATCTGCAAGCTGTTTCCGGACATGTACATCATAATCGCATTCATTGGGATTTGCTTAGAAGGAGCGAGGGCAATTTCCCAGGCCTTTTTCAGCTTGAGAGTATCGGTCTCGACGGGTTTGGGAGCGGCGGTTGTCTGCTGCTGTTGCTGCTGCGTTCGCTTCAGGTAGGCTAGTTAGCTTGTGACGCTGAAATATTTCATATCAGCCAAGGCTACATACACTCTTGCCTCCAGTTTTGCTGCTAGAGTAACCTGGCGGGTCGGGGATGCTGGCCGCTGCCTTTGAGGGACGAGGCAAAGGGGAATTCAACGCAACGGCCCATTTGGGCGGGGGAGGAGGATTGAATGCAGGTTGGGAAGCCATGACGGTATTTACAGCTGAATAAGACGAGAATAAAGGTGCAATTCCGCAGATGGGGCCAAGTAGCGACGGTGGACGGTTGGTGGAAGGTGGTGATGATGCTTGATGATCATAGCATTTAAGATTTACTGTCCTCCACAAGCGCGCGGAGTTGGTCGGCAGCCGATCCACAGTCCTCCTTATTGGCAACCACCAGAGTTACATCCCAAAATTCAATCATTCCTTTTTTCTTCATCTTCGTGTGTCCCTTATTCCCATATTGTTTTCTTCCTTGGCACCTCGATCCGACCGGACGGCCTGTGCCCCGTCTTTTATTCCGTTCTCAGAAACGCTCCGGTCCCCAAGGCATGGGCACTTGCGGGCACCAGACCAACTAAAAGGAAGACCAGATCTCCCGAAGCCATATTGGATCGTCCATTGATCCCATCCTCTTTCCAACGGGTTCTCATGTGAACGGACGGCCTCACGAAACGCCCCGGCCTGCGCTTGGAAAATCGATAAACTCTAGAAGAATTGCGGAGGAGCTCGTCATTTGCTGTTTGCGAAGCCACCATGAGTTCCAGCGGGGGAGATGCGAAGCTGTTCGCCAGGGTATGTCCTTCTCCTCATTCTTAGGGGCTGCTTCGTCCTTCATCATCTGCAGCCGTGATACCGCGATCAGGGCTTCTCTGGTCGCGCTCTCACTGGTTTTTCTTTTTCGTCTGGTTCCTTTCCTTCCCCTCTCCTTTCCCCTCCTTATCCCCTCATGTCAAATTATACTCGGACGCGGTTCTATTGAGGACCTCCGTCCGCCTGTTGTATCACATTTTCTTTCGATCCTGAAGATTTCTACCCCTATCATGCTATACCTCCCAAATGCTTGCTGGTGTTATTCCTTTTTCTGCAAGCCATGGCTCACCATTCTCTCGAACTCCACAGGGAAAAGTCGCGGAGTTGCGACAAGAGCTCAACAGCGGCGGCAAGAAGGATAAGAACCTTTCTGCGAAAAAAATCGCCCTCAAGAAAATTGTCGCCAACATGACCATGAGCAACAATGATATGGTCGCCTTGTTCCCCGATGTGATCGGTTGTATGAATTTGCCCAGCTTGGAGATAAAGAAGATGTACGTTCAGAGGGAGGAGACAATCGACTACAGTGATGAACCGCCGCTGATGTCTTTCAAGGTGCTTTCTGTTCCTCGTCAACTATTCGAGAATGAAACCCGATGTTGCGTTGAAAGCGCTGCCAATTCTAGTGGATGTATGACTGGATCCTCCCTCTGTGAGCACCGCTGGATATTCTGACGCATGGGAAATAGGATATGGAGGCCTCCAACCCGCTGGTGCGTGCCTTGGCTTTGCGGACCATCTCTTATGTTCATGTTCGCGAGTTTGTCGAGGCTACGATTCAACCCGTCAAACGCTTGATGGGAGATCAGGATCCATATGTTCGCAAGACCTCAGCTTTCTGCGTTGCCAAGCTCTACGAACACGACAAGAAAATGGTCGAGAGCTCCGACCTGATCGACCGGCTCAACAGGATGCTTAAGGATGAGAACCCTACGGTCGTTTCCAGCGTTCTCGCCTCTTTGGTGGATATCTGGGGACGGAGTGAATCCATTTCTCTGACAATCGACTACACAAGTGCCTCGAAATTGGTCTCGATTCTGCCAGATTGCTCCGAGTAATTCTCCCTGTTCAACTGTATATCTGAATCGCTTTGCTGATCTTTCTGCTGTCAATAGGTGGGGTCAGACTTATATTCTCGAAGCACTTATGTCATATCTTCCACAAGACTCGGCAGAAGCACTCTTGCTTGCAGAGCGAATAGCACCCCGCCTGTCCCACTCTAATTCTGCTGTCGTTCTGACCTCAATTCGTGTCATTCTCTATCTTATGAACTACATTGCCGATGAAAGACACATCACTTCCTTATCGAAAAAGCTGTCGCCACCGCTCGTCACTCTGTTATCCAAGCCGCCAGAAGTTCAGTACCTAGCACTTCGCAACGCCATTCTTATTTTACAGAAAAGACCCGAGGTCCTACGGAACGACATTAGGGTGTTTTTCTGTAACTACAACGACCCAATTTATGTCAAAGTGACCAAACTCGAATTGATATTCATGTTGACTACCGAAGAGAACATCTCCATTGTTCTGGCGGAGTTGCGAGAGTGAGTTTTGCCTTAGTCCCCGTGGTGCCAGCTCGAATTAATTTGGTCTTTTCTAGGTATGCAACTGAAATCGATGTCCATTTCGTTCGCAAGGCTGTTCGTGCCATTGGAAAACTGGCAATTAAGATCGAGTCGGCCGCGCGACAATGTATCGACACCCTTCTGGAATTGGTGGACGCCAAAATCCCTTATATCGTGCAGGAGGCGACAGTGGTCATTCGCAATATTTTCCGCAAATATCCCAACCAGTACGAAAATATCATCGGTCACGTTATCCAGAATATCGACGAGCTCGATGAGCCAGAGGCAAAGGCCGCAGTTATATGGATCATTGGACAGTACGCAGACCGAATCGAAAATTCCGACGGACTTCTTCAGGACTATTTGGCCACATTCCACGACGAAGGCATTGAAGTGCAGCTTGCTCTGCTTACGGCCACTGTGAAGTTTTTCATCCAGCGACCCACAAAGGGCCAGCAGATCGTGCCGCAGGTCTTGAAGTGGTGTACTGAAGAGACGGACGATCCAGACCTTAGAGACCGAGGCTACATGTACTGGCGTCTACTTTCAACTGACCCAACGGCGGCAAAGAACGTTGTCATGGGCCAAAAGCCTCCGATCAGTGCGGAAAGCGAGAAACTAGACTCTCGAACTCTTGAGGAACTTTGTCTAAACGTCGGTACGCTTGCAACCGTGTATCTGAAGCCGGTCCAGCAAGTGTTCCGTGCCGCGCGCACCAGGCGACTACAGTATAGCCCTGCCCTGCAGAAAAGCCGGGAGCAGAACGGAAATAGCGTCTGGCAGACTGCACCTTCCCCAACAGAAACCACCACTGGCGCAGCCACAGTTTCCTCTCCCACAAACGGCTTTTCATCCGGCACTGGTGACATGAATGCTGCGGTAGGCGCAGCGGACGCCTATTTCAACGGCGTCGGTAGCCAGCAGATGGCTGCCCTTGACCTAGGCGGTCGTGGGGATGGGGGAGCCGGAGGCGGTGGTGTTTCGGAGACCCAGTATGTTGTCAACCAGAACCAGCAGGGGGTGTACCAGCCCCAGCTGGCTGGAGGGGCAGCGACAGGCGAGTTATTGTTGTTGTAATGTAGTATAGCCTTCTTTGAGATTCTGTTTTAGACCTTTCATTGTTGATCATATTCTAGCGATCTTGACTGCAGGGACTCGTGATACCTATTTTATAATACTGCAATCATCCAGAAAACCCTGTCCTTCATCCAGGTAATATAGAGGTTTAATGTGCATTTTTAGAATTCATCACTACCTTTTTTAATTATGTCAGGTAATAATAGAAACAAGGATTGAATGTTATCGCTGATGGTATCTCCTTATCCTCAATATCACCATTATCATAAATAGGCTTATATTGTAATAAAAAAAAAATTGGTATAAAAAAAATGATGGAGGTAGTTCGCCATTAACTGGTCTTGGCTGTAAATGAATAGATTTGGATGAAAGCGAACGCCAAAGATTGCCGAAGAAACGCCAGAAGATATTGAAACACGTATAAAACAAAAACATGAATTTCTGTTCTCGAGCCAAAATTTCGGCGAGGATACAGAACCGATAGGATATGCGATCACTCAGTATCACTCATCTTCATCCATCCGAGCCAAGCCACCACGACTGCGTTTGATACGGTCATCTAAGCTGTCATTCTGAAGCTGTCGGTGCATCTGTCCCACAAAGCGACCCCGTTCAGACCGGTTCTTGTCGTCCTCTTCGCGCTGTTTCTCTTCCTTGGCCGTGACATCAGCGATGTGCTGTCGACGGGTATCTTCCATTTCAGATGCGTTAGACATCATCTCCGCCAATCTTCTCTTGCGGTCTTCTTCTAGATCCCTGGCTTTGTTGCCGTCTGCCTCTCCCGCTCCGTTGCGGTTGCTGGGTCCTCGTTCCCGTGGGTGCGAGTCTCTAGGGCCCCGGTTATCCCTCTTGTCATAGGTTCTGCGGGAATCCCTTCGGCCCTGATCCCAGTTGTTTCTGCGATCATCGCCTGTCCGGCGTCGGTCTGAGGGATGATCGTCTGGCCGAGGGGACGATCCGCGACGTGTGGACCAGTCATACTTGTCGTCACGATCTTTGTCTCTGCTGTAGTAATGATCTCTGTCGTCTCTACCACTTCTGCGATCCCTATCGTCTCTGCCATTGTGCCTATCGCTCCTGCGGTTTCTGTCATCTCTCCGGTCTCTATCTCTGCGATCCCGATCATCCCTATAGCTCCGGTCATCCCTCCGGCTTCTATGTGATCGCTCTGGAGACGAGGGTGATCGAGATCTGTGACGATGGGAGCGACGATGACGTCGGTGGGATTCTTCGTCATCACCATGTTGCCTACGCTTGTGGCTGCTGCTCTCGCGATCTTGGTCCCGACTCCGACGCACTGTATTTTTAACCATAGCCTCATACGCCGCCTGCTCCCTCTTCTTAATCTCTAGCAGAGGATCTGCCATCACCTTGGCCATGGTATCCCGGGGATTGCCAGCAGGAGGCGGCGGGGCTTGAGAGGCAGTCACATCGGCTCCCTTCTCCAACTTCTTGTTGTCGTCATTTTTCAGTATCACCCCGTCGATCCGGCGCTTTCCCAGCAGGTACCCCTCCATCTCCTCCGAGTAGTGGCCTGTCGCGCTCGATGGTGCCTGGTACATCCAATCGACCCTGTTGTGCTGCTTCGGCTTCCCGGATTCCTCCTGCAGACGCTGCAGGTCTTGGATTTGGCGCTCTTCATCGCGTTCACGGCGGAGCTGGTCGATGCGCTTGCGCTCCTCCAGTGCGCGCTTTTCCTCCGACCACACACGTTCTTGATTGCGGAGGAGTGATGGATGCCATGATCTATGTAGATTTATGCGTTAGCACGAGAGCCAATAGTCGTAGACAAACGATTGGAAGGGGGATGCGTACTTCTTCAAGTTCAAATCGCCACCCATTTTCGGTTGATTTGCGCAGTCAAGCTGCGACGACTGTTGGTTGGGGAAGTTTTGAGCTGTGAAAGGAAGCTGAGGGTTGGCTGGGCGGTAAGATTCGAGTTCCCGAAGAGGAAAACGAGGGGATCGCCACTGCGGGCCGACGTTCTTGCATTTTGTGCCTGAGGCACCAATTCATATAGATACCATTAACTGTTGCTTTAAGAATATACGAAGAACCACTTGGAAATATTCTTTCTTATCGATTTAAAAGCTAAAACTCTATGTTTCAATTAACCCTGAACTACGTAAAGAGTATACCACTCCCAGCACTGTTACATGATCAAAAAATTGAAGAGCCGGAATAGATACATACAAACGAACAAAGTATGTGAAGGCAAAAAAACAAACACAAATAGGACAAGTTCTCCCACGTAAGCAGGTGCTGCCACAATCCGTGTATAATGCGAACATTTACCAGAATCAAATCATTTGCTCATCTCCTCGGTTCGATCAACTCTGCTTTCATATATCTCCCCCATCCAGCAAGGGCATCAAGAAAGGGACAAGAAGGTAAAGAAGAAAGAACATTACACCGTAGACAGATCCACCCATTTCTTCATCATCTGATCGTTGGCATTACATCGAAACATGGCTCCAACTGCAGCCCATTATGCATTATGGTGGGTTTATTTCTCCCAGCCAACCCAGCTCCGTGGCATTACTCTCCAAACCTTGCACTCTCCACTCCGCATGTCATTCAGCTTAAAGCTTTCCATTTTGACTTTCTTGCTCTCTCGGCCTTGCTCCCAGGCACGGATCTTCTTCTTGGTTCCGTCCCAGTCGACAACAACGCCCACATGGTCAGGCTTACCGACTTCGGCACTGTACTTCTGGTGCATTGTGCCACGATGGCCTTGGAATCGCGCATTGCGGAAACTGACAATATCACCCGCACGGATCTCATCATTTTGCTGAACGGAGGCATTGGCCAGGTTGGAATATACCAATGCACCATAAGCTCTGGTGCCGACAGGAAGTAAAGCTTCCGTAATGGGATTGAGCAGATGTTGGACCAAGCCAAACGGAGTACCGTCCGGAACCGTTGTGTTTTGAATAGCGTTGGCGGTATTGGCAATACGCGCGCCAATCTGAGAATGTGCATTTTCGAGCTGGTCTTGGCGTGGCTGAATTGGAGGTGGTTCATGACGCTGCTCCAAAGTTGCATCAGATGGATTACGGGCATCGTAATTCACTGTGACCACTGTCTGGGAGTAATCAATGAAAAGGACATATACGTCCTTGGAAATTGTAGCTTTGCCACCTCTCTTTGTCGAGTTGGATTCCTCGACTTCGAAAAGAATGTCCTTGCGATTTTGGAACACTGGTGGAGGAGTCTTGGGTTGCGCCCACCACAGCGTATTTTCTGCCAAATCAACATCCATGGCAATGAATCCGAGGTCAACGGATGGACGGGTCATATCCATAGATCTCCGCACATTGTGTGGGGTCCTAGGAACATCCAAAGAGGCACGGGTGCTTCGCGGTGCGGATGGAGGTCGTGCAGCAGGCGGCTGACTTGGCGGAGGCGGAGGTGCGAGAGACGGTCGTTTTTCCTTGGGTGGTGTCTGTACAGGAGACGCTTCATAGAGGTCGTCATCGTCATCTGCCGCTGGTTGGGATTGAAAAGGAGTAGGTATTTCGGGGTGCCCGCTAGGAACGGGTGGTGCAGGTGGTGCAGGCAAGCCGTGCTGCGGGGCGGTATAGCGAAAAGGGTCGTATTCGTCATCATCAGCAAAGGACTGCTCCCTTGGAGGCGGTGGAGGAGGGCCCCTGGGGGTGTCCATTGAAGCTCTACTCCTAGGCGGCTGGGTAGGAGGCGGTGGTGGGACTGCTCTGGGAGCAGAAGGGGGAGGCGGCGGTGGCAAGCGGGACTGTCTAGGACTGGTCGGAGAGTGAAGTGAATGATCATCGGTATTAGTGCCTTCGTCCATACTAGAATCACGCCCGTGGGCTTTCAGGGCATCCTTGAATTTTGCACCTGAAGCGATATCGGTGTCGTAGTCACCATCGTATTCAGTTACCTCGCCCTCGACATCTTCACCGGCTCGACGAGATGAGACCGTAGTACCCCGGCTATCAGCAGTAGACCTACGGCGAACATTCCCCGGGATTGGAGGTGGTGGCGGCCTAGCTTGTGTTGGCCCCAATGGAGGACTCATTGGGACAGGCGGGGGAGGGCGGCTGATCCTCTTTTCTGAGGCGAGAGTTGGAGATTTCGGGGAAGCGGAATCATAGGTTGAGGAGCGACGGGAGTCTAAGTGGTCAGGAATGGGAGGGGCCACAGCCGGTGGTAGAGGGGCTGATCTTTCCGCTGCTACAGCATTTAAGGATAGATTTCTTGCGTGCACAGAAAGTTCGTCATCCGACTCTTCACCCGAAGCGCCGGATGCTGGGGACCTGGTAGGGGGAGCGACAGGTCGAGCTACATGTAGTGGTCAGCATAATTGAAAATTTACAATGGATTCAATAACTTACTCCCTGCGACGGGCGGAGGCGAAAACGGCTGTTCCTGAGGCACAGGAGGTGGAACAGGCCGCGTCTCTACTGGCGGAAGAGGGGGCGCTGGTCGGTCTCCTACAGGATGCGGATAAGCCTGTGAATCTAAGCGATACTGGGGAGATTTCTACCTACCATGAGGCGGAGGAGGAGGAGGCCTGTCAATGGAAGCGCGCGTAGGTGGTTCTTCATTGGCGGCTTCCTCGGCATCAGAAATGTTTTCCGCATGATACTGTTCTGTCACGGGCGTGGCTTGAGGCGCTTCCTCTTCCTTCTCAACATCAGCGGGAGGTGCGGCCGGTTTGCTGGCATTCATTCCCGGTAGAGCCATAATGGGGACTGGAGGAGCTGCTGCCGGCACGGTCGTTTCAGATTCACCGAAATTCCTGTCGGTTTCTGTAGGCGTCTTTGGCTTACGAGGAGCTGCGCCGGGCATGCCTCCAGGAGGACCGAAGAAACCCATCATACCCATTCCGCCGCTCATCTTTGCCATTCTCTCCCGAATCTCCATTCTGCGCTTGACTTCAGGGTCAATGTCTTCCTCCTCCTCCTCTTCTTCACCTTGCTGTGCTTCCTCTTCAGGTTCTTCCTCCGCCCTCTCTTCTTCGTGCTTTTGAGTGGTCTCTGAAACATATGAATCCTTTCGAGTTTCTGCACGGGAACGGTCTTCGTAGTCTTCTTTGCTCGTAGAGGTTTCCTCTGCATCCTCTGTATCGGCGGCAGCGGAATCATCGGCATCATTTGTATCGCTTGCCAAGTCGTGGGCAGGCGGCGGAGGAGCGTCAGACTGGGCAGCAGAAATAGGCGGGGGCTTCACTGTGTCGGGACTGTGGTCTTCAGTGGTTTCGGATCCCAACGCCTCAGCGGGAGCGCCTTCATCGTACGATTCGGGGTTCTTGGGTGCGGGTTTCTTGGGCTTCTCCTTTTTCTGGGCTGCTTCAGCATGACGAGCTGCCTGTTCTAACTGCTGCTTCTGAAGTAAGGCGATTCTCTCCTTCAGACTTGTTGGCTTAGGCTGATCTTCGCCCGCTTCCTCCGACGCCTCGCTCACAGGAGGAGGCCGGCTTTCTGAGACCGGGGGTTCACGTGCAAGCTGTTCCTGGACCGCCGGATCCTCTTCTCTCTTGTAAATTTTCGGAGGAGGCTCTCTGGGAGGGGGGACGTAAGAATTTTTACTTGGAGGCGGCGCAACAAAAGGCTTCTTGATGAATGAAGTAGAGTTCTGAGCGCTCCAACCACCTGGCTTGACCGGCGCAATAGGTGGTGCAGCAGGCTTGTTGAATGCGGCAATGCGATCCTTGAATGAAGATCCGGTAGGCTTTGCAGGAGGAGGTGGCTTCGATGCGGCTTTAGGAGCCGGTTCACTGGATTCATTCGAGGCCTGTGGAGGTGGGGGAGCTGGGGCTTGCACTGGCTTGGGAGGCGACGCCGGAGCCTCAGCGGGGAAAGATGCCGCGGTCGATTGAGGTGATTCGGGAGACTGAGGTATGCTCTCCTGATCCGCAGCATGGGAGTTAATGGTGTTGTCTAACTCCGGCTCCTGTCGAGGTTTGGTCTCGGCCACCGGGGATTCAGCGACGGCGGGTTCGGGCGGAGCGACAACTTCGGGTTCTTTCTTTGGCCTGCTCGGGCGTGTCGGTCGGGGAGGGGCAGGAGGGTCATATTTTTCGACGAAATTCTTGGGGAAGATGCCCTCCGCCTTGGACCCTGTATTATCCACATATTCTCCGTAGTACCACTCGTCGTCTTCCACTTCCGTGACAGTTACGATCTGGCCGATTGGAAAGGTAAGGTCGTCATCGTGGCCCGAAGTGTACTCGAAGACCGCTCTGACCGTGAATGGCGGGTTGGACATCTGGCAAGCCGGCGCGTATGACAAGGAGGTGGGGGGGGGGGGGAATTGATTCTGGACAGGAGTGTAAAAGCAATGCTAATAATCACAAAATAAAACAAGAAAAAAGCACTGTACACAATAAAGTATCAACTAGATACCTCTAGTTTACAGGGCATGTAGAATGATAAGTCACAAAGGAGGGGAGGGGATGCCACTTTGGGGAATTAATATGTCAGCCTGATCAATGTACGTCACAGCATTGGGGTTAAGGGGGGTTATCAGGGACAATGCACAGTGCAGAGGCCACTTACAGAGGAGCAAGAGCATCAACCCCAGTAGAGAGAATTAAAGCAAGAGTTGAATGGAATATAAGGATGAGGGGCTCAGACAACGATGATGCTGGTAGAAAGAGAAAAGAGGAGAGAAAAAGAAAGGGAGAGAGGGAGAGCGAGGATGGGATCCGTGGTGGTCGTCACCTTCTGGCGGGACAGCCTGAGGTGCTCCACTGGTCGATCGGCAGCTAATAATAAGGAAGAGAAGGAAGAAGGCGGCCACACCACTTGGATTAGTTACTGGTAGTGCTGGCAGAAGTCTTGGTCAAGAACAGGCCTTCGATACTGCTGAGAAGATCTTGTCCGAGGTGGATTAATTGATCCTGTGAACTGATATCATCATCCACAAATCCTCCGTCATGGCAACTGTCTAGCTTCACTGCGAATCCGGGGTTTGCCTCTTGCCGACCCGAAAAAACGTCTGTCCCCTTGCAGACCTTTTTTTTTATTCCTCGATCTTCAATCTTCAAAAAGAACAGCGTTTCTTTTTCTACTCGATCGTTCTGTGGGAATTTTTTCATCATGGCTACGAATAACAACTCCCCTCCGAAATCCATTTTAAAAACTTCACTACCTTCTGCGCATGCTGCTTCCTCACCTTTGGTGACCTCGAATTCTAACGCCCGTCGGCCTGTCTCCAAATCGCAAATGTCACAGCAACAAAAAGGAAAACAAAAAGAGAACAAGCCTGGAGCTGATCCTCGTCATATGGCAATAGCGCTACACCACGCTCATCGAATTCAGGCCCAAAAAGACACAGAGGCACTCATATTAGACCGCATCCTGGAGCTCGTCACATTTCCCTCTTCGCCATCCGCCGACCCTGCCGCTCCGTCTATCGAAGACGCAAATGCTTTCAAAGCCGCTCTGGTTCCTTTTCAGCCTTCCGATTATGACAATTTGATTGAGGAGCGGAAAATAGAGGGGCTTTGTGGGTATGGGCTTTGCCCCCGGGAGCATCGCAAAGAAGACCCCAAGGGCACTTATAGGCTGAAATGGGGTGCAAAGGGGAGCGGCCCTGGAGGCCGTGGACGCGATATGAACATCGTTCCCAAAGAAAAACTTGAGATGTGGTGTTCGGATGAATGTGCTGAGCGAGCTATGTATATACGGGTGCAGCTGGCTGAGGAACCAGTGTGGGAAAGACGAGCCGATGACACTCGAGGCGACAGTATTCTATTGCTTGAAGAGGGTAGGGCAGAGAAAAAACAAGGAAAAGGGAAAGGCAAAATGAGCTCAGCTACAGTGGGAGAAGTGACCGGCCAACTGGACAACCTGCACATGGATGGAAGCCAGGAATCGAGCGATATGGCCGACAACATGAAAGGGCTCAGCATTCGTGCCGATCATAACTCTCATGAACTCGCCATGGAACGTGGAGACTCGAACCCAGCTTTCCAGACGGGCAGAGTAAACATTCAGATCCGAGAGAAGGAGAATGTTTCCCATGACGCACCCCAAATGCGACCAGGAGACCATACAGGAGGCTCGATCGAAGGATATGTACCAAAGAACCGTCAAGAGCCACAGGAAGAAGACCAGGAGGAGCCAGACGTCCTCGACCAGTTTTAGCATCGCCTCGATAGTCTTGGGCATTTATGTTCCAGCGTTCTACATCATGATACCCCAGATGCTACTAGAGCAATAGAAGTAAAGGTCATTCCTTTGGACTACATGCAGATATGACCGTAGAACACGGCAGTATCGGAAAATCTTCAGTCAATGCGACTGTGAACTTGGGAATTCTACGTACCACCCACAGCAGTGTGTCAATACACAGACAACACTGTGTAGAGCGAAGAGAAAATAAAATTGGCAATCAAGCGTCATCTTCATCAGAAGAATCGGCGACACCTTTCTCAATGGGAATCATTTTTCATTCGTCATGCATCGACTGTCTCTTTAAGCTAAAGCGGTAGCTGGAGGAAGCCAGCCAGGATAGGCATGATCGGGAACGCCAGAGGTCGACTGAAGACAAGACATTAAACTTTTCTTTGGTCAGAGGCGTAAAATTTAGCGGCGGTCGTTGAAGCGGCGGGGACGCTCGGCCTGCTGCTGGCTGACGTTGACAACGTTGACCTTCAGGTTGTCGAACTATATCGCATATCCAGTTAGAAATGTCACGGCACCATTTTACAGTGTCGGGGAAAACTTACGCCCATGGACTTAAGGAGGTCCTTGGTATCGGCATCGACATCGAGCTGACCGGACTCGGTCTGGGAGACATCCAGAGCGGAAACCTCAGGGACGTACTGGTCCTTGCGCTCACGCTCCTCCTCCTGAAGCTTGAAGGAGATACCGCGGACAGGGCCACGCTGGATACGCTTCATCAAGTGGGTGGTGTAACCAGCGATCTATAACCAAATTTCATCAGCACTCAAGTTCCATTGTTCGTACTCGATCGGCGGAATCCAATATATGCTGACCTTGTTGCGGAGACGCTTGGAGGCAATGATAGCGATCTCATCGCAGAGACGCTTGTTGGTCTCGAAGTCGAGCGTCAACTTGGGGTAGTAACGCTCGATGACGACCTTGGCGGACCTCTTGACTGTCTTTGTCCTGACGCGACCCATTTTGGCGGTTGTTTGCTGGCGGTTGGATGTTCGAAGAGACGGTTCAGCAGTGGTTATATCTTCCTGGTGTTTCAAGAGGCCGTCCTCGCTTACAGGTGTGCGGGTCGTGCCCTAGAGGACGGAGCCCTAACTCTGTGTCACGTGACTGAAAGATCAATTTAGCCAAATCGGGTAGTTGGCATCGGCGCGCAGTATGACCTACTCGTCGCCTTTGACCGCCCACCTCCTTGGTTTACTTGTGCTACGGTTATGAATGTACAAGGCCAATCGCTGATAAACTCCTATGTTTGAATAACAATAAATATGGTGCTTCCGGTTTATATGACAATATCAAAAGAGAATAGGAGTAACTTTACATCCACCATCCAGTCTAATCGTACAGCCACCTCTGCAGCTCATGGCCCGAAGAATTAAAGTATTGATTTATTTCAAATACTTTCACGAGGATCTGAGTGTTCTCATGAGGGTTCTGGCAATATCTTCAGTCTCGTGCTGCCTTTTAGAGGCTGAGTCTGGAGAACGCCCGTCCAATCTCGGAACAAACCGCTGGTCGCCACGAGCAGCATCAGAGATGCTTGTAAGGCTAGGCTTCTTGTAATCTTCAAGGCCATAAGGAGCCTTGGCAGTCGCGCTGGCCCTGTAAGACGCCAGGCCTATTCTACCCTCCGAGTCGACCGAGGCTCGGATAGGAGTAACCCAGTACTTAGCACCACCGGGGATGGATGCATCAAAGTACGCCAGGCCAGGAGGAGAGCCCTGCTCGACGAAAGTCATGGCGTTCAAATCTTCAACCGCAATACCACCAACACCGGCAATAGCCTTGGAGGTCCGGCCCTTAAATCTACCCTTCGGTCGTAGAATACGCGCCTCAACTGGGCGCTGGTAAGCCTGAGGGCCGTGACTCGGGTGGTTGTAAATGAGGGCGTGTGAGCGTGTGTACGACAAACCGGCAGAAGGATGCGTTTTCGGGGGGCCGGAGACCGCGTATTCCGCCGATGACAACTTGGTTCCGGGGGATTGGTAGTATTTCTGTCCAATTCTGTCGCTGGGCACAGCTGGGGGCGACGGAAGATCGAGTAGCTCAAAGACCACCGGACCGAGAGAGAATGGGTCTGCTCGCAGCGTCTTGAGGTATGCTTGGAATTCCTTCTCGCTCACCTGGATGGGGCCAAGAGCCTTCAGGTCTTCTCCGTTATCCTGAGCCTGCTTCCTCCGCTCGGCAGTGCGCTTCGCAGTGTAACGTTCGCGGAGCTTCTTCAGAAGCTCGGGCTTCTGGTCACGCACTTGGTCCAAGTAGGCGTGGAATTCTGCCTCTGTTTGTCCAGCGAGCCAAGGGCCAGCATGTCTGAATTGTTTGGCACCAGGCTCCCCAAGACCCTTGCTCTTGTCTGTGTTGTCGACATTAGGTTCGAAGGGACTTTGGTGTCTAGGCATAATGCTAGTCGCGTAGTTGACCTTGGAAGGCAGAGACATGGGCATGTGCAGCTCCTGGAACTTCTCCAAGGTCACCGTGTGGTCCGCTGCGGACTCGAAATCGGTAACATGTTCGAAGGTATCGAGTGCGTTCACTCTAACAATGGGCCGGGACGACTTCTCCGATGTTGACTTCGCAGGGAGTGGCCGCTTCAGACCCCAGTCACCTCTTGCTAGCGATGAAGATGGCGTGACAATTGATGCTCGGACGGGATGAGGAAGGGTTGCGCTGTCGGATTCGAAGACGGTCCTCGAGGTTGGAGGTTCTTGGGGTTTTGATAAAGCTGAAGGGAGTGCAAAAAGACGGGATTTCCGTAGCAGATTCGCCGTTGGCGATAACCTGGCGGTCGCCATGGCGTTGAATGATCAATTGCGTGTCTGGAGAAAGTCCTTACTCCGGAGATTGATGGAGAAAAGTTGGTTGTAGACACGAACATGCCAAGCACCCGCGGTACGGGCAGCTTTAGTGACACCTAATGCAGTTTACTCTTCTCTACTGGGTCTGCTACGAAAATGATACATGATTTTTTGGAATCAATGGATGAATTTATCTATTTGCATTTATATTTATTCGTTTGTTTAATCACAGTCGGAGATCAAACAATTAAATCATAAAATCGTCTATCCAAATACATTTAGGCACCAGCATCCAGCAGCGATCTGACAGTGTCGGTCACTGTTTCTTTCAATGGGCGGTATTTAAGCCCCAAAATCTCGATGGATTTTTTGTTGTCAAATCCGTAGATGTCGGCTGGCAAGTCACTCGGCGAGTCCTTAGGGGGCAGTCGAGATTCCAAATCTGGGTATGCCTCGCGGATTGCATCGGCAACATCCTTGTTGGTGAAATAGCCATTGGTGACGAAGAATCTGTTTCCACCTGCTTCTGGGACCTCAATGGCTCTCACATGAGCCAGCGCAACATCACGAACATCCACCCAGAGGAATGTACCTGAAGGTGGGAGGCTATCCTTGGAGGCACCCTGGACGAAGTTCCTCATCCGTGTGTTCGAGGTGTTGATGGCATCGAGAGAGTTCAGGTAGTGCACAATGGGCCCGAAAACGAGGGGAGGGTTGACTGTCGCAATATCGAAGCTTGGCTTCTCTTCCTCAACAAACTTCCAGGCCGCTTTCTCTGCGAAGGTCTTGAAAAGATTGTTGTCAGCGTGATGAGGTCTGGGAGTCAGGGAAGAGATTGCCTACTTTGCTAGCTCTGTACACCTTAGATGGGTCCATAGCCTCTTCCCAAGTCACTTCGTTCCACTGCTCCTCGTTGTATACCTTGGGGTGCTTTCCTGGGTTGACAATTGCAGCAAAAGATGATGTGATGACAACTCGCTTCACTGTCGGTGCATAGGCCTTGATAGCCTTCAAAATACCAGTCGTTCCCTTAATTGCAGGGTCCAAGAAGTCCTTAACAGGGTCCTCGACATTGAAGTGGAATGGGGATGCAGTGTGGAGGACATAGTCGAATGGAGGGGTAGCTTTGACAGCCTGCACAGAACAAAATGTTAGACACGCGGGTAACCATAACGCAGGAGCATATCAAGAACCTACCTCGTCGAATGCTCCATCCGCAGCAACATCCTTCACGATAACATAGGACAGTCTCTCCTTTGGTGTGTTGGGGTGGTTATCGAGAATCTTCTGCCCCTTCTCGTCAGATCTGACTGTAGTCACGATGTCAAATCTGGGTAAAATGTGTCAAAACGAAATCAATGATTAAAAGCATTTTATAGGACTACCCACCCGTGAGCCAACAAAATATCAATAATATGAGCAGCAATGAAGCCACTTCCACCTACACAAAGGTCAGCTTTTTGAATGTTGTGGTGTATAGAGCTGGGCGGTTCCCATACCAGAAAGAAGAACTCTAGGCATTGTTGTGTGAGTAGAGATACTTTTTTAATAAAAATGATTTCCAACACTCAATCTGGTGTGTAGCAGACAGTGAGAGTATAGCAGGACTGGAAGGGGACTCGTTGCTTTTTTATAAGGCGCCTAGGTATTCTGATAACACAACCATCGAACCCCTCCTCAGCCCGAGCCATTATCCCCCACTGCGGCCCACCATTACAGATGGTCCATTCCGCTTATCCGCTGCAATAGACCCTCCCCGATGATTACAAATGGTGGTGTTTTTGCGTCAGATCATCCAATAATCCGAGTGGACAAAAGCTGAGGTTAACTCCGTGATCTACACTCCTACACTCTACCTTGGATAGATGATTGACAAAGGCGTGGATGGAAAGGTTCGGCTGTTGTTGGGCTTGGTACAGCACAGCTGAGCGGCTGAGTTGGAGGTGGAGACTTGAATCCATATCAATGACGTCGCGACCAACCTTGAGGAATATTAGAGGAATTGGCAAGGATATTTCTTTTTTATTTGAGATAAATCATCCAATGCCTCCTCGCGTATAAATGAAGATAAAAGCCATGATGATCAGTTTGATCTACAGTAGTATTGTGTTGGTGATCACTCCGTATTTCCATTGACTTACTATCATACACAATCTATGCAGTTCGATGCTTATTATCCACTATATCATCAGTTGATAAAGTATGCCTGTTAATTAGCCAAGTAATATGCCAGGGTCTATATGACTATAGCTCAGCTTATGCAAACTTAGTAGCTCATCTTCGAATCCAGGTACTTTGCCTTGATTATTCCGAATTTCCGCCAAACATGCATCAACTAGGTTGGGCCTTTTCAAAGAGCTACCCCTGTATTGATCTTCCACATGGTCTTCGTGGGTAACATCTAAATTCTGAATATGTACGTTTGCAGAGGCGTCCTCAACGCTCCTTTGAGGACTATGCCAACAAAGGAGTCTGGTCAATTATGGCTAGGGGTATTGAAATGTTCCGCATCTCCAAATTCAGCTGCTCATTGCGAGGAATCTTTCAATTTGGTGTAAAACTTCGTTCCCTTTTTTCGGTTGTGCTTGTTATATTCAAAATATACATACGGACGAGAGTGGAGTCTGGAACATGAGAGATATCCTAAAAGCTCGAACCATAGGTTAAAACGTTTTTATCTAGTCACTTATTTTTCTAATAGATAATCTCGTCATTCTCTTTTGTGTCGTTACATTCCTTCTTGGATTGTGGTGTCGAATAGTACTCCGCAAGTAACCGATGAGCAGCGATTCGAGTACCTCAAATAGTCTTGAGATTGTCCTATTCAAAATATGATAACCTGCTTTTCGCCTTTCTTTCTTCTCATCAAATACAAAGCTATTGATTATCAATAGCGAACTTGAGCGGTGATTTCACACCGTTCATTGCTTCGGCAAGGCATCCGTCGGTGCCCCAGGCCAGATGACCAACGTGGGCCGTGCACGATCCCGTAAGGCCCTCGACTTTCACCCTCACACTTCATTCACATCAACTGCTTTTCTTCCTATGCCCGCTTTGTGTCATCTTAGATGCCATAGAGGTTGACTTCAAATGTCCACCCTGGGGTGTGACTTACAAGCATGGCGCAAGCAGGTCCTATTACGGACATCACACAGAGGCTCTTCACGGAGTTGAAGTCCAAGAATGAGGAGACGCGGGTGAGAGCTGCATACGAGCTCTACGACAACGTCCTCGCTATCTCAAGAGGTAACGTTTGACGCCTGTGTGCCCGCATAAGGATCTACTAACCTCTACCTCTTACCATGGACAGACTGGGCTCCCGAGAAATTCCTCGAATTTTATAATGCAGTCAGCCAGCGCATCGCGCAGCTCGTCGTCACTGGCAGCGACGCCAACGAAAGAATCGGCGGTCTCCTGGCTCTTGATCGCCTAATCGACTTCGACGGAGTGGATGCGGCTCAGAAAACTACTCGATTTGCCAGTTATCTGCGCAGTGCTCTTCGCAGCAATGACAATGTGGTGTTAGTGTACGCAGCTCGGTCACTTGGCCGTTTGGCTAAGCCGGGCGGGGCTCTCACGGCGGAGTTGGTTGAGAGCGAAATTCAATCTGCCCTCGAGTGGCTCCAGTCTGAGCGACAAGAAGCCAGGCGGTTTGCCGCCGTGCTTGTCATTAGGGAGCTAGCTAAAGGCTCCCCAACCCTTCTCTATGGTTTTGTCCCGCAAATATTCGAACTCATCTGGGTCGCCCTCCGGGATCCCAAAGTCCTCATCCGAGAAACCGCGGCCGAAGCTGTCAGTGAATGTTTTGAAATCATAGCTGCACGAGACATCCAGGTTCGACAATTGTGGTTTGCTAGAATACACGAAGAAGCGCTTCTAGGCTTGAAATCCAACAATGTGGATTGGATACACGGATCCCTTCTGGTTCTTAAAGAACTTCTTCTCAAGGGTGCCATGTTTATGAACGAACACTACCGAAACGCCTGTGAGATCGTCCTTCGCCTCAAGGATCACCGCGACCCAAAGATTCGCACCCAGGTCGTTCTGACAATCCCCATCCTCGCATCATACGCCCCCGTTGACTTTACCGAAATTTATCTTCATCGATTCATGATTTATTTGCAAGCACAACTGAAGAGAGATAAGGAACGAAATTCAGCATTCATTGCCATTGGAAAGATTGCCAATGCCGTCGGTGTCGCCATCGCGCAGTATCTTGATGGTATCATCATCTATATAAGAGAGGGCTTGGCTATGAAAGCGTAAGCTCAGATTCTTTCGGATTGCTATCTTGTCCTATCAACTGACATAAAATAGACGGAATAGAGCCGCGATTAATGAAGCGCCAATGTTCGAGTGCATCAGTATGCTCTCCCTAGCTGTGGGGCAAGCGCTGAGCAAGTATATGGAGGCATTGCTTGATCCGATATTTGCTTGCGGGCTGAGCGAGTCCTTGACACAAGCGCTCGTCGATATGGCTCATTATATCCCGCCGATCAAGCCTATTATCCAAGAAAAGCTCCTGGACATGCTGAGTATTATTCTCTACGGAACACCTTTTCGGCCTCTTGGATGTCCTGAGAACAGACTCCCTCCCATGCCATCATTTGCCAAGGACTTCGCCCCTCAAGAACTCCACTCCGATGCTGAAATTGCGTTAGCACTCCATACGTTGGGGAGTTTTGACTTCTCCGGCCACATTTTAAATGAATTCGTGCGTGATGTTGCAATCAACTATGTCGACAACGACAATTCCGAAATCAGAAAGGCTTCAGCGCTTACTTGCTGCCAACTCTTTGTCCATGATCCAATTATCAACCAGACTAGCAGCCATTCGATACAGGTCGTGAGCGAAGTCATAGACAAACTGTTGACCGTCGGAATCGGAGACCCGGATCCAGAAATCCGTCGAACTGTTCTTTGGTCATTGGACCGAAAATTCGACCGTCACCTTGCGAGACCTGAAAACATCCGGTGCCTCTTCTTGGCAGTCAACGATGAAGTTTTTTCTGTCAGAGAAGCTGCAATCTGCATCATCGGTCGTCTCTCGAGTGTCAACCCTGCTTACGTCTTCCCACCCTTACGAAAATTGCTTGTTAACTTACTAACTGGCCTTGGATTCGCAAGCACAGCTCGCCAAAAGGAAGAAAGTGCCCAGCTTATTAGCTTGTTTGTTTCCAATGCGACCAAGCTTATCAGATCGTATGTCGATCCAATGGTGACTACATTGCTCCCAAAGGCGACTGATGCCAATCCTGGTGTCGCATCAACTACTCTCAAGGCCGTTGGGGAGCTTGCAAACGTCGGCGGTGGAGAAATGAAGTTATATCTACCGCAGCTTATGCCAATCATTTTGGAGTCGCTGCAGGATCTTTCTTCCCATGCGAAGCGAGAAGCGGCTTTGCGGACATTGGGCAAACTTGCCAGCAACTCCGGATACGTTATAGACCCATACCTCGAATACCCTCATCTACTTGCCGTACTTATCAACATCATTAAGACCGAGCAAACTGGGTCTCTGCGCAAAGAGACTATCAAGCTTCTGGGAATTCTCGGCGCCCTTGACCCCTACAAATATCAACAAATCAGTGAAACCACACCGGACATTCATCACATCAATGAAGTGCAAACGGTCTCTGATGTCGCCCTTATCATGCAAGGACTCACTCCTTCCAATGAAGAGTACTATCCGACGGTAGTAATCAACACGCTTATGCAGAATATACTTAGAGAGAATTCTCTGGCCCAGTATCATTCCGCTGTGATTGATGCAATAGTCACAATATTCAAGACCCTAGGCTTGAAATGCGTGCCATTCCTTGGCCAGATAATTCCCGGGTTCATATCTGTCATTCGAGGATCGCCTGCTAGTCGCCTTGAATCTTATTTCAACCAGATGGCAATTTTAGTCAACATCGTGAGACAGCATATCCGTGCTTTCCTTCCGGAAATCATTGATGTTATTCGCGAATTCTGGGATGTCTCACACCAAGTGCAGGCCACAATTCTATCACTCGTGGAAGCCATCGCCAAATCATTGGAAGGTGAATTCAAGAAGTACCTTGCCGGACTTATTCCGCCGATGCTGGATACCCTTGAAAAGGACAGTACACAGCGTCGGCAGCCATCGGAGAGGATTCTCCATACTTTCTTGATATTTGGCACAAGTGGCGAGGAGTACATGCACCTGATTGTTCCGTCTATTGTGCGACTTTTTGATAGAACCCAAAACCCGCCAAGCATCCGGAAGTCTGCCATCGATAGCTTGACCAAGCTGTCACGTCAGGTTAATGTTTCTGATTTTGCATCTCTAATGGTCCACTCCTTGTCTCGAGTGGTCGCTGGAACTGATCGTACATTGCGGCAATCTGCGATGGATTGTATCTGCGCTCTCATCTTCCAGCTTGGACAGGATTTCACTCACTACATACATCTTCTCAACAAGACTCTCAAAAGTCAGCAAATAAACCATGTCAACTATCAAATATTAGTGACAAAATTACAAAAAGGAGACCCCCTCCCACAAGACTTGAACCCCGACGAGAATTATGGGACTATGGCGGATGAATCCAATTTTGCTGAAATCGGCCAGAAGAAAATGGTGGTTAATCAGCAGCATCTCAAGAACGCTTGGGATGCCTCCCAGAAATCCACTCGAGAGGACTGGCAAGAATGGATACGCCGTTTCAGCGTTGAGTTATTGAAAGAGTCGCCATCACCGGCACTAAGAGCGTGCGCTAGTTTGGCCGGAATTTATCAACCCCTTGCAAGGGACCTTTTCAACGCCGCCTTCGTTTCCTGCTGGACTGAGTTGTACGATCAATACCAGGAAGAACTGGTTAGGTCCATTGAGAAGGCCCTCACTTCACCTAATATCCCTCCCGAGATTTTGCAAATTCTTCTCAACCTTGCTGAGTTCATGGAACATGACGATAAAGCTCTTCCAATTGATATTCGCACACTTGGCAAGTATGCTGCGAAGTGTCACGCATTTGCCAAGGCTCTTCATTATAAGGAACTTGAGTTTGAACAAGACCAGAATTCAGGAGCTGTTGAGGCATTGATCACCATCAACAACCAACTCCAACAATCCGATGCTGCCATCGGTATCCTCCGCAAAGCTCAAGCCTATCGTGATGTAGAGCTCAAGGAAACCTGGTTCGAAAAGCTTCAACGTTGGGAGGAAGCTCTTGCTGCCTATAAACGACGTGAGAAGGTCGATCCCGACTCGTTTGGAGTTACGATGGGCAAAATGAGGTGTTTACACGCTCTCGGCGAATGGAAGGTGCTGTCTGATCTTGCCCAAGAAAAGTGGAACCAAGCGTCACTCGAACATCGCAGAGCCATTGCCCCTCTCGCCGCAGCAGCAGCGTGGGGTCGGGGCCAGTGGGAATTGATGGATTCTTACTTGGGTGTCATGAAAGAACAATCTCCGGATCGATCATTCTTTGGAGCTATTCTTGCCATTCACCGCAAACAATTTGATGAGGCAACCATGTACATCGAGAAGGCACGGAATGGGTTGGACACTGAACTATCAGCTCTTCTCGGGGAGTCTTACAACCGTGCCTATAATGTTGTTGTCCGTGTTCAGATGCTTGCCGAGCTCGAGGAAATCATCACATACAAGCAAAACATCGGCGATCCCGAAAAGCAGGATGCCATGCGCAAAACTTGGAACAAACGTTTACTCGGATGTCAGCAGAATGTCGAAGTGTGGCAGCGTATGCTCAAGGTTAGGGCACTTGTCACTTCGCCTCGCGAGAATCTTGACATGTGGATCAAATTCGCTAATCTCTGCCGCAAATCCAACCGCATGGGCCTTGCCGAGCGATCTCTTGCTTCACTAGAAACAGTTGTCTCGGACAGTCAAGGCACACGGGCTATTACTCCGCCGGAAGTCACTTATGCTCGGTTGAAGTTCAGCTGGGCCACTGGGCGTCAAGTAGAGGCTCTCCAGATGCTGAAGGAGTTCACTACTAACCTGACGGATGACTTTTCGAAATTCAATACCTTAATGATATCGCAAGCGGAACATAATGGAATGAACGGCGTGAACGGAATCGCCGATCCAAACCATACGGACATCATGGGCCTGCGTGAGCGCATTGGCGACGTAGCCAAGTTTAGGAGACTTCTTGCTAAGAGCTATCTCCGACAAGGAGAATGGCAGACCAGTTTACAACGCGGTGATTGGAAGCCGGAGCATGTGCGGGAAGTTCTCAACGCATATTCTGCTGCTACTAAGTACAACCGTGACTCGTACAAAGCGTGGCATTCGTGGGCGCTGGCGAACTTCGAAGTCGTTACAACTATCGCCAGTCAGGCCAGCAGGGATGGCGCGACAATGGTTATGGTCCCAGCTCATATTGTGACTGAACATGTGATACCTGCTATCCGTGGTTTCCTTCGGTCCATTTCCCTATCGTCGACATCGTCACTGCAGGACACTTTGAGATTACTGACCCTTTGGTTTACCCATGGAGGTGATCAAGAAGTCAACAGTGTCGTTACAGAAGGTTTCACGGCTGTGAATATTGATACTTGGCTCGCCGTTACTCCTCAACTTATAGCACGTATCAACCAGCCTAATATCAGAGTACGAAGTGCCGTTCATAGATTACTGGCCGAGGTTGGAAAAACTCATCCTCAGGCCCTGGTGTATCCTTTGACGGTTGCTATGAAGTCCAATGTCACTAGGCGGTCTCAATCGGCTAGTAACATCATGGACAACATGCGACAACACAGTGCAAAACTGGTTGAACAAGCAGATCTCGTGAGCAATGAATTGATCCGAGTTGCAGTCTTGTGGCACGAACTTTGGCATGAAGGCTTGGAGGAAGCCTCCCGTCTTTACTTCGGTGACCACAACGTGGAGGGGATGTTTGCAACACTTGCGCCGCTCCACGAGATGCTTGACAAGGGCGCAGAAACCCTGCGTGAAGTGTCTTTTGCACAAGCCTTCGGACGTGATCTCGCGGAGGCGAAACACTACTGCATGTTGTATCGTGAAACCGAGGAGATCGGCGATCTGAACCAAGCTTGGGATCTCTATTACACCGTGTTCAGAAAGGTTAGCCGACAGCTTCCACAGCTGTCCATTCTCGACTTGAAATACGTATCTCCCAGACTTAAAGACTGCACCGACCTTGATCTTGCTGTTCCAGGAACCTATCAGAGCGGCAGACCAATCATCCGGATCATCAGTTTTGACCCTATCCTACATGTTCTTCAAACCAAGAAGCGGCCACGAAGGATGACGCTAAAGGGCAGTGATGGAAACTCCTACATGTATGCTCTTAAGGGACATGAGGATATCCGACAAGATGAGCGGGTGATGCAGCTGTTTGGTCTTGTTAATACCCTTCTTGACAACGACGGTGAGAGCTTCAAGCGTCACCTTTCTGTGCAGCGATTCCCTGCCATTCCTCTGTCCCAGAGCTCAGGTCTTCTGGGATGGGTCTCCAACAGTGACACGCTACACGCGCTGATTAAGGAATACCGTGAGAGTCGTCGTATCTTGTTGAACATTGAGCACCGCATCATGCTTCAGATGGCACCAGATTACGATAATTTGACACTCATGCAAAAGGTAGAGGTCTTCGGATATGCCATGGACAACACTACTGGCAAGGATCTTTATCGCGTTCTCTGGCTCAAGAGTAAAAGCTCCGAGGCCTGGCTCGAGCGACGAACAAACTACACTCGGTCATTGGGTGTCATGTCCATGGTCGGTTATATCCTCGGTCTGGGCGATCGTCATCCGTCCAACTTGCTTCTTGATCGGGTCACTGGCAAGGTGGTTCACATTGACTTTGGCGATTGCTTTGAGGTTGCTATGCACCGTGAGAAGTATCCAGAGCGAGTGCCTTTCCGACTTACTCGTATGTTGACCTTCGCAATGGAAGTTAGCAATATCGAGGGAAGCTATCGGATTACTTGCGAGGCGGTCATGCGTGTTATCAGAGAGAACAAGGATTCTTTGATGGCTGTTCTGGAAGCGGTAAGTCTTTATCTCTTCTACCTTTCCCAGCACACCATGAAGCTTGGAAACTAATTGGGATATAGTTCATTCATGACCCGCTTATCAACTGGCGTCTCGGAGTCCGTGAATCTCCAGATCGACTTGCCTTCACAGGCGAACGTCGACAGTCGGTGATTAACAACGTCAACATGGATCACGGCGTCCAACCCAGCAACTTTTCACGCCACCGCAGGCCATCCATTTTGGAGGGCGGCATTCTTGATGCTCAGGAGGGTATTCCCAACGAAGCCCGGGAGGCCCAAAATGCTCGAGCATTGCAAGTACTCGCTCGGGTTAAGGAGAAGCTCACGGGACGAGACTTCAAGTCGTTCGAGGAGCTCAATGTGAGTGACCAAGTCGACAAGCTTCTCGCCCAGGCGACCAGCGTCGAAAACATATGCCAGCATTGGATTGGATGGTGCAGTTTCTGGTGATTGTTTCTAAAATTTAATGCCTTTCTGGAGTCTCGTGGCGCAGGAAGGTGTGGTATGACGGATCTTGCATGGCGTGGTATATTCGCTTTGTATGTAGACTTACGTTTTCTGTTTCTGCTTTTTTCTCTCTTTCTTTCTCTTTTTCCACGTTATTTCCCCTTCAAGTATCTGTCTATTCCTTTTCTCTTTCCTGCTTTTCTTCCTGTATAATCTGTCCCTGCTTGGAGAGGCAAACGTGGGCATTTCGGGGCATTGCATTTTCACATGCCTGCTGTGGATTAATTGTTACATGGAGAACGATGGATATGAATGAACGATAGACCATCTAGTTATCATTGATTGTCAATTGCACTAATCGGTAATTATTCCTGGCTTCTTTATCTGTAAGTCTGGGGAATGTAAATGTCAACATCCATTGTGTCTGCATCCTACAAGTCACTCGCTCGTCATTGCCGAGGTTGAGGCGGTGCGGCCTGACTGCAGCTCAGCGGAGTCTCAGCTTCCTCCTCTCCATCACCAATCCCACATTCCCAGGTGGCGATGTGATGTCTATTCAGTCGATTATCATCACAACAGTCTAGTTGCTGAATTTTTTGAGATCAGCTCAGCATGTCAACCGCAGACCCCGCAGCCTCCCCTGCGTCTGCGGAGCCTGATGTCAATCCTTTAATTCGTGATGCCCTCCGCATCTCTCTCAGCGCCAAAGAATATAAATTTCTCCACGACCACGCTGTCAAACGTGCTCCACCCGCCATAAAGAACAATGCGCCTTCTCCGTCGAGATATGAGGCTCTCGTTCGCCCCCGGAATAAGCACAATGAAGTCGCTATCCGCGCTTCGCTGCGGGTTTTCCTGGGGTCGGGAGCCGCGTTGAAGCTCATCGATATGGTTATGAGCAAGATTCAGGGTGCTGGATCGAAGTAAGATCCAACTATACGAACATCTACGATCATTGTTTTGAAATGAAATGCCCACAGTGATGCTGACGTGATGTTGATGATAGGAAATCCCCCCGTACTTCCATCCTCCGCTCCCCGAACTTCCGGCTCTCACTTTCTCTTTCCCTCGTTCTCTTTCTCCATCGATTTCTTCATCGCTTTTTTGTCAAGCTTCGCGCATATCTTCGTACGGATGAGGCGCAGCCATTCCATGCTAGAAACCCGCGAATTTCCAAGGCTTTGACTTCGCGATATGCGCCCGCTGTCGGGGCCAGTGCTGCTGGCTTTGCGCTGGGGATAAGTCCCCAGAGCCAATTGCGGATGAGTGTGGCAGTTTACTCGGTTACGAAGAGCTTGGAGTTTCTCTACAATGCTTTGGATGAGAAGGGGTGGTTTGAGAATCGGCCGTGGTGGTTTGGAAGTTGGCTGTTGATGCCCATCTCGTTTGCCCAGCTCTTCCATGCTTTCGTGTTTGACCGGGAGACTACGCCGAAGGTTTGTCGCATGCCTGTTTTCTCTTCATGCTATGTGAGTAAATTGCTTACTGACATGATTACAGTGGTTTGGAGCTGTTCTTCTGAGACTCTCGCCGAGTTATATACAGACTCGGCCAGACAGCTTCCCTGCTGGGCTTCCTTGGCCGGACAAGGACGAGGTGGTGAACTCGTTGGCAACCATTTCCAATCTACGGTGGCCGTGAGTTTCATTCGATTGCCTCTTTCTTCTGCATGATACTAATACACTACATAGAGTCTTCAACTCGCCGATTCTACAGCCCTCCAACCCCAATATCCTGCCAGCAGCTGTTAAATCGATCTCACCGATCACCGGGCCCGCTCATCCGTCAATCTCCAGTCTTTCGTGTGCGCTTCTGCATCCCAGTGCTCCCAGTTGCAGCACCGCATTCTTGCATCATATCCTTCTCTCCGTTCCTCCTCTGGCTCGCACCCTCACTACCGTGACCCTGGCTTTGTCTGTACTAAAGTTCAAGACGATGATGTCCCATCCTATCTCTGCTATAAACAGCCTTTCAAAGCGTATCATCACCATGACTGCTGTTCTGTCGGCTGCTGCTGGCTCCGCCTGGGGCAGCGTTTGTCTTTGGAATGGTCTATTGCCACGCTCGACTCTCCCTACTAAGCGCTTTTTCCTGAGCGGAGCGCTGAGTGGATTGCCGTTTGCGTTCCTCGGTAATAGTCGTGGTGCTTACCTCTCCATCTTCCGCGCTGCTATCGACTCAGCCTGGAAAGCTGGCGTCAAACGTGGCGTCTGGAAAGGCTGGAAAGGAGGTGAGCTTTGGGTCATCGTGCTCTCTTGGGCCCTCATGGGTGCAATTTTGGAGAGTAGACCGTCTGCAGTCCAAAGCAAAGGAGTGAGAAAGGCTTTGGCGTGGACAAAGGGAGACGGCTTTGTTGATCCCGTGGAAGTTGCAGCCAAGAAGAAGGCAAAAAAAGCCTCCAGCCAGAAGAAACCGGAGAACAACTAATTGAGTTTATTTACTTTTGCTAGCGTTCTTCGGCAATTATATCTTGACTGCAATGTTATTTATTCCACTTTGGTCTTTTTTCATGTCTTTCCCCGATCATTCAACCTCGCCGCCTGTTATGGGGTGTGTCTTGCATTCTTGTTTTTGATACCACATGTCTTGTCTATCACCGCTATAGTATAAACTGTCTAATTTTAGCTATGCCATAACCACTATAAAATTATGTTCATCAACCCTAATGTTTAAATGCCATCAAATTCATGGCGTCCCATCGAGTACCAAGTATTTATACCGGGGGGCACTAAGAAAGTAAATGAGTCCCGTTCGTGCGGCCAGACACATCAGTTTTGTTTGGGTTTGGGCCGTACTGTATCTCGTAAAGTAATTCTGAAGCTGCACGCGATAACATGAATAGGGGATATTACATGCTGTCCTCTCTTGGACTTGATCCAAGCATCCCGTTCTCCACGTATTCTTGTTTGATTCGCACCATGTCACTGTGGTTTGAGGGATTATGATATCTGGGTATTTGGGGAGGTAACGGCTCTGGGGTAGAGGGTTCTGGGGCGAACTCTGCTGATAATTATGTCAGTCTTTTCTTTTTTCCTGATGACTAAACTCTGGTATCAAACGAGGCGCGCGACTTACACTGATATACCATATAGAAGACAGGATCCTGTGTTGGATTTGTTTGTAGTTGGGAGTTCATGGCACCGCGCCACTGGCTCTGGGTGAACATGGGAACTGTGATGGGTAGTCTTCTCGGTTGTATTATTATATTGATGTTGGCGGGAGGTCGATACTCCAGACGGTGGACGGTGAAGTCGTAACCGCAGTGGGCTTGGACGATGTTGATCCAGTGGTCATAGCCCAGGTCAGCGAGTTGAGGAGCTGGATTGGGGTTGCGAGGATCTTCGTTTCGCAGGAGTTCTTGAATGGAGCATAGGCCGTGCTTTGTATGGTCGATCTCATTCAGTACCCAGATGTTGCGGGCGAGTATGTCCGGGCCGGGTGGACGTGGTGATATTTTGTTTCTTTTGCTTGGGGGTTCTGCGGGGTGCGATTCCTCCATAGCGGCGGCAGAGCCCTCGCCACTTGTTCGATTATGATTATTATGATTATGGTTATAATTAGCAGGTTCTGGAGCGTTTTGCTGGGTATTGTTATTATTGTTGCTGTTTGGTCCTTCTTTCACCACAATCTGCGGTTGTGACTGCGGTTGCTGTTGCGATGGTGGCTCCGATTCCTCCGGCTCTTCATTATCATTACTATCGCTGTTGTCACTGGTCGTGGCCATTTCAACAAAAGAGTCCCGTTTCTCGCGCGATTGCTGCACATATTCATTCTTGATCTTATACGCCATACCCATCAACCCATCCATACGCGTCGCATTAGAGGTAGCATCTTGGACAAACGGCGGTAGAATGCGGAGGTTTGATTCGAGGAAGTTTTTCAATTCGGTTCGCATCGCGATGGACTTGAATGTTTGTTTTAGCTTTCCATGAGTTTGCATCAGATGCGTCAAGGCATTTTTCAATTCCGATAGCTCCTTTGGTGTCCCACCCAGGTATGATGCGAGTGTCTTTTGATTCCAATTTCGCGGACGGGGCGAATTCAAAATGTGTGTATTAGGCATGATGTAGGGTATTAGGTTGGGACAGTGATAGACAGGTCAGTAGAAGAGTCTGTTGAAGCAGATGGAGATTGGAGAGAGCACGATCAGATGGAATGGAAGATCGCGAAGGTTGCAAGAGGAGAGGGTGGACTAGGGTTGGAGTGGCAATTCAAATTTCATATTGAAAACCGTTTCAATGAGATTCTTAAGTGGCTCTTGATGATTATATAGCGTGGAGTGATGGATGATGATGGTTGCGCAGTTGGGATGTTTGCATTATCGAAGCGTTGATAAGGCCAAGAATAATGATACCAGGATGACTACAGGACAGCACAGAGCGACAAACGCAGCTCAGACAAAGAGGTCTTATTCTCAAGCATGAGAGAGAATGGCATCAATTAAAGATTAAATTAAGAAAGGAAAAAAGAAAAAGAAAAAAGAAATGCTTCTGCTCCGATGCGGGGAATCGAACCCCGAGCTGCTCGGTGAAAGCGAGCGATGTTAGCCATTACACCACATCGGATTCTTGTTGAAGAAGGCAGCAATTTTACATAATATATACCATTGCACACAGCTACCCCAGAATGATCAACACAGGGTTCAACACATTTTATTCTCACGTCTTCTTTCATCTCTCTGGAGCATCAACAATTAAGCAACTAAAGCATCTAGAACAATACACGCTTTATTCTTAGATATCCAGCATAATAAATCAAACTCGGAAAATACAGATTCACCTTGACCATCAATATGATGGAACCTCTTTTCCGACCTTTAATGCGGTTTGGTTCTCGGTCGTCATCGAATTCCGGGGTAGCTTCAGGGACCACGCACCGCCGGGGAACAGACTCCGAAGGGAAGAAAGAGACTGCAGGATTTGCTTGTATCCGAGATGCCACCGTGATCTCTCATTGGACCATCTTCATTCATACGCAGTATGGATAAGCATATGCCGAGCACGTCCTTGGAGTATGTGTAACGATAACCACTCCTTTTTCCGAATCTGGCGGTCTGCACTTCCATCTTTGTCCTGGTAGGAGCTTCTGGCCTTATTCAAAAACATAGCTTCTTCCCTAGTCCTTTCTCCTTTTTTTCCTATCACCCATTTCCTCTCATTGTTGTGCACTACTATCCCTAACCTTCACCCTCCATCCTCCTCACAACATGTCTGTCTCCAAATTGAAAATCGGCTGCGCTGGTCTCGGCCGCATGGGCAAGCGCCATGCCCTGAACTTCCTCGAGAGGACTCCTCGTGCACAGCTGGTGGCAGCCAGCTCCCCGGATGATGCAGAATTGGAGTGGGCAAAGGTTCACCTGGCGCCCTTCGGAGTCAAGCTGTACAAGAACTATGATGACATGCTCAAACACGAGGGTTTGGAAGCAGTGGTTGTTGCTTCTGCCACTGCTGTCCATGCCGAACAGGCTATCAAGGCCATCAATGCTGAGAAGAATGTCCTTTGCGAGAAGCCTCTGTCGACCAGTGTTGAGATTGTATGCTCCGTCATATCCCTTTCCCTCGGCATTCCTACAATGTGCTAACATATTCCCTTCTTACTAGTCCCAATCCGTCCTTGACGCCGCTTCAAAGAAACCCCATCTCAAAGTGATGTGTGGTTTCTCCCGACGATTCGATGCCTCTTACCGTGACGCATACAACAAAATGACTAAGGGCTCGATCGGCTCTCCCTCCGTGCTTCGCAGCCAGACCTGTGACAAACTCGACCCGTCTGGATTCTTTGTCGCCTACGCTCAGTTCTCCGGTGGAATCTTCGTGGACTGCTCTATCCATGATATCGATCTGGCTCTTTGGTTCTTCGGTCAGGACAGCAAGGTCAAGACGGTGTCGGCCGTAGGTATCACCGCTGTTGAGCCCGATCTCCGCAAGCACAATGACCGTGACAACGCTGTTGGACTGGTTGAGTTTTACAATGGCAAGATCGCGTACTTCTATGCTTCGCGAATGATGGCTGCTGGACAAGAAGACACCACGGAGGTTATCGGCACCCAGGGCAAGTTGACCGTCAACGCTCAGCCAGCCCTGAACTTGGTCAACATCTACGACGGCGCTGGTATCCGTCGCGAGATCCCACAACATTACTATGATCGCTTCGAGTTTGCATTTGTTACCGAGGCCAACGAATTCACTGCTGCTTGTCTGGAGAACACCGAGGTTCCGTTGAAACTCGAGGGCGCCGTGCAGGCTGTCCGCATTGGAAGTGCACTCCAGGAGGCCCTCATTACAGGACAGAAGATTTTCTTCGACGAAGCAGGCAACCGCATCGAAAAGACTAAGCTATGAGAGATGATAAGATGAATTTTTCTTTTTTTCTTATGGTTGTTGAAATACCTATACAGCGGGTTCCAGATATATTGCCCACGATTTAATAGATTTTATATAGTGACAACATACTCCAGAGATATACAAAAATTGTTATATGATTAGAATTCTGGAATTCATATTGTGCTTTCAATTAGATGCCATAAGATACATGGTAAATAAAAACCATATAGAAGTAGATACTGAATACAATCTGTCCTTGGCATTTTTTAAAAGAACAACCCTAATTTATCACTGACTTCAGTTTTCCATATACCTAAACGAACGAACAGTATCAGTATCTACAGAAAAAGAGATAAACTATGCAAAAAAAAAAAATCCATCAGCTTACAACCAAACCCCTCCATGCCTTCAAGACATTCCAAAACTTAATAAAAATAATAAAAAGACCAAATGTACCTGTGATACCAGTCATGCAAGCCCGCTGGTTCACCGTTCATTGCTACAGTGCCCCATATTTCTTTCCCCACTGAAGCGGGAACCCGTTTCCGACTCGGAATTTGATTTGGTCTGGTCCGTCTGGAAAAGAAAAAGAATCGAAGAGAGAAAGAGAAGCACAGATGATTGGGGTGTTAAAGAAAAAAATGATCAGCGTCTACGTTCATATGGTGTAGTTTCTTTGAGTACTATTTCTATGTAGGTACTTTGGGATATAGTTATGGGTATAAGATAAGAGAAGTAAATCTTTGAGACTCGGTCAGAGTCAATCTTCATTGAATAATGTCATGAGCCTTGCAGTTCTTTTTCGACTGCTAGTTCTTCAGTGTCGTCACAGAACGTGTAGTAAAATCGCCAAAAATCATGATAAAAACAGAAATAGAAACAAAATGCGGTATCTTTATGTATATCAACAAAAAATCACAGGATAAAAGGCTTTCTACCACTTGATCACCTTCTTGGGGAAGTACTCGTCGATGAGCTCCAGGTAGTATGGCTGTTGAAAAAAGCATGTTAGCGTTTCTGTCCGCATAGCGGGGTACAGTAGAATATCTTACCTTGAGCTCCTCAACAGAGGGAACATCGTCACTCTTACTGTACAGATCGTAAGGGTTGAAAGCCTTGACGGCCTTCAGCATTTCCTTGTCATGGTCGTTCATCAACTCGTGGTAGGCACCAGCGCTGTGCCAGGGGTAGAAGGAGTGGTAACGGATCATGGCGAGGGCCTCGTCGGGGAGGGTCGACTGCTCCTTAGCAACGTGGTAGAGGTACTCGTCGTGACCCCAGGACAACATAACGTTATCCAAGCCACATCCGGGGCTGTAAATACCGAACTTGCTGCTGTAGATCTCGTGACCGTAGTCTTCGTTGTCCTTGAATGACTCGGTACCGTAGATGATTCGGTCGTCAAAGCCCAAGCCGACAGGGAAGGTGTCACCCACGACATCCCACTGGCCACGGGCGTCAAAGAAGAAGAGAAGCTTGCCCAGGTCGTGGATGAGACCAGTCAGCTGCATCCAGCGAGGCTTGCCATCGCGACGGATGGCCTCAGCGGACTGAATGAGGTGCTCGATCTGGGAGAGGCTGGTGTCGGGGTCCGATTCGTCGATAAGAGTGTTGAGGCGCTCCATGGCCTCCCAGACGGTCATCTCAGCGCGTGTTTTCGAGTGGAAGTTGTGACGAGCCTGGAGGTTGTAGGCAACAGTCTGCTTGGTGTGCTGTTCCTTGTAGAAGTTCTTGACCCGGTCACAGGCGTCCTCGTACTGACGGAATTGAGTCTTGTCCTTGTTCTTGTCGAACTCAGACTCTTCGTAGAGGTCTTTCTCATTCTTCATGTTGGCCTTGAGGACGTTGACATCGTCAATGGCGTCGGAGAGATCCTCGAGGGCCTGTCCATCCCGCTTCTTGTTGAAGACGGGGGCCACGGGGGTCTCAGCGGCGACTGCAACGGGTGCCATTGTGTGTTTTGTTTTTTCTTTGTTTGGTTTGGGGGTATCGATGTAAACTGGATAGTAGTTGTCTGATGAAAAAAAGAGATGACAGTTGGGAGTGAACTGGCCCATATATATCTGTGGTCCTCTGTGCGGGCAGATGTCTGTCTGGCCGACGCAAGACGCTGAGTGAATGGGATGATGATGCTAGGATTTCCGAAAGCCGACTCCAGACCTGCCAAGTCTCAAGCAAAAAAAAGTAATGCGGAGAATCCCAGACATCCATTTTCCAAGATACCGATTATACCGATGATTTACCTTACCGTGTGGCGTGGGAATGACCAGCAGCCCGGATTCTGGCTTCCGTGCCAGATACGATAGCGGGAAATCATCTCCACATCCTGCACGACGTTTGGGGGATTTGCCGTGGGAGGAATGGTGATCACCGGCTTAGATCTGGATTCTGGGCCAATGTAACAGATCTGTAATCGGGGGGGTGATGTCAGGTGCTGAGAAATGCCTGGTGTCCGTGATTTGATTTGCCAGCATAGCGGTCTGCACTCGCGGGGTTCCTTTCCTCTCTTGGAGTCTGGAGGTTCGTTGATAATCTTGTCAGTATTCGGCGAAGATGACAGCTGATCAGGGACGGAAAAGAAGCGTTACACATCTTTTGTACATCCCTGGTACCTAGCAGACAATGGGTTTCACATGGACATCCACCAAGAGACAGCTTAAAATTCCCTCTCTCAGCAATAGGCCGATGAAGTTGCTTTTGATGGTAATCGATGGAGTTTGATTGGGTTGAATTGGAATAATTGATGACCATCGAAGGTCATACGGAAGAAATCGACAAGTGCTTATTTGTAGTCGGTCGACTTCCGTATCTGTGTCTTACCTACGCCGAGGCGATCATGATGCAACAACCAAGTAATGCAATATATTCTCTATTCTAAGGCTCAAATACCAATTATAATATTTGGGATCAAGTTTTCAATGACAGACATACGAGGGTAGAATCTACCCAGGAGTTCTTATGGTTCATAGTGAGGGTTGATACACGCATATCTCACCATGTTCTGTTCCACAATCAAGAACAGAAAAACTACACATGAAAACCCCACATCCTGTTTGCACAAGTCATCGGAAATCCATATGCAAGATATAACTAAACGCATTCCTCGAGTAAGCGGACCTGTTTCCATGTTCAATTTCGGAGTGATATTTGGCAGACGGAATCCTACCGGAGAAACAACTGCCAATGAACTTGATTCTGGTAATCATATGACTTCAATGAGATGGCCTCAGTAGACAAGAAAACAAGCGTTTGTAATCAATTGTTATCATGCCATGGATCAAAGCGCCTCGGATTTCAGTGCCTCAGTCTGTCGTAAGAGAAGATTGACAGCACTACCTCGCCCGTGCACACGGAATTCTCATCACTCCGTTGCCGCCAGACAGCCACTGACGACTATAACAAGAAGCACGATCTGAGCGGTTGGGATTTCTCCCAGTAGCCAAAGCCCCTTGTGCCCATCAGTTTTCGCCACAATCCAAGCCAGCCTGTGTTGGTGACCATAATGGGAAGCCCTTGAGCGTTTGAAAGGGCATATATGTTAGGCTCTTTGCGAAGAAAATTTATTTGTAAGCACAATTTCTGAGAAGCCATTAGAGTTGATGAAACTTAAGTCGGAGAAGGCAAGTATGGCCCATTTTTTGTTAACCAAGATACCGTCGCGTCAAATATCAAGAAGCCCAGTTCCATCAAGTTGGCCTTCTTCGACCTATACGATCAGGGATAGACCTAAGTTTAGCTCGTTAGTCAGTATATGGGACTTTGTGTTGTAGAAGGAAGATACTGACTTGGATATCAATCTCTGATCTCCTGGGGTTATTGTGGATAACCTATCGAGGGTGAGTTCTCTCGATCTTAGAATGATCATATTATAACACCAAAAATTGAAGATTGATATCAGTAGTAATATGCTGAATTTGTAGTTAGTTTTCTGAGTTAATATCCAGAGTCTTCTGTTTCTTCGAGAGCTGACAAGGCGATTTCTTAGACCCAGTCAATCATTGGAAAGATGTTGCTGTCGTGTAAAAAATTGGTTCTAAGAATGTGACTGTATGTATAACAGTGGCCTTCAGATCCAGAGTCCTGATCGATAACCAGATTGACGATGGTGATATGATGGCTATTTTGAGGTTCCACAGTGATTTGAGCTCGTGTTGGGGATACAGGAAGGGGTAGCGCAATAATTCTAAACCACAGTGTGTGGTCTAGAAGCAATCACGTGACTACATAGCTGCATGACATAATTCGAGAAACATCCAAGGCTAGAGACATTTCGTATATTTATTATCAAGCTTATTGCATCGCTAGAGGTAGATCGTAACTTTACTCTAGTAATGCTTTGGCCCTGAAGCATATAATTATGGTCAAATAAGAGCCCTGGGACCGTCTGTAAGGCCAAGCGGGATCACCGCATATGCATTATCAGCAAAGGCTAAGTCAAATGTCATCACTACTGCGAAATTTACATTATAGAAATTCTCCACTGCAAAGACATAAATATAGCTAGTAGAAACAATTTATTGACATCAAATTTCTTTATTTCCTCCAATAATCAATTGTAGTCGATGAATCCAAAGTACCTGCATACATCATAAGGTTCCTCCCACTACGGCGGGCGAGACCTCCTGGAGGTGATAACGGAGATAATCATCATCGCCCCCAAGGCCCCAACTGAACCGCGAATTCTACCTCCACCACGCAAACAAGAGCCCTTTGTCTCTTTTTATCATCCTCACTGACAGCCGGGACCCCAGGTATTGAGGATATTTTGCCCACACTCACCAGGGAGGAAGCTTTGAACGATCTCTTCTGAAACCGTCTTTCTTATTTTAAGTCTGTTGTGAGCCGTCAAAGGAAGGATTGCGCCCCTCCCAGATTTATCTCCACAACGCTCTCGTTTTGCGTCTCGTTTGTGACTCCAGTCTTCCACGCAAAGAGAAAATCTTTCATCGACTTTCGACCCCTGGTTATCCACTCAGCGCTGGGTAAAACAGCAACGAGTTAATACGAGGGATCAAAATTAGCATCGATCGAGTCCTCGTAAAGCACAGCGCTTCTTTGTCCGCAAATTCCGTACTGCTGACCTTCCACTGAGACGTGGCTAAGGACGTCGCAGCAACTCACCCCCGTGTCGCTTCGCACCGTTATTTGGAGGATATTGGACGGCTTGGTGGTTGGAAATAACTACTGGGCTTTTTACCAAGTACCTCCGTTTTCAGGGCGCACACCACACCGCAGAGATACCTGAACGAGATTAGGGATTATAAACAGAACACGATTCTGTCATTTCAGTAACAGGTTGAAAGGCTTGGTTTTTTCTGAGATAAGGAGGAGCTTGCTGGCAATAAGGGTGGGACTGTTCGAAGCCTCGGACGGCACCCTGTTCTGTGCTTGATCTCTCCCGCCTTGAGTGTGCCATTGATTTGGTATAGGCCACAGAATAGGTTTATGCGATCTGTCTCTACCCGCCCCGTTCGTAATCCCGCAAACTCTTGTCCTGTCGAATTTCTGTTTCTTTTATAAAATGTCTCCCACACCTCCGTCGACCTCCTCAAGCGTTGGTGGAGTTTCACCTGAAGGGCAGTTTAGGGTCATCCGAAAGAGAAATCGGGTGCCCCTTTCCTGTGGCCCTTGTCGGCACAGAAAGTAAACTCCCCTTATTTCTTATGAACCTTCTATACTGGTGTGAGTACCTTCTGACGGTCTGGTCAGGTTGAAATGCAATCGCTCCCACCCATGCGAAAACTGTGTCAAGCGCGGCGATGCTCATTCCTGTACATACGCCCAGGCAAATGCACGGAAGAAGAACTTATCGCAGCAGGCTACTCCGAGTACCCCAGATGATATGCAGAACAGGATTGATCGACTGGAAGGACTGGTTTTGTCGTTGATGACCAATGGAACACAGTCTGCCGGCCCAGCTGCTGCCATGGCAGCGATTTCGGGAAACAGCAGTGTCAGCTCAGCTCCACAATCGAATTCACTGGAATTGGATGAGGATATCCCCGGCGGTCCAGAGGAAAGCGAAACAGAACAGGTGACCAAGTCGTTTGGTATCTTGAAGGTCGACAACAATAAATCATACTATATTAGCGACGCTCACTGGGCATCCGTCTTGAACGATGTGAGTCAGCCCCAAGCAATGCAATACAAGACCCCTCATTCACACTGACCAACAGATATCGGAAGTCCGAAATTATTTTACCACCCACAAAAAGCAATATGAGGAGCAAGCAGCAAAGTTGAATGCAACACGACCACCGACCGACATACCGGGGTCGGCATTGCTTTTTGGTGCCATGAAACCGACAAGCCGAGGGGAGATAATGTCTTCACTTCCGTCAAAGTACACCACAGATATCCTGGTCGCTCGCTATTTCAATAGTTATGACCCCGCCACTCACATACTCCACGGCCCAGCTTTCCAATCTCAGTATAACAAACACTGGGAAGATCCTTCTCAAACCTGCATTGTCTGGATAGCCTTGCTGTTTGCTATGATGCGACTGGCGATGCTGTCATATAACCACAAAGGAGATGAGCCACCGGAGTTTCGAGGGAAGTCTATGGACATGGCGGGAAATTTCCGGAATCTTATGGCGCAATGCTTGACATTGGCAGATTATACTAAACCCTATCCATATTTGATTGAAACATTAGTCTTCCACCTACATGGGGACTTTTGTCAAACGAGGGAAGCTAACGTGTCGGTTTGGGTTCTTGTGGGTGTCATCGCGAGGCTGGCAATGCGATCAGGATATCATCGGGATTCTAAGATGTTCCCTAACATTTCGCCATTTCAGGGTGAGATGCGTCGTCGAGTATGGACCTTTGTGCGTCAAGCAGATCTACTGTTCTCGTTCCAGGTGGGACTGCCTAGCATGATTCGCTCTGCAGACAGTGACACAGAACTTCCCCGAAATCTTTACGATGACGATTTCGATGAAGATTGCCAGGAACTTCCACCATCACGGCCGCCAAACGAGCCTACACCGGTCTCTTATTTGATTACAAAAGCACGCCTCACATACGTTTTTGGCCGTGTGATTGAACATACGTCTTCTATCCAAAGTGGATCTTACGACAACGTTATGGAAATAGACACTGAGCTTCGCCGAGCAAGGGACCTTATCCCTGAGCATCTCATAGTCCGTCCTATCGAAGAATGCCAGCTGGATCCGTCGAACCTCATCATATCACGATTCGCTGTATGTTTTCTCATCAATACTATATCTGTTTTCAATACTGATAATCTGTAGGTGATGAGCGTCTACTATAAGGCCCAATGTGTGCTTCACCGACCATATCTAGTCCGGGCACGTGAAAACCACCGGTTTACATACTCCCGAAGAATGTGCATTGATTCTGCTATGGAACTACTCCGATTCCAGGCAATGCTCCACCAGGAGACAAGACCCACTGGTCGCTTGAGAGGCAGACAACACCGGGTCACCTCACTCACCTCTGGGGATTTCCTCCTCGCCACGACTATCGTCTGTCTTGACCTGCATCAGGGAGCCCAGTTGCAAGCAGCGGGTAGACCATCCGGTGACACCTATGCCTGGGGTAGGGAGCGCCGTGATGAAATGCTAGCGGCGATCCAGCGCTCGAAGGAGATATGGGATGATCTTCGAGACGAGACCTTAGAGGCCTGGAAGGTTGCGGGAATTCTTGAAGTGATGATTGGAAAATTGAATATAGGACTCCCTGGAGTTGAACCAAACGCTCCCATGTCAACTTTTGAACCGCAGGACGAGAAGCAAAGCGCCGCAATGACACTAGGCTTGCTTAGTAGCGGGATGAGCCCCATGAATGCAGGCCCTCCTACTTTCAATGACCCGGCGTTCAAAATGGCGGAACCACCGTTACCGACAGGGGGGCTAGGAACGACAGCAGAGATCCCAGACGCCCCTTCACCCTTTAGCAACATGTTTGGGCAGATGCCTGATATGCAGTCGAACCTGGATTGGGTACGTTGCCTCAGTCATACTTGGGTTCCCCAAACAAATAGCTGACCATATCTTAGGATGCCTGGGATACATATATCCAGAATTCGACCCTTGATACATCGAATCAATGGTGGCCAATGATGGATTTACAGCAGCAGCAACAGCAGCAGCAGCAGCAAGCACAGAGCCCTCTGTCTCCTACTCGGTTATCTGCTGTACAAAATGCAGCTGCGGATGGAACTCGCCCGACGTCTCGCCTTCCTACCATCTTTCCACCGCAGAACTCAGGCTATGATAGCAATGGCTCGCCATTGCCTGGAATGTTCAATGCCAATCCTTCGCAACAACCAAACGGCGGTGGAAGGGGCCAAGGCATTTTGTGATTGAATTTCTTTAACGATTTGATTATTTTATGAATCTTTTCCTATATACCTTTTTGTTTATCCTTTGTTTTGCTTTCTTTCCGTAGACTGATTTTGCTCTTGGAAAAAAGCCGCATCCGCCTACATGTGCTATGAGTTGGGTTCTATGAAGAAAAGGCTATTTGTGTTGGACTGTATCATACGTGAAATTATTCATGACTGTGCATGGTTGTTTTTGTATCTACATACATGATAAGATATCAAATCGAACTCTCCTATTCTAACGGTTAATATGAGATCCATAGTAGAACCATTTATGAAGCCTTATCGGACCATTTTGATTGCATCACGTGACAACAGTCCGATCCCGATAAGGGAAAATGAAAAGTTTCCCGTTGACGTTATTTTCTACCTTGACAATCTCGATTTCGATATCTATTTGGCTTTACGAATCGAAAAGAATATAAACAATCATGATGTGAGATATTAAATGCTTCATTTACTATCTAGAAGAATGTCAAACTAACACATACTTCTGCGCAGGCATTGTATTCGGCGAGCTGCTCTTCGTCTCCCTTCGCCGGTGTCGGACCCATTGCGATCAAAAACGTTTGCTGTGTCCAAGTTCTTTCCTTCGATCCTTTCGCGTCAATCCTCGCCAAGCCCTCTCAAAATCAGATGGAACAGCTACGATACCCGGGGGCACCTTAAACCAAGGCAGGATGAAGAAGAAACAAAAAATGCGGATTATGCGTATGAGGTGGCATCCTTAATGAGGAATTCTGAGAGTGAATATACCGATATTGAAGCAGGCGCAAAGGGGAAGAGAGGAGAAGAAGCAGAATATGCACCCGTTTCAGAAACTTACTCGAAACGCCTGCGGCTCTTGGACAATACAATTGATCCCAATGAGACGATTTTTGTCGGCAATATTTTCTACGATGTGACTGCCGATGATTTGAGGAACCAAATGGAGAAGTTTGGTATTGTGGAAAAGGCAGTGATTGTGTTTGACAACCGGGGATTGAGCAAAGGGTGAGTCTTTGCTTGAAAAACAAATCCAAGTTGAAGGAGGAGGGCTGATCAATAATGCTATCATCTAGATTCGGCTACGTTAAGTTCGATTCGGTTGAGGCTGCCAAAGCGGCCGTTGAAGCGATGCACTTGCGAGTATTCGAAGGACGCCCCCTAACTGTCAGCTTTGCGCGTACCACTCTTGACTACCGAGCTCCCCGCAATCCCCCATCTCGGACACTTTATATTGGAAACATTTCGTTTGATCTCTCTGATCGGGACCTAAATTCCCTCTTCAAAGATATTTCAAACGTCATTGACGTTCGGGTGTCGGTTGATCGTCGAACGGGACAGCCCCGGGGGTTTGCCCACGCTGAATTCACCGATGTCGAGAGTGCCGAAGCTGCATTCGAAATTCTCAGCAGAAAGTCACCCAATGGCAGGATGCTGCGCGTCGATTACAGTCTGGATCAGAAACACCGTTCGGGGTAAACGATAACGCCAGTTCTTTGGGCTGTAGATGCGAGTGATTCCTTTTCTTTTTCCAGGATTTTGGTATTATCATGTGTATTCAATTTGGAGCAGGCGAAATACTGTATTATAGTTGTATTTTACTTATTGGATGTAGATGGCATTATTATTGCCCTTGCTCTTCATACATAGTACGATGGTCATGCCCACGTGACTGTCGGGGAGCCTCGGTATCTTCTGACAAATTCCGATCGGCTTTAAGGCGGCTTCGAAACCCCACGTTTTGGGCGAGTCGGAGGTTTACGTCGACTGACACTACTGTTGCCCTTATCATCATCACTTTCCTACATATCCTGACTATAATTTTCCCCTCGTTATTTTCTTATCCTAAATCTGTCACTCTTAGTAGGAACGACGTTGCTGCCGGATTTGTTTTCAGAATGTCGTTCCTCGGTGGCGCTGAGTGCTCAACTGCGGGCAACCCGTTGACTCAATTCACAAAGCATGTTCAAGATGACAAGTCTCTTCAACGGGACAGACTCGTTGGGAGGGGCCCTGGGGGTATGCAAGAAGGCATGCGATCTAGGGGCATGATGGGTGGTCAAGATCCGGTATGGATGTCATTTTTTTGAGCCAGATGTTGCAATTCCTAGCCTAACACATGATTTATAACGCCTCTAGATGATGGACGAATTTGCCCAACAACCTGGCCAATTACCGGGGCAAGCACCACAGCCCTTTGCGATGGAACAGATGAGACGCGAGCTAGATCAGTTCCAAAGCGCTCCGCTCAGAACTGGCTCACCGGGCTGGGCAGCCGAGTTTGATGGCGGGGAACAGGCTCGGATGGAGGCTGCCTTTGCTGGCCCTCAAGGTCCCATGATGAACAATGGATCGGGGTTTAACCCGGCTGAGTTTGCACGTTTCCAACAGCAGAGCCCCGCTAGCATGGCCCAGGCCTCCGGCCCCGCTGCTTCGGCTCAGACCCCGATGATGAATAATGGCTTTCAGCGCCCGATGGGGGGCATGGGGTACATGGGTATGGGAGGAATGGGCATGGGAATGGGGATGATGCGTCCTTCCTTTGGACCCATGGGGATGCAGCAACCTGCGGAGGCTGTAACCCAGGACAAAGGAAAGGGGCGTATGGTGGAGCTGGATGACGAGAACTGGGAGGCGCAGTTCGCTGAGATTGAAACTGCGGGCAACCAGACCCTGGATGATGAGGCCAATGCAGCCATGGAGGCGGAACTGAACGATCTTGACAGGTCAGTCCCTATTGAACAAAATGACGGCGCCTTTGAGAGTGCGTGGCAAAGAGCCCAGGCTGAAACGGTAGCGGACAGGAAACTGGTCGAGGAAAACGGTGAATTCGATGTCCATGAAAACTTGCACATGGGAGACCTTGGGGAGTGGGATGGCTTCGACACTCTCAACACTCGCCTCCGCGATCCTCAACTCGGCGATTACATGTTCGAAGAAGACAACGTATTCCGAACTGTAAACAACCCCTTCGAAGAGGGTGTTAAGATTATGCGAGAGGGTGGCAACCTATCCCTGGCCGCATTGGCCTTTGAGGCCGCTGTGCAGAAGGAACCTCAGCATGTACAGGCATGGACCATGCTAGGTTCTGCTCAAGCCCAAAACGAAAAGGAACTTCCTGCAATCCGGGCTCTCGAACAGGCCCTTAAGACCGACTCTAACAGCCTAGATGCCCTCATGGGTCTGGCTGTTTCTTACACCAACGAAGGATATGACTCGACAGCCTACCGGACACTTGAGCGCTGGCTCTCTATCAAGTATCCACAGATTATCAACCCGAAGGACGTGTCTTCCGATGCCGATTTGGGATTCACTGACCGCCAGATCCTTCATGACCGCGTCACCGACTTTTTCATCCAGGCCGCCCAGCTTTCACCTTCTGGCGAGCAAATGGACCCCGATGTGCAGGTTGGTCTAGGTGTTCTCTTCTACTGTGCTGAAGAGTATGATAAGGCAGTGGACTGCTTCTCAGCAGCCCTGGCGTCCACAGAGTCCGGAACATCAAACCAGCAGGAGCAGCTTCACTTGCTGTGGAACCGTCTCGGCGCGACGCTTGCCAACTCCGGTCGCTCTGAAGAGGCCATTGAAGCCTATGAGCAGGCCTTAACAATCAACCCCAACTTCGTTCGGGCACGGTACAACCTCGGTGTCTCATGCATCAACATCGGCTGCTATCCCGAAGCTGCACAGCACCTTTTGGGTGCCTTGTCTATGCACCGAGTCGTTGAGCAGGAAGGCCGGGAGCGTGCACGGGAGATTGTTGGAGGGGCCGACGGTGATATTGACGACGAACAGCTGGAGCGGATGCTGCATATCAGCCAGAACCAGAGCACGAACTTGTACGACACACTGCGCCGGGTGTTCAGTCAGATGGGACGCCGAGACCTGGCCGACATGGTCGTAGCAGGAATGGATGTGAATGTGTTCCGGAAGGAGTTTGAGTTCTAAGATCCTTCGAACAATTGATGCATGCATGGAACGAGTTTAAATTTCTTATTTTATTATTTTTTGGATACCATGAGCCCCTACGAACGGGCTCACAGTGCCGCGAGACGGTTCGCTGTGTAACTATTATGACCAGCATAGGGATGTTTGTACAGAGCAACGGCTGGAAAGGCATTTAGAATAGAAATGTTCTACAGTGTATTTATCCCACCTCTGCAAGACCTCTTCCCACGCAAATATAGATCTTCATCAATATAGAAATATATAACCCTTCTCTAAAGATTAGGTACTGTGTAATCATGAATCAAAGGTTGGTGAAGTGGTGGTCTGCTATTACTGCCTCGGAAGTGGTTCCGGTATTGCGTCATGCCTTGTGCCTCGGGCTGGCTTTCTCCTCATCTCTTTGGGTTTGGAGACGAACAACCATCCTCATCTATGACTCTCTTTTAGGATATATAACCACTTTTACCACCAGAACCAATCATGGCTACTATTACTGGTGCTCAACTGATTGCCCGGACGCTGCGCGACCTGGGCGTCACCGTCGTCTTCGGCATCGTGGGTATCCCTGTGGTGGAGATCGCCGAAGAAGCCATCAATCTGGGGATTCGGTTTGTTGCATTCCGCAACGAGCAGGCATGCAGCTATGCTGCCAGTGTCTATGGATACATGACAGGACGACCTGGTGTCTGTCTCGTCGTGGGAGGACCAGGAGTTCTCCATGCTATGGCTGGGGCAAGTTTCCCTCCTCTTCCCCGACTTGCGGAGAACTCCGCAGTGGAGATCGCGATGAGTTAGTTACTGACGAGTATTTCGGCACGTTTCAGATTGGCAATTCATCTGCGAATAACTTCCCTCTTCTTGTTCTTGCTGGATCAGCTGAGACAACAGGCGTGACTAAAGGATCCTTCCAAGAACTGGATGCCATTTCTTTCCTGACTCCGCACACCAAGTTTGCAGTGCGCCCTTCATCCCTCGACTTCATCACCGGAGCCGTGAAGAATGCATATAGAACCTGCTGGTATGGCCGCCCTGGTCCAACCTTTGTCGACTTACCTGCCGATTTGATCCAGGGCAAGGCACCACCCGGGCTCTCTCTACCGCCACCGGAAGCCGTGCTGGTTTCATCCCCTCCTAAGGCAAGCGGGGATCCGGCCTTGATTTTGAAGGCAGCTCAGTTGCTGAAGAGCGCGCGTTCGCCATTAGTGATTGTTGGGAAAGGGGCTGCGTATGCGCGGGCAGAGTCCGGCATTGGCCAGTTGATCGAGCAAACGCAGATTCCCTTCCTGCCGACGCCAATGGGGAAAGGCGTAGTCCCTGATTCTCATCCGCTAAATGCATCGAGTGCACGCAGCACAGCTCTGAAAAATGCAGATGTGGTGCTGATTCTCGGGGCACGCCTGAACTGGATCCTTCATTTTGGTGAACCGCCTAAGTGGTCCCCCAAGGCCAAGATTATTCAAGTAGATATCTGTGCTGAGGAGATTGGGCGAAACGCCTGTACCGCTGAGCTGGGTATCATAGGCGATATCGACTTGGTCGTGAATCAGCTACTGTCGTCTCTGTCGACCTGGAGATATGTCCCGTCCCCTGCAGAAGACCAGTTCCCGGCGCAGTTGGCTGAATCAGCGAAGAAGAATGAAGACAAAGCACAAAAGGCTGCTCTTTTGGCCACACCACAGAACTCGCCTCTTACCTACCAGCGCGCTTATCATATCATAAAGACGACACTCAACTCCTTGACCCCGTATGAGGAGGGCAACATTGTATATGTATCGGAGGGGGCCAACACTATGGATATATCCCGCTCAATGTTTCCCTTAGATTATCCCCGTCAGCGTCTGGATGCCGGTACCTATGCCACCATGGGCGTGGGGATGGGGTACATCGTCGCCGCACATGAAGCCTATAATGCGATCCCGGGATCTGCAGGCGAAGGTGTGACGAAACCCAAGAAGATCGTAGCCCTTGAGGGCGACAGTGCGTTTGGATTCAGCGCAATGGAAATCGAAACACTGGCGCGATATCGTATCCCTGCGCTGATCTTCGTAATCAACAACTCAGGGATCTACCACGGAGACAGCACCACAGAAAGTGATTGGAAGAACCTACAAAATCAAACAGCGGCGAATGACACAAAGGCCGACGATGAAAACAAGAAGGGTCTGCGTTCGACCAGTCTCCTATATGAAACGCGTTACGAGTATCTGGCCAACATGTGTGGCGGAAAGGGATATTTTGTCCGTAATGAAGAGGAGCTCGAGAAAGCTACCCGTGAAGGGTTCTTGAGTGATACTGTCACACTGGTGAATGTAATTGTTGAGCCGGGTATTGGTAAGAAGATTGGATTTGCCTGGCAAGGGGACCAAACCGATGGCCAGGCCAAGCTTTGAATTCATTGAACTGCTTTCACTATGTGAAAAGGTGTGTATATAACAAGAATTCATTTGGAATAGTGTGCCTCTTTAGAGGGATTTATACGAATTATATCTCGTGCTATATATCATGACTGCATGAGCTCATCCAGAACCTTGGCCGCTGCAACAGCCTTCTCTTCTCCAAAACGACCTCCCACAAATTGCAGACAGACTGGCATATTTTTGACTAATTCAATATCATCTGGGGCGGTCATTAGAAAGCGCAAACAACCAGGAGAGGGAACAACCTACATTGAGCGTGATTAAAAGCATCAGACTCATTTCTGGGAACATAATTCACCCAATCTTCACCAGGTTGGTCAAGACTCAAATCAGCCTTGGTCACTGGAATCGTCACAGAGGCATAATTCAAAAAGTTCCAGAGAGCTGTATAGCCCAACCACTGGGAACTGACGACCCAGGTTTTGGGTCTATACCCTACCCAAGGCAGTACTGGCATGAGCAGAGCATCGATGCCGCTTTCTTTCCACTGTTCTAGGAAGGAGGCTTGGAAACTCCATTTTTCTTCTTCTAGCTGTCTAGTTGTGAGTTTCTATAAGTTCACCCATTAGGGAGGGCAACATACACTTTCCCGCTCTGGCATTGAGAGTTGATCGTCTGGCGTTCCAACAACCATGCCTTCAATTAGAGGTTCGCCAACAAGATTACACAGGTCCTTGCAATGCTGGCCTCCGTCCGCAAGAATAGCTTTTGTCCAGAGATTTGTTCCTGGTTCATGACGGGTTGCATCCCACTCGACCACTAGAGCTTGATATTAGCATGGGATTGCTTTTATAATTAAATTATCCAGGCTGCAGATACCTTCATGACCGGCAGCTTTCAGCTTTGCCGCCGCGTCATGCAATGCACGAGTAACAGGGGGCTGAGGCTTGACAACTCCATCGTCATAGACAATACCCAATTTCAGCTTCTTACTTGGCATAGCAGCCAGTTCTTTCCTCCATGGGATGGGTACGCATCCGGGGTCAATGTCCCACGGACTCGAATCGAGCAGAGACTCCATGAAGTATTCAATCGTTGAAAGATTATTGGACATAGGACCCGCAACTGGGGGGACGAGATAGTGCTGATGCATACTGATATACATTAGTTGTTGTGTGCCCTTCTTGGTATATAATTAGTAACACAAACGAGGCCACTTACAAAGAGCAATCCCATGGCACACGTCCCGTGGTAGGACAGATCGAGTAGAGGCCCTGTAAGTTAGCTGGAATCTCAATTGAGCCTCCGATGGATGTGCCTATTCCAAGAACACTGCCCTTTGCCCCAATTAAAGCTGCTTCACCTCCAGAGCTGCCTCCAGAGATGAGCTCGTTGTTGAAAGCGTTGACGGATTGGCCAAAGACATGGTTGTACGAGTCGGACATCTGTTTCACTTAGAATAGTGCAACATATATTTTTTTTTTTAAAAAAAAAAACGAAAGTTGACCACTTTACCATAAGAGATTGCGGGACATTTGTCTTCACATAGAGAACAGCACCCATGGATTCGAGCAACTGGACGACAGAACTCGACTTCTGCGCTGGTTTGCCTACCAAACCAACCCATCCTACCATCTCTCAACATCATACTAACATGTTAAACCACGAGAGAGAAAGGGCTAGAATCCACATACCAACCGTAGTATCAAAGCCCTCAACATCAAACCGATCCTTGATAGAAACAGGTAACCCATGCAACGGCCCCTTCACCTTCCCCGTTCTCTCCAGACTCACATCCAACTCCTTAGCTTTGGCCAGCGCTCTCTCAAAGAAAACCTCGGTCAAACAGCGAGTAAGCTGCTGCGCGATGGCGGCCCGTTTGCAGAACGCCGTCGTCAGTTCTACGCTGCTCACCTGGCGCGTGGCCAGGAGGGAGACCAGAGTCCGGACATCGGTGGTTTCGGTCCATTCCAGCTCCTGCGGGGTGAGAAGGTCACAGGAGCGGATGGTGTCGAGAGCGTTCTTGGGAGGGGCGAGGAGGATGGATTCGGGGAGATGCCAGGAGGAAGGGATGGAGGAGAATTGGGCGGTGCGTCTTTCGATGACGATTGGTTTCCAGGCTACGATGGTCATTTTTGGTTGGATTGCGGGTTCGCTATGGGTATTATGGTTATAATAGAGAATACTATGCGTCGTTATATAAGTTTTGGCGTGGGAAAACCGAGGTCATGCCTACAATCCTGGTTTATCTGTTTATCTCAATCTGACGGAGCGGGGGATGAGGGGGTGTTGGAGACGTGCCGGCTTTCCCGGTCTTGCTGGACAATAGGTTTTCAAGATAGGAGAGATTGTTATTTACTTAGCTAAAGGATTCATTGTGAATCCATCGTTAGATAGAAAATGGAAGATAAGCACCTGGATTTTTGGTTGTCGCATAGATAGCTATACAATCGTGATGATGCATTTATACCGTCATCAACATACTAGCATTCTTGTACCATGTCAGCAACGGATTCTCTCCGCTCCTTGTCTCCGTATCCTCAATATATGCCCAACGCCGCACAAAGTCTTCATGACTCATGACCTGTGTCAACTTTCCGGTCACGGCGCGGTAGACGTCCTCGATGACGTTGAAGTCTGTTGGGAAGAAGATATCAAAGTAGCCTTGGTGAACCTGTAGAGACATAGTTAGTAAAATGTTCCACGAAAGTAGACAAGCTAAGATGACGTACAAATGGAGTAGAGACGGGTACGGTCCGCCTCTTGTAACGGGTTTGCACTACTGGCGCATTCACGCCAGGCACGGCATCCGGGAGAGTGCTAAAGTCACTCGCCACCAACCGATGCGCAGGGAAATAGGTGTCAAGGATGTCAAAGAACTGCATGAGCCTAGTTGGTATATATTCGGGTTGGGTGAATCTTTGCAGGGGTAAGGCACTCCGAGCTCCCCGCAGGAACTTCGGGCCCAAGGGACTCGGGAACTGGCGCCGAGCAGCAGCCTGTCGCACTCGGAGGAATCGAGAAGCCACAGGATCCAACTGGGTATTGTAGAATTCGTGGAATTCACCATCCCCGTCAATCAACACCCCTCCTTGTTGAGGCAGCTCGGTCTTGGTGTCGTAGCGGATAGCATCGTGACCGAAATTGTCAAACACTTCCAATCCGAGGAAAAAGCAGGGCGAATGGACGTACGTGTCCCAGTCGAAGATGGAGCGGTTGATGATCTCAACATGGTCCAAGTGTCCAGCCGCGTTGATCGAATCCACCAAGTTCTTCATTTGGAGGCCTGCGAGAGCGGGCGAAATTTCAATAATCTTGAACTTGGTCCGCTGGTAGACCTCGTAGTCTGTGTCTCGGATAAAATCCAGAATATTGATCATCATGGTTCCGTTTCCAGCTCCCATTTCGTATATTATTAGGTCGTGGTAAGGGTATAGCGTCAACTTGTAATTCGACACCAGATATCGTGCGATGGTCTCTCCGTAGTAGGGGCGAAACAGCTCCGTAGGTGTGTGCCATAGTTGACGTGCAACATCGGGATGCGTTTCATCTAGCTTGTCCTCAAACTCTGTATACCGTTCTCCCAGCATTCGGTGAAACTCAGGACCGTCGTTGATGCTGTTGAAGTCGAATGGCTCTCCGGGACTGAAAATGGTCGCGTGCTTCGAAAAGTACCCATAATGGGGGTTATACAAGCTATCTGCAAACCAAAAAAAAAAAGCAATTAGCAATTGTATTCATTGAATTAACATCGATGATCTCCCTTTCGTACCATCAATAAACTCTCTCGTCAGCATCTTCACCTGCCGGGGTCGGTCACGACGATGACGCAGGTCCTTGGCCGTGACCAATGGATACACCTTCAATTCCTCCCCAATATCCTTTGGGTAATCACCCCGTCTGGACCAAAGCATCCCATCATCTGGTTCCTTGCGCTTGGTGGGTGCGCGTCTAGTGAGGAACGAGCGACATTGTTGCCGGGACGGGCCAGATAATCGCACGCAATTTGCTCTGCGACCGGACAGTGACGGCCGGAGGGATTGACAAGCAGGATGTCGGAACAGCTGCCGAAACAGCTGGTTGAGAACAGCCGAGTCCATGGGAAGGGGGGTGGACTCCAACAGTGGAGGGGAGCTGGAGAAAGCAGCGATTATTTGTTGGAGGTAATGCTATGCAGAAGACGTCGCGGAATTGCGGGCGGAGTTGCGTTCGCTCTGGGTGGCCCGAGCTTTTGTCTGCTCGCAATTCTTCTTTTGCAACGCTCGTCTTTTGCTCGTTCGTTCGATTAATTCTGTCCTGCAATTGGGCTATTGTTGTTGATTCGAAGAATACCATACTGCAGCATGAATGACCACCCCCAAATCTACATAGGAACGGCCTTCGTGGCCGGTGTTCTTCTCACGGTTGGAATTAAAGAGCTCGTCTATCCAGAGCTGGAGCAGCGCATCAAATCTCGTCGTTCCGCTCAGTCAACTGATGCCCAGGGTCTTTCAAGAGATACCACTGAGCTGGTTGCCAGACCTGGTCCTCCATCGATAGTGGATGGAATCGAGGGTTGCATAGGAAACACGCCCCTCTTCCGGATCAAGTCATTATCAGACGCAACGGGGTGTGAGATTTTAGGAAAAGCCGAAGTACGCTTATTCTCTGTTTCTGATTGATAAAGAAAATTTAAAATAGCACTGGTCTGACCTTGCTGTATAGTTTTTGAACGGGGCCGGGCAGAGCTCCAAGGACCGAGTGGCGCTCAGTATGATCCAGATGGTACGTATAGCTCTTGATCGTACAATTTTTGAAAAGTAGTCTAATCCTTAAATACAGGCTGAAGAACAAGGAATCTTGACTCCCCACTCAGGGGACACAATCTATGAAGGAACCTCTGGTTCAACAGGTATCTCGCTGGCTACTCTGGCCAGAGCAAAGGGACTTCTCGCTCACATGTGCGTATACATTGCCCCCAGAGCCACTATTCGGCTATTGGGTATTCGTATCCCTCATATTGACTAAATACTAGCTGCATGCCCTCCGATCAAGCTATCGAAAAGTCAGATCTGCTTCTCAAACTAGGCGCGATAGTTGATCGTGTTCCGCCTGCCCCAATCGTGGAGAAAGACAATTTCGTCAACCGAGCAAGAGATCTAGCTCAAACACATACAAAGTCCTCCACAGAGTCAGATTCGGACTCGAACACAATGCGTGGAAGGGGCTTCTTCGCCGATCAATTTGAAAATGAAGCAAATTGGAGAGCTCACTTCAATGGTACAGGCCCCGAGATCTACGCGCAATGCAATGGGAAACTCGACGCTTTTATTGCTGGGGCTGGTACTGGAGGCACAATCTCTGGAGTGGCGCTATTCCTCAAGCCCAAAATTCCGAACCTCAGCGTCGTATTGGCCGATCCTCAGGGCAGTGGGCTCTACAACCGAGTCCGATACGGTGTCATGTTTGATGTTAAGGAAAAAGAAGGTACCAGAAGACGTAGACAAGTTGACACAATCGTCGAGGGTATTGGGATTAACCGTGTCACGGCCAACTTTGAGGCAGGAAAAGAGTTAGTCGACGACGCTGTGAGAGTGACTGATGTACAGGCGATGGCGATGGCCAGGTGGCTGGTAGAGAAGGATGGAATCTTCGTCGGAAGCAGCAGTGCAGTGAACTGTAAGTTTCTTCGGCTAAGTTCTATAAGTTCTATTTACATCATTAACTAATCTTATTATCATAGGTTTTGCGGCAGTTAAGACGGCCATGAAGCTTGGCCCAGGCCATAGAATCGTGACAGTTTTGTCTGATTCAGGATCAAGGCATCTCTCCAGATTCTGGGCGAGAGCGGGTGATGTTGGAGGTGCAGTGGACACAAAGCTCGAAGACGTCCTGAATGCAAAGGACGACCAGTAGGACGGGCTGAGTATAAAGCAAAGCCTTAGGTTGGCTTTACTCCCAATCTGCTCGAGTAACGACAATAATTAATGACTCGGTCATGTGGCAACATTATATCAACCGGTGAGTGGTGGTGCCAATATGTGGAAAGCTGGTGATTTCTTGCTTTGGATCGCATCGCTGCTATCGTGACTTTCTTCAGGCTTCTTTTCTGCTGAAGGAAATACCGTTGGAGGCGTTTCTGGGATTTCTATAAGATCGTGAGGGGAATGTTGTTTTACTGCCACGTCCACTGGACTATGAGTTTCTCCAGAGGGCTTCTGGGGTGGAACGGCATTTTCGCCGCCAACGGACTCTAATTTCGCAGGAATCTTTGACCTGGCAGAATGTTCTGCACAAGGCATGTTCTCCTGAGCAGAAGATGTCGTCGTTTGGTGTGTCTTACCAGTCTTGAAACCCTCCCCTGAAGCCCAGAATCGCAGCAGTTCAATTTCAATCTCTGCATGCGAGCGACCAGGAAACTCGTTTCGGATGCCAGACCATGTGAGACCTTTCTGATTCGCGAGATTATTCAGTTTCTCTTTTTCTGCCCGGGACCAAGGGCCAGAAAGTCGAGGTGGATGCATAGACCGGTGAGCCCAATGGTACTGGTTCCAATTGATAAGATTGAAGATGTTTCTGTCAGGGAAGTGGTCGAGGATGTCTTTCCACGTCTTCTTCTGGATTAGTCGCATATTCAATATCAATTTCGCTTCATCTGGCGTCATGATTACTCTGCCACGCTTGTTACTTCTGGGAGTAGAGGCCTGATCCACCGCATCCACCGTGGACGAAGGTTTACTGGATCCATGCTTGGTGGTCTTGCCATGAACCATGTTATGTGTCTGTCTCATGCTTTGAGCAGGGGGCTTCACGGCTGTACCGTCACCGACCACACCTAGTTCCTTCTCAAGTTTTGTAATATCATGCAAGCCATCCGGGGTATCAGAGACAATAATTGACTTAACATGGGCGTCATAATCGGCATTGGTAAAGGACTTCTTGCAGTAGCGGCATTGCTTTTCTGCACGAGTTGGGCTTTCCATTTTTAATCGTTTCCCCCTGATATGCATGGCCTTTTTCGTTGGCGACGGCTCGCAGTCTTCCTGCAATGGATCGTCGGATTCGCTTCCATCTGGGGTTTCTGCAAAGGACCAGTCGCGTACGATGGGACTCGAATGGGTGAATTTCCGCTTGGCAGGTGCAGTTGCAGGTGTAGGTATAGTTGCAGGTGCAGGCGCAGGCTTCTTTTCGCTCTTTGGCTCTTTCTTCTTCGAAGAGTCCGTATTTCTCCGGGACTTCCCAGGAAGTGCCCACAACGACCCTGCTCCCGGCGGCGATGCAGACCGTATGACGTTCTTGAAGGTGGGCTTGGGACGTGCTCTATCCGCAGTTGGCGTCGAAAATCGTCCACTTATTTCAGGAATGCGCCATATTGACTCCACTGGCTCGGGTCTGGTATTGGAAATGTGTGGATGATGAGTGGATGTTTCAAATGCCGTATTTGCTTTTTCGGCTGGATGGTTCCTTGTATCCGCGGACTTCCACCCAAAAGGATCGTCAGGGCCATTCTGAATACTTAGTGCATTGTCCAGTAACGAATCCACACTGGATCTGTCATCGTCGTCGTCGTCGTCTTCTGGGTCGACATCCACATCCGCGAGATCAGCAGCCTCATGTGATATTCTCTCCCATGGCTTGGTATCATCCCACGAATTTTGTGATGCTCCGTCACCTCGTCCCTCTTCACCGCCAGTTTCAGTCTCGTCGATATGCGTCACGTCGCTGAATGTAGTACCGTCTGCCTCGCGGCCCAATGAAGCAGACAAGTCCGGCTCCAGACGCCAAGATCCATTCTCGCCAGTATCGTCCTCGCCCTCTATCCCGTTGAGATGACCATTATTTACCACAATCTCCCCAGTCTCTAGGTCAATTTCATCGCCCACCTCGCTGAAATCCTTCCCGTATTTCTCAAAGATGCCTTCGAAAATCGATTTGAGGCGTAGATCATTCTGTTCGCGTGCTTCATGCAAGTTTACGTCGTCTAAACCATCCTCTAGCTCCTCGGCCATGGATAAACGGGGCCTTTTGGTTGGTCTCTCCATTGTGTTGGTGTTGTAGGTGGTAAACCTGCGGCCGATTTCAGACGAAATAGGTGGCGGGGGAAGGGAGGACAGGGTCGCGTTGAGTGCAGCGCGGGGCAGGTGTAAATGAGGCGATGTGTAGCTATTGACGCATTGCTTTTTAGAATTATCTGAACGCTATTGACCCTCGATGGTCAAGGTGGATGTTTGCCGATGGGAGTGCCCTCGTTGACATCGAGTGGTGTTATTGTTTAATTTGGCATGGATGAGGGGCTGGCATGAAAGTAAATGTTTTTGACTCGTTCAGTACATAGAGACGACAAGAATAAACGGTTATGTATGATCAAAATCACACAAGGCGTATGTCTCGTGGACATGCGATTGTCAGACTGGAAGAATAAAATCAGTCATCGGAAGACGGACACTAACAGCAACGCGATGCTGGCTCGGGTTGCTGCATGACGTCCTCCCGCGACAGCTCCCCTTGCCGGATGCCCGTCCCCAAATTCCTCACTCTGCCATAGACCACGTTTTTTGCTATTTTCCCTCTTCTTTTTATTGACTCAACATAATGAACGGGAAGAGACCGTCACTCAGCTGTGATCATGTATTGCCAGAAATGTCGGACACCATTGAAGTTGGACGGCTCTCTCGAGTCGCTGAATCCAGCCGCCTTCGACTTGCTTATCGGTAATGTGGCTCGATGTTCATCTCGTCGATGACGACAGATAACTGACTATGGCTCTTCTGTGTTGGTTTAGGATCTACAGGTAGAACGCTTCCAGAACAGGGGGGCAACATATCGTCGTCCCGACCCTCTTATCCCCAGGAAAGACGGGAGCTCTACGATCGGGTTTCCAGACAATCTACATCGCCGTTGTATCGAAGATCGATCCCGGGTCCTCGCCATGCTGCCGGAAATCAAATTACGCCCTCGAGGCTTGGACGGGGGGATAGTGGCAATATGTCCTTTGTGATGCTTACAGAGTCCCAAGTTGGGCCACCTCACACCATGCCTGGGGCGACAGGCGACAGTCAGGCATCATCCAAGGGTAAACGACGATCCAGTACACAAGGCACCGAAAATGGTGCGGAAGATGGGTCATTTTCGGATCAGGTTGAACGGACTGGACGGTTGTTTGAGATTATATCGTCGCGCTCCGATATCGACCATCCTATCTGTACTGAATGCACGGAGATGGTTGTGGACGGGTTGCAAAAACGGTTGGCGGGGGCTACAAAAGAGCGAGATGCATATATATCATTTTTGAGGAATCTGAATACCTCCGTTCCGACCGCGGAAGAGCTCGAGGCAGCCGAGAAATCGCTCCAGGAGACGCTCGAGGCAGAAGAGTCGGCTTTTGCAGAACTCGTTGAGCTGGAGCAAGAAAAGACTGATCTAGACGAGGAGATAGCCAAATTGGAAGAGGAGTCGCGGCAACTCGACTTGGAGGAAGAAGGATTTTGGCGTGACCGCAATGCGTTTTCGCTGACCCTCTCCGACTTCCAGAACGAGCGCGATGCTTTGAATATGCGATACGACCATGATTCGCGCCAGCTCGAGCGACTCCAGAGGACCAATGTCTACAATGATGCGTTTTGCATTGGGCATGACGGCTACTTTGGGACGATCAATGGGTTGCGCCTTGGTCGTCTGACCAACCCGTCAGTGGAGTGGCCCGAAATCAATGCGGCCTGGGGCCAGACGGCGCTTCTCTTGGCGACCATTGCGGACAAACTAGGGTTTCAATTCCAGGGGTATCGACTGAGGCCAATGGGGTCAACGTCGCGAATAGAGAAGATCGAATATCCTCAGCAGTCGGCGAGTCAGTCGGTGGTTAGTGGGGGGAACCCGAATCCCTCAGTGGCGCCAAAGATCACAGCTCTTGATCTCTTTTCCTCCGGGGATCTCCCGCTCAATCTCCCCTGGCTTCACCGCCGATTCGACGCAGGCATGGTGGCGTTTCTGGAATGTCTGCGTCAGCTGGGGGAGTTTGTGGAAACCACACCGGCGCCAGTGTCGTCTGGCCGTCGAGGGCATGCTGCTGGCATCGCGGCCCCCGGGTTGAAGCTCCCGTACGAGATCCGACGGGACAAGATTGGGGATGCGAGCATCAAGCTTGGGTTCAACCAGAACGACGAGACGTGGACACGGGCGTGCAAGTACACGCTGACCTGCTGCAAATTCCTGCTGGCCCACGCGAGCAACGTTGCCAGCGCGGGTTCTAGTAACTCTGCCGCTGTGGCCGCAGCGGCCGTTGCAGCAGGGGAACAAGCCCGATTGGCAAGCAGTCCAACAAAGAAGTAAGATAAAATAATTTCTCCCTTCAGAGGAGAGGGGAAAAGAAACAAGGGGCTCGATGGAGATACTCCTTGGGCAAAAAACAAAAAAAAAAAAAAAAAACTAGCGCGCCGTCACAAACGGTCTCATCCATTCCAAGCTACTACTAGTGTTTCAAGGCTTGCAATCCTTTATTTTATTTATTTTATCCTCTTGCCTTATTTGTATTTGGGCGCAAGTTCCACAAGAGGCAGAAAGAAGGCATTTCCAAACCAACCAATGGACCGGAAGACAAGAAGCTTGAGTCAGCTGTTCAGCCAATGCGTGTGACCCTTTTGAAGCCATCAACGGGAAAAGGACAGGAGGACTCTAACCTCGAGGTGACGATGACGATGATGATCATGATGGGACATGTTTCGGATGGGGAGGGTAAAAAAGGCAGAACAGGAAGATCAGCCATGGGCCCATAATGTAGCACGAGGATCCAGTAATTTGCTAACCGAACAAAGAAGATCGTATACAATTTGAAAATTGTATGTATGTCTATACCCCTGTCTTCTTCGTACTCGGGAGATAGATGGAAATCAGACATGCATTCTTCGGAGGTATTTTTATTTGATATATTATTATTATTTGCTGGGTAGTTTATTTCTGTCAGTTGAAGCGGGCCAAAGGAGGCAAGGAGGGCCAAGGCAAAAACTCATCCACGCAATTCAGATGATCCCAATGTTTGATTGATGCCGTGTGACGAGAGAATGAATGAAGAATGGAAATAAAATAGATAAAGAAAATAAAGAAATAAAATGAACTGACAAGGAAACGACAGACTACCCATGGCAGCCACATAACATCTCTACATAATACAAAAAGATCCGCCTATGACAGCGAACCGAATCGGGGATGGGATCAACTGAGGAAGGACGGGAGATCGTCCCTTAGTCGGGGTGTTCAGACTTCAGGCCTGATGGATGGGAATGATTAATGGATCCTACTTGCTCACCATCCCAGTTAGACCCAACTAGAGGGGGGCAATGTCTGTTCTCTTTTTTTTGCCCCCTGTGGAGGACCGTGGGATATTACCATGTCGTAGTAATTACTACTAGGTGGTTTATTAGTAGATCCATAATTAGCGAGCATCTATCTTCCTTTCCCCCCTCTTATTCCCCCTCTTGACGTCAAATGTCAATTAAATATCAATTCTGACAGCCTGACAGGATAGGATGGTGTATACATCACAAAAAAAGAAAACAGTCAACACTATTGACAAAAGCAGCCACATCGTTGACCCATGGCGTCGGGACTGTCAATTTTTTTTTTTTTTTTTCTCTGTCTGTTAAAATAACGATGGACAAGAACCCACCGTCTGTTCATACCAGAGAATGTTTCGGGCCGCTCCCGACACGAGGTCAGTTACCATGGACGATGATGGATACTTTCCCAGTCTGCTTTGGGATAATATTTCGTAGCCAAACTGTAAAACTGACAGTGACACTTGACAGCATCCCTGCGATCGGAACTGCCTGACTCGCGGGAGAAGCTCTGTCCATCCGTTCTGGAGTTGGTTAACTAGTAGTGGAAGTATCTACGATCTTGCTTACTATTATTCTATTCGGATTATCTTTCTAAGTATTGACTACCCAATTCCATCTGTTTCACGATTGCTCTCCCTCCAAATACTGCCCTACCATTCCTCCATCGCCATCCCCCATACCTCCAGACAGTCTACCGTTGCCTTCTCTCGTACTTGTTGACGGGACCATCCGATCACTAGTCGACGGGCCGAACTTCCTCCTGCCAGGGTTGGCGATGCGCATGGATGATAATAATATTATTATCTGGTATTATTATTAGGTGTCACTATTATTATTTTATTATTTCGTCGTGGATAAAAGGCAGCCGATCCCTGTCTGGCATGTATGTCTCTCTGGAGGCTGCAGGAATAGCGCACTGTTATTCCGTACTTTTATCGTACTTTCTCGATCATTATCATCAGATATATTACTGACATCCTCATCGCAATGGAGATCATATCCGACCGTTGATTCTTTTTTAATTCCTCAAAATGAGGCAATCATGGTTCTCTGAAGGATTCCCCAACCGGCCATGAAAATAATATTAATCAAAATCATATTATTTTCCCAACGGATGACAGCAAAAGTACCCGAGCACCATTTCCCCCGCTCTGATTGGCCCGGGGAAGCAGGGGGCCGCCGTGCCGCGGGCGTTTCCATCGGCAGGTCGCCGGAAAGAGAAGGCGGGCGTCATTTCAGGCCCAGTATTTTTGGTATTTTGCTTGAGCCCCAAAGCCAAAAAAAAGCCCTCCATTACAGGCGAACCAGTTGCCTGTACATTCTTTTTCTTTCTCTTTTTTCTCTTAGGGGGGCATTATTAGTAGACGATAATTATTCTGTGAGATGATATGAGAGGGAAAAGAATAATCGGAAGAAATAATAATGGGAAAAGATCAAAGAGGAAAATGGTTTAGAATCTGGACATGACAGATGGGGATGTGGAGGAATGGCCACGACTAAACACTATACCGACTCATTTCACTGTCCAATTCCAACTGACGATTAGTATTATTATTCTTATTATTATTATTTCTCTTGCTCTTCTTCTCTTCTTCTTCTTCACAACTACATTATTATTATTATTCTTGTCTCTTTTCTCTCTCACTACATCATTCCTTCTTCTTCCTTCTTCCTCTCTCCATAAAACTCACTCTTCCTCTTCCCTCTCTTCCCTCTCTTCCCTTCCCCCCCCCTCTCTCTCCTCCCACCTATCCTTCTTTTCTTTTTTAATTCCTCCCCTTCCTGTCATGGTCGATTCCTAAGACCAGACTATGAGTGACGGGAATCCCCCGGCCTTCTGTTCATGATGGATGGTTCCATGCCTCCGTCCTCGTCCATCTCGGCTGCTTCGTCCTCTTCCTCGTCAGCCGTCTTTCGTCCCCGCAGATCCGATGACTGGCACGAGTATCGTTCCAGAATCGAGCAACTCTATCGCAATCATCATCTGAAGCTTCGAGAAGTTAAGAAAATCATGGAGCGTGAACATAACTTTGTTGCATCGTACTGCCTCACCGTTTCCCTTTTTGTTTCCCCTCCCCTCCTCTTCTTCTTCGTAATGTGCCATTGCTTTTTCCTCTTTTGCGTATTCTGATGACCCTGTTTAATTCTTGTATCTACGAAAAATCGTGTTTGGTTTCTGCTTCTCTTTTCTATCTCTGTTCTTCCTGATCTGTCGGATCATACCCCCTGACATCAGACTTCCAGAGAAAAACAGTACAAAGATCGTCTCGCAGCATGGCATGTCCGCAAAAACATCAAAGCCAAAGAAGTCCAGTTCATGATCCGGAAGCAGCAGAAACGAGCCGCCCAGGGCAAGCAGACGGCCTTTCGGGTGGCCGGTCAGCCCGTCGAAACCAAGCGCATATCTCGCTTCATTCGGCGATATGGGCCTACTCTGGACAATCACCCCCATGAGATCGCCTCTCACACCACTCCAGAACCAGGTAAGCTGCCTTTTCTCGTCGGAAAATCCACCTTATTCATGCTCAATGCCAGATACGCCGTCCGATATGAGTTGCTATACTCCCGAACCTGAAGAGCGGGCTGTTGCCCTGACTCCTATGCCAGAGATGCATTCAAACCCCCGTAAGATCCCTTTTGCTCTTTCCTTTCACTCGTTCTGCTCCATCATGCTACATGGTGTCTGCCAGGATATCCAAGATCGACATAACGAGATTAATAGACACCATAGACGATAATGAAAAGCTCGAAGCTCTCCCAGACTCTGAGCTCGAAGATGTCAACTCCCTCCCTGCTACCCTAAGTCCCCCCATGCCGGCGGAGAATCCAAAGCCCGCCGAGGAAATTGTTCTAAGCAATACCTGGGATGATCTTGCTTCCTATCAGGCACGCCTTAACGACCTCCAACAAAACCTTGATGCGTCCTTGTCCGACTACATTACGCCCCAGGATGATTGACGATACCACCCCGGTCATTTCTTGACATTGCAAGGGCCCGGCTTTCCAGAGGAGGATTACGGGGCCCATTAAGCCTCTGGAAGGAATTGAATCTCTGTTCTTTGTTTTTTCTGTTACTGCTGATTTGGCAACTAGTTTGTCATTCGCTCTGCTTGTTCCTTTCACCTTGTATCACATTTAGGCGTTGCATTTTTCTTTTTTTCTTTCTTTTTTCTCCTGCAACAAAGCGGCTATATAGAGCATCTATGGCTTGATTGATTTGGGATATGAGGCTTCGATGTAGGTTCTGGTATTTATAGCCTTTCAGCAGGTGCATGTACCCGCGGGAGTGTCTAATAGTTGAATCTACCAAGAAGGGTGTACCTGACGGATGACGAGGTATCCAGGATCCGTGGCTTTCATGATGATCTTACTTCTAATGGCTTCTAGGTCTACTACTATCACAGGCAGTGCTACTGGTGTCGCAGAGGCCACCCGTTGATCTTCCGCCTACCGATAGCGCCTTCCAGCCAAGATAATCGCCACCAATCTAGCAACGACTCGTCTAACTCGGTGCCCGATGGAGGCCAGTCTGGACTGTGTCCAATATATTATTCCTGACGGACAGCCGCACTGTTCAACTAAGCAGTCTTCAACTAATCGATCACCTGCCGACCTGCCAGCCGCTGATATCACATCACCACCCAAGCACCAGATAGTGTCACCTGCATGATTGTTCCTTGTTTCGACACAAGGTTTCGATGATATTCAGCAATCCGCAGACAACCTCGTTCAGGAAAAGCGTGGGATAGGGGTGGACACCAGCGACCGGAGCCGAATACCCTCCAGCTATTAGCAATACTTCAAGGTTTATGGAGAAGTGATCATATGGAACAACCAAGCAACCTACCAGCAAACAAAATCCGAGAACAACGGACCGACCAAGTCGATCGACCAGAAGACTCAACCTTGGGATAGCGGATCACAAGTCCCGTACCAGTTAGACAGGAAAGCAGGAAAGGGCCAAAAGATACTGTCTATTTACCAGACTATCAGTGGACTAAAACGCCCGAGGCCGGCACGCCCGCAAAGGCCCGCCAAACCGTGGACGGCCCAAAACGGCAAACGTGACGGCCATGAGGAGGAGAGAAAGCAGACAGCGACTAGGACCAAACAGCGATGAAGTGAGTGTCAGGAAAAAACATCCGATACAAGCACGTCCGTGCCAAGAGATGGATCAGGGGAGGGGGTTAATATTCGGGCATCGGGGAGAAGTTTTAGTGTTACTCGACTATTTACTGTACAAGGGACATCCTGTTTTTGGTCATCCTTACCATAAGGCTTTTTGGTGTAGATCATAGTTTCAGGTAGACAGGGGTATCGAAGCTGAGCTGGATGCCAGAGCTGATTCAACTGACAGGATAGACAATATAAAACCAAAATACTATATGGAGTAGAAGATACCAGACAACAAACTACTCTGTAAGCCTCCAAAAACCCAAACCAGCAAGTACGTACGGAGAGTAAATGCTGGAGAGCATGTAGACCCCAAAAGCAAAAGTACCTCCTCCACCATCCACCATCCGTACTATTAATCTAAACCCCAGCACAGACCGTCCTGCATGCATGAATCCCAAACTCACCCCCCTCAACGAATCCATCCAATCCATCATTGTAACTAAACTAAACTAAAATAATAATAATAAAAAAATCCCACCGGGGAAGACCAAAAGTACCCGACCCCATCTTCCATAGTAAAACTACCTAACTTAACCACTTATAACTCCTTTGGTAGTGGTGCAGGGCTTTGCAAGCCAGCGCTTAGATACCCATACTCTCCGTACTAAGTACCAGTAAGACAGCTGAGCAAGATCTCGCCACTGCCACTAACTAGCTAAATCCACTTTTTTCTGGCCATTTGGTTTTTTGTTTTTTGCTACATTTGTATTCTAGGTGGCTATTCTGCATGCATTGTATGCAGGTAGGTAGGCTGTGAGGGTGTGGGGGTTTCAGCTTAGGTACTTGGTTAGTATGTACCTAGGTACATGGCTAGGTACCTAGTAGGTAGTAGGTAGTAGGTTACTTATGTCTGTCTTTCTTTCTTTCTTTCTGTCTACTCTTCCGATTGGATGGTGATTATCTTGCCTGTGGTTTCTAAGTATACTATACTTAGACTTAACATATATTCCTTCGAGGTATGTACATGATCTACTCGAGCAAGGTAGCCATGTAGTCACACATGTACATATAGTGTACATATCTAGTACCTACATAATGTATACTCTACCTCGGCTTCATCCCCCGGACGCAGTACTAGTTAATACAGCATCCCTCTTTCCTACGTAACTGGAAGAAATCGGATGAATACCCGGATTCGATGACGATCGCCGGGAAGAAAAATGAAGTACATAAATATTGGGAGGGAAAAAGAAAAGACGGCGGAGATTGGATTCGTTCTTTCCGGGTGCATACATAAACTGTATGGTACATTTGTTATTCAGTTTCTTGCTAACTAGGAGATTACGGATGATCGGTTTGTATCGGCGGGGTTTCTGGACGGGCGGAGGACTCCGTTGTGGATTACATGGCTATCTCCAGTTTATGGAGCCTACGTGCTGATGTGAAGATCCAACTCATCAAGTTCACTGGAACTTTTATTCTTCCTTATTATCTAAGACCCAACCAGGAGCCCATGCCTGTCCCCATAAATAACTGTCAAAACTGCCGGTAAAAAAAGAATATCCTGCTCGTGGAACATAACAATAACAATAAAAAATAACGTCAGGTGGATATATGCCAATAGTTATACGCATCAAGGGTTACCGCTCCGCTATCCCAACGGATGGAAAATTATCATGAATAGAATGTGCTCTTTTGGAAGCTCTCGGCCGAGATATCGCCCATCTTACCCTTGAGCTCGGGCTTCTTCTCATCACCGGGTCGGACCTCTGGGGCCGTACCCTTCATACTGTTGCTGCGGCTTGCGTCGGTGCCGGATGTGATCGCCTGCTGAGTGGGCTTTCGCTGGATGGTCTCCAGATACGGTCCAGGGAGATACCCGACCCCGCCATCCCGTGCTCGACACCGCCACCATTCAGACGGGTTGCCCATCGGGTCTGACTTGCCGAGGACAGCGACAATATCGCCCTTCTTCACCGCTAGATCAACCCCGGCAGTCTCCTGCGACTCCGGGGTGTAGTCGTATAACACACGGCAAAAGTCCAACTTGGAAGGATCCATCGACTGATCCTGCTGCATCGGCTCACCATTCGGTCCGATCATAAGCTGTTTTCGCTGCTCATCTTGCGAACGCGCCAGTGTCTTGATAAGCTTGCTCATCAGGTACGGAAGACCGAACAATGCAATCAGGAACATGAAAAACGGCTTCTTGGAGGGTTTAGGAGGTGCAGGAGTGCCGTCTGGGAGGGTGGCAGGCGCCGAACGCCCATTCATAAAGGCCGCAAAGGCAGAAGGAGTGAGGGCAGTCGCATCGGCCGGGGGTGGGCGACCAGTGATCTTTGCAATTAAAGTTCTAAACCATCGTATAATGGTGAAAATTCCCAGCGCCGAGCCGAGGGTATTACGCAGATTTCCGAATTGTTCTGCGACAGAGACCATAGCTAAAAACCGTGTCAGAAGTCATCTTCAAACTGGACATATCTCGAAAAACCATACCAAAGAATGAGCTATGTGTGGCCATATAAGTACTCTCCAGCATCTGAGCAAATCCTCCAAACGCACCCACGATACTCTCAATCATCTGGAAGGTCGCTTGGGTGCTCTGACCGAACGAGTTCGTCAAGCTGTTTGGGTCGTTGGGATCACCGGGCATGCCGCCGTACATCCCTCCCATTCCCCCCATTCCGCCCATCCCACCATACATCCCACCCATACCCCCGTAGCCTCCGTAGCCACCATACATCGACCCCATCCCGCCGAGGCGCGAGTACGGCGACGAGTAACTGCTGTACCCGCCATATCCTCCGTACGGGCTAGTACCAAGTCGCGAAGCACCGTAGGGAGAATAGTTCGATGCAGTCCGGTTGACGACGGAGTTCAAGGCGTTGGGGCGGGAAGGTAGGTCGGGGGCGGTTGAGGATGTGGCTGATGTGGTTGTTGCGGTCGGCGCCGCGGTGGTAGTTGAGGACATGGTAGAGGCGGCTGGGCTAGTAATGGGTGATGACGATAACGCAGTTGCTAGCAAGAAGGAAACATCGTTAGTGACAGAGACAAATGGAAGATAGGCTGTATGTAAGACCTACCACCGGCAGCAGCGCCTGCTCTCTCCCACGGTTTGGGTGGCGAAACCGTCGCCATGGAGTTGCGGGGGAGATGATCACCAGCCACGCATCGAGATCAACCCGACCAGGCTGGATACCAGGAGAAGAGACTGACAAAAAGAGCGACGAGATGAGAAGGGCCCGAAGACGAAAGATGAAAAGAAGAAAGGGATGAGATGAGATGGAGATGGGGATAGATCGAGATGGGGGAGAGTTGGGACTTGAGCGGGTGGAGAGAAGAACGTGAAATCCGACCAGCCGAGAGGAGAAAAGTCGGCGCATGTGGTCGCGGAAGCCGAGGATGTCGCGATTGCCGAGTAGTGACATTAGTTGGATGCAGGCTTGGTATTCTTTTATCCATCGTTTCTTTTTCATGAATGCTTTTGACGCGATTATTATTGGGAGTTCGAGGATGATCTTGAGGGTCTTTACGATGATCCTGGGGCGATCTTTATAAACAGCAGTCGTCGCACCGTTCTCCACGACGGCTACAGATCATACGATTCATCGACATCTCCAAATCGACACTGGCAAGATGAAATGACATCATAATCAATGCTAGCTACCTATATTCACGATGGTTGATGATAACTCCGAGAATGCAATCCGCCCTGTCAAACGCCTAAAGTACAAATGACCCTCGCTTTATATACAGATAATCGATGATAGGAGTCTTAGACAACCCCATGAAGACGACACATCAAACGGAATTCATAGTTCGTCATGACTGGGCATGCCAGGTAGCTTGATTTTCCACGTACGTGGTGGTACAGGAAGACCCAGCCAGTAATTCCAGAGACGATTCATCTCCAACACAAGGAGCTCGTACCTATAAATAATGTGAGTGGCTAGTCGGCATGCATGGTCATAATCAAGAGAACTTACACTGTCCGAGGAAGTTTGACGTAGCTATTCAAGACGTAGATAAACGTACCCCAAACCACTTCAAACTCAGCCATGAAGCTGTCAAGGGCGCCATCGGTATCGCGCATAGCCCGTCTCTCCCAGGGTAACCTATCGGTATGGTAGTGGTAGTCATCGTCATTCTCGTCTTCATAGTAGAAAGTTGAGCCACCGTCCTTGATTAAACGCCTCGACTTCCCTTCAGGGACATGGTTTCCGAATGGTCCTCCTACCGCAATGACAAAGCTGTCGCCTTGTCCCATCTCCAAAGCGCGGTGGAAACTCCGAGCAGCGGCCAGACTGTGGGAGATGCGGCCAAGGGTGTTGATCAAAGCGACCAGTTCGGTCCGTCGCAAAAGAGGGTTCTCCCCGTTCTTCGTCTCGTCGTATTCGAATAGGACCTTCAAAGCTGTTCCGTAGCCATTGACCTGGAGCTTACCCCAGAGTCGACACTTGTCACATCCCACACAGTCCATCAGTCTGCTCACGTTCCTGAATCGGTTACGGAAGTCTTCCTTCAGGCCAATGGCGCTGGGGTCCTGGAACATGAGGTTCTCGTCGAAAATCTGCGGCCGGTTGGCCAGGACATCGGTCAACTGTGACACTTTGTTCTTGGTGTCCAGATCCTGTGCGGGGTCGCTAACGCAAAAGGTGTAGTCCTGAAGGTGCTTCTGCAGTTTCGCGACTGCTCGGGAGACGAGCGCGTAGTTGAAGTACATGTTCGAGATCCGCTCGGGGTGGTCGTGCAGTCGCTCCTTGTAGCACTGCAGATTGGGATGCCACTCGCCGGTCGTCTGGTTGAGGTAGTCCCAGCAGAGATGGGTCGAGATGGACGCATGCATTCCGCTGATCAGCCGGTGGAAAACCCGCTTCTCCAAACACTCATTGTCCAAGGGCAAACCATCCGCATGCTTGAGTTCCTTCTGCATCACATGACGGAAGTCATTGACAGCCTGGAGTCCCAGGTCACCAAGTTGAGGCAGGTTCGGGGTGTGCTCCTCCGGCACGGGCTTCAAGAAACAGTTCTCATTGTAAATCGCATCCCAGACCATATGCGCACCGGGCCCAGCGTATCCTGTAAAGCGCTCGGGGTTATCAACCAAACTGACGTAGTCGCCCTTGCCGGTTGCCCCCTCGTCTTCGGGGACACAGTAGTCCCGCTCGTCGCATTCATCATCGTACTCGACCACACAGCTCTCTCCGACATCATCTCCCAGCATACCCTGAAGTGGCTGATCCTTGGGTCGCTCCTCTTGAAGCTTGCGACTGGGATGACTAGCTTTAGGACCTTCGAGTTTGCTTAGCTCCTCCGCTCGCCACGTCAACGGGATGTCATCCTCTGATTCGATTGTATTCACCGAGCATGCAATGTTGCCGCACATGCTGTTCGCATCGTTCCAGAAAGGACATTCCTTGTTGAAAAGATTGAGACGGTAATACGAGAAAAAGTCTGTATCTTGGGTGATTGAGTGGAGGACATCGTAGACCTGGTCGTTCAGCTTGTCGATGGTCGCGTACGAAACACAGGCGTCGGAGACTGTAGCCTTGGGGTCAATCTACAAGAAAAAGAACAAGTTAGAAGAATTTTCTTGACAATAGACAGAAATCGGAAATAGTATCCACTCACCGCGCAAGTATCGTGGGGGTTTCCATCAAGGCCGTCGGCATTGGCAACGCCCAAAAGGCCAAACACGGCCAAATAGAAGACTTTGGTCGTGGAGCGCATTGTGTCCCTGGAGATGTATGCGCAGGGTAGGGGAGGTAGTGAGGACTCAGGATGTGAAAAGAAGGACACAATGCACTGCCTTCAAATCAGCTCCACGCGGTGGTGGAAAAGAACGAGATTGGCGGAGATCAGATCAACGCAAAAAGTGCATTCTAGTACTGCAGCAAGGCGACTGGGTAATTAATAGCTGGAAATGCAAATGAAGAATAAACAGCAAGAAGAAAAGACCGTGGCTGGTGGGAACAAACAAGAAAGAGAGAATTGGTCAGCAGGCAACCTTTGGGACTATCGAGGTGAAGTTGACAAGCTGGCCTTCGGTGGTGGCGGAATCGTACGATCTCTCCGCCTCTCGCCAGGTGGCTTTGTTTTTCTATTTCAGCATTCCTTAAGATTGAAGGACAGTAATAATTTAGTCAACTATCGTACCATCCAAAACATGTTATTCACCTTTTATTGTTTCAGTGCGACTCAGATTTATTGATGTGATATGCTTACAGGGGTACGAGTATACAAATCTATAAATATATCGTCATCATTTCCTCTAGTTCCTGTCCGATCTGACCACATCCTATACAAATTACGTCCATCAATAGTCATAATTCAAGCTCTCCCCTCTCTCCAAATCATGCCCCTTCTCCATCTCCCTAACCCTCTCCTCCCGACTCTCCACAAAGTCCTTCCCAGCCATCTCCACCGTCCCCGGATCCAACAACTCCTCAAGCCCCAATGCCTTGGTGATAAACACCAACAGCATGCATTCAGCTTCCGGCGCATTCCGCGATAGGCCATGATCATCTCCTTCAAACAGCCTCAGCTCCTTCTCCCCTCCCGTCCCATACTGTCGGTACAGCGTCTCCGAGCACGCAGACGTTAGGACCAAGTCATCCGCCCCGTGTAGCAAGAGTAGCGGCCGTGGATTCAACTCTTTGATTCCGGATGTATTGATCGTCTGTGATGCGATGGTTGCCACGCCGCGGACGCGCTCAGGTTCTTGCGCTGCGACAGTGAAGCAGGGACTGCCGCCAAAGGACCAGCCGACGAGGACGAAGTTGGTGCTGCTGTATGTGTAGGAGAGATAGTTGAAGGCGGCGATGATGTCCGAAGCACAGATATCTGTCTTTGCGGGTTCGCGGTAGTCGAGTCGGATGGTGGGGACGGAAATGAGGAGGGCGAGTTTGTCTGCCAGAGGGGTAGATGCCTGCATGTATGTACAGTCAGTTTGCATCCTGTAGACGGACAGGCTAAGGTAAGGTGGGGGAGAGATATACCAGCAGGACCACTGACGCCTCCACCAGCACCGCTGACCATCACTACTGCCGCTCGATTCGTCTGGGATGCATTATACCGGTGTGGTTCGTGGATAATAGCCGGTGCTTCATGGTCTAACGGGTCTTTGACCCGGATGTTGATGTGTCTGGCTGTTGATGGTTTGATGGCTTCGCCTTCGACTTTGGGAGGGTGGAAGGGACCTAGGTCATGGACGAAGTGCTTTTGAGCTGTTGCCATAGTACGGAGTATTTATTATATAAATAATATATAAATAGTATTACAAAGTAGAATAAATCATGATCTGCATCTACCTGCAGTCGGCATAAATCTGCTGGTATACTATTTTATATTCATTTGTTTTTACGGAAACAAAGTTGATATCAGACTGACGCTGATGACGCAAAAAGTGAAGGCAACACCTGAGGCAAATAACTAACTGGAGGCGTACATAAGGGGCATAATGAAGAGTATGTTTATAGGGCAAAAAATATATGGATGTTATTTGCAAGTCTCATTTGACTGATCAAATAAATACATCGAAAACACACATGAAATGAATACACCCCCTGAATGGATAACTCCAGGCTACCCAGTGCTGAGACAGAAAACCCGCCGATACACCGTCGCAACCCATGGTATGAAAAGATACATGAAAATAGCCAGCAATATATATAACACGAAACTCCATTTCCTTGATCCAAATAACCTAACCCATTGCCGTCATCACATGAATACCATTATATATAACGCAAGTCGTAATGTCGTGATGGCTGGCGTACATATACAGTTGAGATTATTCGCATCCTGCTAAGCGGGGCTTGCAGGGCTTTTTATTTTGTCGTAGGGGCCACGCCGTTTAGGCGACACTCCTGCGATTGCGACGAAGACTCAGCACCTTGCGAAGAGTCGAAAAGGGCTTTGGAATTGGCTTGTTGTAGAATGGGTCATTCTTAAAGTCTTCGTCGGTAAATTTCTAGTAACAATTAGTTTCTCGACGAACCGAAGACAAGACCGAAGTACTTACCAAGCCCGGACAACGTGTGAAGTTACCATATTCATTCATCATGTTGGGCCCCTCTTCATAGTCATAAGTATGTCCGTCCCGGTCTGTAGTACCGGGAGGGAAGAAAGCAACACCATCAAGAGGGCGATGGCTATCAAGGCAGTCGGCGATCTTGTCCTGCGGAGTAGCTTTGATTGCTTCCGCGTTGGACTCCTTAAGGGCCTCGATGGGACTGTGCTTGCTGTTTCGGTTTCGCTCAGGGTACACAGCATCATAAGGCCCCTCGTGGTGGTACTGAAGGAACCCGGCATCATCCAGCATGTCGATTATATCTGGGTTGACGAGCTGGGATTCCCGCGAGTACCTGGGTTGACGGCTGCCACGGTGATGATGGCGACGAGAGGAGCCCTGTCGTCTCTTGGGCTCCACGGGATGGTGTTCAGGTATGCCCGAGTAGTGCACTGAAGGCACAGAGGACGAACGCTGACGCCTTAGCGAAGACATGGTTGGAGCTGGAGAGGCGTAGCGAACGTAAGGATTGTTGGAGGCAAAAGGGACCTCCGAATAGTATTGGGAGGGGTAATAAGAAGTCATGTACATGGTGTCGTGGAACGCCATGTTGTGTATGTTGTGTGATGGTCTGTTGACCGAGGAGATCGGGTTTAGTAGAGGACTGATCTTGTGATGTATACTCGAGAGTGTGGGGCGGAAGTGTAAGGTAGTGTATGAAGGAGAGAATAGCTGGCAAGAAGCAGAGAAAAAAAAGGTGAAATCGAGAGAGAAGACGAAGCAGAAGATGACAGAAGAAGGAGAAGAAATAGGCACAACAACAGAGGGGGGAAAGTGTAGAAAAATAGGCCTCCCACAGCAAGAGAGCTGCCGGGACCCAGAGTGACGTCGTGACTTGCGTACGACTGGGAGGGCTCGTGCTTATCGATAAAGGCGGGGCCACGTTGCCCGCTTGGGCTTAGTCCCAGGGTCTGTCGGAAGCACTAGGCCTGTTTGGTTGCATTGCGCTATTGGATCGATGATTAAGAGAAGCACACACACCCAGAGGAGAAATACGGGAGTGCCGGATGATGACGCCTGCTGACAGTCTGCTCGGGCCTAAAGGCTGTATTGGCAGTCGGCGATGGGGCACTATTGGCGAGTCTAGACCGGGAGGCCGCCTCGGAAAATCCCAGATCTTGGTATAGAAGGATTAGTCAACCACCCATCGATGACCGTCTTATTAGATCTCTCAGGCTCCCAGGTAGCATCCCATCGCTCCGAGATGGTCTGAAGGGCTGTTTGATTGCGAGTACAAAAGTTTAACCGGAAAAAAGACCCTGATAGATGGACGGTCTATGAGTCGTTCTTCTTGTTTGGAGTAGATTAATTTGGCCCTTCTAATTTAAGCTTATCCTTAGTAGAGGGGTAGCGTCTCACTAGTACAAGTTGGACCTCAACACATACCAAGTGCACTACTGCAGTATAGAAATAATAGGACAACAGCTGGCTCAATGGTTAATATTTATGGAATTGCTCGCATGGGATATGTAAAATTTGTTTCATTTGGTTCTCGCGCAGGCCGCAGTGCTTAAACTTTGGATGAATCGCCTTCCAGGTACAACTAGACACAGCATCCGCCCTGAATCAGGCACATTCGTCGTATATTTCCCGACAATAAGGCTGGAAGATCTTCTCCGATATCTGAGCCATGGTTTATCAAATATAACCTTCTCTCTCGCTCAGGCAACACTGGATAAAATGGCATGGAGTACGCACACCTATGTCAAATCCCTAGTAGTATGCAATATGTAGCATTCTGCCTAGATATATCATTTTCACCAGCATATGCAGCCTAGCTCGATCGACTCAACTGAAATCTCTCAAGTGCAGCAAATGCATTGATCAAACCCTGTCCTGTCTACCGCTGTTTGGCCTGAGCTTAAATGGCCGCAAATCCCTAACCGAGTATAAAAGGTGGTAGTTTGTAGTCAGCAATTCGTATAAAAAGTTCGTTAGAGTGCCAGCAACCTGCAAGGAATGGCTCTAAGACGGCCAACTGCAATGACCGCCAGCACTATTGATTTGGCATACTTTGGCTACACCCAAGACATACTGGCAACGCGTGTCAACGATCAGATATCACACTCAACTGACCCCCATCAGCAACCTACCATGTGATCTGATCTGTGATATACAAGTAGATTGCAGCCAAAATGCCAAGCTGGAGATTTCCTCCCTGCTTGGGCTGACCGATACATGACAGGAAATACTCCTCTGCTCAACCATCGTAGTTACTGCTCACCGCTTGATCAACCCGAACGTCCCATCTTTTATGATAGACGAGTCACTGGTGATAGAACAGCAAACCATCCAGAGCTGTATATGCGTGGAATCGTGAATGGAGAAGATGCAAAAGCAGCAAAATAAAACGGCATGGGCAGTCTTGGCACTGTCGGTAATACCAATACCAACACAGCAAGTGGACCGCCATCTGGCTTCACTTCTTCTTCTCTATTTTTATCCTCAAGATCACCCGGACTACCATGGTCTTGGTTCAATATTCGGATTCAGATTCGGACAGTGACGTCCAGGAAGCATCACCTCCCAGACCGGCCAAAAAACCCCGTCGGAATGGCATTCCCAAAAGTCAACAGGCCTCTTCCCTTCCTCCTCTACCAGCAGCTTTCCACGATCTTTACGCAGCAAGCACTCGGGTCAGTGTGAGAGATGACCCTAGTCTCCATGGAGGTCGGAAACGAGTGATCCCTCATGTCGAGGGGAATTGGCCAACGCATTTATACCTAGAATGTAAGTGTTCAGACGGTTTGTTTGCATTCAAGAATTGACGTAGACAGGGTACCCATCAAAAGGAGACCTTGCCATCTTGAATGACATTATTTCCCAGTCGAAAGAGAAAACTGGCAAAACCTCAAGGGAGATCCATAGCCTCCTCAAAAGTGATCTTGGGGCTCAACTCCCGCTTCACATCAGTTTGTCTAGACCAGTAGTTCTTCGAACTGAGCAAAGGCAATCGTTTATGGAAACATTTGAAACTGCCATTCAAGTCTCTCGCATACCACCGTGGGTAGCACCCTAATCGGATTGAGGACCAATACTGACAATCTCAGATTCAATGCCACACTGGAAAGCCTGGACTGGGTCTCCAATTACGAAAAAACACGCTGGTTTCTAGTACTGCGTGTCAAGAGACCAGAGCATGATAATCTGAACCGCCTTCTTAAGCTGTCGAATCGTTCTCTATCACTTTTTGATCAACCGCCGCTATACCAGAGCAATCAGAAAACCGACACTGAAGATTATTCTCACTGCTTCCATATTTCCCTTGCCTGGAGTCTGACAGAGCCATCGTCGCACGATAAGGAACGCATTGCAAGCACAGATCTCCAAGAACTGAGAGAGCTGCAGATTCTTTTCAACTGCGTGAAATCGAAGATTGGTAACAATATCTCGAGCATACCTCTATCCACAGGAATACTTCATGAGAAAGGTCTTGGTGGGTTATGAGATGGCATTCTGGTCGAATAAGTTATTTTCAAGATACCACTGAGTTTTATATATTTTTCTAGACCCAGGAAAATAAGCATATGTTTATCCTGTAACCGCATCAATGCAAACTGAAAATATTATTTTTTCCTGCGAGTTTTGTCCAAGTTGCTGTCTTGACCAGAACCGGGTGTAATATTACGGTAACATGCGTTACCGAGCCAGTCGCGCTAACGACGCGTTGGCATCATCTCATCTTATATCTCTCCCTCTTCAACTCAACACCATGCCTTAGCCTTCATCTGCTTTATCTCGGCTGGGGCTAACAATAGAGCTGGTTTCTGCTAACAACTCCTGATACTGCCTTCCACTGCTTGCTATCTTTCAGAGGTCCTATTGTCGTCATGTCCGCATCACAAATTCCACCAGTAACTCTTGTGAGTCCCACGTCCCTAGTCCTCAGATTTTTGACTAACGATTTTCTTTCTTAACAGGAAGATCTCCAAGCTTTCCAAGCTAAACACTTCTCTGGATACGTGCATACCCCAACGTTCGAATACCCATCCGAGGAAAATGAACCCGAGGAAACTGCAGACGACGAGGACGACCTGGGCTATTATCCCGATGGCGTAAAACGCACCCTTACAGATGAGCAGATCAGAATCTTCAGACACAGTGAGATTCACTCGATCTTGCGCCAGCGCCAGCTACAAGAGGAAGAAGCGCTGTATCAGGCGGGTAGAAACTCGAGCTCAGATAAAGACCTTTCGGAGGGGAACCATGACGAAGGCGTAAAGACTAATCAGCACGCAGAGTCGAGTGGAAATACCAGCACCTCTACAACATCTGACTCGAAGACGAAGAAAGAAAACAAGACCGTTAATTCGGATGCTCCTTTGGACTATGACGAAGGTAGTCATGAGAGAACTTCCCAGAAACCAGGACGTGCTTCGACTTCTCATTTTCCTGGACGCAGGATCGTCTCCTATGAGGATTGATTATACTGGAATGCATACTGCCATACATTACAGGAAGTAGCCATCTCCGCCTCCATCTGTTGGTCTTTCAACAGTGTCATACTGAGTAGTGAGTTGTCCTTTTTCTTTCTTTCTTTTTCTGAAATCTATCAATATGATGAAACACCATGTATCAGTCATCCTTAGTCGGAGCGCCATACCATTTTTGAATGTGTAAGGCTATGACGAGTTTTAATCTTCTCTCTGATTGACTTTCTCACCATCACATCGCGTTGCATTGTTGGTGATAAGTGCTGACTTGAACTAGAAGGTATTAGGTCGCCGCTTGGGTTTGCAAACTATTCCCCACTCCACATAGAAAGGCATTGTTTCGGTGCTATCAGGGATCCTGACCAAGTCAGCCACTGGAATTGATAGACCTGAAATATGGTCTAGTCAGCTCTAAGCAAACTTAAACCAAGTCATGGCTTGAAAAACAGTCATGGCTTGCTGTCAAGTTTGGCAGATGTCGGAATGCTTGATCTACAATCGACGCCTGGAAAGCAAGGCTACTTAGTCAAACTTGCTGAAGCATAGCATGCTAGAACCACTCGCAGCATTAAATATTAATGTCATAATATGTACAACCATCTTCACCCAATTCTTCACGAAGAAGGCCGCTGCCTAGGAACCAAAGTCCAGAGAACCGCAATACCTGCCAACAAAGCAACCAGAATAGGCTGTAAGACCTGGACACCCGCTTTGGAAGCCACCGCACCAGTCAAGAAGGGGAACGCCGCCGAACCTGCTTGTCCAAGACTAGCAGTGAAGCCTATATCAAATTAGAAAGCTACAACGTCAAGGGGTTAAAGAAAAAAGCATACCCAAAGCACCAATATGAAGCTCCTTCGGAATAACCTTGGTGAGAACATACAGTCCAACCGGATAGAAAGGACCGATAAAAAAGCCTATCACCGTCAGCGATCAGTATAACCGCAAGCAGAAGATATTGCAGCGAATACACACCCAAGAAACAAACAGTAACAGCGTTAGCAATGATGTTCGGAATAAACCAAAACATCAACTGCATGGCGATCGCCAAGGCAATATACACAAATATCATGCGCCGTTCGCCGAATTTATGGGTGATGTCCGCGAGAAGGATCCGGCCGAGGGTGAAACCGGTCCAGAAGCCCGAGGCAATGTAGCCCACTTTCCCAGGTTCCCCGTGTCGGATGGAGATGATGAATTGGACGAGCCAGCCTATATGATTAGCAGGGGAAAACGTTGGCAAAGAAAGGGTAAAGACGAGGCCTACCGCCAGCAGTGACTTCCGCACCAACGTAGAGGAGGAAGAAAAAGTTGATGATCCAGACTGTTTTATTGGTAAGGGTCGCCTTGAGCTCACTATTGGCCGTTTCCTTTGCATTGGAGAAATTAGGTCGAAACAAGCCCTTGCGGAAAGTGAAGAGAAGAAGGGAGACATTTATCAGGCCCAGACAGAACGTGACGAGGTAGTAGTAATGCCAGTATGGCGTACGGCCGGCGATGGTATTCGCGATTAACGGAGCGAGGATCGTGCCCACGCCATACAGGGCATGCAAGACCGCCAGCCAGCGATGGGGGTTTTTCACAGTGATGGCGAACGTGTTGGACTGGGCATCTTGAAGGGCAACGCCCATGCCTGTGAAATAAAAGGCAACCATGTAGAGGGGGAAAGGTGGTTTCCAGAACATCAGGGCGTATCCGAAGGTCTGGATGATGGCGCCGATGACGAGGGTGCCGCCGGTTCCTAGTCGTGAGCAGACGTGGATGTTGGCGAACGAGGCAGTGAGCCATCCGGCAAAGTTGACGAGATAGACGAAAGAGACGGGGAGAAGGTTGACATTGTAGGCGGGTTGGAGATATGGGATGAGGACACCAGTTCCGGCATCTTTCAGACATGTCAGTGGTTGAAGCTATTCGGAAGTTATTCGAAATGGGACGTACCATTCAACCCGATCATAAAAAAGGCGAAATTGGTACTGATCAACCTCCCAACAACCTGACGAGCACCTTTCGGAGTGAGGAAGGACGATTCTTCTGCCGTCGAAGACTCGACATGCTGTTTTTCACTGTCGCCTGAAGCCGTACTCATATTGTCAACTTGGATAGGTGAAATTTGCCCGAAACCCCTCTTACCATGCCTCCAATTTATATCATAAACACCATTGAATATCCAGGCTATCGCGGCAATGGATAGATAATACAGAGTCTCTCATTGCACATCACGAAGGTCCAAGCGAAAAACCTGGACTGGCCATCCCCACGCCCGACATGGATCTCCAAGGAATCATGAGGGGGGGGGAAAGAAGCAATTATCTGGATTGTCGGGTCTAAGCCAGACGGAGGTGAGAGGATGAATCTGATCTGCATTGTGATGGGCAGGGGGGTTGACTTGGAAGGGAAAATGACAAACACCTGAAATGTGATGGGATGATGGGGTGCGAGTCAGGGAGATTTATTTATCTACCATGTCGTGTCAATCCTGCCATGTCGTGTTGTGCGACGTGCATCACTCCGCATCGATAGTGTGGGGTAGTTGGGTATCAGCAACAAGAATTGAACCTCATTACCTTATTCTTATTGCTATTCTTATTTATATTTATATTTAATTGTCATAACCCGATTGGCAGATTGCGATCGACGCTATTTTGGGAATTGGTTTCGTAGGGCGCATCTGTATAGTGTCACGTGACGTCTGTATAGCAACGCGAATAGCTTCAAAGATGACGGATTCAGCTAGATGACTGATCAAGACTAGAATAGGAAGACTGCCACTTGGCAACTACGCCGGCAGGAAGATTCTGGGCTGGCAGTGGAAAACTGGAGTGAGTCCCTGGCGATCAGATCCATTTCCCCGCAGCGATCGAAGAGAGACCAAGACGTCGACATCCAACCGCATCGCCAGCCTGCGAGAATATTTGTCACGACAACACCTCGGCTGGCGACGGATAATTCTATCTACCAACTCAATTGACTAATTGAGCCATTTTCTTCCGGCCCGGTTTCTGGGGAAGACACGGAATCCGGGGTTAGTTATCTGGGGAGAAGATCGACGATGAATCTTGCCGTTCGACTGTTCTGACGGACTTTTGTCCGCAATTCGGCGGAGGCTGAGACGGGCAGATTTCCTTTTCTATCCGGTTTGGGGTGATTCTATCCGAGATACCAAGACGCTGTTACATTCAAATCGTCATTGTGGGTAGTCGAGATGGGAGGGAGGGGTCTGTCTTAAACCTGCCCTCCCTCTCTCTTTTCTCCTCTACTCTCGCCCTCTCTTCTTTTTTGTCCTTCTCTCTCTCCATCTTCACAATGGCTCCTCAAATCGTCGATGCTCCCCCAACTACTTTTGACATTGAAACCGTCCGGCCGGCTTCTTTGGATGAGAAGAAGGACCCCATCCCTCCCTACCAGCAGGATGCCTTTGGCGATGAGGAATTCGCAGAAATCAAGTACAAGGTCTTGAAGTGGTGGTGAGTCTCCTGTCCTCTTTTCTTGAACCTTATTCTAATTGAGTCGATTCAGGCAATGCGGGTTGCGTACGTGATATCATCACAGTCCCAGTACGGATAATAACGGATGTCACGGATAGTCATGGTGGCCGAAACCGTTTCACTCGGTGTTCTCTCCCTCCCCAAGGCCGTTGCTGGCCTGGGTCTGGCCCCGTATGCACACAATTCCAATATACTAATATCGAATAACACAATTGACTCGTTGACATGGCAGTGCTATCGTCCTCCTCGTCGGTCTGGGTATCCTGGCTACCTATACTGGCCTCATCATTGGCCAATTCAAAACAAGATATCCCCAGATCTCCAACATGGCTGATGCTGGTGAGGTTCTTGCCGGTCGATTCGGGCGTGAAGCTCTCGGGTTTGCTCAGATCTTGTTTCTCGTGTTTGTCATGGCCAGTCATATCCTGACCTTCACCACTGCGATGAACACAATCACTGAGAGTGCGACATGCTCGATTGTCTTTGGAGTAGTTGGTCTCATCATCTCGTTTGTCTGTTCCATTCCTCGGACTTTGGAAAAGATGTCGTGGCTTTCACTAGTTTGTATGTTTATTCTCCATAACCTCGGCCATCTACTAACAGACCCAGCCTTTATCAGTATCCTAGCTTCGGTCTTCATCACCATGATCGCAGTCGGTGTCCAAAACAACGGAGCGCCAATGCAGGTCACTGTTGAGACAGACCTCATCCACGGCTTTACTGCAGTCACCAACATCGTCTTTGCCTTCTGTAAGCCCCTCACCCCCTCCCCCATCCAATCCCTTCAACTAACAACAACCAGCCGGCCACGCCGCCTTCTTCGGTCTCATGGCCGAACTCAAAGACCCCCGCGACTTCCCCAAAGCCCTCTGCCTCCTCCAATCCATCGACATCTCCCTCTACATCATCGCCGCAATAGTCATCTACCGCTACACCGGCTCCGACGTAACCTCACCCGCACTCGGCTCCGCAGGCCCCCTCATCTCCAAAATCGCCTATGGCGTCGCCATCCCCACCATCATCATCGCCGGCGTCATCAACGGCCACATCGCATTCAAATACGTCTACATCCGCATCTTCCGCGGCACGGACCGCATGCACAAGCGCGACTGGCTCGCCGTGAGCTCGTGGATCGGCATCGGATTAGGGCTGTGGATTCTGGCGTGGATCATCGCCGAGGCGATTCCGATTTTCTCGAACCTGCTCAGTCTGATCACGGCGCTTTTTGCGAGTTGGTTTACGTATGGTCTTAGTGGGATTTTTTGGTTGTATATGAATAAGGGGATTTGGTTTTCTTCGCCGAGAAAGGTGGTGCTTACCCTGTTGAATGTTTGTATTGTTGGGATTGGTGGTTGTTTGGTATGTCCTTTCCTTTCCTATTCCTCCCTTCTCTGTCTCTTGTACATGTCACTAACAGATGATAGTGTGGCCTTGGTCTGTACGTCTCAGGTAAAGCCATCCACGATAATCCCAGCAGTGCCAGTTTCTCCTGCTCTCGGGTGGAATAATCCCTGTTGGTTTCTTATGCTCATTTCAGCGACTGGGTTGTGGCGTCTCATATAACTTGCATATTTGATGTTGGATATATCGTAAATCTAGTTTTGATGTATATACAGTCTTCTTGATGAAGATGAATGAAGATATCTATTTTTCTACTTGTGATGTGTTTTGATATTTACTAGATAACATCAAATGCTCCGCATGAGAATGACTGAATTGCATAAAATACAAGACTGGGATATAATATAACACTTCTCATTGTCACCAACAAGAACAAGAAAAAGAATAGACAGAATAAAAATACACAAACCAATGCTAATAAACAGACCAACAAAAACAAACCAAACCCAATATGCCATACTACTGCTGCTCACCCCTACTCTCCCGATTCCTCTTCCGCCGATTCCGTTGACAGGCGCGGATCATCTCCTTTGTAACCAGTTCCGGCGGCAGGTCGAACTCCCGCTCTTCCATGTCTGGAATGGGGTAGCCGAATGCGAGCCGTGTTTGGCTTTTTCGGTTCTGCGGGGATAGAGCTGCAGCGCGGGTTTTTGGGTCGGGGTAGAAGGATGTGAAGGGGCGGTCTGGAGGCGGGGGTGGCAGAGGTAGTTGTGGTGGTGATGATGATGTAGGAGGTGGAGGGGGTTTCTTCTGTGGTTCTGGGGCAGTAGCAGTAGCAGCAGAAGAGGTGGGTTTGGATGATTTTCGACGCGAGGCAGAAGAATATGTCTTTTGGCGTTTGCCGGCCGTGGCGAAGCGGGCTTCTTGATGGAGTTGGCGTGCCGCCCAGGCATCTACGTCGTTGATGTCTGGTGGTTCACCGTAGCTCTGGGCATCGGACAAAGCCACGCCGTTGGTCTGAGGATCTTCTTCGTGGTTATTGTCGACGTCGTTATTATCGTCTTCCGGCGGGGCAGTCTCGGGCGAGGTAGCTTCAGCCCGTAACGGAGCCTTTTCCTTTTCCAGCTTCCGACGCTTCTCCTCTTCCTTCCAGATTTTAAACTTGTCAATAACGCCCGAGATCTCCTTGACGAAAAAGTCCCGCTTAGGTTCGTAGAGTTTCTTCTCTTCGAGATCAGTGACGCCAGTGATGCCCATCACACGGAGCCAGTCATTACTGCGGAGCTCGTCAAGCAGACGATCCAGCTGGAGTTTCTCATGCTGTGCCCGTTCTCGCTCGATATTCCGGAGCTGTTTCTCCTGTCGTTCGACTCGTCGGTGGGCACGGAAGTAGAACGCTTCATTCAGCGGGTCCTCTTCCGTGACCTCAGCCGGTTCGGGTATCTCAACCACTTCACAATTATGCAACTGTACCAGAGGATTCCCAAACGGGGTATCCGACTCGGGAGCAGAAGGAGGCTTGGAAAGATCATCGACGAGTTTGATCGTGGTATGGCCCGTGAGGATTTCTATCCACCATCAGTATCGGGTACTGTGTTGCGTTGCATAGAATATGAGTATCAGGCAACTCACCAGTCTTGGGCGGCTCCAAGCTCAAAAGCTGTTCGTAATTCCCAAAATACAACGCCAGCTCACTCCTCGCTCTTGAACCCCCATCATGAGATCGGAGAGACCGCCGCTCCCTCTTCGGACTACCACTAGGCGGCGGTGCGGGGGTAAGCTGCTGCTGTTGCTGGGTGCTGCGGTTCTTCTGCGCACTACTTTTATTAACAGGCGTCTTGTCTGCCCCCGCGGGGTTCTGTTTCTTCTCCACAGTAGCAGGACGCAGGTGGCGGGTGGAGCGAGTCGAAGCGGAGGGGGAAATAGCGGAGGTGGAAGAAGGCGGAGGCGGCGGGCGCGATCTGGTCGTCGGAGCGGGCGAGATGGTATCTAATGGATCTGGGGATTCGCGAGAGCCGCGTAGGAAATGCGACGACGGAGATTCATGGCGGTGATCCAGGATTCCCTTGAGACGGGGAGAGTCGGGGAGATGATGATGGTGGTGAGGAGAGGAGAGAGGTGGACGGCGGGAGGAGGTTCGCGGAGTCGGGAGGGGGGAGCGATTGCGGTGATGGCGCGCGGGGAGATGCCGGGGTTTATGATGGGAGAGGGAGGAAGAGGTATTTTCGTCCTCGATGGTGGACTCGAGGAGATCGGGGGAACTCTTGCGACGGGAGGAGGACGACGAGGGAGACGGATGAGGGCGAGGATTGGGCGTCGAGAGAGGATCGTGATGGAGGCGAGGTCTCTTGGTCGGAGGAGGCAGCGGCAGGGTCTCCTGATCGCGTCGCACAGAGAAACGGAGGGACGGCCTCGAACGGACGGCCATGGCTAGGCCAGCATCCGAGATGAGGCAATTGAGAGGTCAGAAAGGATGCGACGAGCGATTCTGCCTGTGTCTTTTTTTTTCTGCTCGAGTCTCACTCCTTGCAGGGCCTCTGGTCGTCTTGGTGGTGGTGGTGATGTCGTCGGTCGCGTTGGGGGGTTTCTTACACGGGCTGTGACCGTACGGTAAATTACTCGGCATGCGCCGTTTCAAGGGGTATTTTACAGTTATTATCTGGTCGAGATACAAATATTTTTTAATATTAAAAATGAATATTTCGATGGTGAATATCTATCTGGGATTAACTATGACTGTTGCAGAAGAGTTTGTGGCTGGATCACGTATTAGGGCTACACCGTAACTCATCCGTACAAAGCAGTACAATTGCAGTTTCCAGACCCGATATACTGCGCAACAAGCGGATACGGGCAGAGAATTAATTCTCTGCCGCTGCACACCCTCAGTGGCATCGTCATCTTTGTACTTGGTCGCAACGAGCGTATCCGGAGCAGTGCCATTCTCAACCCAGCTCATGATAGCCAAGACGATATCATGTTTGGCGTCTTCGAAGCCAGGGACGCCGTGGATGTTGTCGCTGCCGAATGCGCTGTTCAGGCCATCGCCGGCAAAGTACCTGGGGGCGTCCATGCTGTCGGGCTCATTTTGCAGTGGCTGTTGGCTAGCTTGATCAGCTGCTAGACGTGGGATAGGGAAGGGCTTACAGCATGCCAGGAACAAGGAAGAAGCGGTAAAAGTCACCCAACTCGATGCCCTGTGGCTTCAATGTTTTGAGAACATGGTTGTAATAGTAAATACCCGAGCCAGTTGCAATCGACGGATCCGTATAGCCGTGGTAGTGAATCAACTTCGCACCCTTCTTGTAGAAAGGCGAGATATCAAAGTCATCCGCAGTCGCGTTTCCGGGGTTTAGCTTATCTGACAGCGATGAGATCCGGGTTCCAGTCCTCCAGCTAAAACCAGGTCCAACCTGGAGCATGTAGTTGATGTATCCGACACTGGTCGAGTCAGGTTCCGAGGCAAGACCACTTAGTTCCGAGTCTGCGCCGAGCTCGTAACCAGGGAGGATGAAGGTGTTGCTGGCCTCGACCCAGGCGTTGTGCAACTGGTTGAAAGTCGTGATCTGGTCTTCATTCAGACAGGTGGAGGTGTTTGCGTTCTGGCCGCAGAGAAGAGTCTCCGGGCGAAAGACACAGCCACCAGGATCTTGGATGATGCGGTCGACGACGCCATCTTGAGGATCACACTGCCTGAGGACTTCATCGCCGAAGAATCTCCCATTCCACCCATCAGGAAGCAGCAATCCCATGCTATACTGGGTGTTACCCGGCAAACTGACATTAGCCTGGACGACACAGCCATCGACGGGGAATTTATAAGTTGAAGGAATAGTAGGAAGCCCAGAAAGACCGTAGTTCAGATGACGGAGGCGTAAAGTTGGTTCCGGCCTTGTAGTGGTCTGCACAAAAGACGGTAGCGTTGGAGGGCCTTGATAGAGGAGATGCTGCAGTTGGAGGCAGCGACTGTGCTGGCTGCGCCCAGCAGGACGGTGGCAGTCTTCATGATAAAAAGAGTGGCTATCGCGAGACTGATTTGCTGTTAGAATGGCATAGTCTTCATTTTATAGCGGATTGACTGCGTCACTCGACTCGGTCGTCATCCTGAATCTATCCAAAGCTTTCGATAATCAGAGCTCCATCGTAGGAGATAAAGCGTTTTAAAATAATGCCGATGCAGGAAATGTTCGATGGTTCTTCTGGAGAAGCAGACGACAGGAACCAGACTAGGCGAGGAAGAGTTTAGTCACCGCATACAAAGTACAGATCCTTCCTGTTTGGGCGATTTGATGCTATACAAGATGGTTAGAATAGTCAGTTTCATTCTGGATAGTGGTATCATATTGGATGTCTGATGTGTCTGCTGACGCATAGAAGCCTATATTTGTCGTGGATTTCATCTTATCTTGAATAGTCCTTGATGTCTAGTTAGACACTAATAAGATTATATTCCTCTCTCCTCCATCGCCCTCCTAAAACTCCTCTGTAGAGTATACACATTCTCCGCTCCAAACAAATTATGATGATGTCCATACGCCTCATGATATCGAATCTCACTCCCTACAAACTCCTGCCAGCGCTGAAGTCGTCTAAGCCACTCCCGTTTGTCACAATCAACCACTGCCAACGGTTCTCCGTAGAATACATCCATTTGCTGGATCATTCCATGGGGCTGGTACTGTCGAGCGATATCCTGCAGTCCCAGGGTTACATCAGCCCATGTCTCGAGCTTCGATGCGTCCAAGGAGAGTTCGTCAAGTCGGGATGGTGATGCGGCGTTGATGATGCGGGATATAGCTTCGTCGTGAGAAGCATCTTTCAGCTCGTGTAACAAGACGTGAAATGTGCGTTCAGAAATGAGAGCGAGGAAATAGGCAAGATGCGTGAGACAAGTCGTCCACCGCACCTTTTGCAGGTTGGGATGGACGTGTGGAGGACGATTGACGCTGGCGAGAAAGCGGACTTCGTCGCCATGCTGTTCGAGGACTTTGGCGAGTTCAAAAGCCAGCATTCCGCCGTAGGAGTACCCGGCTATTGCGTATGGTCCATGAGGCTGCTGCTTTTTTATCGCAGCGTGATAAGTTGTGATGCATTCTTGGAGACTGCTGAAGCGTGTCTCGCCGGGGTAGAATCCACGGGCTCTGAGGCCATAAACAGGTCGCTGGGTGATGTATTTGGAGAATTCTAGAAATACCAACGCTTCCCCAGCAGCAGGATGGATGAGCCAGAGGGGTGTTTTGTCTCCATGAGGTTGTAAAGTGACGACAGGCGTGTAGCTGTTAGAGTGAGTCTGCAATGCATTCGCCAAACCGCGCACAGTCGGATTCGTCATGATAGTCAAGACAGAAAGACTATCTCCAAAACTGAATCTCCGACGCAGACATTGCTGGAATCTTATCAGCTTGACAGACGTCAATCCAGCCTCGAACATGCTCCGTTCCACCCCTAGTGCCTTCTCCGGAATGCCAGCGATATCGGCCCATTCGGCAAGGATGATCTTTTCAGTTTCTGTCGCTGGTGGCTAGTACTTTTCTGCTTCTGCTTCTTCCAGCTTGAGGGCATTCACTGCTTCGTATTTCTGGAAGTGGCCATTCTGCAGTGCAGTGCTGAGTTTCGATCGTGATATCTTTCCCATCGTAGTTCGTTCTACAGTATCCGGGTCGAGCGGGAGGATATAAGGGAGGCTATTCGTGAGAAGCAACACTCTCTGTATAATCGAATTTCTGGTGTTGTATCTCGCTTCTGCGTCATCCCATGGATACGCAGGCAGATATACAACGTAAATCGCCTCCGTTGCACCAGAAGAACGATACGCGAAACAAGAAACACACCCAGGACGGACTCCATCAATTTCTGCATCCTCAATCGCAGCCTCAATCGTGTTGGGATGATACTTGAGTCCGTTAATCGTGATGACATCCTTTGTGCGTCCGACGAGATTGAGCTTCCCAGCAGCATCGATAATACCCACATCGCCAGTTTTAAACCATCCATTCGAGGCAAAGGCATCTGACGTTACAGGCTCATTGTTAAAATAGCTTGAAAACACAATATCCCCTCGCAGCTGCAGATTCCCGATAACCTGACGTCCGACTGCTCTTTCATCATCATCAGGTGACGTGATGCGCATTTCTATACCCGGGGTACACTCTCCCAACGAGACAAACTCGTTCTGTTGCTGAATGTCATATTCAGGACATTGTTTGTTGTAGATACATCCAGCGCAAGTTTCTGTCATTCCAAAACCTGGGACGATGGCATTTGGTGGTACACCATAACGAGTGAGAAGCGTAGACAGACGATGGCATGTCTGTGTGCTGTTGGCCTCGCCACCAGATACGAGATAGCGAAGATGATTCAGATGAATGTCATCAGTCTCAGGTGGGCTCCGTTCAAGAAATGCCAAAAGATCTTCAAGGAAGAAATTCGGTGCAAATGTTCTCCCCACATTATGTCGATGCAGCAATTCCAAAAACCACCCTGGATTGGGGATGATGTCTTCTGCCTGAACATGGACCTGGTTGGAACTGAGATACAGAGCATGCAGATGAATCTCAACCAGACTGCCAACATGATCGAGACGAATCCAGTTCAAGAATGAATCCCTGTCAACTGGCAGGACAGCTGACTTTCCAGAAACAGAGGCCAGGATCTGCTGGTGCGTGAGACAGACTGCTTTGGATTGTCCTGTGCTGCCGGAACTCAGCATAAGAAGGGCAATCTGCTGTAGTCTGGATATCTCTCTTTGATCACCATTCAGCTTCAGTTTCTCAATCTCCACGATCCTCAACTTTGTCTCTGGAAACTGACTCAACAATCCGGATTTAGTCAAACAGATTGGATCGTCTAACAAATCATGCAGATGATTCAAATGCACCTCGCAGTCATTCGTACTTTTGGGCAATGCAATCGACATGGCAGGAATACAGCCTGCATACAAGACAGACCAGAGCCAGATGATATTATCCACATGATCCTCGAAATGAAGCAGAATGATTGATTCTTCATGGATGCCATCGATGCTGCGTATTATTCTGCTATTGGATTTGGCGATGGCATGGAGCTCATCGTACTTTAGTTCGTTGAATTCGTGGCTTTCATGGGGATAGAAGAGAATGCCTTTATCTTGAGCAGCATTTTCAAGGAGACTGGTGATGTTTTGTACTGTCATATTCGACGTGTTCGGACATTTATTCATATGGAGGCAAAAGAGTAAATTGGGTACTATATAATAATACTCGCTCCATTGCAAGGAATTGGAATACCATCTTTATAAGGGATAATGAGATATCACCGAACAAGCCCTCCAATGCAAAGAATGCTCAACGATGGAAATATCAAGGAATTATCAAGAAATATCCTATGACATCTTACACGCAGAGCATTTTGAGATACTTACCATGGGACGTTAGGGATAGGCATTCCTTTGTGTGACCTTTACGTCAGACAGAAAGTTACACGTTTTTCTACTCTGGCCGAGGAATGTCGACTATGGCGTCAAGTCTATCGTGTCAGCTGGTTAGATATGCAAGGAGTTGATGGAAAAGTTACGTTCGAACCGTCAGTCTGTAGATTTAGAAACGCATGTCCAACAGTCAGATCAGATACCATAGCAAGATGGAATACTCACCAGTCGACGAAGCAGAACGAATCTTCCACTTCATCTGCAGCAAAGCATCGCAGCTCGGTCTACCGGATATCAAATACAATGCAGTCTTTACCACCATCCACAACATCATCTACTATCCCATCCCGTACAAAGTAACAGAAACCCTCGCCGCACTGAAAGGCATAGAAGGATGTATAGCATCCGCAATCGCCAATCTACAGCACCCACCAGAAGACAATCAACGCACCGTGACTGTCAACCTCGAAAAAGCAACCATATTCGGCTTCCAGGCCATCATGGCCAAGGTGGATGGTTCATCCCATGGCCATCCTGACGTCAAAGCAAAGCTCAAAAATACAGATCTGCACGCTGCTCAATCGAATATATATCGTCGGATGGCGGTGAATCTGTATCAGACCAAGAACGAAGGGGAGTATTTCCATCTTCATGGATCGCTGGATCCATCTGCTACGCTGGAGATGGTTGGGTTGCAAAGTCATCGGCTGGATTTGACGGATGTTGAAGAGATATATGCGTTGATTCAGAGTCATGTGCGACGATATAGTGCCGAGGAGTTGGAGGTGATGAATTCAGATCGACGACAGGCGGGGGTGACTGCGTATAAATATGAGGATTTTATCAAAACTCCGCATGTATGATTCATCTGTATCATTATATAAGCAAGTACTAACATACCAGGGCGCTGCCAATATCCACGAACCCTGGTGGTCAGTTTCTTCCATCGAAACCAAAACACCACCAACTCCCTTTCCATCAAACAGTCGAAGAATCCTCCAAGGCATCAAAGTCCTCGAACTCTGCCGTGTCATCGCAGGCCCAATCATTGGACGAACACTTGCAGAATACGGAGCAGACGTGCTGAAGATCACAAGTCCTAATCTCCCTGATGTGCCGTTCTTTCAAGTCGATGGGAATATGAGTAAACACACTGCAGATCTTGACTTGAAGACAGACGAAGGAAGACGTCAATTTGAAGTTCTGCTAATGGATGCCGATGTGGTTATTGATGGATATCGACCAGGTGCACTGGATAAGTTGGGATATAGCATTGATAACCTAACGGAACTGGCTGAAAGACGTGGAAAAGGAATTGTCTATGTCAGTGAGAACTGCTTTGGATATAGAGGCGAATGGGCAGACCGTCCTGGCTGGCAACAGATAGCAGATTGCGTATGACTATCATCCTCATCCATATATTATGCTGACCATCTCAGTTAACAGGATTTGCCTGGTCCCAAGGCGCTTTCATGAAGAAATCCACTCCAATCGTCTCTCCATTCCCGATAGCAGATTATGGCGCTGGCTGTATGGGCACAATCGCAGCTCTGACTGGTCTCTACAACCGGGCCAAATACGGCGGCTCATATCACGGAAAAAGCTCACTGATGCAGTTTAATTTACTCCTCTTTGCCTGTGAGAAATATCCCGAGGCTATTCTGAATGAACTGCGGGATGCACAGCCAGCAGAGTTCTTTGAACTGCGGTATAGCGATGGTGTTCATCGGAGTTGTGCGTTGGCTTTGGAGATTATGAGGAAGCGGTTTCCTTGGTTATTTACTTCTGAAATGACCGAGAAATGGTATTCAGATGGCTTTGATGCAGAAATTGAAGTTGCAAAACCAGTGGTGCAGATTGAGGGTGTCGAAAATAGCTTCTCGAGAGCCAGCAGGCCGAATGGGACAGATCGACCGTGTTGGGAGGATTTCAATAATCCAATTTGATATTCAAAATTTCGACACTCTATCTGTGATTAGTGAAGGTTGCTGAATTATAGAGCTGCCCGGAGGTATTCCCTCAATGCAGACCTTATATCCATCTTCTAGCTCACTATCCTCACTCTTCCGTAGCTAGATCGAAGACAAAGTCCCAAAGTGAGTCGTCTATACGACAATGGGCTCTTATCTATTGCCCACACCCAAAGACCAACAAACGCGGCAACATACTGCATACACTGCATTGCAGATGCTCAAGTCTCAAGAGAAGATCCCTCGAATGAGACAGCGTGCCGCCTCAGACTGAATCTCCTTGTGGTGTTCTTGAATGGCAATGCGGACTAAACCATTTGGTGCAATGATAAGTCAATGGGCACATCGCTCGTCGTGATTGAACCTAAACGCCGAACTAAGATGATAGTATGCCAGATGCTTAGGATCTCAGCACCAGAGATATCGCGCGTGGTGGAAGATCAATGGACCATATTTTCTTCATCGCACAATGCAAGTGTGTCAGCTTCGAAGGTCCCAAGAGCAAGAGCAATGCGTATGGATTTCCACAGCCTGAACCGACAGAAAATGTCATACTTGAAAAAAGCAAATATGCCCGCCCGCTAAATCAGGCAAAGAATGGCACATCCCTGCAAGGCCAACGCCTGAGACTGACCAGAATTTTCATCGCATTGACAGTCATCCCGCTTCATGTTATTTTTCTCATTTGATTTGCAGCCTATGCTCTCACTTTCCAAACATGCGACGCATACGGGACATGAAAGATAAGATAAATAGCTGTGTTAATGATCTTGAATACGGCTTGGCAAGGAAAAGATACGAATTCAAGACACGCGACAATGGAATTTTCCCGTTTCCAAGAAGATGTCGGAACTGCAACAATCTGCCATGTTACCGTTATGACATGTCAAAAGATCGCTCTTGGTCAAGGCGGAAGAAGATTCTGCGTGTGTATGACTTGGATACCAAGGATAAATGCCACTTCTGTGGATTTCTGGCTCGAGTTTTAAGGCATTATTTCGGGGATTATCAGGGCCAGGAACAGTTCACCCTGTACATGAAAACAGGGTGCCCGTTAATTATAAGCGTTACTTCCCCTAGTTTATTACCACAATACGGAGGAATGACTTTTATAGAGGTGTTTAAAGACAGCAGTTTGTTCTTCCTATCCACCTCTACTTCATGTCCTGCTAACAGTCTTCAGATAATGCTCTTTTACCCTGGTCTAACACACCCTTCATTGGCAGTAGCTCTGTGCATTTCGACCACTCAGATGATCCGGGTGTCTATGAATTCATTTCAGAGTGTTTATCCGAGTGTCAAACAAGTCATCCAAACTGCAAAAGCCCGGATGCGGTGCCATTGCCCAAGCGTCTCCTGGAAGTCAGTGAGCCAAATCGGACTTGCAGACTTGTTGAGCCAACACAGGATCAGCGGGGAACTTATACAGCATTGAGCTATTGCTGGGGAACTGGGAATCCTTTAAAGCTCATTCAAGAACTTTACCATTTTTATAAAAATGGAATACCCTGGGATAAGCTCCCGCAGCTCTTTCAAGATGCCATGAGGATCACCAATCGTTTGGGAGTTAGTAATATTTGGATTGATTCTCTCTGCATCATCCAAGATAGCCAAGAGGACTGGGAGGTCGAGGCTGAAAAGATGGCAAGCATTTATCAAAATGCGCATGTCACCATTGTTGCTGGTTCTTCACCAAATCCAGAGACACCGATTCTCAGGGAACGAGACCTGGACATTACTAAAGCAGAGTTTAACTTTATTGAAAAGAATGGCTTAGAATCCTATCTCTTTTCGCGCCTTGTACATGAAGATATGTTTGATAGTTACCACATTGAGGCCAAACAGATCTCATCCAGAAGATGGAAAGAGACTCTTTACCAAAGGGGATGGACATTCCAAGAAGACCTCCTGTCCAGGCGCACAATCCACTACCTGTCCAACAGGATAGTATGGGAATGCCGCATGCTTCATTGTGATGAACGTCAACTGCCTCAGGATCGGCGGCAAGCCTTGGATAGATCTGATCTTACGCCATGGACATGGTGGGAATTTGTGGAAGCTTACGCCGTTCGAGATTTAACATGCATTTCTGATAAACTCCCAGCCATGTCAGGCATTGCAAATATGATGTCCCAAAAAACTGGTGATGACTATCTTGGTGGTCTGTGGCGAAGCTCCCTTATCACTGATTTAGCATGGAGCAGTTACATGAATTGGTACGGGAGAGAAAAACCAACTTACATCCCACCGAGGGAGTATATCGCACCCTCATGGTCCTGGGCTTCTATCGCAAAGCCGTCAAGGATCACGAATTTCGAAGCTAATGTGGCTCGGGATAGAATCTGCGCTACTGTCATCGATGCAAGTGTGACTCTAAAAGGCCACAACAGGTTCGGCGAAGTGTCAGACGGCTTTGTACAACTGCGTGGCCCTGTCCGTGAAGTGAAACTTCATTATCCAGACAGATATGGTATTTTTAAACATTGCTTTCCAGCATGTGAGTTAGCTGAACAGCGAATCGATATCCTCATCATGCTAGATATGGAAATATGTGTTGGAGACGGGCTGATGGAGACGGGCGAGAAGGTACCGACAATGTGCCGGAGATATGCTGAGGATGAAGCCAACGATCCAATGCCGGGGAAAAATGCATATCCCGCGGTACACATAATTTTCTTGCTCGATACGGAATTTGGAAATGTCAGTGGTCTTGTTCTTGGGCGATCTCCCCGAGTTCCAGGCGCGTATGAACGACTGGGCGTTGTGGGGCTCAAGACAAACGAGTTGAAGCAGGCTAAGAAGCTAGCTGTCGAATCAACAATTACTATTGTATAGCAATTGAACATTCATGTCTCTCAGACTTCTACCACCAAAGATGCCACGATCGGATACGATGCCAGTCAGGTTCCTTTTATGGAAGTGCTTACTCGCTCAGATCGTGTGCAAGCCAGTCGTTTGTTCAAATCTCCCAGTGAGCCAGGACTCAGCGAGTTGACCCTGTGTGGGGACTAAGATCTCAGTTGAGCAGTCGACCTTCTGCTCCTCACCTCTGGAGCTGTTGTTGAGACCAAGAGGATAAAAAGAATCTGGATCTAAGCGTGAAGAAAGGCCATCACCCTCTATGGCAGGTAGAGTATACGATGTATCCGAATAGAACCCAAATCCCAGCAGCCCATCAGCCGCAAGTTTGATACTAAATGGCGCTTCACCCCGAGCAGTTCGCTGGCTGAAATGCACATGGTCCACTTGTCCTCTTAGCGGAACGACGCCATTGTTCTGCAGATCGTCACAGAAAAGCTTGAAATGGCCCAGAGTCATCGTCAGAAAACTGATTTCCGATGGTAATTTTGCGGAACAGACATCCCTGGGAATGTTCTCGCGAATGAGAAACACCTGATGACCGGAGTGGTTGACTCGGAATTCACATACGCAGCTCCGACTGGATTTGCATACAGCCCACCATCCTGGATGCTGCTTGAACTTCCAGAGTTTTGGGAAAATGGTCTAGATGATTGGAAGCAGAATTACGAGAAAGCCCTATCCACATTCTTGGAGGTGCTCAAAACCAGAGAACAAGCAGCCATTGCTCGAGGGACTCTAAAGGAAACCGACCGGCTGTCAGGGCACATGTTAAAGAATTGACAAAGCGGTGATTTTTGGCTTAATTACGCTGCACGGAAGAGCTGGGCGTTTGATATGATATACTGGGCTAAGATTGATAGGAGGTTCTTTGGTGATGGAGATCTTGACAGTCGAATTCAGCTTTTGACCCCAGCCGAGAAAGAACAGATGGATGGATTCATACAAGCGAGACTGGAGGCTAAAAATGAAGGCGGTTTGGCTCAATGGGAGGAGGATATCAAGGGTGCTGAAAATATGCATGTATAAAATATCCATAGCAAATTGGACCTCAATGGTAACTGGAAATAGAACATGAACATCTCTCTCGTTTAGCCACAGAAAATGCAGTGCCCCTTGATTTAGCTGAACTCACATTTTTTGGAATTCTGATTGTGATATGACAATGCCTATTTCATCTGATGACATGAGATGATTGCAGACAGCCGGTAGTCTTTCTCGCATGTCATTCTTAACACAGGTCCGAGGAAATAGAATAACAACATAAGTCTCGCCATGCATATCAGGTATTTCCATATCAACAAATGATTCTCCATCAAGAGAAATCAATTTCATATCAAACATGTCTGTATTTCCTGCTTTTATAGCCCAAGCATAAGTATACCGCGGCAAGCATCTGGCTCTGCTAATATGCCAAGTCGGATGTTCTTTCGGGCGAATACCCTCTAAGAATGGGAATATCGAGGCTAGAGAGGGCATTGTAAACACTTTTATCATGTTAGTATGAATGATGTTGCAGAAGAGGTTAACTAACCATCAGGTCGATTCGCAACCTTCAAGGCAACTAATTCCAAATTTTCCTCGTCTTCTTCGATTGTTTCAAAGCACATTTTCTCAATAGTGTCAAGGTCCAAAGTTGAATATTCGGCAAGATGACGACGAAAATCGAATCTTTGAGCACTTTAAAGATGTTAATCAATATTCTTATTAAATCAAGGAAATCAAGGGGGAGAACTTGCCGGTGAAATAAAATTTCCTGGAGCTGCTGCTTTTCAATTTTTGCCATAGTTAAAAACGGACGGCGCCGGCGCCTGCGACAAGGCATGGAGGGCGAGAATGTATAGGATACGGAAAAGTCGTAGAGAACTGTGTCATAATAATCCTTAGGAAGGCGAAAATGGTCATCCCGAACGTCACCGTGAATGATGCCAATATCATGCAGAGTAGTGATTTGACGAAGCCGGTTACGGAACAAAGACGCGTACCAATCCTTCTCAAACTGGCTGATATTAGGAATATGGATACTTAATCTCTCGTAAAACTCCTGGGCAAGGCTATCATCATGATCTGTCTCTGCGAAAATACGCCTCGATGATAATCTTGGATAAATCGCCTCTAACACAACTGCCCGACGTCTGAGCACGTAGATGCTGGGGTATTCACTGCGTTTGATATCTGTGATCACACCGAGATATTGTGGGAAATATATCCTACGGGAAGCTGGACAGAATCGGTCAAGGTGCTCCAAGGCTCGAGCTTCGTTTAGAAATGGGTCTGACTGTCTTTGAACTTCGTGCGCGGAGAACTTTGCAGGGTTCAAACCACTTCTCCGGATAATAGTCTCTGCTTCTTCGATGGGGAAATCAGAATACTTACAAGACATTAGCAATAAAGTCCAGCAATATAGATAGCACTTACGGTCTTCGCTACGCAGCGCAGTGTTGGCCCTCCCTTCGGCCGTACAGCCAACTATAGAACCATTATAATATGCCTAGGAGGCATATTATCGCGTAACGATCTTCCTAGTCTCCACGAACCATCACAAGAGAATCTTCGAAAGTCCTCAGAGCTTTGAGGTGGGTTCTGAAATAATGTAATAAGGCCAGGGGGGCAGCCCTGAAAGAAATATTCCGTCCAAGCTAGACCCATGATGTATGATTTTGAATATATGCGACGTCACTTATAAAGATAGTATAGCTATTCGATGCAATTGCATTAGAATGGTTGCATTGTTATTGTACCAGGAAAATAAACTGTCTCCAATAACCACCTTGACTTCTGAGCGCAGGGATGACGACTAAATAAGGAGCGATGAAAGGCAACTTTATAGGACAGCGTGCTAAGATGAGACACTAAGCCTGAATAGGAACGCTATACCGCTTCCAGTAATTAGTCGCCCGACGAGTGGGTCTGTATAGTTCTGATAATGATGAGGGTTCTGACCTGGTAGATACATACTAAAAGATACAATTCACAGTTAAATATGTGGTATTAGAGTATCCTATTGGCATGGAAAGAAAGCGGCATTTGACCCAAATATATCAAATGAACAAGCAAAAACTATTACTCCCCTCACCAATACTCATTCGTGCCTCACGCATCGCTAGTCTTTAGCCTCTTTCTTGGCCTTTGTAAATCTTCGTCCATGGCTTCTAGGGCACCATTTACCTATCCATTTCCTGTATAGTATTTCCTCAGGGGTAAGAGGCCCAAACGCGGCAAAAAGTGCAAAATTGTCCGCGTAGCTGTTGGCTTCTGCTATGTTGGTGGGATTTGCCTGTAAGCGTGTGTGTGATGGGAACCTAAGAGACGGACCTAATCGCAGTGAATGACTGCAATCTACTGGAATATAGGCAGCAGACAGAAGAAAAAAAAATCATTTCTGCCTGACCCATCATAAAGAAGCCTGCAGCAAGACATATCTTATGTGCACATAATGACTGCACTATCCTCTGGAATAGGCATAGTATATGCAATTATGCTGGTATTAAACTGCACACCACAACATCCGCCCTTCTTTCAAATCATCTACCAATAGCAATACATCGATACAGCCAAAATGGAAACCTCACACGCAGCCAACAGCTAGACGAGAATAAATCCGCCCTCTCGAGGATGAGCAACTTGAAGCCCAAAATGCGCAACTCCAGGCAGATCTAGATGCCAGCACCCACACCAACACGCCGAAATTCAGAAACACAATCCAGAACCACCCCGGGATCAAAGCAGATATGAAGCATTGCCTCTCAAGCATTGGAACGGACGAAGACTACAGCCTCTTCTGCGAATACTATAGCATTTCGCCAGATGCCGTTCGACAGCTGGTCGAATACAGCACGGGATACGGGCCGTATGACAACGCTCTGGAGGTTTTGAACCTTGGTGCTGATCTGTATCATCTGGGGCATGGGGCACCTCCTGGCGTTCTGGATTATGGCTTTCAGGGTGTTCTTGAGTGTGTTAAAAAGTGTTTGGCTCGAATTAAGTTCGAAATGGGGGGTGATGAGGAGGAGGAGGAGGAGGAGGAGAATGAAGATAGGGATCTACTCAAGGAGATGGATGACGCTTGTGGTGAGTTTTGGTATGCTTGGAATGTCTAGGTATGAAATATTTTGGCTCGGATAGATAGTATCTTGCTTTGAATATAAGAAATTTATATCACTCCTTCTCCATCTTACTAAAAAACGGACTCGATACGTAAAACGGCCGTTCTTGACTCTCTCCATCCTTTCTCTCCCCAAAAAGCGACTTCATCCTCAGAAAAGCCTCATTATTCCCCAGCTTCCCAACAGGCCTGGCCTCATCCCCCTCATCCCCAAACCGAGCATCTGGATCCCCCTCAAACACCAACTCGGGACCATCTATCCACCTCCTCCCCGTCCGAAGACACTCGCTTTTCATCTCCTCCGCACTCTTATTAACCATTCCTCTCCAGAATCCACCCTCCCCAGAACCAACAAGACCAACTCGTTCAAGCACGCCAACAGCCGCAGCGACCCAATCCTGACAATTCCCAACCCCAAATTCAGGGATGTTGGATTCGTTCTTTCCAAATGAGGTGAGGAGAGCGCTGGCATCTATCCGTTGTTCATCAGAGAGCGAGGCAAGCTCGCAGCGACCCTTTAGCACTGGGTCTTCGAGTGGTTGAGGCCGTGGGTCGTAGATGAAGTCTTGGTCGGTGGGATTGCGGATGTGGTGCATTTCGCAGGTGGATGAGCCCTGCTCGTAGATGGCGATGCCCATGTGGGAGGGTCCGTCTCCGAGGGTTGCATCGCCGCGGCCGTAGATGTTGATGGAGAGGTGGTGGGTTGGTGGGGACATGATGTGGTGTTTGTATGGAAGCAGAGAGATGGATTTTCTCGAACATGTTCTAATGTTGTTGTGTGTGTTAACAGGCAGACAGATTAGATTGCTGCGGCAACTGGCAAGCCAATGAAAAGGAGCCAACTTATGCGCCACCTTCAGCTGAATCATTGATGGTCTACAGGTAAGGATTGTAGAGTGCGAAGACATCGTATTGGCATGTCTACCTAGTCATACGATCTTCCCTCGTAGTGGTATCAATAATGCAAGTTATCCTCTGACTCCTCCGCTTCTTGCTTCGTAGCCGCCTCTTGGAGAGACCTAACACTGGCAGAGAAATGCCAGAGCTCAGAAGAGGTTAATTGTACTCTGTACATGATTATCTGGATATATCTAACATGGATAGATCAAATCAATCAAGACAACCGGGGGTAACATCAAGAGGAAACGTATCCTCCTCTTCGATGACTGGTTCCGAATTCGGGCAAAACGAAGTGTAATAATAGTCCGGATTGTCCCTGGCCAGATATTTGATCAGATGATCGTTTTCATAATGCATCGCCCACCACAGCGGCGTGTGTCCATCGTGGTCTGCCTTGAACACATCGGCTCCTGCTTCCACCACCTTCTTAACTGTCATCACGTCTCCACTTTTCATCGCCCACGAAACAGGCGTTCGGCCCTTTTTATCCACCGCATGGACCTTGGCTGAATAAGATAGCAGGATCTCCGTCGTGTTGGGCAGGCCTCGGGCGAGGGCTTGCATCAACGGTGTTCGACCGTCTTTATCTGGCGTTTCCACGCAGACACCCCTTTCTAGAAGCAGCTCAATGATGGATTTGATTCCACTGCACACAGCCCGTTCTAGTGGCCTGGCACCATAGACCGTTTCGGCTTCAATATTCGCGCCCTTTAAAATTAGTATACGTGCAATCCCAGGTACTCCAGGCCAAGCGGCCGAGATTAACGGGGTTAAGCCTCGATCGTTGCTGGCTTCGATATCAGCACCGTGCCGCAATAACAGCACAGCCATCTTCTCATTGAATCTTCCGATGGCTAACAGAAGTGGCGTTTCACCGTCACGATCTCGGCTATTCACATCACAGCCCATCTGCAACAAAAGCCTGGCCTCAGCCCTGTTGTCGAAATAGATTGCGTGCCCCATTCGTTTTGTGAGACTGGCTTTTGTAAATCGGCATTTTCCGCTCTTCCACAATAGCTTCATCATGGAAACATTGCGCCGGGGTACTGCATGCAGCAGGGATGAGCTACCCTCGTCAGACTCCTCAATAATGCCGCTTCGATCAAGTAACAACTTGGCCATTGCTACCTTCCCGGTTTCCACCGCGTGATATAAAGCAGTATCCCCACTGCTGTCACGAGCATTCATATCGACGCCTCTTTCCAGAAGGAACAAGACCGCTTCGATATTCCGGGATCGGACTGCATGCATCAATGGGGTCCTTCCCCATCGATTGCGGTGTTCAATATTCGCCCCCCTGTCAACCAGCAGACTCAACATGTCCTTGCTGCCTCGTGTAGAAGCGAAATCGACCACAGTCTCTCCATTACTGTTAACCATTCCTAGCTCTTTACTTTGGTCGAGTAGCATCTTGAACAGCTCGAGACTTTCTGTCCGGGCGGCCTTCATCAGCACGGTGATTCCTGAATGCTCATGCACCGTGGCGTCCACATCCACGCCGTGATCCAGCAACTTCTGCACCAGGTCTTGACGCCGATTGATCGTGGCCTGGAGAAGCAACGCAGTAGTATACTGGGAAGGATGGGACGCCGCTCCCGCCTCAATCAACATCTGGATCTCCTCGCGGTGGTTTGCCCGCATCGCATTGAGTAGTGGCGTGTGGTGATTGTCATCTTCAGCCGAACAATCCGCCCCAGCGTTTAAAAGAAGTTTCACTGTTTCTATGTTTCCCTGGCGAGGACGTGTAGCCCGATGCAACGGCGTCCTGCCCGCCAGGGCCTTTGCGTTGACATCAGCCCCGTATTGCAGCAACAGTGAAACCACCTCTGCCTCTCCTCCGCTGGCCGCAAGATGCAATGGCGTTTCCCCATCGATCCTGGCTGCCGTGGCGCTCGCTCCAGACTCGAGCAGTAATTTCACCGTTTCTATTCGCTCTCTAGCCCGAGGATAACTGCCCACGACGGCCCAGTGTAGCGGCGAGTCTCCATAACTGTTGCGAGCATTGACGTCCATGTCACGTTCCAAAAGCAATAAAATAACATTAGTAAGGCTCCGATTCGCTGCGTGGTGCAGTGCCGTAACTCCTCCTGGCAGGGTAATGCTGATATCAATCCCACGATGGATCAGCCACACGGCAACATGACTACGCGCCGAGCAGATGGCAGACCGCAGCGCGGTGATCTCCCCCGCATAAACCTGCGAGATGTTGGCACCGACATCGAGAAGCATTTTCACAAGGTCAAGGTTTCCCTCGGCGGCAGCGCAGTGCAACGGCAACGGGCGGAAACTGGACTCTTCTTCTCCTCGAGAAACATTAGGGTCAATGCCCCTTTCCAGCAGCATGCGGACTGCCTCCCGCTGACCAGTCTCGACTGCTTCGTAGAGAATCACACGGCCAAGATTACCATCGAGGTAGCCGGGTGGTGCATGCTGAATCAGTGCTCTCAGGCTCGCAATCTGGCCTTCCTCCGCGGCTGTGGCGATGATATTTGCATCGTCATATGCAAGAGCGTAGAGATGTGGGGTAAGGCAGGTATAAATGCGTTTCGAGGTTCGAATGAATGCGTTCAAGGCTTTGGGTGGTAGGTATTCCTCAATGAGGAGGAGGATCTCGTCTGGCTGGTCTAGTAAGCCCCGGGGGCGAGTCGTGGTAGAATCCAGGGTCGCCATTTTTGTCCTTCAATTGGTAGAATGGATGTTTGTTCAGGTAATCCAGCGGGTTGTTGTTAAATAAGGCGCATGTTTATCACAGCCTCGTAAGATGATCGGCAAGACAGCCTGCGGGGCTGTGTCGATCCTTTGACAGCAGCCTAGCCCTAGAGCTATCAAGTGAGATTGACTCATATGACTCGACTGTTGAGAGTCAGTCATGTTCAAAATAAACACTAAAATATCTCTATCAGATGGATAATAATAAAGAAGAAGAAAAACATACAACGAGGATGTAACTGCTGATTCTGTCGTGGCGGTTCACCACCCTTCGGGGATCCCGATCAGGTCACCCTTACTCCGTAGATATTCTTACCTAGATACAGTATATGTCTATTCTATGCTATACATATAAAAGCATATTTTTATTTTAGAAATAGGGAGGACTAAATAATAAATAATATTGATACTATACGATAATTATAAGCCTTTCATTTAGTTTTTATGTCTACCCTATCAAAATAAAGTTAAGACTATATCTTACTTTATATAGGTCATTAACCTTGCCAAGTATAATAACTTGAAAATAAAATATCTTATTCTAATGTAAATAGAAGTAAAATACAAGTCTAGGGGGAAGGATACTATCTTGAGTATATAGTCGTCCGCATCCGGAAATGGCATGCCGCATTCATCACCACCATAGCATCCTCTGGCATATAAATTTATCCCGATACTACCACTGTCTTTTGCTAAAGATTGAGTACCAGACCACCCACTGGGTGGCCGTCTACACTTGTTCTCACAACCATAACACCCACCATGTCTCTATTAACAATCCCTAACGAAATCCTAATGCTCATCGTGAACAAACTCGACGAAAACAACCTCAACACCCTCCTCCAAATCAACCGCTCCTTCTACGACGGCCTCAACACCCACCTCTACACATCCCACGTCCATCACTGCGGCGGCGCAGCCCTAATGTGGGCCGCGACCAACGGACGAACAGCCACAGCAAAGCGATTCCTCGATCTCGGCGTCGACCCGAACCTGTCGATCGTGTTCCCGAAATACACAGGGCCAGGCGCAAGCGATTCGAGCCTGGTCGTTGTACAACGAGACAGTCAGAGCAAGACGCTCATCCACAAAGACTGCGTCGCGCGATGGTTCAACGGCGAAGCACAGTGGTACTGGGGCGAGGAATACATGGACCAGGTGCCGTTGCTGGCGGCGATCAATCGGTCGCATGAGGGTGTGGTACGACTGCTTCTGGGGCACGGCGATATCGATACGAAATGCAGGTCGAGTATTGGGTATTTTCGGGTGTATACGACGCTGCATCTGGCGGCGGAAAAGGGGCATGTGGGGATTATGAAGATGTTGTTGGAGAGGGGGGTGGGGGAGTGGTCGTATACGGAGAGTAGTGGGTATGAGCGGACGGTTGTGTATGAGGCTGTTTTGAATCGACATGCGGATATGGTTGATTTTCTGCTGAGAGAGGCGCAGAATGGAGGTCGTGGGCATGAGTTTAAGGGGCGGGAGGAGAGGGATGAACGACTGTATAATGCGTGGAACTGAGGCTATCCAGGAGGATTATAAAGTGTTAATATTGCATGCCCACTATGAATCGAGATTATAATCAGGCACTATAATATAACCATGAAGTAAATATATTGTAGTCATTCATAGTAGTATAGGCAACATGCATGTCATTATGAAGAAACTTCAGCCAACAGCTCTGTATTTATGCATTGGAAATGCAAACTCCTTCCGATCAAAAAAGTATCTAGCCATCCCCATCAGACTCCTAAGGGATTCCTGGCGTTGATTTCTATCAACGATATTGAAAGATTCACTACGTGATACCTCCATCCGTCCAGAAACTGTCCCAGCCCGAATACTTCTAAGATATTCTGCAGACATAATAGCCCGAACAAAGGTGTATGTGTAACTTTGTTCCTTGACACTGATTAAAAACGCCTCATACTGCCCAAGCTTTTTATCGTAGTTGAATGCCATGTTTGCCTGGAGAAGGAGCTGTGGGATTTCGTATTTTGCCATTCCAAGATCGTCATTCTCTCGCTTGTGCTGTATTGTCTATTTGATTAGCTGGCAGTAGGGACACTTAAAGAGTGCCATACCGAAAGAACCGCCAGCGGTATCCCCATTTTCTCAAGACCTTCAGAAAATCTCACGATAGACCCATCAACCCAGACTCCCTTACCAGCATTGAGATCGGGGATACTCAGCGGAATACGAGACAGTGTTTTCGCGCCCCTATAACCAGTCAGAGACTACCTAGTTCAAAGCAAATGAGCGTGGGTACGAACAACGAGTCATCAGGGTATAGCTCGATAAGAATGTCCATGATCAAGGCAATGCTTTCATCCGGTAATACCGAATGGCCAGCCCTTTTAAACCTACGGATGTTGTCGAAGAATAGCCAGAAGGGATTTTCTTTGTCGTTGATGTCTATAGTCGAAGTTCTTGGGTTGGCATCTTCGACGGTTGGATTTTGGAAGATACTTGTCATTCTTTGGAATTCTGTGTTTATATGTTAGAAGCGGCAAAATCCCTGCACTAGAGCATACCTGCATCACTGTGAGAAGGAATATATCTTCTATCAAAGATTCTATCAATAGACACATTTTCTTCCGGATAGAGGTTGAGAATACGGAGATGCTCTACTGTCCATTTCTCAGGACTCTGGTAAAGCAAACGCCTGCTATCTGCTGGGTGTATTTCTGGGGAAATTGGCCGGTGTTTTGTCCGTCTTGGGTGTCTGTGGATTTCGACCTAGAAACAGATCTAGAGCGCAGGTTGTAGCCATCGGCAGACATGATTCGACTGTGAAGGAAGATGGCAGGTGTTTTGATAACCCAGCGTCGACACGTCCAGACGAAGGATGAGGACAGCACGTGATTCGCATTCATGGATTTATAATAACTCTATACAATTCCTGTATACTTATGACCACGCCTCAAGGACTATCATCAGGTCTGAAGAAATTAGTCAAATAGATCTAAAACCATATCCACAGCGATACCTAGTCTGACAAGGGCATCACCCTGGATTAGTTGAGCTATTTATGGCTTCAGTACGGCCGAGCGAGCAGAAAGCCCTGTTCGCCACATGGTCTGATTTTAAAGAGACGATAAGATAGAGAAATAATAAACACTGTAGATTATAATATAGTCTAGAAAACATCAACAATCGTGACACGATGTCACTCCGGACATATCGGAGACACCCCTCTTAACCCCACCATATCCACTCTGCATTAATAATAGGATCAGACTATCATGCCATCATAAAACCCCTTCTAAATCCAGCCAACCACGGAAATATAATACATATCTTGATATTTCCAGCTACATACATACACACAAAATGGCCTCCCTAGACGCAATTCCAAAAGGATCTTGGATCCTCGTCACCGGCGCAAATGGCTATATCGGCTCGCAGATTGTAAACACCCTTCTCGAGCTGGGATATAAAGTCCGTGGAAGTGTTCGCTCGCCCAAGCCGTGGTTGGAGGAGTTCTTTACCCAGAAATTCGGACAGGGGGTGTATGAGAATGTCATTGTGGAGAGTTTTGACAATTTCGATGCTATTGTTGCTGCTGTAAAGGGTGTTTCTGGGGTTGTTCATGTGGTGAGTTCAACTCTGAATAATACTTAAAAGGAGGCTATCTGACAATATCAGGCATCGGATCTTACATTCGGCGATGACCCTGAAGCTGTCATTCCGTGGGTTGTAAAGGCCACGCAGAATGTGCTCGCAGCAGCAGCACAGAATGACAGTGTGCAACGCGTCGTCTTGACCTCGTCTTCTGCTGCCCTTATCAACCAAAGGCCAAACACGCCTGGTGTTGTTGACGAGCGTGAGTTATTCATCCATCCACAATCCAATCAATTAACTAATTTACTATAGAAACCTGGAACGACGAAGCCGTCAAACTAGCCTGGGATCCCAACACCCCCAACAAGAATGGTTTCGTATATTCAGCCTCCAAGGTCCAGGGCGAAAAGGCTGCATGGGAATTCGTGAATGAGCATAAACCGTCTTTTGTGTTTAACTCTGTCTTGCCTAACTTCAATGTACGTTCCCCCTACCTACATCCCTCTGAAACAGTTACTGACTAGCCCAATCAAAGGTCGGCGAGATTCTCCACCCAGAAATCCGCGGCTCAAGCATGGCCTGGATACGAGGTCTTCTCAGTGGTGATACGTCCCTGTCTACAATCTTACCCCGTAAGACACCCTTCCCATCCCTATCATCCCAGCTAACTATATAAACAGAAAACTACGTCGACGTACGCGACACCGCCCGCCTCCACGCAATCGCCCTCCTTGCACCAGACGTTATCTCCCAGCGTCTCATTGCGATGGCTGGTAGTTTCAACATGACGGATGTCATCCTCGCATTCAAGGAATTAAGACCCGACAATACGTCCATCCCGGCCCCTCCGGCTGAGGAAGGGCAAGACCTGACAGAGGTCCTTCCTGCGCCCAAGGCGGAGGCATTGTTGAAGAGGTATTTTGGTCAGAAGGGATGGACGCCGTTGAGGGATGGTTTGGAGGCTGGGATTCGGGGTCTGTAGGTAATGATGGAATGGCATTTAGGTCTTTGGGGGTTGTTTGTTAGGATAGATCTATTGACCTAGGTATACTGAGCATGCATCGATAGTTTATTTTGACTTTATACCAAGAAAGTATATTCGCGTCTATCCGGATAAAAAGAAAGCCGCCATACGCAACTTTAAATAGAGATCGCGATTGGTTGCCATTAATAGCACCGCGAAGCATTTGTCTAAAAAAGAAGACAGAGAAGGAAAATGGTACAGACTCGTTATGAGGTTCTTGAGCTTTTGAACGGTCATTCCTTTGCTATGAGAAAGGCGTACTGTCCGCTTCGACTAGAAAAGAGCAGACTTGTATAAGACAATGATTATGTATTCTCGACATACTACTATTTACATCACCCTGCCATCTTACAGGCTGGGAATTTCCAACTAAACAGTCATTATAAACATCCAAAAAATATATTAGGAAATGAGATCAATCATGAAGGAAGCTCATATCGCTGCGCGGGTTGCGTATCAGCCGGCTTCTCGACAGGAGGAATATTCTCTACTCCCGTGCCCAGCTCATTACCCTGCCCATGATTTCCTGCTAGCATATCCTGCGACCGCATAGCGGCATCCTGTCTCGCAGCACGCTTGCGGCGGAGAAAGAATGCCACGGCACCCAATATAACCAGCGCACCGCCAACGCCAACACCAACTCCAACTCCGACTCCAACCTTTGCGCCAGAGGATAGACCACCGGCAGAAGAGGATTTGCCACCGGGCGTCCATTTAGCAGACCAGGTGTTTACCCAGCTATTTGGGGATTTTTGGAATGTCATGTCCACCCCTTGTATTGGTTGTATATCTTGACCGGGGGTATCGGGCCCTGGTGCTTGGGCGAGGACCCAGGCACCGTAGCCGTCCCTGGCATTCCAATTGACGCCGACAAAGGCGGCTTGCATAAAAGCTCTTCCGAGGATGGGGCGGCCATCTTTGTGGGCGAGAGGGAAGTATGGAGTTGGGCTATCGACGAGGGGGGCTTCAAGGGTGAGGTTGAGAAGGCGGAAGGGGACTTTGATTTCAAAATAATCCACATTAGCACCGTCTTTTTCGAAAAAGAAAGAGAGGTAGGCTGAGGATTGGACGATCTTTTCGTAATCAGGGTTAGATGTGTCCCAGAGATAGAGGCCTAGGGAGGCGTTGTAATGGACAGGCAAATTGGCGGCGATTGCGTCACAGGTAGCGTTGGGGAGGAAGATGTATGGCTGAACACTATTGACTTCTGGAAAGTCTGCGTTATTATCTTTTTCCTTGGTCAGATCCGTGTTGGTCGCGTTGGATAAAGAAAATGGCGGCTCTCCCTCTTCAACGCCGAGAGAAATATTGCGCGATTTGATTGTCAGAGCGCCATTATACCCCCCATCGCCACGATGAACTGACTGGGTGCTGACCTCACCCAACACCCGATTTCGATCATACCCCCCTATGAGGAGAGATGGCTCAATGGGAGGATCCACGGAGCCAACGTGCATTCCATATGACCCGGAAGGGATTGTTCCATCTTTGTACAGCGCACTCGTGATCCAATACCCCCAATTCTCACTGTTAGCAGGGTATTCCCGATATTCTACGGGCGCACCCAGTGACAGAAGCCCGACGTTGGGATGATGGGTGATATCGGTCCCGTAGGTTATATTGGCATCATCGGTCACAATCAAGGTGATATTCCTCTCCCATGTTGACTTGACTGAACCATAAATTGTCATCTCATCCAACACAGTCCGGCTTTTGCGTGTTCCTTCAAAGCTCCACCAAATGTTGTCCTCCCACGTACCGTTAATCACGGAATACGCTTCACTTGACTCGGACGGGTCGTATGTACCGGAACGGCATGGATGAGAGCCGGAATAGCACGAATCAGAACCGGTGTAGTTCGATGCCAGAATCGTACTGCCAAAATTGGTACCGGGATAGAGGTCGACTTGCTGCTCATTGCTGCCCAGCCCAACAGTCACGGCGTGCCAGGGGCCGTCTGGGCCATATGTATTTTTAGACCACTCGAAAATAAAAGGATCTGCTTGAAAACTGTGCTCTGCAAGAAGGAGACAGGCAAACGCCAGTAAGGCCGCCATGGTTATGGATAAGTTAAAGGAAAGACCACACGTGCAGATAAAATGAGAAAGAGAGAAGAAAAAGAAAACGGACACAATTTGGGCGAATGGATCTTCTCCGCATATCGCGTGTGTGGCCGCCCGTCGAGACTAGACTAAGCCTCAATCACCTGGGCAATTCATGAGGCTGTAGGTACATGAATCCTTCCGATTGCAGCATATGGTACGGATTGACGCTTCTCACGGGGTCCAACAGGGTCCAAACAATCGATAAGAACCTCGATTCGACCCTGGATCGTCAAAAGTGGAGCATGGCCAGCGATCTTCATACGAGGCTGCGAACTGGCAATTCAACCTGTTTTTGGCCTCCCACCACCGTGCCTTCACCTCGATAGAGTGTATCATATTCTACGAGGACCAGGGAATCACCCTTCCTGCCAGACGCTTTAGGCGTCTTCTAAGCTGTCATATTGAGGAAGCTGGGTTGCGCGCAGTGAGGTTATGGTGAAGTGTCAGTCGTGTGCTTCGAAAGGTTACCTAACAGCTAACGATTAGTGCCCACTGCCAAGAATTAGGGGTCCAATGAGGGGTTAGTTGTTGGTACCTGAGAAACCTGGCAAACTGGCAGCAAGGCTGTACAGCCTTGCACCTTCTGCGGAGTTATCCCACAGCCTGGTCAACATTTCCATACTTGCTTTGTGCACAAGTACAAAACACTCTACTGGTAGTTCCAACAGAAAATAGCTATTATTTAGTCTTATCATCGTTATAGTGCCGAGTATTAAATTGCAGATGTCAAGAATGTCCCCACTCGGCCCGCCTGACCCGAACGATCGGAAGAGCTTATCTAGATCACGACAACAGGGATACATACCTCATATCATCATACCGTTAGATGACAGTATAATCAGGCTAAATTCCGCGGAAGCAAGGATAATGGTGATATCGTGTATAAAAAGCCAGAGAAATAGTAGTTGCTTGACTTGGGTGTATGTATTTCCTTTTTCCTTTTCCCAAGCTGGGATACGCATAATCCATACTATAACAGTATGTCTAGTGCCACTCTTTATGAAGATTTAATGTTTATATTCATTTATGTATAATAATACTCTTCACAATAATCCGTAGAAAATTATCTACTTGACCTTACTCGGTGCTGTCCTCGGCAAGCCGTCTCGCTTACGCTAGCGCTGTCCCGAGCCCCACCCGAAAATATAAAACCTCCCAATCCCCCGTCCTTTCGAAAAGTAAGCGACTCTACGTATGTCTTCCCTCCCCCTACATTTCAATATCACCCTCACTAACAATCAACAGTTCAAAGAATCACTTTAGAGTAGACGTCCCACCTCTGAGCTCTTTAAAAGAGCCACAGAATCTCCACCCTTGCTGATGACTTTATGTCCTCAACGCCCTAAAGTGAAGCCGTTTTACTCCCGATTCGACCTTGTTTATCACACATTTCGACACAACGCTGCCTCGGCGGTGCTTGGTCGGGTGCTGTCGATTTGCTCTGGTCCAGGGAGTGGTGATGATCTTGACCTTTTCTTGACGTCAGGCTTCGGTCGGTCGGTTGAGGTGGGTGTTGAGGAGGTCTGAAAGGTCTTACTAGCTTAGATTATGATGAATATGATTTACATGAAAACAATTACTATTTTTACTTTGACTAGTACCTGTAAACTCAATCTTGTAGCAGTATTTTGTCTGCACGTGGAATATCTCTACCGAGGCTAAATCTCCGACCCAATGTTCAGCCAGGCACGTGCGAATTCTATTTTAATCAACTGTATAAAAGTAGCGCAAGTCCAACCCTGATTAACCTAATCTCATACATGTCACCTTATCCCCAATCATGCGGTTCATAAAATACCTCCTCCTAGCCGCATTCACCAGCACAGCCCTCTCCCTCGACCCCAACCGCCCAGCAACATACCTACAGACCGTAACCAACGGGGCAAAAACCATCCAGCAAGCACTAGAAAACTACAATGGCGGATTTATAGAAAGCGTCAAGCTAGCCAGCACCATCCAAAAAGCGCACGAGGCGTCTGTGGCTACGCGCAAGATCATGGAAGGCTATGAGCGGTTTTCTGATGCTGATGGAAGACATACGATTGATGAGTATCATAAATTGCATCCGCATGTTATTGATGGGTTGAGGATTGTTGAGGAAAAGGTTAGTACTAGCCAAACTATAAGTTATGCATATGGTTAATTCGTTCAGGCTGCTGTCTTTCATAGTGCTGGATATATGGATATAGCGCAGAAGCTGCTTTTGGGCTGGCATGCTGAGAAGAATAAGCTGAAAGATGTGATGAAAGAGAAGCTGTTAGAGGGACATTTTGATGAAATAGCAGAATATACAGCTTTGGTCGATGAGGCGTTTGTTAGTTCTATTAATGTGTTTCAGAATGTGGGTATCTAGATAGCATGATAAAGATTTGTATAAAACAGTCAGATATAATATATGGCAGTCTGAGTCATCAATGGTTGGGATTATTGTTGGGGCCAACCGTCTGCTTATCTGCTTACTAGATATAAGTCACTATGGCCAGATTATATTTCTTCTTTGTAAAATAATTTTGCAGATACTACCTTACTACCTAAGAAAGAATGGCCATCGGCAACTGTTTCTGCGGCAAGATTCGCATCGAACTCAACGGCCCTCTGACATCGGTTTGTATACCCACACACTTACTAAACCTAATCTAACCTCATACAGGGCCTATGCCACTGTCTCGACTGTCGCAAACTCACCAGCGGACCCTATAGCTACAATTTCATTGTCAAAACCGCAGATTTGACCATCTCTGGCAGTCCAAAAGAAGTAGCAAAAACAGCCGATAGTGGAAATGACCTGAGGAATTATTTCTGTCCTGACTGTGGTGTGTATAAGACTGCGGTGTACTTGGTAGATATCTGACGATGATAGGCACGCCGCTTTATGGACGGAAGATGAAAGCCAATGGAGAGCCTGATGAGATCACAATCGTCCGGGCTGGGATATTTGATGATGTTCATTTGAATGAGAAGCCTCAGGCGGAGATATACACTGATCGACGGTTGAAGTGGGTAGATCCGATTGAGGGGGCTGGTCAGTATAGTGGCATGTTGCCGCTATAACCTGGCTGCATGATGTACTCTGTAAACTATAGATGCATATCAATCAAAGCAGACTGATCGATGGTGTCATTCGGCATGTGGAACCAAGACGGTCATCGGCATTGCGCCCTAGGGCGTGCTCTCCACCAATTTAAGGTTATTCTCTGGGATCCCGGTGTGACGGTGTCTGCTCGGGGTCTGAATATGTAATTTTGAGCTGCGTATATTTGTCATGCGGAGTGGTTTTGTCCCTGTCTCCGATGCGTATATCTCTCCGATGTTTATAGATCTCTCCGACTAGGATAGATTGTCTCCGACTGCCATCGGGTTTCAGCATCTGGGATTAGATGTCCACATCTACGAGAGTAGGAGGTAGTTGAATTACTGTGTGAATGTGCAAGGTACTCATCAAGTATCATTGGGGTTATGCTAAGACTGCACCATAACTATCTCTTCAAGTAAAAGAAAAAATCCCCGTCCTTGGCCAACTCTCTGCCCTCCATGATCCCAGCCACCAGATTGTCATTCACAGAGCGAAAGTGGTCAAACACTGGCCGATCATCATAGATCATCGTCGTCGACACTTTACCCCGATGTACCATCTCTTTCAACTACACCCATTGTCAGAAATACAATACCATGCCATACAACCAAGTAGATGCACTCACACTGGCAATCCCCCACTGTCCCCAGCTGACTCTCTTTCCGTCCCGCTCGACAATAACAGGATCAACAAGGTCGACGGTCTTGAAGACCTTTTCCACCCACTTGATCTCGTTCAGGGTGTTGGCGATGGGGTGGCCGGTGTCGAAGAAGCCGCCGCTCCATTCACCAAGCAGTTGCTCGGGTTTGATGGGGTCGAGTTGGTCGAAGATGGCGTATAGCGTGGAGGGGTCGGCTTTGCCCTTGGTTTGGGTGAGGGCGATGTATTTCTCTTGGGCACTGATGGTGTGAGCTTCGTTGAGGTTGGTGGAGGGTACTTACGACATGGTGGTAGTGTAGAGGTTGGTGTCAGATTAAATGATAGAATGAATACTATGGGTTTATGCGTATTTATAGTCGGCCAGAGAACTGCTGAATAATTCACGAGGTCATTTAGTATGTGCCATTGCTTTCCGAGAATGTTCGGGATTGATTCGCCGATTGTTATAAATCAGATTTACTTTTATGACATACATAAATATACTTTCATAATATGCAACCAGACTACAGAACATTCTTCTCAATCATCGAACTCACAGCATCCGTCACACTCGTCCTCAGATCGATATACTTCCACTTGCCCTGCTTCGTCCCCTTGGCCAGAATGTCCAGACTAACCCTCATATCCCATCCGGTAGGGTGGATTCCAGGCGGCAAGATCTGCGACGGGTTTCCCTCGGGCACTCGATCTCTGAGAGCGGGAAAATTCTCTCGAATGATATTCGCGATCAGCTGCGGTGTGATGAGGTCTGAGATGAGCAGGATGCGATGGCCGGCTGCAGCGGGGTTGGTGAGTGCGTCGACGTGGCTTTGGGCTACGTCGCGGACGTCGACCTACATTATCAGCTGGATTACTCTAGCTGGATTAAAGTAGAGAAAGAAATACTCACGAAATGAAAAAAAGGAAACTGCACGCCTTCGATCTGCTTATAGGTGCCGTCGATGAAACTCTTAATAGCGAATTGATTCGTCTCGTTGACTGATTTCGGACTCGAGATGGGATGCAGCATTGGTCCTGTGATGATGTCCGGGTTGATCACCACCAGGTCGAAATTGGGGGATGTTTCCTTCATGAATGCCCACGCGGACAGTTCTGCTTGGGCTTTGGATACGTTGTATGCCCGAATGGTGTCATTTCGTTCAATGGCTTGTTCTGCTGTTACCTGTATAGTGTTAATATAAGTTATGGGTGCGGTAGGACTGACATACTGGATTCCAGTCTTTCTCTGTATACGGCTTTCCTTCCCGAGATAGATCTTCGAAGGAATCGAGAACAGACACTGCGCTGCCCAGAAGGACAAAGCGTTTGAGGGAGTCACCACCGTAGTTGTTGGCTGCTTTCAAAATCTCCGTAGTTCTATCCACGTTAGCACAACACAAACAACCCCCATAGTTAGAATAAGATACCCCTTAACAGCAGGCTCAATCATCTCTTTCCTCAAATCCTCCACCGCAAATGTCAAAGGCGACGCGGTATGAATCACATAGTTGAACGGCTGTTTCGTATTTCGAAAGAGCTCGTCGAATGGCTTTTCCGAGGTGAAGTCCGCGACAATGGCGAAGTCGACTTTACCCTTCCAGGATGGGTGGGTGTTGAAAACGTCGTTTGCCTTCTGGGGTGATCGGACGGTGGCTGTGATGGAGTAGCCGCGCTGACTTGTCAGTAAATATCTATTCATGTTTAAGGTGTATATACATACCTCGATGAGAATGGAGAGGATGTGCGAGGCGACGAAGCCGTTTGCGCCTGTGAGGAGAACGTGTCCGGAAGACATGATCTGTGTATTAAACTGAATAATTTGTATAATCAAGAGTATAATCAAGAGTATAATGAATTCAGCGGTAATCTGAGGTTATGATATACGAAGCTGATATGCATCTGATGCATCCAGACATACAAGTCATGACGTCAGTACCAACAGCTCTACCCCCAACCCCCGAAGCCAAATTTCTATTTACGAACTGAGATCTAACCATGTGAAATAATAACGAAACATTTCTTATCGTTCCCGAGATTTGACAGAAGCCAAGTGGCGTGGGCATGCAAACAGTAAATCTAGACCTCCGGGTTTGAGCAGATCGCGGGAAGTCAATTACCTGGAACGCCATCATCTCAGATCGACAGTGTTACCTTGGAACTGGATGATTATGTCAGTTGGATACGAGATCATATGAAATAGAAGAATGGACCATTTATTCAATAGGCAAAAGGAAGACATCGCTAGTCAACATTGTTTCTAAACAATCAATCTTCATCAACATGCCTACTGCCATTGTAACTGGAGCTACCGGTATACCCTCATCCTTATAGGATAAGCCTACTAAGTAATCAGGCATCATCGGCAGCGCCATTGTCCACCACCTCAAAGTGCCCCTATGGTAACTCCCTGTAGACAAACATGCTGCACTCGGTGTTAACCGATACCCCCGATTGCCATCACCGAACCCAACCCCGAACTTCAAGACCGAGGCCGAACTCCAAAGTCTATATATAGTTCGTCCTCATCCAGATTATTCTCTACACACTCCATCTCACTCTCACCATCTATACATATCTATTATCCATAAAATAAAAACATCCAGGAATGATGATGTCCACCCCCTCCATCGCAAACCGACAATACTACCGCACCATCCACCGTCGTCCATACGGTGCGGGCTTCGGCATCGGTCGTTTCGCCAAGGTTGCTTTTGTGGGAACATGCAGCTATATTATTTACAAGAAGTTGCAGTAGGTTTTTGTCTTGCATATATATATTTGGTTATCTGCACAGCTGACATTTATCTCTGGTTAGAGCTGGACAAGATCGTGTTCCAGTTGATCAGAATCAGAATACTGCTGCGCCTGGTACTCGCCATTCGTATCATTCGCATGTTCAGGATGGAAGTCGGTAGGGATATAGGAGGGAGGATCGCTTGTTGGGTTGGAGTTGAACATAGCATAATTTATCTATCTTATTCATCATTCTTTATTTGCCCTTAGTGATGCTGTTCTGCTATTCTTTTTGTCACTGCTCTTTAATCAATTCAGATATAAATCTGGTTCTTGTATATATCCGTTCTCTTCGCTATCATACTATAGTATATACCGGAAGCCTTTCTAGACTTGAGACAAAGCACCCAATGAAGTGAAGTAGTCTTGATAAATGCTGCAGTTCTGTCAGTATAGTCCTCTTTCTTCCAATTATACACGGCAACATACCCAAAAGCATTGACGTATCCAAAGGTGCACAAGAGCACACCACTGTCTCAGAGCGACCATTCACGCTTCAGTTCCACCGTCTGGGAAGGTCATAGGAGTCTTGTTGTCCGCTGCTTCAGCATCCTTGGTATATTCCTGGGACTCGTTGAGAGATTCTGTAGATATGATAGTCTGGTTCTCAATAATCGAGTCCCTGGTAATTGGTAAGTAAAGTAATCAATATGATCGACTATCATGCTGAATCAAAGGGTGTAACTATTTTTGATATCGATATGGAAGCCCGGTGTTGTATGGTAATCCCCGAACTATCGACCGAAGACCGAACTTAGCTCGGTGAATTACGTGAGATGGCCGGGCAAGCGACCCTCGGTCTTTTGTCTGCAAAGCCCGAGATTCGCTCTTGAGACAACTTCACTGTTGAATTTAAGCCATTTCCGTTGCTTGACCATCTCGATGTCTGTTCGTTTCAGTCTCGATAGCCAAACAATCATGCCAGCCGAGGACGGACCCCGAAAACGCAGACGGCCCGCAAAGTCCTGCGAGCAGTGCCGACAGCGCAAAGTCCGTTGTGACCGGAACATCCCATGTGCTCCTTGTACACGTTCGCGAACAGGGCCGCGCTGCTCGTATCGTGACGCCTCACCGAGCCCTCAGCTGGAGCAGCCTGCTTCAGGGAATCATTGCCCCGTTCAGGTGGTAGCCCAGCCAACCTTGAATCATTTAACACCGACGTCTCTCGGGGATACGCCGCACCCCAGTGTCGCTGGACGACACCAGTCAGTGTACAGCTTTTCGCAGCCTACCTCACCTGCTCATTCTGAGGCATCCCTTCAGGATATAAAGCGTCGCTTGCAGTCTCTTGACGAACGGTTGTCCCGTTGCGAGACCAGCAGTCAGTCGGCCCATCCAGGACTAGACCATGCATTGCGTGACTTGAGCGAGAGAGTCTTGCATATCGAACAAGAGGTCTCTGCGTCCTCGCGTGTAGAGACACAAGATCAAGGGCTGTCAATCAGTGGCATGCCGCCACGTCTACATACAACTGCGAATAAGATGAAGCTTTTAGGCCCAACTCATTGGATCCACACCACGGACAAGGTACGACTCCATGATGCCTTGCCTAATTCCCGTGCTGATTGTCGCTAGCTGCAAGTCATCGATACTCTCAACACGAAAGGGTCAGAGCCCTCATACAGAGAGCTCAAAGCCGATCTGGCGAATCTTGTAGCAGAATGTCGAGGACACCGGCAAGTCATCAAATCGCAGCAGTCTATAACGCTCAACGAACCAGTCCCGGACCTGCACAGTACCATTCCACCTAGATCTGTTTGTGATGAGCTGGTCAATTGCTATCTGCGGACATTTGAATTGATATATCGAGTCATTCATGTCCCTTCCTTCTGGAAGGAATACAACCAGTTCTGGGAACAGCCTCAGTCCACCTCCACGTCCTTTCTCATCAAGCTGGTGCTGATTCTGGCAATCGGCACAGCATTCTATCCAGGTCGGGATAATCCCATCAATGATGAGTATACCCACTTGGCCCAGAAATGGATATACGCGGGACAATGGTGGCTGACTGGGCCGTCGGAAAAGTCAACCTTCAATCTGGACGGTGTGCAGGTGCTTTGTCTACTACTTATCGCGCGCAAAGTAGGGGCGTTGGGACCGTCTCAATGGCTTTCAACAGGCTCGCTCACCAAAATGGCCATGGCAGTTGGTCTGCATCGTGATCCTGGGAACTTTCCTTCCTTGTCGGTCTTTCAGTCGGAGATGCGTGTCCGGCTTTGGGCTACTGTGCTCGAGTTGGCGCTTCAGTCGTCGCTAGAATCAGCCACGCCTCTTTCTATATCTGATTTTGACACAAGAGCTCCGTTGAATATCAATGACGAAGACATTAGTCCAGATACAGCCACGGCTGTTCTTCCAAGACCGACCGGCACACCCACCGAAACCTCCATTCCACTACTCCTCCACGAATCGGTACGGCTCCGCATGAAAGCCATTCAATACATCACCAAACACCACAGACAATCCTACCAACAAGCGCTACAACTAGGCGGAGAACTGCGCAACGCATGCCGCAAACTCGCAGCATTTTTCCACTCCACAAACCCACAACACTCCAATCAAGACACGTCCCCGAACGACTTCCACAGAAAGTTCCTCGACATCGAAATCCGCCGATACATTCTTGCCCTCCACACGCCATTCAAGATTCAAGCCCGCAAAGACCCGCAGTACTACTACTCCCGAAAAGTCTGTCTGGAATCCGCCATGGTGATTGCCTCCTACGCAGATGGTCTCAACCTCCCCTCCAACATACTAGACGACTTCTCCCGACTCACTATCCTCGGACGAGGCTCCTTCAAAGGCCCACTCGGTCTAGAAATCACCTCCATCCTGGGCCTCGAAATCATCACCCAGTTAGAGGAGGAAGCACCCGCACAACAACCCCTATCCCATCCCATCCCGGATCCGCTCGATGAACTCGCAAAAGTAAGTCGCGCCCCTCTCATCCGGAGCCTCAAACACATCCGCGCCCAACTCCTGCAGGTCATCAAACTGGGCAGTCCCAGTACGAGACGGTACCATTTCGTCGCGGCAATGCTCAGCCAGATCAGGGCTATGGAGTCGGGCGAGTGTATCAAGCGTGTCGTGTATGAGTCTATCAAGCAGAGCTCGAAGGAATGTTTTGCGTTGATGCAGGCGAGCACGGCTCGTGGGTCAGCGTCAACGCCGGATTTGAGTGTGGGTGTTGTTCCTAGCCTGGCTGATCCTGCTTTGTCGAGGTTTGATATGGATTTTGCTGTAAGTTGTGCTTCTATTTCACGAGACAAAAGCTAATTCTATATTTCGTAGGACTGTCTGTTTGATCTGGATCTCCCGAGCCTTTTATCTTTTACGGGTATGGATGACATCAACAAGGCTAGTTTCTAGACAGATAGATATACTATAATGAACTGCCTGTCGAAATGAAACTAGGTCTGTATCATATATTCCAAGTATAAAAAGGAGAAAGAATGATGTGATTTAGTGTCTTGGCCTATAATAAGAATATGAAAATGAATGCGAATACGACAGAAAAAGGGTGCCTGGTTTGACCCACAATCGTATACCTATCGTACCCAGACTTCCTCTTAGAGAAATCCCGTCGTATTCGTGTTGAACAGTATAAAGCCCATGACAAGATGGGATTTTTACTTTTTTTCCTCTTCAAATCTTTCATCTCTGAAGGACAAACTGATCGACTATGCAGTTAATATCTCCTATATTTTCATTTCTGGCCTTCGCGGCCATCTCTCACGCCCAACACCAATGCCGATCCACCCCCCATGATACGGCCTGGCCCTCCACCGAAGACTGGAAGGCCCTCAACCAGTCCATCCAGGGCGTACTGATCAAAGCCTCTCCAGCCGCCTCCTCCTGTTACCCTGGAAACCCTTTCAACTCCATCGAAAAGTGCAACGAGGTAGAGCAGAGCTGGACTTACGCCTCCTACCACGCCAAATTGCCCGAAAGCGTCGACTATCCCATCTGGGCCAACAATTCCTGCCTTCCGCCTGGTTCCACAGGATATGTTAAGGGCAATGGCTGTCATATTGGTGGATTGCCTCAGTATATCGTCAATGCCACGACTGAGGAGCAGGTTGCCACGGCTTTGGTCTGGGCGACTAAGCGGAACATCCGTGTTGTTGTCAAGGGTACGGGGCATGATATGAATGGACGGTAGGTCGATATCTCGCGATGCTTTCTGTCTCTTCTAACTTCTCTCAGATCGAGTGGTGCGTACGCCTTGTCCATCTGGACGCACAACTTCAACCATCGCGAGTACCAGGCACATTGGCCCGTTCCCGGCAGCAATGAAACCTCGAAGGTTTTAATCTGCGGCAGTGGAGGTAATTGGGGAACGGCGTATACCGCTGCGAATAAATTCAATCGGATCGTTGTGGGAGGAGAAGACGCCAGTGTTGGGCTGGGGGGATACATTCAGGGAGGCGGTCATGGTCTCTTGTCGAGCCAGTATGGTCTGGCTGCTGATCAGATATACCAGGCGACTGTCATCACCACTCAGGGTGAACGTCTCATTGCCAATGCTGAGCAGAACGCGGATCTCTTCTGGGCTGTCCGTGGTGGTGGTCCTGGTCAATACGGAGTGGTGACGGAATACATCATGAAGACATACCCTCCCGTCGCCAATGTGGTCACAGGTGGTCTGACATTCCATCCCAAGGACAAGTCCAACGCGAGTGAGAAGGCCACCTGGAATGCACTGGCAGGTTCCGTGAGTGAGATTCCAGAATTGATGGACTCTGGAATGGCCGGGACCTTGACAGCAGCGACGGGTCTCACGGCAGTGGGCTTTCTGGGGCTCAAACAGAGCGTGCCTGGCGTTGCAACAACCCTCTCCTTGACCGGATACAACTTGACGATGAAGAGGATGAATGAGACTGTCTCAAAGGTTGCAGCCAAGATTGCCGAGAACGATCCCAACGGATCCCTAGCCGTCACCCTCCAGCAGCCCAAGGTATACCCGAGCTACTTCTCCTACATCAGCCCCAATGCCTCCAGCAGTGCCACCTCTGGCTCCGTGAGTCTCATGTCCAGCCGTCTTCTCGGCCGAGCACAACTCTCTGATCTCCCCCAGGACGAATTGGTGTCTTACCTCCAACGCATCATGGTCTCCGCATCTTCCACCTCAGGCTCGTTGCTTCTATTCGGTTTCCAAGGCGGACCAGGCCCCGCAAAGGTCCCCGAAGATATGCGAGGGGCATTGAATCCCGTCTGGCGCACGACATACGCGCATGTGCTCACCACCGGCGCATCGATCAATGCGACAGCCAACCCGAGTGAATCGTTGGCGACAGCCGCGGAATGGATGGAGGAGAACAAAGAAGCCGTATGGAGGGAGTGGGCGCCGAATACGGGCGCATACTTGAACGAAGCCAATCCTTTCGACAGGGAATGGAAAAAGGACTTTTATGGGGAGACTTATGATCGATTGCTGGATATCAAACTCAAGTATGATCCCAGTGAGAGTCTGTTTGTGCTCAATGGGGTGGGCAGCGACCGATGGGACTATGACCTGAACAGTGGTCGTCTCTGTCGGTTGACTTGACTCTCGATGGAGGATTGAACAGTGTATACTATCCTTAAGCCCCCACTTAATGAGGGGGTGAATCAAGTGGGGGACTGTATATAACCAGTGTATACTACGATCAGTGGGATGAATTACCCCCACAATCAAGTAACAACGGACATCTTTCCGACACAAATAGGAAAAATATCCTGAATGAAAAGAGAAGAGAATACCATAGCATTGACCCCGGATGAGAGAACGTGGGGGAACATACATTATTACTATTATTCTGATCTCCATTTGCCGGACTCTTCTGTGGGGTTGACGTGGGGGTGTCGACCGTTACAGCTTCCAACTCCCCCTCTTTGGAACCACTTCTTCCCCTCTGTTGGGGAAGGGGGCTGCCTTTCTTAATCGCCCCCTTCCGCTCTCTGTTATTTTCTTTCTTCTTTCTGTCACTCTTTAATTCTCTGGTATGCTTCCAATTTGATGCTTTTTCGGCTTGAGACTCACTGAATTGCGTTGACAGATCTACCCCTCTACCACACAATGTCGAACGGAACAACACAATCAAGACCCCTCACCCCGGGTGTCTACGTCCCTACCATCGCCTTCTTCAAGGGCCCCGAGGAAGAGGTCGACGTTGCGACCGTCGAGCGTCATGCTGTCTACCTTGCCAAAGCCGGAGTCGCTGGTCTGGTCGTCCAAGGGAGCAACGGTGAAGCTGTCCACCTCGACCGGGAGGACCGCAAGATCATCACGGCCGCCACTCGTCGCGCCCTCGACGCCAATGGCAGCGAGTCCCTGCCCTTGATGGTCGGCACCGCTGCCTCCTCCACCCGCGAAACCATCCAGTTCTGTCGCGATGCCGCCGAGTCCGGAGGCGATTACGCTCTCGTGCTACCCCCGTGCTACTACAAGTCCCTCGTGAACAACGAAGCTCTCCTCAACTACTTCCGCGATGTAGCCGATGCCTCCCCGATTCCCATCCTCATCTACAACTTCCCCGGTGCTTCGTCCGGACTGGACCTCAACTCGGACGATATCCTGGCTTTGTCCAAACACCCCAACATCGTCGGTGTCAAGCTCACCTGCGGCAACACGGGTAAACTGGCACGTATTGCAGCCAAGGCCCGTCCTGAATTCCTCACATTCGGTGGATCGGCCGATTTCACCCTGCAGACTCTCATCGCCGGTGGTGCGGGTGTCATTGCGGGAATCGCCAACATCGTTCCACGGTCGTGTGTGCGGGTCATGGAGCTGTACCGCAGCGGCAAAGTGGAGGAGGCACAGAAGCTGCAGGCTATCGTGGCGCGTGCCGACTGGTTGGCTATTCGAGGCGGATTTGTCGCCGTCAAGAGTGTTCTCGAGTCGTATCGCGGATATGGTGGACTGCCGCGACGACCGTGTGTTGCTCCTTCGGCGCAGGAGGCGCAGGCGTTCAAGGACGATCTCCGCGAGGGTATGGATCTGGAGCGGAGCTTGGAGTAGATGACTTACATATATGTGTGGATGTATAATGCATGAATGGAATTAATGTGCTTGATGACTTGAACTGATTTTATCTGATGCGACCGTAAATCGGTAGGAAGTGTGCCTTATTATGGCCCCTCAATTGCAACCAGCGGATGCAACGGTGACATCATGTTTATTGTGATCATCTATACAATGCTTCAACATTGGGCAACTGAACATTCGCTGGCATAAATTTAGACCAAAGTATTAATTAATTAAGATGACATCAGATCCAGGGATCAGCATTCTGTCCAGAAATATTCTCGTTGGAATGTTTGGGCTGGGGGCGACGATCAACAAAGTGCAGGGGCGAGGCCTTAAGATCGTCTCTTTCTCTCCTCACTTTTTCCTTCTTCTTCTTCTTTCTTCTCCAACACCTCTTCCTCTTCATCCCACCTCAATGCATAATTAAACATGCATTTCAATACCCTCTTGACCGTTCTGGTCACCATCTCCTCGGCTGTCGCCGTCAAGGTCAATCCCTTACCAGCCCCCCGCAACATCACTTGGGCTTCATCTTCTGGCCCCAAACATTTCAACAGTCACGTCTCGCTGCGTACCTCCAACGACACCAACAACCAGATCATCGCCAACGCCTGGGATCGTACCTGGCACTCAATTACCTCTCTTCAATGGGTTCCTGCTGCTACTGAAGCTCCCATTTCATCCTTTGCTCCGTTTCCAACCGCATCTGCCTCGGCAGCCCCGAAGGCTAAGCGCGACTCCCCGGCGCTAGCCTACGTGGACGTGAAGATTGAAGATAACCGCGCTGATTTGCAGCATGGCGTCGATGAGTCGTATAAGCTCGAGGTGCGTGAGAGCTCGAACAGTATCTCCGTCTGCGCCAAAACCGTCTGGGGTGCTATCCACGCCTTTACGACTCTGCAGCAGCTGGTCATCTCTGATGGCAAGGGCGGGCTGATTATCGAGCACCCGGTTAGCATCCAGGATGCGCCGTTGTATCCCTATCGTGGTATTATGATTGACACCGGTCGCAACTTCATTTCTGTGGGCAAGATTCTCGAACAGCTGGATGGCATGGCCTTGTCCAAGCTCAATGTCTTGCACTGGCACTTGGATGATGCGCAGTCGTGGCCTGTGCAAATTGACACTTATCCCCAAATGACCAAGGATGCTTTCTCGACTCGTGAGGTCTACACCCACGCGGACATGCATCGCATCGTGGCGTATGCACGTGCACGTGCTATTCGAGTAATCCCCGAGGTGGACATGCCCGCCCATGCATCGGCGGGCTGGAAGCAAGTTGATCCCAATATGATCGCTTGTGGTGATTCCTGGTGGTCCAACGATGTCTACAAGTACCATACGGCAGTTGAGCCTAACCCGGGTCAGCTCGATATCATCTACAACAAGACGTACGACGTCGTGCGAGACGTGTACACGGAGCTTTCGGGCATTTTCCCTGACCATTGGTTCCACGTGGGAGGCGATGAGATTCAGCCAAACTGCTACAACTTTAGTACCTATGTCACTGAGTGGTTTGCTGAAGATCCATCGCGCACTTACAACGATTTGGCACAGTACTGGGTTGACCATGCCGTTCCTATCTTCCGCAGTGCGGGTAAGGACCGTCGCTTGGTTATGTGGGAGGACATTTTTCTATCTACGGAGTCTGCACACAACGTGCCTAAAGACATTGTGATGCAGACCTGGAATAACGGCCTTGAGTATATTGATAAGCTCACGGCCAATGGGTACGATGTGATTGTATCTTCTGCCGACTTTATGTATCTTGACTGTGGTCGCGGAGGCTTCCTCACCAACGATCCCAGATACAATGTCATGGCCAACCCCGATCCTAACACTCCCAACTTCAACTATGGAGGTAACGGAGGGTCATGGTGTGCACCGTACAAGACATGGCAACGTATCTACGATTACGACTTCACGACCAACCTCACCTCGACGCAGGCCAAGCACATCATCGGTGCGGCAGCTCCCCTCTGGTCGGAGCAGATTGACGACGTGGTGGTCTCGAGCGAGTTCTGGCCACGATCCGCAGCTTTGGCTGAATTGGTCTGGTCTGGTAACCGCGACGCAAATGGCAATAAGAGGACCACCTTGATGACGCAGCGGATTTTGAACTTCCGGGAGTACTTGGTTGCGAACGGAGTGCAGGCTGCGCCATTGATTTCCAAGTACTGTCTGCAGCATCCTCATGCGTGTGATTTGAACTACAACCAAACTGCGATTCATTAATGAGGGCTAGTATTGGGTTATGTATATACTTAGCATCCATCATAGCATGAATTCAGCGCAGACTGATTTGATATAATCTATTGTACAATAATATATAATGGCAGAAAACTGAGATCAACTCGTATCTACCAATCACGGATCCTCCACTCCCAACGAGTACAAAGGCGACATATCGTGCGGATCCACCTTTCCTCTGAACTTGTCACCGAGGAACGAACGTACTCCCTCTCCTTTCCACGACGACATATCAAGTGGATTCTCCCATGTGGTACTAGAAGCCTCCCACAGCACCCTCGCATCACGACACTGATGAACAGCCCCGATTCCATCGATATTATGCGTCTTGACCCCGTTCTCAATTATAGGTTGTTCGATCGCATCGTCAGCCGCACATATAATAGCCTACCAACTCAACATATTAGCCCACCATCCAATCCATCCCTGAAAGTCGGAGGGGGAAAGTTACCTGCGCAATATAATCAAAACAATGGGCCCAATGCGCCCGATCCCCATGCTCATGCCCACCCCCATGCAACCTTGACTCAGACGTCGAATTCACCTTCTTCTGCGACGTCTCGGGAAACACCAGGCCCCTGATCACAAGCAGACAGTGCAGCTGGTTATACATGGAGATACCGTAGACTTCGCCATCGACGACGGTTTCTGCGTCCGGGATGGTGTTGGCGGTTGTTTTTGCGAGGATCGTGCCTCCTGTGGGTGGGATGAGGAGGGTTTCCCAGTCGAGGTTTGGGTGGGTTGCGTCTGGGGTTATGCGTTCGAGGTCGGGGTCTTCGTTGAAGGGGCGGTGGATGATTTCGTTGTTGTGGGCGTGGTCATTTTGGGGGGAGTGGTCGTGGGTTTGGGGGATTGAGGATGACTGTGGACAGATTGGGCTGTAGTTAATCGATACGATGGAAGAGGGCGTTAGGACGAGGACGAGGAGGAGGAGAGAGAGGGTGATGGAGAGAGTGAGGATGAGGACGAGGATGTGGCTGGGGGTGGTGGTGTTCGTTGGCTTTGACATCACTGCACTTGAGTCAACCCATTTACTTGGCAGTTGAGATGATGTTTTACGTGGGAGGATTTATTTTATATTTATTCATATATTCTGCTCTTTATTTGTGAGTCAATAATGCTATACTACAGTATAAAAGTCAGGTAGATGAAGTTATTGTTTCCTAATCCGGGTAACAAAGAGCCATTTGCCACTGGCACAATTTATAAGCAGCATGACTATACATTTATGCAGCATAGCCTCCTCTACCTATAACCTATCCATCTATTACTCCAATGCACTGAATAGTATGAAATATAATGGATATAACAATACAATACTCATAGGCAGCAGATCATTCAATCGACAGCCCCATTCGCCGGAATCCCTACCAAGTCACGAAAGCAGCCATTGCATCCCACCCAGTCGATCTCCAGTGGCAACAATACCAAGAGAAAAGAAGCGCACGAACACCCTCCTATCTCTGCAGAGCCTGATTGGCCTACACATTCGCGGTTCGTGATGACATTTTCGTCCGCCCTCAATATGGAAGGATTAGCCCGAAGCCCTTGGGGTGGGGGATTGTGTCTTATTTGTTGTTGATTTTTTTTTCCAGGTTTATGCAGGGTTTATGTTGTAAGATTTGCATGTGCTTTATTATTACTGTTACTATTATTTATTTGTAGATGGCAGTGCTTCTAGATTATATATCTTAATGTAGAATCTAGCATTGCACTAGAGATCCCATCACACTATCATCACCAATAAACCTGATCGCGTAGTGTTGAAGTCATATGCGGTATATCTGTTTGATTAACCAGCCAACCTCTTGGATATCAACTCAAATCATGCTACATAATGTGGACCTGCAAGAACAGGTTATATCAACGCTACACCAAATAGACCATATCAACTTGTAGACTAACCCTGATAATATTTATAATCTTATAGTGTATTCCAGTCAAGAGTCGGTACTCTCGTAAAGATGTCAGTCTGATCAACTCTCACTGCATGCGTTACACAACAGCACAAACCGACAGAAACCAGGATCCGAGCACGCGAACCGCCAATCAGACCAGGCGAAGATATTATCGCCCTGTTGGTTTCTTGTTATTCGTCGATTCATCCCGGCCGAGGAAAAATGAGGAGCTGAAGTCTACGTCTACTATACTACCTAATAGGTAGTACCTATCAGTGTATATTGCTCGAGAGTCGAATTGCTTCTCCCGAGTCTGCAGCAATCTCAATCAGGTTTGAGACTGTCAGATGATATATTGACAAATAAATTTGACCTCGGTTATTAGTATTACTGGGTATACCTATAGGATAATGTCGGTGGTTCATATCAGACAACGTTAGCTGAACTGCAAGTCAGGTATACATACATGCATAAAACGGGATGGATATAGCAAGATAATCAGTGGCAAATGTCCCTGGTAACTTTATTCTGTGACATATGAGCTGACAGATGAACTTTATTGACGTTGTTGAAGCTGGAGAGTGTATACTCGGTTGAACCGTCGGGTAAAAGCTTGGCTACCAATGTTCGGATGAACCGTGGATCTAATGATATCCGGTTATAGGATATAGGATATAGAATATCGACATGGATATACAGAGTATGATCCATAAGTAGATAGACCTATATGGAAGAGGATAGAAGATATGGAATATGAATAGTGTATAAGATATAGTGCATAAGATATAGAATATAAGATATAGAAACACAATGCCTCTTCTACCTCAGGCATCAAACCCCCAACTCCCACGTCTCCGTCAACTCCGTTTCTCCCAAAATTTTTCCCATGGCTATGCTCGGGGCTACCGACACTATTGCCTGATTGCAGATCGTCTTCGTTGTCCATTCCTCCATCCGGTCATTGCAAGCCCTCATCTCAGCCAGCCACAACCATCGCGGGTGGGTATACCCCCGCCCTCTGATTGGCTGCGACTGGTTCGCGGAGGCCTTCCGCCACTACGCCTAGTCGCAAGCCACTGTTCAAGACGGGATGGGTTCGCGGTTCTTCATGTTTGGTTCATAATATTATGAAGACAATTGCGTATGTTTTCTGGCCGCGATCCGCCATGTTTTTGACTCTGAGGGCTTGGATCAGATCCATGGAATCGAGGTGGATGGATCTGTATTACGCCTTGCTGGGGACGTACTGTATTTTACAGTGGAGAACTGCCGATCATGCACGGAATTAGGAATGACACGCCCATTTTCAAGGTCTTTTATTTTTTATTTTTATTGGTATTATTTTTATTATGTATTACTGTCCCCATCAAAATTCCTAAGATCGACCCAGAGCAATGGTTTCTACGCCGTACACGGTAACTCTGGACCGCCTACCTTTTTTGTCTCAGATCCCATCTTCGCATGTTTTCGGCACGAGTCATTCAAACTTTATGTCCATCCACACATTCCTATTTCAGTTGGCCTGCCGACCAAGGTAGAGTTATGAGAAATATCAAGTTGATACTCCGTAATGTAATTGATAATAAGAATGGAAAAAGCAATCTACACTGTTAACCTGTGCAGTCCTCTCATACGCATTACCATCACATCAACTCTTTGACCTCCAACAGTATTATACATATTACCTACTATGTAAAAGACTGATCTCGATGCAAGTCTGCAAGGTCCACCACTCCCTCGCCTGTCAACGGCACAACGACATCGCCTCTCCCCTCCAATAGTTGCTTACCCATGACACACAATTTCAGTCTGTCGACCAGGAAGTAAGGACTATGTGACTGCACTTGCATACAGGTGTGATATTGTCGCCAATTTCAAAATATAGCAGCTGCTGTTGCTTTATGCTCGGGCCTACGGAAACAGCATTTGTCGGAGATGGGAAAAACAGGATTCAACGCCGATCTACAATGCATGTGTAGTAGATCTACAGAGGTCGCTGTGGATAAAACAAAGACATAGCTATGGATATAGATGCAGTACTCCGTATGTGGATTTACTATGTATTCGGCGAATACTGTATAGGCAGGTGATATAAACCACCATAGCAATAAGATGACTATCTAAGATGGAGATATTTCTGCCAGTGGTTTAGATGTAGATATACTTTGGTGATACAGGAGATCCAACCAAGATCTCAACCTGAATCGGGGCTGCCGTGTCACCATACCATGGTCAGGGTGCATGATACCATCCATGGTTCAACCTGCCTTAGTAATGCATGATAAGAATACAAATATCCCCCTGTAAAAGATTTAACCCATGAATCAGTTACTGCAGTAAATTCATATCCAGCATAATCCACCCATATTTATTCACTAAATATTCATATTTATTTTATGTTGAATTCCCTCCGAGGAGACCTAAGACATAACCTTACTAGCCCAGATACTAGCAAGTGGGCCTCATTCGCGACCCGTGCCACATGGAACCGAGCGATTGAATATGACAGCACAGCATCATCAAGGACACTGCGGTGTGGTCGTGAAAAAATGGGCCGATTCATGATTAGGAAGGTCGTTGGCAGAAAGCAGACTGGAAAATATGATGTATCAATCGACTAATTTATGCTGTCTGATGCAGAATGCCTGTTGCATCTTACCTTACCACCCTTGTAAGACTGTAACGGGGGTGACTTTCCCACCCTTGAGCCTGCACCCGTGATACGTCAGTGGTCAGTACCCGTTACATACACGCTGCTTACTGTAGCACAATCCATAGTCATGGAGACATCGTATTTATCCATGCTATGCCAGTCAGTCAGTGTGATAGAATTATCAAAATTAATTTATTACTCAATCAGTTTATAACTAAAAGCAAATGGTCGCCATGTTGAGCCTTAGATCGGAATTGATTTCCCCGGCGCGGGGCAGCAAAATACGATCGTCGACAATGCTGGTATCATAATCTCTATTCACGAAAAGGGGGAGGGGCTAGAATTTCGAATATTCTTCTAGTGCTTACTTGCTATTCTGTACTATCCAGGGGTTTCTATTAAAGATAATAAAGATAATAACCATTGTTTACAGAGTATTTCGACTCTATCATTTGGAATAACAATAAAGCTATGGCCAGGTCAGCGCGCTTGTCAGCACTCAAGAACGGAGAATAAAGATCAGCAGAAAAAGGAGACAATAACACGTATTAACATTTCTTCTTCTACCGCCCACGGAGTATTCTTGCTACTATTGAATAAAATCTTCGTATAACGGTGATTCTTTTTTATTTTTAATTGGGTCTGACAGGTAACCGCCCCGTTTCTGTCAGATTGTCAATAATTGGCTGCACGGACATATCTTCGGAGAACACCGTTAAATGCCACTTGAGCCAGATTACAGGGAACGAGTGAGATTGTACGCAGTACATATCCATCACTTATTTTGTGGTAATATTTCTATTCTTGTCTTTACTTCGTCTGCATAGATGATCAAACGAATTTGAAACTCAGCATGGCATCCCTGCACTGTAATCGACCCTAGATACGGAGTAGTATCAAAATATATAAATGAACATTCCACAAAAGCAGGGGCTAAGTTAAATAAAGTAATGCGAAATAAGCCTTAATCCTTGCATTCAAGCCAAGCATCCGTCCAGGATGCACTATTGAGTGCCAAAGTCTGGTACAGAATTCGATAATATATCTCGGCAAAGTCAAAGCACATGGCATGGCGTTTTGTTGATTCAGTCTGAGACAACAGTACTCCGTATGACAGGATATCTGGGATACGAGACTCTTGCCTATCTTGGTTTGTGCATATGATCTGACCTCCAGTATGAAATATATATTGGATCTGTAAAGATGCGTCGTAACGCTCGCACATATGCTCATCATATATGCCTGCTGTATACTAGTTAACATAATTACTGAATCCGGATCTCATATTTACCTAATAAAAACAAGATAAATATAACAAACACTACAGTACCCCAGACTTCACTCTCAGACCTGATAGGACACATGCTCATTAGTCTCGAGTCGATCGTTTCCCAGACAAGCTTGGCCATAGCGCTTGTTCGCTCTTTGGACTAGTTCGTCTATTTCTGTATATAGCACAGAAACCAGTCTGCTGACAGCTGACTGGCTGACACGCACATGGTGAACAGGGATTAGGGCGCATCCTAGGGCTGATTCTCCATTCTCCACGGTGTATGCTGTATTGATTGTATTTGTATTGAGGGTCTGCAGATTTGAGTATACTGTGGATTTTGTATAGTGTTACTGCTGATGTGCGACTGTACCTAAACCAGTACTTTATAGTCTAACCGGGTATAGACAAAGTCATAGCCATCGAACAACTCCAGAACAAGGGGCTCAGCAAGGGGACCCAGCAGACTAGGTACAGACTACAGCAACTATCATGAAATGGATTCACACGTCAGACGGGAAGGATGGAGCCTTTCACCACGTGTGAGCTGTGGCTTGAGAAATGCCAGCTGGGTCTGGGGTTTTCCCTTACGCTGTATACCGTATACAGTATATGGTAATAAAAGTGATCTGCATGATGGGTTTTCAATAGTATGAGTACCCATCGCGTGTGTTTTTAATTTTTAGTCTCATCTTGGATTGTTTGTGGTGATCATGGTCTTGGATGGAGTAGACTACGTATGTGTACTGTACTATTGAGTGTGGCACGGGTATCCACTGAGTAGTTGGATTTGGCGATGATTCATAGTCATTCATGGAGTTTTCTGTATAGGCTGTGCAGACTGGCAGAGAGATACTGAGCGAGTACGAGAGTACGAGAGTACACTACCTACATAGCATGGAGTCAGCAAGGAAGATCATTACATCACCGTATTGCTGCAACGTAAATCTTGGCGTCGGAGAGACCGAACACATCTCATATCCTGCGGAAACTGTGGCAGTGCCCACAATATGTAAGTGTGGCAGTGACACCTGCAAGCTGTGGCTCAGTTAATCCCCACTACGACACTACTAACTAGCGGGTCCGGGAAAAAGAAAAAAAAAAAAAAGAAGTTGTATCCGGAAATGACAGCGGACGAGACTTGCTGGCTCGGAACTCGGCTAGTGCGACGATTGTGTCTCTCGGCTCATCTCGATGTTCATCTTGCCCTAAAGCCGAATGAGGAGAAAGGGAAGAACTTAGGCTTTGTGGGGGGAGCTTGGGATTTTGGGTGTTTCATCTGTGCCCACGAGAATGTTCTTGGGATTTCCTGGAGACCCATCTTGAGCCATGGTACGGTGGTTCAAGAAGTGGGATCCGAGTATCTCCATGGGGCATGGTTTGTTTATTCTTTTTGGAGTCGCTACGATATTTTGGGGGAAAATATCTTCATGATTTTATGTTGTGGGATATGGGTATTATCGTTTTCATAATTATAGTGTGCATAGTCAGAGTACCTTGATGAAGACGAGTCAGTCAGATAAGACAATAGTTAAGGTTTCTGACGATCCTTTCGCCATTGTTTATAGTTAAATCCGTGAAGCATCAACTCCATTGATATGCATACGGTGACGGTCTCGTATTCCATTTCTGGACGGTGACTTTTCAACCTTCCAGAATAGTCCAATCTCCCGTGGCCGGGTACTATTGGAAAGAAAGAAAAAAAAAAAAAAAAGCGAAAAAGAAAAAGTCAAAAGAAAAAATCCACTTAGTTTGAATAGTGAAGAAAACAGCGTTGTAGCGTTGTCAGCTGTGGCATCGTGGCTCGGGAAATCCTCACGGAAATATCGGTCAAGTCACGATCATGCTTTTTCATCGTCATAGTGCTGTCAATTATTTTCCTCAAACAGAAAAGCCAAAAGGTAAATTGAAATGTTGGGCAGTCGGTCGAGTGGGACTGAGATGCTAGTCTGCGAAATGGATGGTACCGACCTTACGATGCTTACAGGAAGTGGAAAAGATTCCCTGATCTCCAACTCGGACAAGTCGACTCAACACGGAGGGGGGAAAAAAATACAGATTGGGGCGGTGTAAAAATAAATGCTACTGCGCCTCACATGTCTGAATCAGACGTCAGAGGGCTGCTGGCGCGCAGTGTATCTTCCAATAATGGTGCGGGCCGGGCCTTGACGTCGACGGTGATAGGCTGGTTCACTGTGGCTTGAACAAGGGTACTAGGGTGTGGCGCTAATGTTTTTCCAGTGCCTCACCGACCTGTTTCGGAGAAGAGCGTCGAACATTCAAGCTGAGGCCTGCATTAGTCTTCTGCAATCGGCACCTTGGTGTCCCACTCCCCCGTCTTCGCTTGGGTCTAGATTACAAGGGCATTCGATTATGAAAAAATGGGTTTCCAGCCAAGTGGCTTCACGTCAAAGTGGTGCATTAGTTCCGTCATTTTCCTTTTCGTTGGGCCATTCGAGGCTTGTTCGGCTGTCATCTCGAGACTCAGCCTTGTTGAGCCACAGATCGACTTGACATTTTGTTTACCATTAGATAAAATACAGATTCAATACTGATAATCTAGGTGGACACTATAGGTAGATACTAGATAGTGTGTTCAAAATATCCATGACACGCATTGTTGACATTTAACAATCTTCCGATGGGAAGATATGTAGTCCACGTGACCGGCATAACTGGCCATGATTCGCATGGGTTTGTCGGAAATCAGATATGGAAGAGTGGGAATCGGCGTGTTCGAGGGGATCTCAAGCCATACCATGGATGAATCAAGGCACCAGGGCCGTACCTTACAGTACGGCGAACACGCACGTCGATGTCGGACGACCAAAGGAGTGGCATTTCCCGCCCATCCCTCCATCCTTGACCGATGATTGGGACGAGATGGACACGCTTCATTTGTCTGGCACGGACTGTGTGCCAATCGTCAGAGACAGCGCGAAATGCAGGATTCCTCAAAGGGCTGGGGTTGTGGAGCGACCGGGCCAAGATCGTCAAGCAGAGGCCCCACCACTAACCCCAGCCGGGCCTAGCGCTGCGGTGCATCCATGGAAGGGTTCCATTGGCATTGTGTGTGCTCTCGGGACTGACGGCCACGGGGTCAGATCCAATTGTTGCTGGCGTGATGCTAGCACTTCCGTCACCCGTAGTCGACAGGCTAGTAGGCAACTACTGCCGTGGATGACGATGATGATCTGAGCAGAAAACGCGACCCGGACTGACGGGACATTTTAATCGTATTCTAATGTTGGACATGGAGTGGTCTGTCCTACAGTGCGTGGTCTTCGGTGCTAGTAGTAGGTTGAAACAGAATCACAGATCCATAGAAAAATAAAAATAGAGAGACAGAACAGACATATTTCATAAAGCACAAGCTTCATAGGATCCATGGATGGATCTGCTAAAAGCAAACTTTCTCGAAATTGAGTTGGAGTGAAATCATCACAACATGGAAGAACAACCATTCTCAAAGCTTAGATAGGTAGGTCGTCAAATGGCGTACCGATAGTGCCAAGTTCAGCGGAAGAATGTATTTTCTGGCGCTTGACACTCGACACGGACTTGCCGATGACACCTGCGGATACGAAGGTCGACAATGCGCCCGTGGCACTGTCATCTCGCGTTCCAATTTTGACAATGCTCCCAGGGTCCTGGAAATTGACGTGCTATTTCTTTTTTTTTTTACCGTCTATTTTGAGAAAAAATTCTAGAGAATCGAAACTATTCTCTTAGTTGAGGTGTTTTTGCGACACTTGTTTATCGATCGTCTTTGGTCGGATGGAGCCTGAGGATCTCACGCACTGAGAATCGGGCGATCACAACCTAAACGAACCGCGGACAGGACAGATTGATTACTCGGTATTACCCTAGGCCCGATGTTAACCAAACTCCAGAATCCATGCAGGAACCAACGGAATGAAGATGCCTTCAACCTGACACCAAACATAGTCGATTTCTTCAGTTTCATCTTGTCTCTCTTTCTAGAGATAAACATGATCTGAATCCAGTAGGGCAGTGATCCTGTCAGATCGCCAGATGGCCCCTGGGTCCTCGACCGACTGGGAATGACGTTTCTCTATCGAGTCTGATGGGTCCGACTGCAGGGCATCGACCCAGAATTAGGTAACCGAGAGCGCAGCAAGAGAAGACGGCAGTGCAGGCAGAGAGTAAGTACCTTCGTACCTGCTCAGTATGGTAAGTAATCTATCGCCGTAATTACCTCATCCCTGCTGGACCAGTGGCCTGGCATCTCCGCCCCCCTGTCGTTCGTCTTTCCTCCCCACTTTTCGATCTTTTTATTTTTTATTTTTTATTTTTTATTTTATTATTTTATGTATTCTTTTTTATTTTTCATTACCGCTAGGATCCACACTGGGCTGTTTTGACGCAAACTAGAGAGTCATTCCCCTGTCCCTGCTGCGCATTCACCTCCAGTAGTCTGGATGGCTCCAGTTAGTCTACTCTCCGTACCTTTAGTTCCTAGTCTGGATGGCTGTACCATCGTAGTTCTACGTAGGGCCGACAATCACGTAGGGTGAGGTAACCAGCATTTAACAATGCTTTCCACCCCTCCCCTCCACCTCTTCTGCAGATTTCCCCGTCTTTGCTTTACACCTCTGTCTTCCTTTGAGGTACGGGATTCTTACTTTATCTTCTCTTTGCCCTCTTCTCTTGTTGCCCGTCTCAATTGCTTCCTACTCGCCGGAAGCAAGGTGACATCCACTGTTTTATCCTATCTCGCCTTCTCTCTTCATTCAGTTTCTGCTTCAAGAATCTGGAGTCGGCATCCCTCACAGTCTTCGCTCCGTGAGACATTGCCTTATCGATTGGTTGCCTGAGAAGATTGCCTTGCTAGAAGCTCTCCGCCTCGAACAATCCTATTCGATTCCCTTCACCCCAAGGCACCTCGTGAGAAACTCCCGCTCGATAATATCCCGAGTCTCGCACGAGGCCTTCCGGAACGGTCCGTTATTCTGCCCGAACTTTATTGTTCTTTTTCGTGGTACGCCCAAATTCCTTTGTTCCCGTCGCGAATCTATACATACATCGTGAAACAGGACAGTGGCTAATGATCTTCCTCTTGCAGATTGGCTGCACCAGCCATACATATTCGACATTCCAACGTACCCCTTACTCTACAAACCAACTAGCTGTCAAATAAAATAGAAGGGCATGCAGCATCAGGAGGAACCGCTTTCCGATTTCGTCCTCTTCCCTCAGCCCCAGTTTGAGATCCGTTCCGAAATGCTTGCAGTCGACCCATCCAGACAGCACCCTTCCTACTTTGAACCGCTTACGATGGATTCTGCCGTTGTTGACCCCTTCGCTTACCATGTCGATCACTTGAACTATAACTCTTCCCGTGTCCCTCACTACTACGATACCCCGGGCCTCTACACCGAGTCAGCCTCTGATATCAAGGCTCCGGGCTTTCCTTCCATGCCCGTCACTCCTCCTTCAATCCCTATCTCTCAGTCGGCCGACCCTCACATGTCGGGCCTTTCCACTGGACCTTCCATTGCAAGCGCTTCCTCCTCTGCTGTCGGCTCCCCATACTCGGGAACCATTCACGCTTTCCAGGACAACTGGGTTCACACCAGCAACGGCATGGGACATCCCGGGGCTGTCATGGACGAGTTCTTTCCTAATGACTATGCCGCGGGCACCCTGGACGCCGAAGGAGCTTACCAGAAGGACCAAGAGGAATTTGTCGGTAAGTCTGACCAGGTCGAACCCTATTTCTTATACATAACAGATCTGACGAGTATATGTTCAATAGCCCTCTCCCTGATTGAGCCCATGCAAAATCAAACCCATCTTTCTCCCCCTACCTTTTCATACCCTGAGCAGTCCAACTACATGGGCTTCTTGCCCCAGCCCTCCCAGACCCCCGAGGCATCCCCCGTCCCGATGCCTGAAAGCTACCCCGCCGAACAACCTTCTTTGGAACAGCCAAGGGAGGTATCTGTTTCATCGCCCGCCCCAGCTGCGGTCAGGGAATCATCGGTCTTATCGACCCATTCCCGCCGATCTCCACACAGCCCTGCTGCGAGCAGCGCTGTGAGCAATGACGAGCAGAAAGGACAGGGCTTTTGCCCGATTGCCGAGTGTGGAAAGTTTTTCAAGGACTTGAAGACGCACATGGTCACACATCGATCCGAAAGGCCTCAAAAGTGCCCTCGGACCGATTGCTCCTTCCATACCAAGGGTTTCGCCCGCAAGTATGATAAGAACCGTCACATCTTCACCCACTACAAAGGAACCCTGGTGTGCTGCTTCTGCCCCGGATCTGGCACCCCGGCCGAAAAGACTTTCAACAGACTCGATATCTTCAGGCGTCACTTGACTGCTGTGCATAATGCGGAACAGACGCCCTCCAACGGCCGCAAGAGGAGTCCAAATGGATCGACCAAGAAATCCACCGTGCAGTCTAGTCAGGCAACTGGCAAGTGCACAACTTGCTTTGTTACTTTCAAGAATGCACAAGATTTTCATGATCACTTGGACGACTGTGTCTTCCGATATGTACAGCTCCAGCAGCCCAGTGAAGCTATCAACCAGCAACGACTGGCAGAAGTAGCCTCGGATGAAGAGGTCAAGAAAACCTTGGAAAAACACAATCTACCTGACACGGCTGGCTCCGTTGATCAGTTTTACGACGAAGACGATGAAAATAACGATGACGACTTGAACGACCCAACCATTCTCAGCAATAGATCGGGCAAAGGATCCCTGAAGTCCACCAAGGGGAAGCCAAACGCTACCTTCCGTCCCATCAAGGGAAACAACAATGCCATCTCCAAAAAGGGCAAAGCGCTTCCAACCGCATCGAAACGTCGGAGTAACCGTGATCACTACCCTCAGTCTTGGGGCTGCCCTCGCGCGAGCATGAAGATCAAGAAGCGGGTTCTCTGCGTTTTCGACGGTAAGCGCCGTCTGTGCAAGGATGACATGATGCTTGATAATGAGTTCGAAGTTCGAGTCAAGCTTCCCGGTGGTGCTGGAGACGGCACCGCCCGTGAAGCATATGTCACCGACTTGGATGTTGAAACAATGAAGCGTGCCGAAGGCATCTTCAGCGCGACTGACGAGGAGCGAGGTCCTTGGCTGGATAGATCTTCCAACCAACTCATTGGACGACCAGCAGTCCCACTGCCCAATATCTCTCCGGACATTGATGAATTGATGTCCTGAGTAGAGATACAAACTTTTCCTTTTGTTCAAATACCTGCCCACTTGCATAGGTTGCATTATTAAAGCGATATTGTATGTTATATATACCGAAAACTGATACCACTATTTGTTTATTTGTCTGTCGTTTCGACCATTTTCTATTGTCATTTCATCCATCTTGGTTACTCCCCTTTGCAGTGGGCATATACTCTGTTATACTAGTCGTGGATTGGGTTGTGGTCTGGAAAAGACGAAAACAGAAATTTGATATGCAGGTCTTTATCATCTATATACGAATTTATTTCTTGCAAGACTATTTTATTTCTCCGAGTATTCATATTATTCTTACGATCTTGTGACAAATGTAGACGGATTTGTTGTGATATACAGCACCACGTGATCTGGGACCACGTTCCTGTACGAATATGGCGTAGAATAAGCCTGACAACATTAGATTGAAGAATACCTATTTTCGAATACCAACACATGTTAATATTAATAGCAATTGCAATTATACATATCAGTGGCCAAGTTGCTGGTCTATCCGTCTTCTCTACTCTACTCCAGGACGTCGATCTCTCCTTGTTCACATGCCCCGCATTCCTGGGAATCTCCAACACTCTCCAACATCCACTCGAAAACAACACCGCAAAGGCAAAGCAATCATCAACATAACGACCTTCCAAAATGCAATTGAGCCTATCCGAAACTCTTCCAGCTCTGGTATCCAGACGCTTCACAACAGCCAAAGATGCCGGCCATCTCACCTTTTCTCAGACCTATCTTTCCATCATCCACGCATCAGGGATACCGGTACCGTCCCAATCCTCCCTCCCGTTCAAACTCCGAAATAGCAGGAAAAAAAAAAAAAAAAAATAAGCTAACAAATAGTTATTCATGATAGTACCAACTCCGCTACTGTCCCGCCCTAGCCAAAAAACCCACGGGCGCCCCCAAACCCGACAAAACCGTCCCAGCACCCAAACCAGACCCCTTCCACGACCCATCACCAGACTTGCTACTCGCGCAGATCCCCGCCGCAAATCCAACGCATAACCTCGTACTGAACAAATTCCCCGTTATACCCAATCACTTCATCCTCGCGACGACGGCGTGGAAGGCGCAGACGGATATTTTGGAGAAGGGGGATTTGGAAGCTGCGTATGCGTGCGTGAGTGCGTGGCGGGGAGACGAGAAGGTGGGAAGTTCGGGTTCGAGGAGGTTATATGCGTTTTTTAATTCCGGGGATGAGAGCGGGGCGAGTCAGCCGCATCGGCATCTGCAGTTTTTGCCGGTCGAGGACATGCGCGATGGTGAGGACGGGTGGGAGCCGCTGATTGATTTGGTTTCTCCAAGTGCTGCTGGGGGTGGTGGTGAATGTCGACGGTTGAGTCGGTTGCCCTTTGCGCAGTTTGCTCGTCCGCTACCGGCGAACCCGTCGGCGGATGTCCTGCATGCGATTTATCTCTCGCTTTACAAGACGGCTTTTGTAGCGGTCAAGGGGGGAGAAGCAGGGCAGGATATCCCGACTGAGGGCCCCGCGGCTATCAGCTATAACCTGGCGATGACGGAGTCGACGATGATGATTTGCCCGCGGAGAAGTGACAGTGCTCGGATACCGGTCGACGCTGCCGCTGCAGCGAATGTCTCTGAGGCTGGTGTTGTTGCGCTGAATGGGACAATTCTTGCTGGTACGCTGATGGTCAAGGCCGAGGCGGAATGGGATGAGTTGCGCAGGAGTCCGGAGACACTGACGAGCGTTCTTGCGACGATTGGGTATCCCCAGAGAGATCTGCGAGGGGTTTCTTCTCTATGAATGAATCTACTCGGTCTTTTTTCTTCTTCTTTCTTCTATTTTGAAACAGAATTTCCGAATATCTACCGACAAGAGATTGATTGATACAGAGATATTGATCAGGATTATGGTCTATGAATATTCTCCATAATTAGAACAAGAAATGCAACAACGCTTTTTGCAAACAATCGACCAAAGAAACCAGGAAGAATCAAAAGAGAAAAAAGAAGAAAAGTCAACAAAAGAAACCTACTAAATGAAATGGATATTGAAACAGGAAAAAGAAAGAAAAGAGAAACCCATACTTCAACCACTGAAAGCGACATTATGTACCTCACACCACTTCTTCTTACACGTTGCATTCCCAAAATGATATGAACCCCCATGGGCCCAAATGTACTGGGCGACCTTTTTCCATGATATCCTAGGTGGCTGCGTGGTATCTTTTAAGCGACAGAAAGAGCCATACGAGCGAGGTGTTCGCCTGCATGATTCAGAACAGGCATTGACTGCTTCACAGAGAAGTTGTATCTATACAGTTCTTGTTAGTCAAGGCTATCGATAGGAAAGAAGGAAGGAGGGGTATGTCAGAACGTACATCTTTCTCCTGCCATTGTGGTTTCCTCACGCGTTGTTCTTTTGTTTTTGTGAGTGTTCGAAACCTGCCGCGGAGTGTGGATTCTGCTTCTTTGAAGCCGCCGATTCTTTTGATGTCTTTGTATGAGAGGCCGCGGCGCTTGCATTCTATCAGGAATGCGTTTCGGGTGTCGCTGTGGCAGGGGATTGTTCTGATATTCATTCGATCTCGATGGGATGGGTTTGCATCAGGAGTGTGGGTGACGGGGGCGTGGATAGGTGGGTTCAATCGATAAGTGCTCTGATTTTCAGAAGCAAAGGGCACGAGTTGATTAAAAATTTGAGGGGGTATGGGTTGTTCCTTGCTGAAGCCAGAATCAAAGTCTGATCTGCATGGATTTACAAAGAGGGGCGACTCTGGAGGATATTGATCGTGATCCACGAGAGGGAGGCCATGGAAACAGCCATCGTTGATTGCCACCGAGGGATCGAACTCGGGGTTGACGGGGCAGTAATAAGGGTTTCCGTTGGCGAGACATTGCACGTTGACCCAGCTGGCATCGCTGTGGCCGGGGATTTGAGGATGTGTGCTGCTCCATGGACTTGGGATGTCGGATGTTACCCAGGACAGCGGCGTGGCGGCACTGGTTGTGCAGGGGACTGGGGTGTGGGTGTAGCTATCCTCAAGTGTAGTGACAGAGCTCTCATCCGACGAGCCGCGAGACTGCTGGAACTGGGAGGAGAGATCCCCGGAACTGTTGTTATTGGGCAGAGTTTGTCTGCCGAAGAAGAGCTTGTTCTCTGTTGGGTTCTCCACTGGGCCAAACGGGGAGACTGTGTCTTGCTCCTCGTTGTCTTCGGTGAAAGAGGCAAAGTTGTTGGCAGCCAGGTACAGATTGGGCTTTGGGACTGGATGGACAAGATCGTGGGATGAGTGAACGGACCTGGGCTCTTCTTCTCTGAAGGGCCTGTTACTTGGTCTTGGAGGTGTTTCTGCCTCCATGGGAGTGATGAATCCTTCAGGCCAGTAACAGAGGTTCTCCTTCAGCGACTGACCCTGAACCATTGATCGTCTGGTAAACATCGTACCAGGACTTCTCGACTGATGATAATCCAACTGTGGTATCCGCGACTGTTCGCAAGGCTTAACCTCGACGGCTGTGTCAGTGTTTTCGACAAAAAAGCACTTGGGAGACAATTCTGAAGCAACACCGTTGTTGTTGTTCTCAACAGTCAACCATCGTTTGGACATATCCGGATCAGCCAGAACGTGAAGGATCGTTTTATAAGAACGTTGATGGTTTCTTTGGTTTCTTCTATGATCGCCCACTACTTCACCGCCGTTGATGGATGGCTGTATGTGTATGGATGCTAGATACAGCATGTGCATTAGGCTTCTTTTGATGTACGTTGGGCTGGGGCTTATCGGGACACCTGCAGGGTCTTCATGTGTTAGCCTCATGGCATCTATATCTATATGGAGAGGTTTCACCTGCTTGTTCGAGACGGGTGGTTTACTCAAAATCCCTTTGACCAACTAACGGCTTTCCAGGATGATAATCAATGGGGAAAGACTCTTGACCGCAGGTTGATGAGAGAAAGGTACATCAAGTGACGCAAAAGCAATGAGTGGTTTCAGTGATATGTTGGCTTTGGGCACGAATGTTTCTGGATAGCGGTCCGACGATAGGATTCGATTTCGATTTCAGAGAAGAACAGAGAGCAGTTGAAAACAAGCACCTGCTCTTTTGGGCCGAACAGAAGTAAGACAACGACGGAAGAGAACAGAACGTTAAACGATATTCCAACAAGATACGAGAAGATTGTCTAAACAATAGAGAAGGAAGAATTGGATTTCACTCGAGACACGGGGAGATACAAGACAGCAGTTTAAATCGATTTCATACTCCCATCCCGTCACACACCCCTTTTATCACATTCGTCCTCAATGTTAGCCTTCGAAAAGGCCAATTGCACTAACGGGACTGGATCTTGATCACACCCCGGCCAGAGAAGAATGGGCTGAAGCACTATTTCCTTTGATGTTTCAATAAAGTACAACATAGCGATTGCCGAAAAAAGGAACCGGCGTCGATTCTAGCACCAACCTTATGATCTACGGGCTTGCCTGGGAGGGTGGTGGGACCCATATTTGCCCATCTTCTGCTGGATGATCAATTGACAAGTCTCAACTTGATGGCCGCCACCAGCTCGCAGGAACTCTAATAGTCAGATCATCGTTGCGGAAGCAAGAAAGGGGATGAACGGATGGGGATGGATGGATGATTCCAGAGCTCTAGTCTATGACGGTGTATGCACGCAAGACTAAAAGAGATAGAGGAAGGAGATCATCGAGACGAAATGCATTGACTAAAATGGTGTCATTGGACGCGGCTGTTTTACAATTATTCCATCCAGACTCGGATAGCCACACAGGGCAGCTGCTGGAGCATCTGGGCCAATCCAACCTGGCCATCGGCCGAATAGAAGGAATCAGAGACAAGGGAAGAAGAGATACAGAAACAGAGAAGAAGCGCATAGGTGCAGCTGAACGCCACCCGGAATCGAAAGCGAGGGTTTTTGTTGGGCTCACCATCGATTTGATTTGGAGACGTTTGACATCGGAGAATTCGGACGGTTCCGGCGGATCATATGGATGTTAATCGTGTCTTTCTTTATTCTTTTTATGATTTCATCTGTCTTTTTTTATTTACTTTTTTATTTTTTATTTTTTTTATTTCTTTATTCCCGGATTGGTCTGGCAAACTGTGAGTTGTCCTGCCGATCCTGCATATGCGGGTGCCATTCCACTCACTAACTTCCTAACACCGAAAAGAACCGGCTAGAAGAGAGCAAAAAGAGGCAAAGCTGGAAGATATGAAAGAAAGACGCTTTGATCAAATTGAGGCCAAATCATATCAATCATATTCATAACGTGTGACAGCGGCAAACCAGCCGTTGCAACTCGATCGATGTCGATGGTTCACTTCGAGGTTCGTCTTCGTGTGTGTAAACAAACTGTACACAATCCTTCAAAGGCTACAACTTCCTTTTCCTTCTCTAGAGCCAAAACCAGAATTGAAAAAGAAAAAGAAAAGGAAAATTAAATAATTACCGCACTGATAATCCGGGAATTTTCATCCCTAGTTCGCCTTAGTCTCGTCTAGGGACGTTTGCCAACTGAACCAATTCCAACCCCGGAGATCACCACCCGGCGGCTACGTGCAGCTGCACCAAATCCCAAAATATCATCACCATCCCAAGCCTATCACAATCCACGGCGGGTAGAAAAAAAGGAAAAATAATCAAAATTACGACCGGGACTAACCTTCTTTTTTTATTTTCGTTTCAAACATTATTGTTGTTTTACTTTTCTCTGTTATCCCCGCCCGTTGGGATGATCTGCGCATGGATTGTTGCATCTCGATACAACCACTGTCTCTATCCATCCCCGCGTACCATCCCCAAGATAGATAGAGATTGTCTCTTTGGCGCTATGTTATGTTCATAATAGTAGTGTTAATAATATCAATAAAAGTACCTACAATAATATCATCTATTCGATAATATTCTTCCTCCCCCCCCTGTCTACTTCCGCCTCCCGTCTATCCGGTTTGCCAACGGCATCGGCTGGGGCGGATCCAAACGTTTGGAAAACGGGACTTTTGCCTCTCACCGTGCTCTATCATATATTGGTTTTGGTTTCTGATTGATCTGAAAGTCTATAACTTTCTTTATTCTGCATTCTTCATCCATATTGGGTTTTCTGCATTGCTTTTCTCCGTTTCCGTCTATTGATTTCTCCATGCTAGAACCCTACGGGATGCCGGGAGTCAGCAGTTTAATCGTCTGTAAAGAAATATTTACTCTCAATATATTATCCACTGTAGCTTTGGAATGGTGTATGGACAAAGAAGTCAAAAATCCAGACAATACCCCTCGATTCAAATGAGTGCAAATCCCCAGCGTTTTCCATGGATCTATGAATAGAGCATATGTCGATACAAAAGTCTCCCCAGAAAAGCTCATCCCCATGTAGTTCTATCATACCCCGAAGTAATAGACGACTGATAATGCAAAGTATCGTTAGTAGGAATGGGTGACTCCGCGGTCATCGCTTGAACCCGGTTGTCGCTTCCCTGCGTCTGTCGGACTCTTGCCTCTCGCCGCTGTCCAAGATGATCCAAAAGTCGGTCAACCAGGAGAGCTATGTCCTGATTAGAAACATAATCGACAGTACAAAGCGAAATGGGTGCCAACCAACCTGACAGCAATGTAAAGGTGACTGCGTACAGTATAGTCGGAGACTTCATGAACGAATGCTCAAGGGGCAAATGGGCAGAAAATAAGATAAGACCAGACATGAGTATTACAAGAACGATGCGGGCTCCTAGGCCGATGTAGGTATATAGCTTGCGGTTATGACGGCGTGCTAGTGGCACAAAAGCAGCAAATAATGCCATGGCCAGCGTTGCAGCAACGAAGAAGTAAACGTAGACAAACCCCAAAAGATCCATGTACATTGCTAGCAACTGATCACTTGTCATCTGGATTATATCCAATTTCTCCGACGGAGTAATTCCCATACTGGAGAAGAGAGCTGCTGTTACGTTTCCCACGAGATCGTTAATTGTCTCGTCGGTAAGAGAATGGTCAATCCCATTTCCGGGACATAATGGCTTGTTCGGCAAATCACCAAGAATGTCGAGAATTGCAGCCTGTTCTCTTACTGCACCCAGGTTGTAATTGATTTCCATATTGGAAATCGTAGTCCTGAGTAGTTTGATAGCTTTCTCCACAGTTGGCCGTGGCTCTTCGCACGCGTACTGGAACGTTTCCCGAAGGTAGGTAAGTTTTAATGTTATGTCCAAGGCCAGCGCAAGGATTTGGGACCCTTCAAGAAGGAGAATAAGAACCACGTGGAATGGGAAATGAAGCTGGGCCCATACTTGTTGTGAGAGCCTCCCAAATGCCCTCCTTGGAGAAAGATCATAGTAGGCTTGCCAGAGAAGATACTATACCAAAGGGTGAGTGGGGGCTAGGTGGCTGAATAGTTTCAAGAGTCCTCAGAGACATACCACATTAGTCGTAACACCTAGAATGTGAACAAACGACCATTTTGTCCAGCCTCCCGGCCGTACTGTCTTGTTGACAATCCTCGTGACTGATATGACGCCCTCCCCGATAATGATCAGCGTAAGAAGGCCCATTCGCACATTGAGGTGGGTGTTTTGGAATCCGATGTCGGGAGTAAAGTAAGACACACCCATAACCGTCCACATCTCGACGCCAAATAGTACAAACCAAACGGCCCATAAGTGGGAGCGGAGTATATTTTGTTCTTGGAAGGCAAAGGAAATCTATCAAACAGATAAACCATAAATGTGAGCTCACTTCCAACACATGGTTTGTTTCTAGTTCGGAGATGGGCCTACCCCGATATAGACAAGACTCGAGACAAGAAAGGTGGCAGCTATGCCACACACCCCTTTGATACTCGGCCTCATCTTCTTATGCAAAAATAACACAGTAACAGCGTACTGTACAGCCAGTAGAAACCGACTGCCGCCGAGTAGAAGGCTGAGTGACTTGAATGCCCAGATGTTCTCATCGCGAACCCGTGTTGTGAACCGTGTTCCTGCAGACGCAATACCGACCATGACACCAAGCTGTAGGGCCTTGCAAATTCTTTCGAATACCGAATCTCGGGCAAAACGAATGTCGAATAAAGTGACTTGAAGCCAGGTGAACCAAATTACCCCGAGAAACCCGACATACGCCCACAAAGCTGGTTTTCGAAATTAGGCATCCTTGCTCAGTCGATAGGGCATCGCCATCAAACACACCTTCTACATTATTTATCTCATGTGTAGCAGTAAACGTAGAAAGGTCTGCGACAAAGAAGAGATCGAAAAATAGCTCAATTGGAGTCGCGTCCGCATGACAGTAAAGATGAGGAGGGTCGCCATCTTTCTCATCAACCGGAGATTCGATCCAAGTTAGGCCCTCGTGCTGGCTTGGAGGCTACATGAGTTCAGTTCAGAATGATACGATCTATCAATCACTCACTGCTCTGTTTCATCAATCCGCGCGGTCTTACGCAATGGTTGGCGGAACAAGGATAAGAAAGGAGGTCCGGCCATTCTTGGACCATTTTTGTAATATTTAAAAGGCTAATCCATGGGGTATCATAAAATAAAAATGCGTGTAGATGTTGCCGAGTGTCCTGTAATATGTCTGTTGATGAAAAAGTCGAGGCCGCATTATGGAGGTGACAATTGCGACATCATGCTTCGTCGGTTGGAAAGAGCGACGAACGCGTTTTGATTTCAACCAAGAGAACCGAGGCAAGCGCGTAGAAGACATAAGACTCTATCCGGGATATTACGCTTCATCCTCCGAATGACCCGCCTCTATTGCCATCGGAGCACCGAAGCTCTCTAATCCCCGTGAATTTTGCATGTCGCCTCTTGAGGGCTCTCCCTCAGAGCCCGGTGTAACCCCAGCTTCTAACCTGAGCCTCTCGTAGTTATCCCCAGCTTCCTTGATCAAAGCTTGAATTTCCACTTCCCGTACAGCAATGTCAGCCTTCTCTTTTCTCAGCTCTTCCATCCGGCTGATCATCTGTATCTTCGATTTCTCCATGACAATTAGGTTGGTTCTCAGGCGGTCGAGATTATTAGAGAGACGAGGAAGTGAAATCATTTTGGGTGGAGTTTTGGGTCGATCGATGCGATCAGCTCCGCCATGACCCATCGCAGCTCTTGTTTGAGTGGCTTCGTAAGCGGCCTTTTCTTCCAGATCAGAGTCGTCCTCATCTGAATCGACCTCAGCATCGTCGATGAGTTCCCGCATCTCTTCACGTTGTTTCCGTTTGTGTTCGCGTTCTGCTTTCTTTCCGAGAGATATTCGGCCGTCCTCCACGAATTCGTCAAAGCCTTCAGCGAAATCTTCATCATCCCGGATAAGTCGTGTATCCTTCGGTTCCTCTTCCCGGTGATTAGGGTCCCAGTCGCCATCGTCCACATTGTCTTCGAGGGATATGTAGTCCTCCGCCTTTGTCACGCCATAGTCCTGCTCCTTCGCCAAGCGCGCTCTTCTGGCTTTCTTTTCTCTGATTTCTGATTCACTTGGAATAACTGACGGGTCTGCCACTTTCGCAATTTCTCCAAACTTGGCAGCAATATCCAAAGATTTCTCTCTCTCTTCATCCGTTGTTTTAGGGGTCGAGGGTGTCGAATCCCGAAGTTCTTTCAAAGAATCTGCGCTGTAACTTGGTCTATCTTCCTGCCCCGCCCTAAAAGCGAGTCGTTCGGATGCCAGTGAAGGTGCCCCGGGTCTGTGAAGTGCGCTTTTTTCCAATGCCTGCCTCCCTAGACCACGTCGTTTGGGCATGATGACCTCGCTTTCCTGCTCGTCATCCTCAGCCATTGATGTCCCATTTGGAGCGAAAGATATGCGCGATTTGGATTTTTGTTTGGCCTTGGACATTACAGGTCGCTTGACAACTGGACCTGTGTCTATGTATTGTTAGTTTTTGCTTCATTGACTCTCACGGAGGATTTTATCGAGGAAGATACGGACCTTGCTCGTCATTTTCGTGATTTTCTTCATCGTCGCCACCGATTTTGCGGGGCTTCCTCCGGTTAGCAAATGCGGAGCTCATAATGAGTCGATTTATAAAAGATCTGTCTCCGACAGAGTCCGGGAAGATTGAAAATTGATGGGTAGAAATATTGTCAATCCCGCCGCTGCGTCACCGAAGCTCCCGCGTCTTTTGGAGCTTTAGGGAACATCCTTTCTCCGACCCAGCTTATCCCACCGCACGCCTCAAAGTCCGCGCGACAACTCGCTCGACATCACGGAGGGACATTCAAACAGAACCGGCTAGCCAAGATGCCTCAAGCTCAGCCAGAATTGAAGAAGGTATGTTTTGTCATCAGCCAGGGACTCAGTCTCTTTGATGCTTTTTAGAGTACGCTTGCTAACAGTCTTCGCTCATCAGTATATGGAGAAGCGGGTATTCTGCCAACTGAACGGCAACCGCAAAGTCATTGGCATCCTGAGAGGTTACGATGTACGTTGAAAGATCCTCAATTCCAATAAATATCTCGCGATGAATTTCATGCCGGCTTCACGTCATTATTAATGCCGGGACTGCGGGAATTGCACCGAACCGATATCTAATACTTTGTGGCAGGTCTTTATGAACATCGTTCTTGACGAGGCTTTCGAAGAGAAGCAAGGTGGAGAGAAGGTCGCTATCGGCATGGTGGTAAGGATCAACTCGTGCGGGAAACTCCGTGCCAGATTGTTGCTAATCCCGCATACCTAGGTTATTCGCGGTAACTCGGTTGTCATGCTCGAGGTTCGTATATTCCCAACTCTCGCATCTTAACTCGCAAAACAAATGGCTAACTTGTGCGATCTTTATACAGGCTCTGGAGCGGATAAGCGAAAAATAAATGTACATGTCATGGAAACGGGAAGTGGACAGGTCCGAAGGCGGTTTACTTTTCATACACGGGATCATTTTAATTCAATAAGGAGTTCATGGGACGGTTGCTCATCATGGGACGATCGAAGCATTTTGCTTTCATTCACGCTTGTTAAAAAAGAGTTTACATCTCAATCAGAAGGACGTCTTCTGTTTCTACGGTTTTCTAAGTTTATTTCCATCGGAAATAAATCTTGAACTGGAAATTATCTCATGATTGCTGTGCAAGATATCATTCATGACATGACAAACCAAGAGGACATCGGGATCATCTGACAGATAGCCCATGAATCAGATATGTCTGGAAAAGGAACGCCAAAAGAGAAGAAAATAAAGGTCTAGAAACAATATTCATTCCAGCCCCCGCGCCTTAAAGCCAACCTCCACCGATATGAGAAGAAAGTAGCAGTATAAGATACAATGATGAATTTAAAGTGAAATAACACATTAGAAAATTTATTTCGGTTTTTGTCCGAATTTCAGTTTTAGTTTGAACCCGCCGCCTCCAGGGGTAGACGGGGTCGATGGAGTAGCTGGTGTTCTCGGTGCAGCTTGGGGGGCAGGGGAAGAATGCTTTGGTATATGCAGCTTGGGAATCTTGGGAACTTGTGGGCTTGCATGAGATGTAGCGGATGGGGTGCTTGAGCCGATCTTTGACTGCTTGAATGTGATGCGAGGGCCCGGGGGTGGCATTCCCTGCTCCTCTCGCTTGCGCTTTGCGGACGCTGCCGCTGCGTCTTTGGAGGGCGCGAGGGTTGTCCGGACACGACTGGACCGGTAGAAATGCATGCGTCCCTGGATTACATTAATATCGGTAACATATCGTATGGTATATAATTTGGGGCTTTACCTTTCCCAGATGTTTGACTTTCCAGTATCGCGGATATTTCAGCGATACCATGACGGAGGAAACCGTGTCATATAAGACCTTGCAGAGATCGGAAAATTCAAGAAGTTCAAGTACTCCGATACATGGTGAGTTGCATGCGGACCAAAGAGACTCCTTCAAAGTTTGGTCGCCGGAGACTTCGTTCTTGAGAGCCTCCAGCGCCCCGGTGACGGTTTGCCTTCGCGCGAGATCTGCTTGGCGGACCTCCGTAGAGGATTCTTGCTCGATAATCAAGCCATCTGCTTGGACTGCTGGCTCTGAAGTTGTTCCACTGCCGAATGCAACAGGCGCTAGGGCCTTTCCGAAAAGGCCATGGAGTCGCCGCCTAACCCAAAGCGATGAGTCGCTAGACATGGTAAAAATAAACCACCTAAGGAGCTCCGGGCTCCTAAACAAATCAAGCTCGACTAGGCACTCGAAAGCATCCAGGCGCAGCAAGTCGTAAGTTCCAGCCCGGGTATAGGGGAGAAACTGCATCACGTCAAGGTCCAATGCTTTCCCTTGCATCAACTGCATTTGGCAATGCAGTGCAGCTCGTGAATAAACGTTTTGGAAAGAACTCGACCACTCGTCCATTCTCCGGTATCGATCGATTTCGGCAATGGCATCCTTTTCCAATTGTTCTTCTGCCTGTACTTCAAGGACTCGTTCCATGTCGAATTCATCCAAGTCCTCGGAGCGAGAAGACTCAACTCTCCCCAGCATTGCGTGGCACAATGACCGCATTAAAGTTGCCACATAAAAATTATCCGAGAACTAGTGGCTGTATGAGAACAGGAATCTAACTCAGGTAGTTGGACGATTTTCTTACCTCATTGTTGGAGTTATCGTTGAATTTTAACTTATCGAAGAGGAATCGCTTTACCCTCATCGGTGTCTTGCCATCATTATCCCGGACCTTGGATATGGCTTCCGGGATGGCTAATTGGAGAACATATGCAGCTCGATCAGAAAAGTCATTTGATCGGGTCATGGGCGAGCCTGGAATGCAAAAAAGCTCCTGGAAGGCCCTCTCAAGATGGAATAAACCTAACCAGTTGATTTCTTCTTTAGCATGCTTGACCAAGGCTCGCGCAGCAGCCTCACGGATCCCGTAAAAGTATCTACGATCCATGAGTGTGCGGACAAATATTGTGGAGATCAATGGGTGCTCTCGTTGGGCGGCCATATATTGCAGGGACTATCGAGTGGTCAGTGAAAAGCAATGGAGTACAGAACTAAGAGGGGCTAACCTCTAGCTGGGCTATGACATCTCGGTCCTGTTGTAGTTGAGAAAGATACATGTAGCCCGGCATCACCAGTGAGAGTTTGCAGATCCATTCGAAATCTGCATCCATCCGAATCCATTCATATGATTCTTGTCCCATTCGCTCTTCGTCTTCCTTGCTCCAATCAGCGAGCTTCCACTCTTGAATCTCATCTTCTGTCTGTAACACATCACCGAGGCAATAGAGCAAAACATCTTCTTGGACTTCCGCATTCAAATCACCTGATGTGGCAGCGGCACGCTCCTTCTGTCTTTTGTTGCGTTTTAAACGCTTATACTTTGTGTTATATGGGATGTCGAATTTTGTGACACCCTCTTTAATTTCAACAATGTGTTCATACGGCGTGCCGTCAGCTTCGTGAATTCGAATCGTCATTGAGCCCGAGAAAACCGGCTGGACTGTGCCAGCGTAGACGCCCCGAACTTCTTCCTTGACATCTCGCATAAACGCATTTTTATCCAAATCACGAGTAGTTGGCTGCTCGGATTGAACCTGCTTGATCATCATTTCAACCACAAGCTTTTTCTTATTAAATCTTTGGGTGGCTTGAAACCGCGGACAGCCAGCACCGTAAACCCATTGACCGAAGAATCCGTCCAATTTTGCGTGGCCTAACCGTTCGCAGGTCTTCTGGAAGAGCGAGCTAGTAACGGCACCGTTGGGTATGTCGCCCATTCGAGCGTTCAAGAAAAGCCGAGAAATAATCCGGGACATGGTGGCTTTCCCACTAGCCTTCGTGAGTCGTCGATCGAGAATGAAAAGGACAAGAGGAGCTTTGAGTGCAATGAACTCTATTTCAGAAGGGTCAAGCTTCAAAATAGTTCCCATGTCGTAGATTGATGGACGTTCATAATCCAGGTCGCATACCCTGTCCGACATTTGCTTGTGCCGGAAACGATATTCATTGTTGCCGCAAAGTTTTCTCATGAAGGTGTCTGTTATGTACCATGCGACACCAACCGTAACCCAAGTGTCAACGGGTTCCTTTGGAATAATGTTTACGCCTATCCATTGGCACGATAAAGCATGGACCAGTGACCGTGTTGAGTCATACATCTGGTCAATAACTTCTTCAGGGAAAAGTAGGTGGTTACTGCAAATCGACAAGCACGCTGTTGGCATAGTGTCCTCGGCTGTATCATCCACGAAGCACATTTTATAGCTGGAGAATGGATATGATCCATAGGTTAGCGAAAAGAAATCAATCGCTTTCGCCATCGGAAAGTTGGTATTTCTGACTTCGTCACTTCTCCCAGGAAGGCAAAATGCATGTAAAGGAATGGCATTTAAACCAAGTTGCTCGTCCTGGTCGCTTTCACGGAAATCAGATAGATTGACGTATTCGAAAGGCCCTACAGCAAACCCAAGTTGTTGGGCTGAAAGGGGCGAATAGCACGCAAATGAAACTGTCTTCTTGCTGGGATCTTTCGGATCAACAATCTCATCTGTCATATCTCCCGAGCAAACCACCGACAAATCCAACGTCTCATCGTCGGGAGAGATATAACGGCCATTTCCAAGCGAAGTTTTTGGTCGACCAGAGCCAGGAACACCAGATCCATCCCGATGTTTACGGTCGAAAATATCACCCAACGAACATGGGCATTTAACCGATAGTTCCCATGTGCAACGCGATGAAGGGTCATCAATGCAAGGGAAGAGGGGGCAGCCGACACCATACCCAAGGGAATTTGTCGTATAAGCGTGCGGATAGCGTCTATCACCATTTTCCACCCCTACAAACTGCAACCCATCCCTTATATTTTCTATGGAGAATTCGACATTGAGTGACAGAGCCGTGAATCTTGGAAGCGTCGTGTCTGCTGTTTTGGGACCCATTCCATCAGCATCATCGGTGGCACCGGTAGCACGCAGTGCCATTTGATCCTGAGCCTCGATTGAAAAAGGGTCGAGTTCGTCGATCCGAACACTTTTCGGGATTATGACCAACAGATCAGGGTCTGGCGGACTTTTTAAGAGGCCATCGATCTTGGAAGACAGACGCTGGTGATAGTGTGGGCCGTACAGCTGGAGCGACTCGTAAGGGTCTGCATATTTGGTTGTTGCAGCCTTTCCATTAACATTCAACCGTTTAAGCTCACCCTGCCGGAAATTTAAGCGGATGGTTCTGAGGTCTTTGGAGTGTGGGTGGATCGTAATTTCCGTCTTGCCTTTGAGGGCCTTATTTGCGAAATCTATCTCCAGCTCAACCCTCTGATGTGCGACGGTGTAGCCCAAGCCAGGCCAGACAGGGCCGGCTGGTGTTTCGACAACGCCTGGCATCGCGCGAGATACTCAGTCGTAGACTGCGCTGTGAGCGCTACGCGAACCATCCACCGTCATGTCCAAGCTCACTGAGCCATTATATCAGGTCAAATTTCGGTATAATCGGAGGCGCGAAGGATGTAGATGATATTGAAGAGGTGAAAATAGTGATTGGGATGTTGGAGCTTCGACAGCGGGGAGCGATCGGGGAAAAGAAAACAGGATACAACGACTGGGTGAGGAGCAAAAGGCTGTATTCAGGTGGGGCTCATTAAGAAACAATATGTATTCGTATTGTGAGGTCAAGTGTTATAGCAAAAGTGAAGAGAAAAGACTTTTTGTCGTCTCGGCATCAATCATCATTCACTTTCTGCTCATGTCGCGTCCGCTACGTCGAGAGCTGCGGAGCTCGCAACAGCCCGGCGACACGTGATTGTCGGTCGAGGAGTGGGTGCATTGCCCGCCGATCACAGTCTCACACTTCTCCTTCCGGCACGGGGGCAGCCTTGGCCTTACGCTCTTTTTTCCCTCACTCTCTCTTCAAATAGAACACTTTTCAACAGTGCTTCGCCACACGCTTTCCCCCCTTTACTGATCTCCGGAGTTTCTCAATTCTTTTTTAAAAAGACAATTCGCCCTTTCTGGATTACTGATCCCGCTTCTTCAACGGTCACGCGATGAACTAGACACCCTCAACCAACCCTTACTGCGACCTTACGACATTTGAATTGCTCGATCAGATTAGACAAGATGAGTTGGTTTATGAGGAAGGCCCGCGGTAAGTTTTGGGATGCGTCTCTTGTGCTCAATGTCCGTTCCGAGGCTAATCTATATTCTGTCTCGCAGAGGCCCAGGATTCGCTTTCCGACGATATCTTGTTGCCTCTCAAGTCTTACAAGTACTCGAGTGTGGACAAGTCCTTCATTTCTAGATATATTCTGAAGCATTACGTATGCAATAATCCATCCCGCAAATGAAGACTCGCACGCCTTCTCTGACAACAATGGTTTGGTGTTTAGTGGAATGCATTCGTTGAAGTTGTCCCACTCTGGATCGCACCCAACATGGTCACCCTTTTGGGTTTCTTTTTCATCGTGGGCAATATCTTTCTCATTGAACTTTTCATGCCAGATCTTATTGGACCGGTAAGAACAGCCAATACCATCCTTGGATTCGGTCCCTGAATTTTCACTGACTTCGGGATGCTCAAGGGGCCCTCGTGGTTGTATTACAGTTTTGCCTTGGGAATGTGGATGTAGGTCAAGGAACAGCGTGAATTGGTACGTTGGATATAACTAACAGTCTACAAGGTATTCCACACTGGACAATGTCGATGGCAAGCAGGCACGGAGAACGGGAACATCTAGTGGTCTTGGAGAGCTTTTTGAGTCCGTATCCACCGCGAGCAATTGAAAAGACGGAACACTAATTATGTATAGCCATGGAATCGATTCATTGAACTGCACTCTTGCTAGCTTGTTGGAGACCGCAGCAATGGGTTTTGGCTCCACGAAGCTCGGAGCGTACACTGCCCTGATTCCTTGCCTCGCCATGTACTTCTCGACCTGGGAGACTTACCACACACATACTCTCTATCTCGGCTACTTCAATGGTCCAACTGAGGGTCTGCTCATTGCCATTTCCCTCATGATTGCTTCTGGAATCTACGGTCCCCAAATTTGGTCGCAGCCCATCACCGACTGGTTGAACTACCCACAACTCTTTGGCAACAATTCCGTGAAAGATCTATGGCTTCCTATTCTTGCCTTCGGATTCTTTGTCGGACATCTGCCAGGCTGTGTCTTGAACGTGGTCGCCGCTCGAAAGAGCCAGAATCTTCCTGTTGCACCCATTTTCAAAGAGTGGATCCCAATGATTGTCTTTACGGTTTGCAATGTGGCCTGGCTCTTTTCTCCTTACTCGACACTCCTGGCCAACAACAGACTAGTGCTCTACTGCTGGACCATCTCCTTTGTCTTTGGCCGCATGACCACCAAGATCATTCTGGCTCACCTGACAAGACAGCCTTTTCCTTTCTGGACTGTGCTCCTTACTCCCCTCGTTGGTGGTGCAGTGCTTGTAAACCTGCCACATCTGGGTTTCCCTATCATCAGTGACTGGGTTGAACTACTGTATCTCCGGGCCTACCTTCTGTTTGCCTTTGTGATATACATGTACTGGGCTGTTCTTGTCTGCAACAGAATCTCTACTTTCTTGGGCATTAACTGCCTGACCATCCGTAAGGACAAGTCGGCCGCCAGAGAACGGGCTTTCCGCGAGGTTGTTAATCACAACGAGACCGCAAACAAAGATCATTAATTGCTGACATTCGGTCAGGATATCACCCTTGGGTAAACCTGAGTCTTAGTTTTTTTTTTTTAAATCGAATGGCCGCCTGATTCGTCCGAGAATGTCACTGGCCACATAAACCGGCAACCGAGAGGCGAATGAGCCCGTATGGAATACTGAGGTGCTGACTACGTGTGGACATGGCTCTTGCTATTCCGAGGGGCCATGGGTGATGCTCAAAGTTTCTTTTTTCTCTTTTTTTTTTTTTTTTTTTTAGAACACCTTTCCTTGTCTTGTGTATACGAACTCTTGGCTGCATTTATGCTTCTGATACCCGTTTGCATATGCCCATGTTTCTCCAATATGTTCACGATCCCCCGTTCATTGTTCAGGCGCAACCACTTAGCATTATGAGAGGGCTCTGAAGTTGGAAAGTCTCCCAGGCAATTATAATGATAATATCGATAGTTTAGATGGAAATATAACTAACTAGAATACACATACACAGTACCAGAACTAGTAGCACCGGAATTATTAACAAAACTTAATCGAAAGGAAACAAGCCAAGGAGTAAAAGAAAACAAAACAAAGTGATTGTGAAGGATTATACGAGACCAGGCTCGGGCACATGACTTGCTCATTGCTTCTTCCCTGTCAACCCCAAAGCATCTGTCACGGACGACAATCCCAGGCTTCCCAACAGCTTGTCAATGCCCAGGCCACCCAGTAGGCCATGCACGATCGGGCCGAGTCCAAGGCCTTCAAGAAGACGACCAACAAGGCCCAGTACACCGGTCAGTAGAAGACCAACAGCAGTGATGATCTGGAAGAGCGGTTCGCTGAGAAGAGCCCAGAGTGGGTTGAGCTCCTTCTTAGCATGGGGCATATCTGCAATCAGCCTACGGCCATTCTCAATGGTCTTCATGACAAAGTCTGCCATTTCCTTGAGCTGATCAGCCAAACCATATTCCTCCGGAGATGCTTCATGCGAGGCAGCGCGGGCTTTTGCTGTGGCAGCGATATGGCCATCTGGGTCCAGCGCTCGAATTGCACCGTTGCATTCTTGGAGGACTTGATTGCCTTGCTCCAGTAAAGGCTTGACATTCTGAACCAGTTTCTCCTCGTCCAACTCGTCGCGTGGTGTACGGTCGGCTTTTTCGATATGCTGCAAATATCATTCAGAAAACATTATCTTAGGGTTGTCAAAGTGGGGGAATATATATATACCTCAGTGATCATATTACATATCGGTCGGAGGGAGCCCATTGCATGCCCAACAATGCTACTCATCTTGTTCGCCAAGTCTCGATCTTCAGCGGCCTGTTTCTGGGCCTCCAGCTCTTCTGGCGATGGTTCTCCCATTTTGTTGCCATCATTATCCACAACGTAGCCATTGTCATCGATTTCCTTGCCGACGAGGGTTCCCAGATTACCTGAGGTCAGTTTCCCAATGAGGTTGCCATCGCTGTCGCGCACCTCGCCTTCGCGAGTGACTTTGCGACCAGACATGGGGTTGACACTGCGCTTCTTTTCTTCGGGCTCCCAGCGCTCGGCTTTCCCAATCGAGTTTCCATTCTTGCCGAGCACATCTCCATCTTCATCGACCTTGCGGCCCAGGAGTCGCTTTGGGTCTCCTTCGATGAGACGTCCAATAATACGACCCGAGGCATCAGCCACGGTTCCGTCTTTGCCAACTTCGGCGGTCTCAAATCCGTAAAACGGCCCTTCAGTCTTCTCCTGCTCTGATCCATGGATGAGGTCTGCTTTGCCGATTACCTTGCCATCGTCACTCCAAATCTGACCTTGGCCATCGACCTTTCTGCCCGCAAGTCTCTTGTCACCGGAGGTGATACGACCATAAACCGTTCCTTGAGCATCGACGACATTGCCCGCCTTGTTGACCATCTTTCCCTCTAGCGAAGACAAGTCCACCTCTTCTACCTCCTCCTCGGGAGGTTCGTATGGCTCCGCATGGCCCTTGACGCTACCAAACTTGTCCACAATGTCGCCGTCTTCGTCCACAATACGACCACGAAGCTTCTTGTGGTCACCTTCAGTGATTTTACCAATGATGTTGCCATCCTCATCCTCGACTAATCCCTCCTTGTTCACGACAAGGTTGTCAAGTCCAGCAAACGGACCTTCTGGTTTGTTCTCGCGCTCGTTTTCGGGGATAAGTTCAACACGACCGATGACCTTGCGTCCATCGTAGATTTGGCCATCATCGATCTCTTTGCCAGCGACTTCTTTCAGGTTTCCGTCTACCACACGTGCAATCGGCACGCCCTTTGGACCAACCACGTATCCCAGCTTGTTGGGAATAAGACCATTCAAGCTGGAGAGGTCAATTACTTCCTCGTCTGGCGGTGCCCAGTATTCAGCTTTGGCAATAGAATTGCCAAATTTGTCGATGACATCGCCGTCTTCATCCACTGCGCGGCCTAGAAGCTTTTTGGCATCTCCCTCGATTAGCCTGCCCACACGCTTCTCGTTTTCGTCTTCTATCCATCCATCCTCAACGACGTGAAGACCTTCCAAGCCCGCGAAAGGTGGTTCTTCCTCATCTTCGTCGAGAGCGATGGTTTGGGCTTTACCGATGACGTTGCCTCGACCGTCCCAGAACTGGCCCTTGTCGTCAAGTTGAGCGCCAAGCTTGGTGATCTTTTTGGCGTCGCCTTCGATCAGCTCGCCCATGGGTCTGCCGGTAGAAGTGCTGACAATGTTACCTGCCTTGTTGCACTTTAGCCCTTCCAGTGTAGAGAGTGGAGGTAGGTTCTCGGTGGCTTCCACGGCGTCCTCAGTCATCTCCTCGGCGATTTTATTAACCTCGTCGGGTTCTGGAACAGATTCTTCGGCCTCGTTGACAGCATCCTCAGCGACTGAATTTGTGTTATCAACCATGTTCAGAGGAGCATCACTCTGGGCTGTTTCTCGAAATGTCTGGACATCATCTTTGGCCTGGTCGAGAGGGACCGACTCTTCAGTATCTTTGACACCTCCCAAGGCTTCTTGGGCGTCTTCGGGTAGAACATCGGCGCGGCCAATTAGGTCACCGTCATCGTCGAGGACCTCCCCTTCGTCATTGAGTGTATAACCCACGAGGTATTCTGGATCTCCTTTGGTGATCTTTCCAATGACCTTGCCAGCGGCATTCTTGATGACACCGCCCTCCGAGATGGGGAGGCCGTCGAGATCGGCAATATTTGCCGCAACATCCTTGACCTGATCCACTGCGGGCTGTACTTGGTTCGGAATATCCGTTGCCCCTTCGGTAGCATCCTGGACTGCATTGGGCAGGACCTCGACGCGACCAATAAGGTCTCCATCCTCGTCTAGGATCTTGCCATCGTCTCCAATCACCTGTCCGACAAGATCATCGGACTCCCCTTCCACCACTTGACCCAAGGTATTTCCCGCCTGGTCGAAGATATTTCCACCCTCGCCAACCTCTAGACCTTTCAAGCTTGAGAGATCGAGAGGGATTGCATTATCCACGACATCCTGACCTTTCTGTGCTGTATCCTGGACCGTATCCTTGACCTGGTCAGTAAGAGTATTCGTCATCTTGCCAGCCAGACCAGCAACGTTCCCGAGTGGAGTAGCAGAGCCGGATGCCTGGGCCTGATCAGCCTTTGGGACAGGAGAAGCTAGGCCACGCTGCTCATTGTTCGCTATCTTCGGCTTTGGGGAGGGTATAGCAGGCTTCTGTACGATCTCGTCTTGGATAGGTGCTGGATTTTTGCTTTGGAGCTTGCGGGGAGAACCCTTCTTTGGCATGGAGCCCAGCTCGACCTTTGACGCCGTGCTGGAGCCAGATGCCTTTCGAGTCTTGGTTGGAGTGGAGGAGTTTCGTTGGGTGAGCTTTGGGGTTCTTTCGGTGATGGGAGAAGACATTTTGATTGTGTTTGGCTGGGATCAATTGGCTGATAGGTTTAGTTATGGAAGGATGAATACTTCCATGTGAGAGTTACTAACAAGTTTGAAATATACAATGCGCGTTGAATTGGTCGTGGATATTCGTCAATCAAAACAAGCGTCAATATAGTTCGATATTGCAATGATAATTAAATGAATCGTCACTCGATGAAGCGTTAAGAATATAATTTCACAAAGATGATATTATAAGATAAAACTGTTGTTCTTGATTCTTCAACACCGTCCTTCGACCTCTATAAATCTTTGTCGAGGAGTATACATCCTATCCACCTACGTCATGACCTTACGACATCATCGACATGTACACCTCGACAAACGATCAGGAATTTGATCTGTGGCTGATCATGCTGATCATGCTGGTCATGCTGGTCATGCAGGTCAGGAATATACAATGCACAATGATCAGAAATCCGGTTGACAGCCCGTCAACAGGCTGCATTCTCTGGTACAGCCGGGGATATATCCATAGATGGATGGGACAGGTAAAGAATGGTTGATCGAATCAGAATGTGAAATTGGCTAAAACACGGTACCTATATTATATTTGAAGAATGGCATTGCCCTCTCATTTGAGGGTCCACTTTTTCTGTCTTCTCCACTGTCTCATGTTGTGTTTTGGAGATGGACGGGAGTGAAGGTGTTATGATTGATGGGCGGGGATTCTGACTGGTTGGGATCATTATTGCGTCAGAAACTATCGATATAGTGTACACAATTAATATCTATTGTTATGCAGACGTATGTTTCTCAATAATAACATTTAATTATATGCAGACAGTTTTAAGTAGTTTGAGTAGTAACAACCAGTGCAAGTGGAGAATACCTGAGTAGAGCATCATAAAAGACCGAGAAAACATCCATATCGGATCCGAGTGGCAGATCGTCTCAGCCACTTTCACCCAACTGATATCATCACCAGCCTATCACAATTGCATCTAAATACCAGGTTGTTTTCTCCAGTGGCTTGAAGGAATTTCATAAGACGATAAAACAAGATCGATGCGGTGGCTCCGATGACGTGCAGGTCTGGCCTCAGGCTTCCCAGGCCGCGTGGGGTTGACCCACCATATATGAATTGGATTTGCAGCGCGATGGATGTTGTCATGTAAACTATATTAGATTAACTGATAAAGATAGATGATGTGGATCGGCTGGTATATGGGGTGGGATCGATGGTGATTTGTTCGATCTGTTGACTATCATTATGTTGATGCTGCCAGTTTCTTCCAGGGGTCTGCTGATGCTCAGATTAGGGAATGATGTTTTTATTGCCGTCTTCTTCTCACGATCCATGGATGGGAATTCTCGATTATATTCTTGTTTTGACGTAATGCCATCTTGGTCGACTGCGATGATCTTGTGGCGTTAATAAACACAACCAGGTAGTTATCACCAAATCAAGCAGGATGTAGTCCGCAGCAGTAGGAGAGCAGGCGCAGTTTTTGTAGTTTGGATGGTGATTTCCAATAATTAATTGGCTTAAACTGATTTGTGTGATGATAGCGGGGCAAATCAACCATCTCAGCCTCACTCTGTCGCCTCCTCAACTCCCCTGCAACTTCAGCAAAGTAAATGGCTTCTTCACTGTCCTTATCAGCAGGCCGGGACTGCCTCTCCAGTCTTCCCATCGAACTTCTCACATCAATTCAATCTTACTTGCCTAACCGCGACATCAAATTCCTGCGCTTAACATGCACATTCTTATCCAAGGCAGTACAACTCCGTTTTACATGCGTTTTCCTGTCTGCTAATCCACACAATATTAGTCTTTCGTGCAATCGCAGACCACAAAATATTCCACAGGAAAGTTACTGAAATAATCTGGGATGATGCGCGCTTCATCAAGACCCCAGACTTGGAGGGAATCCACCCTTCTGAGCTCGATCCAGTATTAGGCATGGACTCCAATGAAGGATGTCCCTACTGGTTTGTCAAGGAATGCAAGAAGAACATCACGAATTTGAAATATCGAAAGGGCCAGGACGTGGAACGGCCAGATCACATTGCACGGGCGGATCAGGTTGCCGCACAGCCGTCATTGAGGGTATGTTGGCAGTATTATCAGAATCTGCTACAGCAACAGGAAGATGTGCTCGTCTTTAAGAGTGATGTCGATGCTTTCATATACGGACTGAAGCGGTTTCCCGCACTGAAAAGAGTTACAATCACACCTGCAGCTCATGGATGGTTGTTCGCCCCGTTGTATGCGACACCGATGATCCGAGCATTTCCATACGGATTCAACTACCCGATTCCACGGGGATGGCCAACATCAGAAGACGCACAGACACCACCGTATGCTTATTCATGGCAAGATATGAACGAGGAAATGAAGGATCAGTGGCGTGGGTTTCGTATTGTTACGCGTGTGCTCGCAGAGCAAGAGCATAACATCACAGAACTCATCTGCAATGTCAACCAGCTTCCCACTGGACTCAACTGTACGATGTTTGATTATCCATGCGAGGAATACGATAAATTGGCATCACTACTTAAACGCCCAGGTTTTTCTCATCTTGATCTTCCCATGATTGTTCGCGGAAAGGAGACTGTTCCTTGGCCGTTGCTCCGTAATGGATGCCTTCTTCGTCAGGCTTTGAGTGAGGTAAAAGACATAGAATATCTCAGGTTGTGGACATCAGCGGAACCCGATGCAATTGACTATGCCATTTTGATGAATGGCATTGGGTCTCTCCACAGATTTATCCCGCTGCAGACTTTTCTTCCCGTGGGTAAATGGTCGAAACTCCGCCACTTTGGACTATCACGCTTCCCAGTCATACAATCCGACCTGGTTTCCGTTTTAACTGCACTACCAGAAACCACACGCACCATCGAGCTAGGCTTTCTCTATTTCATCCATTATGGCGGCAGTTATTATGGCCTACTCACTGAGATTCGCGACAAGTTCCGTTGGCACGAGCGAGATGTGGCCGCGAGGCCCAAACTTATTATTGGTGTGCCGACAAATACACCCCATGTTGGTGTTGGCACCTGGATTGAAAATGAAGTGCACAACTTTCTCTACAAATTCGGGCCAAATCCATTTTTCGATCATTGCTCGGATTATATTGAGTGTGGGGTGGGGGTTGAACGAGATTCATTCGAACCCAAGCATGAAAGGCCTAATGCGGAATACTCGACTTTGGTTCAGATGGGATATTACCGCAAATAATTCACCGCAAATAATTTCTGAGGTTTTATCTAGACCTGTACGACGCCTAGGAAACCAACGATGTCAAAAATTAAATGAATATTGCTTGACTCATCGGAGAGATGAAGCTGCGGCACTGAGCCGGCAAGACAGTCAATCCTCGAATTTTAGATTTATGCTAGCCCAACCACCACTTACGACGCACGCAGCCGTTTTGAGAAGCTGTGATATACACTAACTCGTGCTGGTTTCTGTCATTGGCTTTTGATATGGGAGCACCAGTCCAAAGCGCCCTTGGATTGGCGACACGTAGTAGCAAGTCGCAAGGTTAATGACTCGCGCCTGCATTGATATTCCGTTTCAAAAGCCTCGTTCCTGTCACGACTTGACCTGAATGGCCGTTAACACACCAGGAGAAGAACCCTGGAGAGCTCAAGGGTCCTCTAGGCCAATCGCGTATACACATTGTACAAGGCACCAGTCCTTGGAAAGACGCTGTGAGGGTGGTAGCCATATAAAAAACGCCACACCCTCAGCTCTCGGGATTTGATGAGAAGCAAGAAGAGCCACTCAGGCTACGGAAAACCCTAGTCAACTCGATGAACGAGCCCCCGCAAATATGGCTGTGCTGTGTTGTTAATTTAGCGGAGTAAGCGCTGCGCCGCTTATACAATCCTTACGTTTTGCCTCATCCTACCACAGATACCAACACCACTCAAAGCGCCAGCCTTGAGCTGGACGACGTAGCATGCTGGTCAGATCTGCCTTGAGTGAGTTATACCCCTCTCACTGGGTTGATTTTCTATATAAGTTCCTCGTTTCCCCCAGAAAACCATCTACTTAGCTCTTTATCCAAGGCTTGTACAAGCAACGTTTCTTTGTATTTCTGACTGTCCCATCACCAAATTTCCTTTTTTCTATTACTATTTATCACTCAACATGCCCCCCAGAGGACGAAAGCCGGTTGAAAAATGGTCCATGTACCCAGCACTCCACGACGACGTCTGTCGCCTACTAGACGAAGAAGACCTCACTCTCGACTTCTACACAATCGACGAAGATGACGGTTGCACCGAAGACCGCGACACGAACATTATGGGCCGATTTATATGCCACAACAGCGCCTGTAAATCGAGCGGATGGTCGAGCAAGAAAATCGCCATCACAATACGCATGTACCCCGGACAGAGGTACAATGCAAGAGTATACCACCAACGCTGCAAGAGCTGCAAAAGTCTCAGTCGACCTATTCTGGATAGTTCTTATGCGGAACGAGTCACGTACTGGGTTAAGAAGTGGAATGGGATTGAGGTGGAGAGGCCGACTACATTTAGTGAGAGCAGAGGTCCGCATAATAGTCGACTGTGTGAGGGATGCAAGGCTGGTCATTGCAGTGAGTTGAGACGCGAGAATTTGGTTACAGTAATGAGCAGGTGAGTTCGAGGTCCAGCTTCGTCTTGTATTCGACTAATCGCTGTTCAGGTTGGCTATCTAGATCTGGTAAACATATCAGGATGGATGAGCATTTTGAAATCACAGTTTATACGAACTGGGATAATGCTGAATGCCGTTTTATTGTTATTTTAAATCTGGATTTTAAATTATATCAAATGTTATCAGTTGAAGCCAGTATCTGAATATAATAGAGGACATTCAGTAGCCATCCTATGAAAGTAGTAATGAAACCCGCAACATTTATGTCGAGATATCGAATACTAGGTTTATCTGTATACCTACTAACACCTATTTTTGTATCTCATCAGCAGATGGTAATAGAATGCCAGATCATACTGTCACTGACAGATAACGTACGCGCAATACGGTCTAGTGTCTCCCCAATCCAGTCGGGGATTTTTCCATCTTTGATCTCTCCAAGATTATCTCTTCTTCTTCTCCTTCTCCTTCTTTATGAAAATACAGACTTCAATCAAAGATTCATCAAAAAGTTGATCATTTCCAATTCCATCTTGTCCGTTTCCATTCTAGGAAAGATGTCATCCCGCATTCCTATCAGCAAGAGTAACACTGCTGGCCGGCCAACGGCGCGATAATAGCACGAGACTACAACCCCTCTCCGGAAACCTGGCCGATCAACCAATAACTCTAAGACTTCCGAAGTTGGCGGCAGGTTTGTCCTGATAAGAGTCATTTGTCTGATAAGACGTTATACAAATTCGCGACAGCCTCCCTGTCAAGGCGATGCAGAATACCCTCGTCGGCTTTGCTATTCCCCGCAAACAATCCCCCCAAAGATGGACAGTCCTAAAATCGCCCCCGCTTCCAATGCAAGGCCCCTTGACAACAGCAGTGGATCTGGGGTCGTCCAGGTTCAGAATGCTGATGAGTTGCGACTGGCGCAAATGGGTATGTTGACTTGATCTTTGGGTGACTTCTGCTGATGATTGTTTTTCTAGGCCATAAACAAGAATTAAAGCGTCACTTTTCAGTATGGAGTTTGATAGGGCTGGCTGCGAATTGTACTATTTCATGGACTGGTGGGTGAACATAAGATACGCAGGGATTGTCTACAACTCTGACCCCTATGTTTCTAGGCCTTGGTCTTGGCCTAATAACAGCTATCGACGCTGGTGGGCCTGGTGCACGTACGAAATACCCTTCTATTATAAACCGAATTTTATATCTAACCATCTCAGTCATCTACGGCTTTATCCTTGTGTTCATCCTCCAGTCCTTCCTAGCCGCATCCCTGGCAGAGTTTGTTTCAGCATACCCTGTCGAAGGAGGAATGTACCACTGGATTGCAGCGATCGCCCCGAAACGTTATAACAGTGCCCTGAGCTTTGCGACGGGCTGGAGTACAGTCTTTGGATGTATGTTGGCTATGCCACGTGCGTCATAATTTGTGAAACTAATGATTCCAGGGATCTTCACTACCGCTTCGACCAATCTGATCTATGCCACAAACTTTATGGCTCTTATTGCCCTATACAAGACAGATTTGGTGATAAAGCCCTGGATGACCTTTGTGGCGTACCAAGGATTCAACATTCTCACATCCGGGGTAGTGATGTTTGGAAACCACTTTATTCCAACGATCAATAAGTTTTCATGTGAGCGTTTCTTATACTGATACGGAATTCATCCAATAACCTATCTTTAAAAGTATGCTACTTGCAACTGGCGTGGTTCGTCATCATGGTCACAGTCGCCGCCTCGGCGCCCACACACAACGATAGCAAGTTCGTCTTTAGGACTTGGATGAACAATACTGGCTGGGAGAACAATGTGGTTTGCTTTATCACAGGGCTTGTCAATCCGCTTTATTCGCTGGGTGGGCTAGACGGTATTACAGTATGCATTTTATCCCAATTTTCGAGACAAGACTAATTGGATGCAGCACATCACCGAGGAAATGCCAAACGTAGGTACCTATCTACTGTTGAAGTGGAATAGTAATTACTGACCTTTGAAGCCTGGAAGAAATGCTCCTTTGGCACTTGGTGAGACCCATTGACCCGGGATGGTTAAAAAAGGGACTAACAATATTCTTCGATAGCATGCACTATCAGCATAGCCTTTGTCACCGGACTGACCTATCTTCTCAGTCTTATGTTCTCTGTCCAGGATTATACAACGCTTGCCAGCTCTCCAACGGGCCTCCCTTTGGCTGAGATCTTTCGACAAGCAACGCAGAGTCGTGGTGGTGCATTCGCTCTAGTTTTCTTGTTGTGGGTTGCCCTGGGCCCATGTATGATCGGTTCACAGCTTAGTAGGTGCCATTCCCAAGCTATACATACACCATACACTTTCTGACCTGCTAGGTACCGGAAGAGTATTCTGGGCTTTTGCTAGAGACGACGGTCTCCCCCTTTCAAAGATGTAAGCGACACATGTCCCTCGGCTGAATTCTCATTTCTGATAATTTCTCAGCTGGGCCAAGGTCAACCACCGACTCGGTTCTCCGTTCAACGCCCAGCTATGTGTGGGTGTTATTATAGGCCTACTAGGCTGTATTTATCTCGGATCCAGCACTGCATTCAACGCAATGATGAGCTCCGCTGTGTACGTTATACCCACATCTCTTTACCTCTCTTCAGTTTCAAAAGCACATAGCTAAGCCTAAAGAACAGAACGATCAATAATATAGCTTACCTAGTTCCCATCTTGACCAACGTGCTTCGTCGCCGCAAAACCATGCACAAAGGGCCATTCTTCATGGGCCCTGCCATTGGAATGGCCGTGAACCTCGTGACTGTGGCATGGCTCATCTTCGCCATCGTCTTCTTCTCCTTCCCATACTACATGCCAGTAACCGGTACGTCTCTTTAAACAATTTTGCTGCCGTCTCAGTTAAATCTGATTTACTTCACAGCATCTAATATGAACTATACCTGCGTTTGCGTTGGCGGATTCCTCTTCATTGAACTCGTGTGGTGGATCGTCGCTGGGAAGAAGTATTCGGGGAGTATGCAGAAGGCAAGGGAAGAAGAACAGACGGCTCAGACGGTGGTTATCCCCGATGGCAAAGATTAATACTGCCATCACGTCCGGCAAGCAGTCAACACCTCAGCTTTTATATTATATATTTTAACTCACTACGAAGTCATGCTTATAGTGGTGATGATAGATGAGTTGGTGCTTTAGCTTAACTCTGGATAGAAAATGAATGCTTGACATCATTTCCTTAGGTCTTCCGAACTGCACGGGACGGAAAGACCCTTATATTCCCGTTCGGGTTAGCGCCCCCTCTGCCCCATGGCTGCCTGGCACCCTTAAGCTTTCGTGGCAAGGCTTGGTTGTTAACAAGATAATCAGGGTATCTGCCATCGTCATCATTTCCCTCATAGAATTAACTCAGATCATCAGTCCAAACCAAGTTTTGGTACAAGGTTTTGCACAATTTAACTCTCCCTTCCGTTTTCCTTTTCTTTTCTTTCTCTTCCTTAAATCCTGTAGCCTGTCCATTTAATAGCCGCCCAACATGTGCGTTAACCAAAAATAATTACACCGAAAGTGGAGACCCTCATTACCTTGTAGCAATAGCATGGGGATTCGGAATGTATAATACGGAGCCCGCGGCCCCCGGATATTCGAGGTAGCCTAGGAGGAAGGCTGAAACAAGGGCGCGGCGCCTGCATGCGGTAAAATGTCTGTCACTGCGCTCCCGCCCAGGGTTTCTCGGACCTGTGGTTTTGTAGGGCTGATCAAAGCTTATTGCACCATCCAATCCGGGATGAAAGAACGTCACTGCCTAGAGCGAACGGTTGATCTTCATGGAAGCCGGGCACTGCCCAAGTGATGCAGCAGGGCAGCCAGTTCCAGTTCCAGGCCGGGCCGGATGGCCTGACAGGTTGACATTTGTCCTGCCTTGGGCGTGCACATATCCCCTTTACTGCTTTGGTACAAATCACTCACAACTCTGGTTGGCTAGTCGCATATTAACGTCAGAGCAAGGCTTTTCATATTAAACCATGGCCACCTCCCATGTCTGCCTTCGTGTGGTAACATTACCCAACTCTCTATCCAGACCCGTGGCCGTTGATCAAGACGATGTATTCTTCGTCGTTATCCCTGGAAACAGGGTACGAACAATTGAGTCCAAAGAATGCACAGAAACGCCGACCAAATGCCTCCAAGCCAAAGCGGAATACCACAAATAAGCGACTGCTCCTAGACCAAGTCAATGAATCCTTGATAAACCAACTATACACTCTTCCTAGGCAGAAGGTATGCCAATCCTGCATGTCGTTTACAGACGCTTTTCTTGACGCGGGTACTTTCAAGTCATCTGTCAGTTTGCATAGCGGCAGTAGCAGCACTCTTTTGAACTCTGCCCCAAGCACAGACACAGTGTCATGCAACAGCAGCACTATCACCAATCGATACCCGAACATTGACTCCCTCGACCTCGACAAACTCGCATCACCGTCACCTAGCGAACCGAAACAAGCTAAGCATTCTGATGTATTCACCTTGGACGACTTTACATCGACAGAGACAATAAAGAAGCTTGCAACACGCTATGGGAGGGTCTCGCACATGGGCATGCTTGATAGAAGCTATAGCTTTTTCGTGAATAAGAAGCGCACTGGAGCCCTTTCGTTTAAAGTGCAAAACAAGGTGGCAATCGTCACAGGTGACCCACTGTGTGATCCAGACTTGTTCACGGAGCTCCTCGCCGAATTCGAGGAGTATAGGAAAGGGCGCCATTATGGTATTGCATACCTAGGGGCCAGCGAGATCTTCGCCCATTATGCCAAGCAGCGGAGTTGGACGACTTTAGAATTTGGCAAAGAGCGGGTTCTCAATCCGATGACCAATGATGTTTTATTAGAACGGAGCGGGAAACGGATCGTTGTACAGAACAAGCAGCTATTGTGCCGGGAAAAAGGTGGAATCGCTATAGGTTTGTATGTGCCTAGGCGTGGAGAAGATCCAGATTTACAGCAGGAGTTGGTAGCGATTTATGACGCGTGGAGGCTGAGGCGCAATCAAACATCGTCGACACAGGCCTTCATCACGGTCTATGATCCCTTTTCCCTCCCTGACATGATGACATACCTTTACACACGAGGACCAGACGGGGCAGCCAACGGGTTTGCAGCACTTCGGAAAGTTGGTGCCAATGAAGGATATCATATCGACCCCTGCATTGCCGCTCCCGGGGCGCCTAGAGGGATCAGTGATTTGCTGGTTTTTGCGGCAATGGCATTTTTGAACCACGGAGGTGTTTCATATCTCAGTCTAGGATTCGAGCCTCTGGATAATTTGGGTGAGACAACAGGCATGTCTCGTCCACTTGAAAATTTCACTCGCGCTCTACACCGCCGCACCTTCCGACGGTTACCCGTCGAAGGAAAGAAAGCATACCATGACAAATTCAGGCCTGATAAGTCACAAGAATCAAGTCTGTATCTGATATTTCCCACTGGAGTGCTCAGCCCTCGTGCGGTGGTTGCGATGGCTCATATGGCTAATATCAGTATCCGCAAGATAGTGCTTGCAGAGGAGAGATCTTCCCGAAACAAGCATTCGCAAGCCAAGCAAGACCAGATCAGGGGAGGTTCTCAAGAAACCCGAGACAGAGGCTAGGATAGCATCATTTACACCGTTGTAAGCGGTGTATACACTCTGACTTCGGTGAATGACCAGCTAAGCCACGGCGATGCACAAAAACAAGACGGGTGATAAGAAGTAGAAGAGATGGGTCATGCAAAGAAATTTTGTTGTATTATAGCAAAGGCGTTAAGCGGTGATCCCAGGGATATTTGTGGAAATGGAAATAAGTCATCTACTCATGTCAAAAAAAGAAAATATAGGACTGTTTTGCCCTACCGCTCCGGTCACTCCAATGCAATGCGGGACAGAACGTAACATCATAACTCAACGGTGAGGCTGCAAGTGAAATCGATGAATTAATTTAACACATTCGACCGAATAAGAAATCCTTGACGATCGGTGAACCGGAAAATTCGGGGTTAAGGAGAACGCAGCTAAGTCAAAAGACGTTATAACCAGTGATGATTTGGAGAAGGCCCACGAAAACTCACTTTAGAAAATACTCCAGCCCAACACGTCGAGATTCTAAAAAGGATGGGCGGAATTTGACTGAAATCACAAGTTGTCAGCTGAGCAATATCTCTCTCAAGGCCATGTCCAAACATACAAAACACGCTTTTTGGTGGAAGAGCAGGAAGTGCATTCTTTGCGTGTGGAAAAGCGGCCCGCAATTGTCGCCGTAAATCATCAAACTCTGAATATCTAATCAAAGGAAAGGAAGTCAGCTAAAGTCCCAACTGCTTTCCAGTGTTCATTTCATCACGGCACATACCTCATACGGATCTTAATGGGACCTCCCTACAATAATCGTGAGCTTAGAGGTCCTTAAAGCGGACCATGATGACCTACCTCAAGCGTTTGTATCATGCAGTTCCAAACCACGTATGCTCCTACACCGGTTTTCCCTTGGACGACAACATGATCATCCACTGAAACGCTCCTAGCCCATAGCCCACGACTGGTCTCCGAGTCCGGGTCCTCGGTGTGATCTTCTAAAGTGATAGCAGGAGACTGGTCTACAGAAGCCTGAGAAGCACGGGATGTATTCCGATGATGACTCCAGTATGGGGGGATTATTCCGGACACCGGACGGTCCTTGGACGGGGGGTCGCGAGCTTGGGGCAAAGCCGTGCCATTGCCGGCATTCAGACCATTGCAACTCGGTGCGGCTGCAGTTGTATGAGAATTAGGCTGGGAGGGAGTTGGGACAGTCGGGTGTGGCCGAGGCGCCGGGCCAGTCTCCTCATTCGCTAGCTCCATCCATTAGATGTCTCGAAGGGAACGGGTGAGATATGGTATGGACCTGATGACAGCAGCCGAGGGTCAGTGGAAAATGGTTAATGCGGGGATGTGAGTGGCGGAGGAATGGTGAACGCAAGGAAAGATCACTAACGTCGCCTACTAACGAAGCTTGCACGAAGCAGGTGTACAAAGCAACACTAAGGTATGTAGCTGCGACGGAGGCGATAGAGGATAGGGTGGATTCGGAATGAGAGAAAATAGAAAGACGAGCGATGACTCGACGGAGAATTCAAGAATTAGGGTGATTGTCTGTGGAGGTGTGACAGTATGTAGTACTCGAGCAACAATGCAACGGTTCAGAACTGAACATCTCCAACTTTGGTTGTTGGAGGCAAAACGGCAGGACAACGCAAGAGAGATCAGAGCCAATCAGAGCGGTGCCAGGTCACGGGAACGCCAAGGAACAACTGAGTGAGCCTGGCTCGATCCGACAGTCCTCCATGTGGCTACCCATAGGGACTATAACTAGCACAAGATGTAGTTGTTGAAGCAATATGTAATAGAAAAAAGTATCTTCTACAGAGTACATATCAAAACAAATCATTGAATTATCGCTCACAACACGATGTTGAAGACTGACATGTCACTTTGGCGAGGCACTTGAATTGGTCGGGCGCAGAAGCCGATTCCATTTTAGGCCCTGCAGAGCCAGCGCTAACGAAGTCCAGCAGTGCACCGGCCAATCAGCATCTGAGATGGTGGTCACGTCCTCCAGGCGGACTGACGGTGCATCGATATAAAATAAAAATATACCACAGGGTCGTCGATTTCTTTCAAGTTCTCAACATGTGTGTTACCCACAGGCGTACGTTTACAGCCATAGGCTTCACCGGTGAAACATGGGCAATGGAAAGTTGGGGAGTAACTGACTGCTGCCGATGGATGTAGTATTCCTGTGCCACTACTGCTAGTACTACCTACATAGTGTCCAGCGCCATGTCTCAGGGGTTATCATACCATCCATATATTAATTTGGAGGGGCTAATGAAATGGCGATATTGAAAGATTTTCAGCTTCAAATATTAATTCTTAGGATATGGGTTGTTGAGAAGATATGTTGCAACATCTCAGTTATTGTTAGTTGTTAGTGCCAGGGTCCAGGGATCTTTTCTGTAACTGTCGCTCGGGCTAACACCCCGGATCGACATCCTGTCTTCTCGAAGAAAATTAATGTTTAGTGAGACAAGTTGCATCGGGATCTATACGGACCACGGAGAAATCCTTGGTCTCACCACCACTCGCCTAGAATGATAAGGTCGATAATGGAATCAAAAAATTACAAATGTCTCACTCAACCCCTCGTGCCATCGCCATTCACTGTCTTCTTCACTTGTTTGCTCTCTGGGGTCTGTGCCCCCGTCCGGCAGATCGTGGGCTTTGATTTCTATTATTATCACTATCGATAAGAGAATCAATAGCTTACATTCTGCTCCTCCCTGTTCCTTTTCTTTTTCTTCTTTGCATGCTGCTGCAAGTTCCAGTCTAAGTGGAGGTCAGCGTTTTTTGCATTCGACCTGTCGTCACTCCAACTGCATAGGACAGAGTATTCATATCTCATCAACCTCAGTTCTACCGGTCAATCCACTTGGAAGCTCAAATTTGGCCAACATGATCCAGTCGCTGTTTCTTTTTGTCCTCGCTGCTGTGGTCAGGCTTGTTAGCTGCCAGACCACAGCCAGCGTTGATACTGGTAGCCTCGACCAGTCAACAAAGGGTAGGTCTTGTCGATAACTCAAATGCTCAAATCAGACTCATCTAACCTGGTCATCGTGAACAGACTCGTGGTGTCAATCGCAAACCTCATCTTGCCCGCTCATCTGTCTACAGCTCCCTGGAGCAACGGGAAACACCAAGGAGAACAGTTGCAACGCAGTATGCCTTTCTGCTTCATGCTCCATACCGCTGAGGAGATTGCTAACCAAAGAATGTGACATGGATAGAAAACCCTCGACTACAGCTGTGTCTGTAGTAACGGCTTGTCTCCCAATGCTTCTCAGTATTCCTTGACCATTCCATACTTCCTCTGCACGGAAGCGAACAACGAATGCGTGAATAACTGCAATGGCGGGGATTCTTCGTGCCAGTCTGCCTGTCGCACTAAGAATCCTTGCGGAGCCCAGAACCCCAAGCGTGTCAATACTACAGCCTCTGCGACTCCTACTGCAACCAGCTCCGCCTCTGCTACCGATGTTGTTTACAACGGCTTTGGGGCTACGTCGACTGGTAGTTCTGAAAAAGGAATGGCTTCAAAAGCCCTGGCTATCAACCTTGGCCAGGTCTATGGGCTTTTCGTCGTTATGGGTGGATTCCTTGTCGGTTTTACAACGCTGCTGTAGATTGAAATGATGGCTGGGTAGATCTTTCAGTCAACTTCTAACGACTTATCTGACGCAAATGGCATGACCTCATGTTTGATATGGCTCGGCTCCGGGGCTTCAATATTCAGCAATAGTTTACGGTTCTCTGCTTGTTTTCGTTCATTTCAGCATCGGGACGGAGTGCTTTCTTCTTATTCTCTACAGGTCTTTCCCTTTGGTTTCTCGAGCGTGCTTTTTTTTATGTTTTCCTCGCCTCCTAATATCATAATTCCAATTGTTTTGCAATACACTCTACATTCAAGTTCAATTTGATACCGTATCGATGAGATATCATCCAGCTAACTATCTGAAGTTATTAATCCCTCAGGCCTTCTATGGACTCGTCTAACAGGTTTATTCTGTAACACTCTCCAATCATTCAAACCAATCACCGAAGTCCTGACGAGGATTCTGTTTCAGTGCCAGTGTCGGTCAGCCCCAGAGGCCCCATTCTAGCGACAAGGGTTAGGATATAATTTTCAGTAAAACTACTTAAAAAGCCCTAAATCCCACATACAATGAATGGGCCAAGACCAACTCTTAGCCTGCCTCAAACGTGAAGGCGATGCTGTGAAGTGGATGTGTCTGGCAGTATATTCGACAGAACACTTTCTGTCACAAGACTAAGTGTTGGTAGTCCTTCGCAGTGGGGTAGGCCTAATCAGGAAGTCATTTGGACGCCGGCCCTGATCTCTCCTTCCTCTTCTCATCCATCCAACCACTCCCCATCTGAGAATCAGCATCCCCGATCACTTTCGCGTTCATCTTCAGGCATTTTATTTTTGTCAAATGTCTTTGCCGTTGTCAGTTGCTTCTTTTCAATCTTGAGTTCGCTATTTCAAACTCACTCTCCAAGATGGCTAGAGCTCGTGTAAAACAACACCGCCCCTCCACGGCTCTCCAACCAAATTCCTACGGACTAACTGAGCAAATCTAGGATCATAGAAGATGTTTCTTTTGTCACCGCAGGGGGCATATCCTCTCTCGGTGCCTCTTACGCCGAGGTTTGATGGTCTTGGTATGACATACACCAGCTGCTCCATATAATCTACTGATTCTTTCCAGGGTCAAATGTCAATGACAGTATGTCCGCTATCCAATATGGCCTGAAATGAACCGCTCACACACCTACTGTACAATACTATATGTGGACTCGCTCGTGGGTCGAATATTGGAAGACAAGGCCGCTATCGCGGTCGTCGCTATAGGCGGCCGGTCGACCATTATGATGGATCTGTAAGTATTGGCATTAGGTATGGCGAAATGGCAGTGTTCACGAATCCCCTTCTAGGACTACGACAACCGCCATTTGGGGTGGGCACGCCAAGAAGCTGCTTCTGTTCCTCTTTTCGAGTACGATCCGCCGAAGCGCGTCGTCGAGTAAGAATGCAATAATACCTCCTTCGCACATTGGTGTTAATGTGTCTGGATAGACTTGGAGAACTGGACATGGTTGATACTGCTTTTGAGGATACTCCCGCCGGTCCTTCAACTAGTACCTCTGATGCAGTCATCCATGACGCCAAGTAAGAGTATCCCAACATAATATTTGAATCATGATTAACTATGTCGACAAGGCATTCTGTCGTGCTTCGTCCCAATAATCAGTGAGAGCAATCCCCAAAATAGTTTCCATAGCAGTGTGATAGTGACACCGGATTAGGTCCTCCTCGACTACTCACAATTTCACCGCTGGAACCCAGTAAGGACATTGATTAAGATCCCGGATAGTCTCAACTATATTCTGACAAACATTAGGACTTTCTCCTCCGCAGTAACCAAAAGGTAAAAGGGTCGCCACATGTTAATTCCACCTGAATGAAAGCTGAACATGATTATTAGTGAACCGTCGGGTTTTTCAAGTATCGTCGAGTAAGGGTCTCGATTGTGACCAACAAGAAATTTCCCAATAAGTAGCTAATTAGATCAAAGCAATCAATTCCCAGATTTCTCGACTGAAAATCTTGGGCCCGGAACGCTCGACCCCAAACCTAGAAATACGAACAAGGATGTAGTATTTTCGGACCTGGAGATTGCTGTGGACGATTACCGCGACGAGATGTTCACCATAGTTTGATGCATGGACACCCCTGTCTTCTCTGCTTCAGCATTTGCTTTGCGAGGCATACTATGTCTCACACTGGTCAATATTGACGGATTTAAAAGAAGCATCTGAAGAACACGGCACCTGCTTGCGCTTATTAGAGGTCAAGGCACATCAACTTCATATTTGTTTGGTTGATATCCTGATTTCTCATGATTCGAATTCTGCGTAGCTCGGGACACATGGAATGTCGATTCTGCCTGATGCTTATAAACAGACGATTGTTCAAATAAGCCAACTCGCTGTTCCTTCTCAACTTGTTGCTCCTAGCTATGCACAATGTCTTCACCTGTATTGATAGAAGCTTCTGTAGTGGTTCTCTCCACCCCGATTGGAATCGGAAACATTTGATACTTCGAGTCGAACTGGTGTTGACCACAGAATGTTTTTCATACCTTGCTCGACGAGCGTGGACGTCAATCTCTCTCCATAAATGGTTGTGGAGTGGGAAAACGGTGAAGGCGGTAATAGAGGCGGTGTAACCCCAATGGTCCGGATTATGCCCAAATATTGACAATGCGGGCGATGATGGCCGTCTGTCTGATAGCTCACCTCGTCCGCTCTCCACCATTCGATCGCATCCTCTGCTGCAATATCCATTCCGAACCGCCTCGTGACCGATCCATACACTGAAATTCCATACGAACCTGCGAACTAGAGGCAGTGATATTTTCTTCTCTTGAATACATCTAGGCAGCGACTTATCACGTTTGTGACGAGGGGTTTTCCACTTTGACGTGCGGATAGTGCCCCCGGAATTCTTGAATTCGACTCTCGAAGCTCGTGAACACTTGGAACAAGGCTACATCTTTCGGGCTTGCAGTGCCAACTCGGGTTCTTATCTCTAAACGACGTCCTATTCTCCATCGAATCTAACGGGCTATTGGTGTATGGTCCACGTGCGCGGAACAAACGAAATGGATTCGACATTGCCAGACGCTTTCGAAGCTTCTCAGACCGGATCATTTTCGGGACAGGGAGCCGGCTTAGGGAATGCTGACTTGGAGAACATCAGTGGCAATACAGTCGCTGCGGGGTCATTAGTTCGAGTTGATGGTGCGTTTGTTCCACTTGTATTCTCAAGAGAGCTGAAGGAGGGAATAAAACAGCTGCACCTGCAGCTGGAGTTGGAGTTGGTTGATAATAGGGCAAACATGGTCTAACAGCCTGTGTGCAATCTTCGCAGATCCCCCCAAATTCGAGCTCGAGTCATACATTGCAAATTACACTGGTAAGCAGGACAGTTCTATCGGGATGCGTCAGCCGCAGTGGCTGACAGAAATATTCATTCAATAGGCAGAACTAGATTTGATCGCCTATTCCTCATCGGAATCTGTTCCTCTTACCTTTCCACCGATGCTTTGAAGGCTGCAATCGTCGAGGCTAAATCGAGCAAGGATGTGATTCGATATGAACGTGCGGTTCGGGCGCTTGCGGACACTGCATCGACTGAGAGTGAAGCCACTCTAGACACGGACTGGATGGATTATATGCAGAAAGTCGTCAAGACAGAGTCGGACCGGCTAGAGCATGAATTGAAAGGATACAAGAATAACCTGATCAAAGAGAGCATACGGGTATGGCTGTCCTTTTGAGATGTCAGAGCTGGATTTAATATCTAACTCTTTCCACAGATGGGAAATGAAGATCTGGGGCTGCACTATCATCAAATCGGAGACTTGGTTGGCGCATCGAAGGCCTACTCCCGCATGAGAGATTACTGCACAACTCCCAGCCACATCGCTTCGATGCTGTTCAAGATAATCAACGTGGCCATTGAGCGTGGGGATTGGCTTAGTGTGCAATCTAACGTGCACCGCCTACGTAATCTGCAATCGAAGCCAGAGGAGCAGACCAAAAACCAGCCTAAGATGAATGCCGCATTGGGCTTGTCGCAGCTACACTCCGGATCATATCTAGATGCTGCTCACAGTTTCTTGGGGACTGATGCAAACTTGGGAGCATCTTACAATGAGGTTATCACATCCAACGATGTCGCTGTGTATGGTGGGCTCTGCGCGCTTGCATCTATGGACCGAAACGATCTCCAGCGCAAGGTGCTTGACAACAACTCTTTCCGGAACTTTCTCGAGCTGGAACCCCACATTCGCCGTGCCATCTCGTTCTTTTGCAATTCCAAGTTCCGTCCTTGTCTGGAAATCCTTAATGCTTACAAGACTGACTACCTTCTTGACATTCACCTGCAGCGCCATGTCGCTACTCTGTACACTCGCATTCGCACCAAGTCGATTGAACAATACCTAGTTCCTTTCAGTCGCGTGACCCTAGATTCCATGGCGAAGATATTTGCTCCAGCAGCAATCGAAGAACAGACCAGTCTTACTGATCCAAAGTCGCCATTTGTGAAGGAATTGATTCAACTAATCGAAAACGGCACTTTAGATGCCCGCATCGACCTGGAGAAGGGAGTGCTGGTTTCCAACCAAACGAATCTGCGGACGGAGGTGCAACAGGCGGCCCTTGACAGCTTGACGAATTATACACGGGAGGCTCACCTTCGATTGTTGCGGACTAACATTCTCTATGCTGGATTGGAGGTGCGCCCGCCCCCAGGGGAGAGAAAGCATGGAGCGGAGGAGCGGTCTGGGGCTAAAGGGAAATACTATCGGAACACACCAAGTATGCTTGGGTGAGGACCTGGAATGATATAGAAATAGATTCCATGGTCACTTTATGGAGACTTCAAGTATTCTTATTCCTGGAAAGAGAAAATGACTCATGAATTGACGTTACTCGTTTACTTTTCAATGCTTTATTGCATAGTTCCCCTTTAAATTGGTATGAAGGTTGAAGGAATAGAAAACTGTAAATCGGATTACTAGAATTATCTGTAATTTCTAGATGAGTCTTCATTCGGTGCACATCAACATATGCATGTCCTGTGTACAAATAGGGCAACTGACGAAACCATCACGTCATACAGTCATATTATATCATTGAAGAGCGCCAGCTCCGCGCAATGAAAATATCACAAAAATATTAATATGGCAGGCTGACCTTGACAGCAATTGAAATTATTGTAAGACTATTGTCAAAATAATTTGTCATGGCTCTCGTTGCTCAAGCAGTTACTTTTGTCCACCAGTACATCTACTCTTGGCTTCACACCACCCCTACCAAAACACCAGATGCATTAAAACTGGGAATCCTTTCCACTGCTCAAATAAATGCAGCCTCAAGTGAGATATATCCCATTCACTGCTGAAGACTTAGGGAGTGAAAAATAATTCTAACGATATAGTCATTCACCCTTCCAGGTCCCACCCCTCGGTAATCCTCTACGCCATCGCCTCCCGCGACATCTGCAAAGCCCAAAAAGTCCAAAAACAGCACCATTTCACCAAAGCATACGGCTCGTATCAGGAGCTCCTTGACGACTCCGAGGTTGATGTTGTGTATATTTCCACGCCGAATGGACTGCACTACGAATGGGCGTGTAAGGCACTCAAGGCCGGGAAACACGTTCTCTGCGAGAAACCGTTTGTATCGAATGCGGAGCAGGCGAAGAAGTTGGTCGAGTTGGCCAAGGAAAAGGGGTTGATTGTCGAGGAGGCTGTAAGTTTTCTGGTTTTTTTCTTTCTTGTCCTGTTTCAAGCGTGTCTTTGATGCGTGTTTTATGTGACTAACTAACTATGTTGAGCAGTCGCATTGGCAATTCCACCCGGCTGCGCATACATGGCGCCAGATTTTGGACTCGAATCAGTACGGGAAGATTCTTCGTACTGATGCTTCGATGGCTGCTAGCCCGGCTATCCCGGCTGGTGATATACGATGGGATTTTAACTTGGGAGGTAGGTCATCTCATCACTGGGCATCTCAACCGGTGTATCTATTTAATAACACTATATCACAGGCGGTTCAGCCATGGATATGACATACCCTCTATCATTCACTCGATACGCACTCCACGCCAAATCACCAGAAACCATCACCTCCGTGAGCGTGCGCGCCTCCAGGACCGACCCCCGCGTCGACGAGGCAATGTTCGCCCATCTCGACTTCGAAGGACCACAGGGTAACAGGGTCCACAGCCGAATCTACACCGATATGGCGCGAGACCGGCTCGTCGGGTTAGTCCCCCGAGTCTGGGAGTTACCGTCCATTGAAGTCGAGACAGAAAACGCAATTATATACTTCTACAACGCCCTAATGCCGCATCTATACCATTATATTGCCATACTGGACAAGACGACCGGGGAGACGCGCTACGTGAAGCAGTACGAGGGAGGACCATTTTGGGGAAGCACTGTCACTAGTACCGGGGATAAGGGGGGGGATCAGTACTGGAGTACGTATCGGTGGCAGTTGGAGGCGTTTGTTAGTGCGGTTCAGGGGAAGACGCCTGCGTTTTGGGTGTCTAATCAGGATAGTATTTGGCAGATGGAATCGGTTGATGCGATGTATCAGGCTGCGGGATTGCCGGTAAGGCCATCTATGGACGAGAGCAAGGAGTGAAGTCTCCAGCAAATTGGGAAAGAAAGGTTCAAAAGCATAATATAGACAAGTTTTAATTCAGGTATCTCGTATCTACATGAATGACAGAAACATGAGAGTGATTATATATTAGCGTATCCAATAGAACTAGGGGGTATGATCGCTTAAATCCAACAAATAGAATATATGGTAGTCAAACTCTCATGGTTAAAAAGCGACCAAAGCAGCCGCAATCGCAGCCCCAGCCGCCCAGCGCGCATTTCCTGTAACCTGAGGCAATGCAAGGTTGCTAGTCGGGGTTGGTGATTGCTCCGCATCGGCGCCAGTTGTTTGCGGGGACGAGGAGGAAGTAGCGGTGGACAAAGTGGTAGATGCGCTATCCGTCGGGGTAGACGACACAACAAACGAAGTAGCGGTAGTGGACACGCCGGTCTCAGTGGCCGTAGTAGCTGATGGAGATGCTCCAGTTGAAGCAGAGAGAGCAGCGGTGTTGGTCGCAGTGACGACCACGGGCAAGAAGCCACCACCATTGCCGAGCATGGTGGGGTTGATGGTGATGGTGGTAGCTACGCTGGTGAAAGAACCGCTCTGCAATGCGACGCAGGTAGCTAGGCTGGTGCCCTCAAATTTGCATCCCTCGGAGATATATCTGAAATTGAGGGGTGGACTGTTAGCAAAGTTTCGGTTCAGCGGTGCGATATCAAAGTGACATGCTCATTTTCATAAGTGGCCGAGAAAGCCATCGACGTGGATCCCTGGAGGACGGTGAGTCCGTCTGGTGGAAGACCACAGTCATTGGAGTCAGCTCCAGCAGGGCAAGATAAGGCATAAGCGGTCATGGGACCCTCCTGAAGAAACGAACATTAGCCATGGTGTTTCATATAAACATCAGAATGCAGTACGTACGGTGCTAGCGATACTGGCCACATAGGAGCCATCATAAAAGCCGGGCAAGAAGAGAGTAACAGTGCTCTCGGCGGCGACAGCAGCGACACTCGCCAGAATGGTAAGAGATTGGAAACGCATGGTGTATTGTTATTGTAGTTGAAAAGAATGTAGACGAATGAGCGACAGAGGCGAAGAACACTGGTTAAAACGAATGACAGGATGGCTGGAAAAAGAGAGAGCGAGATTAATAATGGGGCGAGGACCCCTAATATAGAAGCGAAATTGCTCTGATTCACGACAGCCTGCAGTATTCGCCCAAAGAACTAGCTAGCCATGGGTTCCAAACATCTGTCTCCGATCAGGCAGGTCCCAGCGAACTCAATATGTGCACTCTAAAGCCTGATTGGCTGCCATAGATTAAGTCGTAGGGGCACTAGCCTGTCCCGGTATAGTTTACGGTCGGAGAATACCGAGGCCTCCGAGTCTATGCCTGATCAGGTAATTTCTACCTAGCACGGACGAGGGGTACTACAAGACCTTGTCCAAAAATGGCAAGAAAAAGGAACTAGCATGATAACGCTAACCATTCCTGGACTGGACCGACCTTGAATTTGCTGGGAAATGAAATCCAAAATTTGAGAAGAGTTCGCGAGATGTGACAGGATTTTTAGTCCTTCAAAAATCAGAGAAAATGAAAACTTTGTAGTTTTCCCATTGGAGTTCGCCGGATCAAACCGGATTATCAGGGCCACACCCATTTGCAGTTTATATAGCATAAATCCCACATGTCGCTGACATCACATCCGATATCGTATTATAATATCATCCAAAATAACCAAACCCCCATGAAAACTTCATCAAAAATTTAAGCTGCTGCATGAGTCGCTGCCTGATGAGGCTTGCTCATGAAGCCTCCTAAAATCCCGGCCAACAACAGAACACCGTTGAAGCTTGTCATGATAAAGAATGGAGCACTTGATGAGACAGTATCAAAGAGAGCGCCACCAACCTTGGTGAGAAGCAGGATACCGACGCCTCCATACAGAGAATACACGCCAGCGATTGACCCTTTAAGGTGCGAAAATTGCTGCAAGTTCTGGCCCGGGGCTGACGCCAATAAAGGCTGCTGCTCACCGGGCTCCTGCTCAACGACATTAGTCGTAATAGGTTCATTCGCCGTTCCTGTTCTGCTTGTATGATCATCGGCTTCGCCTTGCTTCAAGGTTCCGTCGCTGACACTTATACTTAAAATACCGTTGCTCAGCACAGCCAAACTGCAAACAATGGCGCCAATCTGACTGAGACCAATAAGAGCCATCAAAATGAAAACTCCTGGGTTTCCATCATCTCCCTTGAATTGTGGACTGGGGATTAGTCCGAAGGCTGTATAGCCAATAATACCTGCGAGGGAGGAAAAGAGAAGAGGTAATTGATATCTTCGTGACTTCTCTGAAAGAAACCCGAACGCTGGAGCCGCAATCAATGCTACCAGCTGAGAAACTCCGGTTAGAATTGCAGCCAATATGTAAGCGCTGGGACACGACTTTTTGATATCAGATACCGGTTCACGGTTTTCTTCACAGAGGCCCGACACTCGGTAGTAGTGGTTGACAAAGAGAGGTATGAATAATGAAATACCAACGGAGGAAGCTCGTGCCACAAATCCTCCAAGGTAGCCCTGGCCGATGGCCGGGTTTTGAAAGCCCAGGACAACGGCGGTGCTCAACTGTTTCCAATAGGGCAGCTGCGGTATCCTATGCGTAACATCATCCTGGTCATTGCTTGTGGTCTCAACCGATTGGCCCTGGTTTTTTGACAACAGCGATGTCCATCCCTTATCTTCTTCTCCCAAAAGGTCTCTCAATCCAACCAAGCAACAAATGCTGATCAAGAGAGCCACCACCCCGACAAGATAGTAGCTGTACTGGATGGCCTGAATAGGCGATGAACCCCAATTTTCAAATCGAGCAGGAAGTGGAAGGAACACAGACAGCGACACGAGCGCACCGCACCCAGCACACATGCCCACAAACCCGGCCAGCCGGGAGGATGGTGAATCTGCGGCGGTCTCTGGACGGTCCCCGTCGTGCGACGGACCATTAGCAAAACGATTGGGAGTCATTGTCACTTCAGATGACAGTGACATCCGGTAGGTCTGTGTGTTGGGGGCCTTTCCAGTAACGGCGGGTAGAACAGCTGTGACCATGGTCGAGACTGCAGATCCCCCAACACTGAATAGCAGCCTCCCCAGAAGCAACTCGGGATAGACATTCTTCGCTTGGACGAGCAGGACCAATGCGAAAGCTATTATGGCGTAACCGAGGGCGCATACCTATAAGGAAAATTGCATCAGAAATCTGAAGGATTCTAAATATGAAAAGGGTGAGTATCGCTTACATGGCGAACTCCGATGTGATCCGAGAACACGCCCCAGAGGGGACAAGCGGCCAGCGCAAGCAATTCATCAGCAAATCCTAAGGTCCCAACGGCATCACCCTCTCCATCATGGATTCCAATCAAGTCCGTAACAACAAAAGAGATGGAGGAGTTGATAAACACCAGAAAGGCGATGGAAAATGGACAGACGCCAAGCAGGTAGGTTAGCGTCTGTAGACGGGAAGCAGTGAACAGAGCCCGTTGAGAAGCCATCACATCGGGTCAGATCATATCGCGACTTGGGTAAGATATTTCAAAAGAAGTTCTCCTACTCCAGTCGAATTGAGAAACTTGACTGATAAACAGACGATGGAAGCAGAAGATGCTTCTCTCTGCCGGTCAATGATGATGATACTCAGCTCATACCACCGCACTCCGCAGGACAGCCGGCGGTCACATGATGCCGCCCCTGCCTATCGATCGGCGATCGACGAACGATGCAAGTATATACGTAGTCGTAATCGAATCCATTCAAACAATATTCAGGCAAGTGGAGAAGCGCATTGAAATCCCGAGGTTATTTTATCTTGACACGATCAGAGGTGGCAAAGTTGCAACACTGAGAACTGAGACGGAACTTGGAGTGCTGAGCTACCCCGATATGATGGCGGCCACCTGCCCCGCATTATCAGAGCTCTCCTCACCACGGGAGTGTCGGACATTCGGCTACGTCCTCGAGATGGTGTTGGGTCAAGCTGATGGAGAGTGAATCTACAATACCCAATAGATAGTACTAAATAGTCAATGAACCTATGAATCTTAAGGAATTCTGAGCTTCTGCACAGTACTCATTAGTTACTGATATGTAGGAATATATCCAAGGTGACGCCCATCTCTACTATCAACAAACAGACAATCCACTTTAACATGAAATGGACATCTAAACCATCATAAATAACAATTATCCTTGGTATTTCATATCGACATCAATAATAATAATATCAACTGCCTTGATTGCACCTGTCATGCCGAAGATATCATGTTAGCCGAATGTCCGCTGACGTAAGGCACGGCAACGAGTCCGCCGCCTATTCCTGTATAGCTGTCCAGAACGACACGCGATCCTCTCTGGCTTTCAATTTTTCAGCTTCCCATTGCCCATTCCATCTTTTCAACATCGTCAATGTTATCCTGAAAAAATACAACATCTTTTAAAGTTGACCTTGCCAGTGACATCGGGCTTCTCGCCCACGTCTGTCACTTCGCGCCCATGAGATTAGCCGCTTATGCCGGGGTAAGTGATTTGGGGGATATCATGGGGTGAATCCCATCCTGACTGACTTGATATACAGGCCTCAGTGGCCCTGGCTACTGGTGTTTTCCTTAAAGCCATGCACCAGAGAGCTAATTTCTACGCTGCTTGTGTTTATCTCTCACAGAGCAGCGCCAATCTCATGGTAAGTGCTCATCTTTCTTGTCGGAGAACTTGCTCTAACAGTCGCAGATCTTGACCAATCTATCCCTCCTTATCGCTGGTTTTCTGCTCTTCTGGCTTCAGCGACTCCTTTACGGACCTTTACGACCGATCGAAACCGAGCAGCTTTACGAGAAGGCATGGTTCGCTGTCACGGAAACATGTCTCGCCATGACAATCTTTCGGGGTGAATTAGGGGGCTGGTTCCTGGTTATGTTTGTTGGTCTGTTGGTCGGCAAGGTCTGGGGATGGATTGGTGAAGGACGCGTGGAATTTTTGGAGCAGCAACCTCCGGCTAACCCGCGATTGTTCCATACTCGACTAGCAGCTTCGCTGGTCTTGTCGGTCTTGTTCAACGCTTCCATGCTGAGATACTGTGTCCATACTGTCCTTGAACAGGCCCGCCCGGATATGATGGTTATGTTCGGTTTCGAGTTCGCTATCCTGACCATCTTATCAAGCTCAACTGCCGCCAGATATTCGATTGCTCTGGTTGAGATCTACATCACGAACCAGCAGATGAAGGCGAAAGTGGAAGAACGCCGGGCGGAGATTCGAGAGTCTAGGGATGAAATACTCCGACAACATGCGCAGTCTGGTGCAGGCGGATTCCCCTCTAACTTGCCTGATGAGAATGAAATCAATGAAATGGAGTTGGACGTCCCCGGATGGGAAGAAAAAGGCCGATGGGTCTTCTATCTCGATCTGGTCACCGACTTCCTGAAGTTGACGGTCTACCTTACCTTCTTCGCCATACTATTCACATTCTATGGTCTGCCAATCCACATCCTACGCGACGTGGTCGTTACAATCCGCTCCTTTTGCCGACGGATTATGGATTTCCTGCGTTACCGCAATGCCACCCGGGACATGAACGAGCGATATCCAGACGCGACTGCCGAGGAGGTTGGAAGAGAGGACGTTTGCATCATCTGTCGAGAGGAGATGATTCCTTGGCAGCAGCCTGCAGACGCCAGACCTGGTGCTCCTCGCAGGGTTCCCGATAGACTGCGCCCAAAGAAGCTTCCGTGTGGCCATATCTTGCACTTTTCCTGTCTCCGAAGCTGGCTCGAGAGACAACAAAACTGCCCTACTTGCCGACGTCCAGTTGTTGTGCCTCGAACTCGTGGAAATCCTGGTGACGCCAACAACGTGGGCGGTAATGGGGCCGCTGTGCCACAGCAGAACATCCCGGGCGGAAACCAAGCTCCTGGACGCAATGGTGGTGCTCCAGATGGAATGCCTAGAGCTCGGGTATATCAGTTCGGACCGTTTCGAATTGGGTTCGGTGCTGGACGAGGTGATCTGTTCCACAACCTGCACCAGCAAATTCATCAAAACAATGTTCCACTGCAGCCCGCGGGCAATGTCAACCCGCCTGGAGCACGCCAGATTGGATTTGGATTTGGATTCGGACGGCCCCCGCCTGCGGCCGCACCGCAACCTGCTACACCAACCCCCATGTCCAACTTTTCGAACATCCAGAACAATTTACAGCAGATTGAACAGCAGATCACACAGGAAATCAACCAGCTTCGTGTTACTGCTGATCAACTTCATGTTGTACGGCTTCTACAAGCAGAACTGCAGAGGCTACGGGGTCTTCAAGCAAATACTGCCCCCGAGCCGCATGGCACTCCTCTTCAAACCCCTGACTTCTCATCGCCCTCAACATCTTCGATGACAATGCGCCGTCAATTTATCTCTGATCCTCGAGCGCCGGCTTTGAGATCTGGGGATGCTCGACTACCAGAGGGAGTCAGTCTTCCCCAAGGCTGGTCTCTGCTTCCTCTCCATTCATTTGGACAGGGGCAAGGTGAAGCGAGAACCTCTAGCACCGTTCCCACTGCCCCAGAAACGTCCTCACCCGCTCAAGAGAACGCCACTGCTCACCAGCCCAGCCCACCCACTGAAAACACGGAAAATCAACCTCGGCATGGCGATGCGGTCGATGCACCAACGCCGACAGCAGCACAAGACTTGCCTAATTGGCAAGCAGATGCAGTCCCAGCGGCAGCCAGTCACCGTGCTGACTCTCCATCTCAAGAATGGACTGATATAACCCCCGATGGACCTTCTGAAAAACCTGCAGGCCTGTCTGGCACTGAAGATCGTGCGCATTGCGAAGGCGAAACTTCAAACAATGAGGAGGAATCTTCATCGTCGTCCAAGGGTAAAGCTCGAGTAGCAACAGTGGAAGAAGCGGTGGACGATGAGATGTGATAATAGATTGAACGAGCATTTTATCTTTCCATTTCCATTTTGCTTGTTTCCTTCAAATGGGAAAAATACGAAGCGGTTTGTGGCGTTTTAGCGATTCAGAATCATACCCGGTTTTTTTTGACATTTCTACCTTATTTTTTACTCTCTCCTTGTTTATCATATGGCCATTTTGCCTCCACTCATGTCTCTATTGTTTACTCGACTTTCGTGTTTCTATGCTTAGAATCCCTCTTTGCATTCTTGGTCAATGAATGATGGTTTCTCATCTATGGCTGAATACGTGCATTTGGTCTTGTGTAACGAAGATGAGCATCAATATGAGATGCATAAACCCATCTGCGACATACCATAGTGTAGATGCTGGTCTCATAGAATTTATGGATTTTGACTTGGTGTATAACAAGAATAGTATACCATTTCTTGGACCATTAGTGTAAAAAATCAACAGACACAAGGTGATAATCAAGCGTGTTACTGTTTCATATAAGAGACCCAGTATTTCAGATGCATTTGGTTATCTTCACAATCTTTGAAAAAAATTTTAACCCGTGTTGCATCTGATTGTGGTATGGAACAAGTGTGGATATATTATCGTCGTCATCGACAACCAAGCCTGCAGATCTTCCTGTCAGCACGAGGCAATGAAAACATATGTGTGATCCATTTCTCTGGCTTAAACTCTAGTACCGATATATATAGTCATGATGATATCTTTCGTGCATATTCCATGTGGTTAGGGCATGGCCATAGCGATAAGGAACCCGCCAGAATTCCAACACCGAATGTGCTTTTCACGCACTTCTCTCTGCCATAGTGCCCTAGACCAGCCTTTGTCTTTTCTTCTGTTTTCCTTGTTTCACATAATTCTCGCTGATTCGTATAGACACCATCACTGCCAGACTTGGCACTTACGTTGTCCCGGTCTCTTTAGTGGTAGTGTTCGTCATCCTCCTCGTCCCTCTTACGACGGACTGACCAGAACTCCACTCCGCCCGCTTGCAACAACTTTAATGAACCAGACCCAGACCCTCCAGCTAATTCCCCGACTACCCGCCATGCGCCATCTTTTCATTGCGACAGCGTGTTAGATGCGACCTTGACAGACTCCTCTCTTTTTGGTTTCATTCTCTGTCTTCTTCTTAATCACGAGCCGGTGGTTGCTTCCGACACTCTCTTCTTCAACGCCCCCCGGACTCCAACACCGAGATCATTCGACTTGATACCCCTGAGTGAGCGGCGTGGAACACTGGCAACCTTAACGACGGTACTCTTGGGGAATAGAGGCATGGTATAAATGGTGTTTTAATATTATTATTCTGTTGATTGTGCGTTGTGGCTCCTGCAATGCTCTCCCAGTGTCGTCTTCGTTGCACACTATGGTCAAGCTGGCCTTGTACGACCAATGCGAACTTGACTTGTTGATAAGCTAACCGGGCGTTTCATTTGACAGAATATTTATTTCTTTTCTATCTGTATTAATTTACGAATCTTCATTCATGATTTTCTCACGACGGACAACCCCTCTCGTCGGCATCGCCTTTTGCCTCTTCTTTCTTTACCTGGTCAGTAACCGCACGAGACAATGGCGTCAGGTACCACAGACCCTGGGCCTAGGTGATATAGTCACCCCGGCGGGAACTTGGAATATCAGCCATTCGGAAAATGAATCGACTAACAACCGGCTCACCCCTCAACCGAATTATATTCCTGGCGTGCCAAAACCTCCCGGGGAGACTTATTCGAAGATATTGGTGGTGCCCAAGATTAAAGATGAAGATACGGATTGGATGGCACGGGAAATTCCTGACTGGCAACATGCTGTCTATGTGGCTGACGATCCCTCCGCCCCTCTTCATCCGCCAAAAAACAAAGGCCATGAAGTCATGGTTTATCTGAGCTATATTATCGATCACTACGACGAAATTCCCGACATCGTTGCATTCATGCACTCGCACCAGTTCGCATGGCACAATGATGAGATATTTGGTGGCGATGCGGCAGACATGCTGCGACGGCTCAACCCGGCACGTGTTGTGAGAGAAGGCTACATGAATCTACGCTGCACTTGGGCACCTGGCTGTCCCGACTGGATGCACCCCGGTGCGCTGGAGGAAAACTCTGAGAAGCAAGAAGAGACCATGTTGGCCAGATCTTGGGGAGAGATTTTCCCCGATGTTCCCATTCCTGATGTCCTGGCTCAACCGTGCTGTGCACAATTTGCTGTGTCACGCGAGCGCATTCTAGCGACTCCCAAGTCCCGCTACATATTCTATCGAGACTGGATTCTACGGACGGAGCTGAGCGACTATATTTCCGGTCGAGTCTGGGAGTACTTGTGGCACTTTGTGTTTACTGGCGAGAATATCGTGTGCGCAAAGGAGAATGTGTGCTACTGCGACGGATACGGTCTGTGTTTTGGTGGCGAAGACGAGTATGATGCTTTCAGAGGGCTTGGTTTCCAAAAGAAAGATCTCGAAGAGGAGCTTACAAACTGGCATACGAACGCTCAGAGCATCGAGGTTGCGCGGATCTACGGACCTATAAGTGAGAAGAATCGCCTTAATGTTCCTGAGCCAGGCAGAGACACCGAGCTTGAGAATCAAATCAACGAAAAAATACAGACGCTTAATGATCTGGTTTTCAATGCTACTCAGCGCGGTGCGGACCCAAGAAATCGGGCTCTCGAAGCAGGTCGCCCCTGGAAGGAAGGTGATGGGTTCTAAACCATTGAAAGCCCCATATAGGTTCAAAGCCAGCGTTGCCGCTCGCGAGAGGGTGCTTTGCTCTTCCGTCAACTCAGCCTGGTACTTTGTTCCCAACATAAAGCCACGTACGGTGGCTACTGTTTTTCGGAGGTGGAAGAAGAGTTAATCTACTCCCTCCTTCTCCTCCGGTAACCAATCTTTGGCGTTGGAGGGCATGTTCATTTTTCATATTCTGACCACACATTTGCATTTGGACGCGATCCTTTCGATTCTCTTCTTGTCTTCTCGTGAATATATACTGAGCATATTTCTCATCTTGGTTTCTTGGTTCACCAGCTGGGTTTGGTTTTTTTGGCCTTGCAAAAGTACTATGCCTTGGCCTTGTTGATATATTGTACAATTTTTCCTTTCTTTTGGCGGGTTCCAAACTGATATACGAGCAATTGCAACTCAGTTTTGATGATCAATTATTCAAAGAATTTTTTCTTTTACAAATTTCAATAAAATATTTTAAGCACAATATCAAATTTATCTGAATGGCAATATACAACTTGCCTTGATTTCGCATCGCCGTCGGGTGTGTGGTTGGTACAGTGTGATACATAAGCACGTGATCGGGGTTTCATCCCTGTTACGTTTTTCCGCCGTCATCCGCCCATGCAGAGTTTGCACTGTCTGTCCTTCCTTCAAACTACACAAACAGCGTCATCAGCGCGGACAAGCTATCTCCATTCGCCTCATCTTCGCGCGAGCTATATTCAGCGAACAGAAGCACTTGGTGTTTTGTTTCTGGTATCAATTTCTTCCTCAATAAAGCTCGTGGGACTCTCCTGCTCAGCGAGTGGCGTTGGGAGCAGGGCTGCCTTCTGTCGCCTTTGCATTGCGGCAAGGAGGGCAACGAGTCCGAAGTCCCCTCCGCGACAAGGTCTTGGTGACTTGTATCTGGAGTGGTCCTGCATTGACTGGAATCCACTGTTTCACTATAGTAGAAAAAAATATTGCATGCTGTTGTCTTAGGTGGTAAGTGAAGTATTTTCTTTGAATTCACTACATTGAAAGAAATCGTTCTAACACTACATCGACTATAGCGAAGGCTTGCTTGCTTAATCAAACAAATACCTTAGTTTAAAATAACAACCACTCTATGGTTTGTTAATTACTGGGTAACTAGCAAAGGCAGATCACATCTAAACCATATCTACTTCGGGCTCGCACGATAAAAAGAATAAACCTATCTTTATTGCGACAACTATCGTCATGACGTCTACGCCCGCTTCGAATCACCAACATCCTCCGTCGACTTCGGCGCCTGAATTCCCCTCCAACCAGACATCGCACACTTCCCATATTGATCCGAATGCCCACCTTGGTTCCGTTGGATATGCGCCGAATGATAATCAGCTTGCTGGGCTGGTAGAAGCTGCTACGGCAGCAGCTGGGCAAGATGTCTCTGAATGGGCTGCCGCAGCGGCTGTCGCAGCAGCAGCTAGCGCTGGGCACCAGAACCAACTAGATAGCTATGGACCAGAAATTCATATTGAGGATGACGGCTTTGGGGATTCAGGCTTCGGGGCAGGAATAGGTGGTGGAAGACAGCTGAGAGGACCAGGCCCGGCATCCGCTAGTGAGCAGACTCAACCTTCAGGGCTGTCTAGAGCTGTGTCAAAGAAAAGAAAGAGGGGGGATGATCCACTTGACCCCGCATTGACAGCCGGCGTTGGTCTTGGTGGCCAACAGCAGCATTCACAACAACACCATCACCCTCACCAGTTTGATGGAGATTCCTTGGAAATTAGGACCGTGCCGCCCCAGCCGTTGTCAGAAGCTCGTGCTATAGGCCTTCACTCTGCCGCCGCTCTATTTCGCCAGCCTTCGAGTAACAAAAAGCATACACGCCCACCCATGTCGAAGCTTTTCGCATCGCTTGAGCTATCGCCAGAGAACTTCCTGCACCTTCAAGCAGCCGCTAAGGGCTACATGCTGAATGATGAGCACCCAGAGAGACGGGACTGTGTGGGACAGAGGGGCAAAGGTGACACGGAAATGGTGAAATTGAGACTCTGGAATTGCGTCCGCGATTTTTTGGAAGCTGAGGGGAACGGGGAACGGTTCTTTGGCGAGAATGTGATGAATGAGGGCATGGGTCCTAGGACTTACATATGGCCTCGCGACCAACAGAAGATTATCGCATTGGTTATACCTTTGCTGAGGAGAATGGTAACCAACGAAAGGCAACGACAGTACGCGATTGAGACTCGCAAAGGTGGCCCAGATGATAGAAAGAGGAGAAAGACAGAAGACTTCCAGAACGTCCACCACGATAGCCCGTCGAAATTCACGCCAGAAGAGCAGCTGCAACAGATTCATACGCAACATCACATCCCCGAAGAATTTGCTCCTGCACAGGCTCCAATTCCCGCACCACAGCCTCAGATGGGGTCCAACGCACACGATATGGACCTGGGCTTAACTGATCTTCTTCTAGACGGATACCCAACCGACTGGGAAGCAATCGCAAAGTCGTACGAAACCTATAACCATGATTACGAACTCGACAACTTGTGGTCCCTCTCAGGTCTCCAGCAGCCAGATTGGCGCGGTTTGGTAGCAGCTGTCGACAGCCATTACCAAATCTTCCATCAAGGCGCATACGATTGTCCCGGGCCTTGTGAAGACGAAAATGTCAATCGTATTCTAAATTCTAATGCGACAACGGATCTTCGATGGCGAATTGGTGGGGCCCGTGAACAGCCTGCCAGGAATGAATTGTAAGTCCACTTCTCGTGCTGATTTACCCTTTTCTATATTTGTATGAAACTAATATCCCTCTAGTGCCAGCAGCATCACGCGTGACATCTCACGGGTTATTCGCGACAATTTAGCTGCCAAACAGGGCGTTCATACTGCTACCCATGACCAAGCTCCAGTGTCCCAGCCGCCATTCGTCCCTCAAACCGAAAACCATCACAACACTACATCTCAAACTCCGATAACCCTCCGTATCAACATCCTTCAGAACGGCAAGCGTATCCTTCCTCGTGTCGACATCCCTGCAGAACAGTGTCCTGATCTTGAAACTATCAAGCAGGTTCTCTATCGTCGATTTGCTGGTCAGCTGCCAGGTTTCTCCGATTCCGGGTTTGATGGTGCTGCCGCCACCTGGGAATCTTCTGTCGCATGGAAGTTCAAAGTATGGCTCCCTAATGGTTTAGCCCCTGTACAGAACGACGGCGAGTGGACAATTTCCCTTCTCTCCGCGGGAACTGTGGATTGGATGGACGGCGAGCTGAAGGTTCTTGTCGAACTTGAGGGATCATCTTAAATGAGCTTCTATGTCAATAGTGGTATTTTGACTTTGTTCTTTTAGTTTGTTTCTGTTTCTGTGAACCCCACTCATACCCCCAAATCAGCAAAATTTCTGGCGTTGGAATTTCCTTGTCTTTTGCTCCGCCCAGAAAACTGGTACATACTATGGGCTCTTTTTTTTTTTTTTTTACTTTCGATCATCCATATTATTATGACTCCTATGTTATATCGGACATGACTTACGGCATGAGATTCCAGGCAAGCACTTCTTTATGTTTGTTACCTCTGGGTTTGAATCAATAGACTTCTTTTGAAAATATTAAATGGATGCAAATTATCTGGTCTTTAGTATTTTACTGGATCAAATAACATTTCCAAACTCTCCTGGGACTTCCATGTTTTGCCTATATAAGGGTTATATATATCACGTGCAAATGCATTTCCTCGAACAATGAATGCATTTATATTCCAGTAGACTACACGGTTCCGTAGTATGAATGTATTCTAGTTTGAACAAGACATTACTTTTTAATTATTGTATTTTATAATCTATCAGTCCTGGACCATCACCACATTGGAAGTCACCAAGATGATATAATTCTGGTACAGGGGCGCAAATTTTCGCAGCTAGTGTCTTTGTCAATCCAGCCCGGAATTTTAGCTTCAGAAGTTCAACATCAAGGCCATCCTCATTGTTCTGTTAGAGCAAATGGGTTCCACGGCGGAAATGTGTGCCGTAGCATGATGATATTGGTTCCGATATGGATGAGTATCGTGATATCTTTCCTCCCAGCCCAGAATTTAAGGCTTACTGTAGCAGATCTAACTTGCTGCTTGGTGGCCGGTTATACCCTGGTTCTACTATACACCTTCATGTAAAATGTCGGTTTTATAGTTGGTTGGGGTGTAAAGGAGCGCAAGCTGAAGGACAGCAAATGCAGCGGAATGGCGAGATCCCCATGAGAATTTGCGCAAGGGTCAGTCCCAATTTTGGTGCCTAGGCCACGAGATCAAGAATCAATATATGGCTCAGTAGGCGACTTCGGCCTGAGCCATGGTTTCATGGCCGCGTGAGCCAGAAATCTCACGACCATCTTAATCAAGTAGCCGAAAGAGGTGTATCCGCAATATCGTCTTCTCCGGCCGCCAATCTAGCCTTTTTTGCTCTGCGTTTCATCTCTCTTTTAGAAAGAGTTTTTTCGGCCTCCTCCGAATTGGCCTCTGATCCAAGCGATGCTTTCCTCTTCAGGTTGTCCCCATTGCTTTCCGTCTGGGGTACGACCCTCTTGTTCTTCGCGCCCTTTTCCTTTTTGGTCTGTTCTACAGCCTTAGGCTTCTCGCCGCCGTGAACGACATCGATTATTCCGCGCCAGCTGGTTCTCCTCAAATTTGCCAATGCGGTCACTTTTCGTGTCTCCTCAGAGATAGCCTCCCGGCCACGCTCCTGTGACAATCCCCAGACACATGCAAGATTGATCACATCCCAAGGTGCCCGTACACCCAATGCTCGCCTGGCCTCGCTCGACACAATGATTCCTCTCCCGCGCGTTGCCCGGATCAAAGACATGGCATTCCCAATGAGGTTCCTCCGGGCGTCGGGACCACTCCCTGTGACTCCGGGCCCATAGCAAATTTCCAAACGAATTCCACGTGAAATAGCGGCGGAGAGCATTTTAAACTTGAAGTGGAATGGAAGTCTCACGGAGAGATCCAGCGAGATCAGATCACATTCTAAATTGGTGCAAGCGTTCAAAAGCGCCTTCTCATTCGTAGGACATAAAGCAATCAAGTCGTACGCTTGTGCTAGGCTGTTTAGGCGTTGGTTTTGGGCGGGATCGGAAAGCGTCAGATTCAGGCGCGTGAGGAGCTTGAGCGAGTTGGGGACATTTGTTGGCAAAGGCGGGGGAGTGGGGTTTGGAGGGAGCTTTCCACTGATAGTTTGGGAGAGAGCGACGGTTGTGTAACCAACTTTAGAGGTCAGGTCAGGTCAGTTCCTCATGTGGTCTCCAATATAGCACGCATCGTGCCAGTTTGGTCTTGTGCCGGGGAAAAAAGTGACGTACGTTCCGCAAGAAAACTTAAGGTGTGAGGGATCTCGGGATCATCCGAGCTAAACGGGACGTTCAAATCATAGAACATGGTGAATATAAAAGGACTGGATCTGCCAAGCCTGCTTCTTTCCCTCTTTCCACCCTGGATGATTCAATCCTGCCAGCGAAAGGAAACGCAAAAAAAGCTGCTGGAACTGTCCGAGAAGGGAAATCTCATAATCCACCCGCATCAATAGTTTCCCCGACCCGACCGAGAGCTTAGCCTCATTGGGACGGCTACCCACAAGCCAGTCCCGTGACTGCAGGGTGGAACGAGCATCTCATTCCACTATTCCTATTTATCGTTGCTGCGATACATCTCTGCCTACCTCCGCTCGGGACGATAGCACGGCTGCACTGGTTGAACGGGGTATTCCGCTCATTATCTGCAGCTGCTGTTGTCTGTCCATTACCTCAAATTTGTCGCGATCCTCCGTTGTCACGCGTCCCCGTCTCTACCCCGCCGCATTTAGTCTTCGATATCGTTTGATTGTGGGTGGACTCGGAACTGCCAGTGAGCCGTCATCATCATGGCGCGCGTCTATGCCGATGTCAACGAGCATATGCCTCGATCCTACTGGGACTACGATAGTGTGAACATCTCATGGGGAGTCTTGGAAAATTATGAAGTGGTCCGCAAAATCGGTAAGGAATGACAAATATTCCCTTGAATGCCCCAATGGTCGATGGCAAAGGTTATTTTCGATACTGACAACGACCATTATAGGACGGGGAAAGTACTCGGAAGTTTTTGAGGGTATCAATGTTGTCAACTACCAGAAGTGTGTGATCAAGGTCCTCAAACCGGTCAAGAAGAAGAAGATTAAGCGTGAGATCAAGATTCTTCAGAACTTGGCGGGTGGTCCCAATGTTGTAGCCTTGCTGGATGTTGTTCGCGATAACCAGAGCAAGACGCCGAGCCTGGTCTTTGAATACGTCAACAACACCGACTTCCGCACCCTTTACCCACGCTTCTCCGACTATGATGTCCGCTTCTATGTCTATGAACTCCTGAAGGCGTTGGATTTCTGCCACAGCAAGGGTATTATGCACCGGGATGTGAAGCCTCACAACGTTATGATCGACCATGAGAAACGCAAGGTAGGTTTTTATGTGTTTGGTCGGTTTGCCCATTGAGTACGCTGACGTGTTGCCTAGTTGCGCCTGATCGATTGGGGTCTTGCCGAATTCTATCACAAGGGCACAGAGTACAACGTTCGTGTCGCTTCACGATACTTCAAGGGCCCGGAGCTGCTCGTTGATTTCCAGGAATACGACTACTCTTTGGACATGTGGTCGCTTGGAGCTATGTTCGCCTCGATGATTTTCCGCAAGGAGCCTTTCTTCCACGGAAACAGCAACTCGGACCAGCTGGTAAAGATCGCCAAGGTGCTGGGAACCGAAGAACTCTTTGAGTACCTGGACAAATACGACATCGAGCTCGACCCCCAGTATGATGAGATCCTCTCCCGTTTCCCTAAGAAGGCTTGGCATTCTTTCGTCAATGCTGAGAACCAGCGCTTCGTGAGCGATGAAGCAATTGACTTCCTTGACAAACTTCTCAGATATGATCATGCGGTATGCTTCGCTGCCCCTTTTTTGTGTGTTGATCCGTGCTAAACAGACTCCTTCAGGAACGACTTACTGCCCAAGAGGCTATGGCTCATCCTTACTTTGCGGCTGTCCGCGCGGCAGAGACCCAAGCCACCCGAAACAACGTGACGTCTCAATCGTGAGTCTGAGGCGCTGGAGAGATTACTATCTCTTTTGAAACGCTCTGGTTCCTCGCTCAGCACCCGCTGTTATCAGTGCCCATCTACGGCCAATATGATCACCGCCGGTTTGGTTGGATTTCGAGTTGATTCTGGAATGACTGGGTTAGAGATTTACGAAGAAAAAAGAAAAGAACAGAAAAAAAAAAAAGGCGGTGCAGCAACCGATCCGTGCCTCATGCTGGGACGAACTGACTCTCAGTGGGTGTTAATGAGTTATGGAACACGGAACGGAGACGACGATGATGACAGATGACATGCACCTAATCTGCTGGGTATATAGCCCATCTAACCTCAATCTTCTCGGCGTATCCAGTGGGTCAAATATATTTGACGATGTGTAGGATGTGATGGGATTTATTCTATTTCGTCCTGCGTAACTTGCACAGCCAATACCCATATTCCTACGCCTTTTCACGCTTTACCTCTTCTCTCCATTCCTCGTAAATTGTTGGTCTGGTGTTACGGGTTTCTCTTATCCTCTTTTCTCCATATCTTTTCGATTTCTGTTTTCATGTCCAGTTTCTATTATGATAAGCTCTTTGCAACTTTTGGTTGATGCACCGTTCAAGGAGTGAAGGACCCGTATGTGGTTAGCTGAATTAATCTCAAGAGTTTTAAAGAAATGAATGCATTGTCAAATCTTTCGTAATCTTACTCGGTATATTACAACATGAGTATTTACTAATAATTCCCAACGGGATACTACACGGCAAAGGCCACCTTAGTTTAAGGTGGAAACAGCTTTTATCCCAGCATACCAGATTTCGGGCAAACCTGTCCATTGAATTTTCGCTTTGGGCACAAACTTGAATGTGAGAAAAGCCTTTCAAACTCAGTTGCTACTGCTGTCTTTGGGGGGGTATTTGATACCACTCGAGGGGCATCCAGACTTGGAAACTGAGGAATAGGTTAGCATCAACAAGAAAGCCTACAAGGAGATAAACATACGTGGGCTAGTTGCAACGTATTTACCACCAACTGCACTTCCGTAGACATTGAAGTAGTATTCGATCTCATACAAGGTGTCATCATTGCAGAGCAAAGTCACCTCATAGCCATCGTGGATTGATCCAACAGCAGACTGAATCTCTTTTGCGGTGTAGGTTTTGTCATTTGTAGGTGTGATACCAGCTTTCGAAAGGGCCTGCCAAAGAAATCGTTACTTCATGACCACCATGGAATAAAATATGATCTCTTCAGAGTACTTACGGTATAAGTGTCCAAATCCTTGAATAAAGTGACCACTTGCTCAAAGAAATCACCAACTTCTTCGTGTTCAGCGTAGTCGGTGTAGCAGCTGGGGTCGATAGTGTTGACACACGTTCCATGAGTATTCCATTCATGGGCCCAGAATTTGTTGTTTGATTCGCTATCGCTGATCCAGTAGGTTTGCATGTAGTCGAGTAGTTCTGTTCGACCCTGGTCCTTCAAGACGGATTCAATATCGTCGACTTCGCGGCTGTCGTCGCAGTGCTCGCCGTATCCACCATCACAATGGTCTGGCCTGTGAGGAAAAACTTTGATTAGTGTTTATTTAATGTCTGCTTCATTGTTGATACTCACCAGAGACCATGGATTGTCCAGGAATCAGATGGACCAGTGGAGGGATCAGTATCCCAGAATTGGACCTGCATAAGAGTGCCACCAGGGGAATTGAAGCAGCAGAGGTCGGAAACAGCTGTAGAATTATGGCAGCTCAGGTTGCTAGTGTCGGTGCAGGTTTTCAGGCCGGCATGCACTCCAGTAAAGAGCTGGGCAATAGCTAGGGCAATTGTGCCCTTGGAGAGAGAAAACATGATGAGACGAGTTTGAAATTCGTTTAGTTTAGTAGATACGTTGGCTCCTTTAAATATGTTCAGCTTACTGGAAACTAAAAGGTGCTGAAACAGCGTTTGAGATAGTTAATGTAGCATTGCATAAATTGATGCTATTGACAACGACCAATAAGCTGCAGTTACTGGGATGCGTGTTTATCAGTTGCGCTGAAAGTGGAGAATGATTTACCCCTTAATCTGATGGCTCTATGCAACATTGCAATCTACTACTCATCAAGGCTGCTAGTTTGATTTTTGAATGATGCATGTCTCGTATGGTACGTAGCGATCCACAAAGAGTGACAAGGTCATGACACCGACTCGAAAGCTCCCCCTTTGCTCATCACCATCAATCAAGCCTAGCGTCCCACGAAGTTACTTTATTAGCCTCCCTCATATCGATCTATCTACTATCTATACTAAAAAACCGCAAGAAAAATGTGGTTGTGGGACGCGCTGCTGGCGTTTCTTGCCACGCTATTCGGGGTTTTCATCATCCTGGCTATTATCAAGACAGATATTCTGTGGGAGATTGACGCCTACTTGAGAGAAAGGTCTTATACAAAGTTGGCAGACATGATTGAATTTCTGATGAAGGTCATCACGTCGCAGGCATATTCTCAATAACAGCATGACTATAAAATCATGGATCGCCAACAACCAGGAATTCGACGCATTCCTACAGCGGGAGGTTTATCTATTGGAAAACAGAGAAATGCTGAAACCAAAGGCAGCCTCAGGTAGCCTCAGTCAGAATCAAGAGAAGTTATTAGGGAAGATTGAAGGGGAGCTCAAGCAAAGAAAGCGGCATCTGTGGACAACTTGCCAAGGGTTTTCCAAATTGCAATCAGGAATCACTCGGGGGGTCTATATTGAAGAGTTCTGCAGACAAATCAAGACGGCGGAGCAGACGAGGAAATGGAGTATAGATCGACGTGCTTGTCAACTCCGTCAAGACTGCTGTGACCGTGGCTGTGGATGCTGTAAAAGACCTCGTCGGGCTCCAGGGCAAACCGAAGCCTTTGCAGTTGCGGATTAGCCACACTGTACAATTGAGTGTGGCTGTTGTATTCGATGGAGGAGGTTTCGCTGAGCTTGATTGGTGTTGAGTGAGGATTCGATTAGATTGTGATGATGGTGCAATGCGTTTCTGGCTCAAATATCAAATATTGCTGCTTTCTTTGTTGAATAGTATTCTAGCCATAAATCTTTTGCAATATCGAGCCATGGAGCTTCATTGCTTTGGGGAAATCGTCGAGCTCCGTCTGAAATGTCAACAGCTCTTTATTTTTTAAGCATAAACAAATTCATTTCTACTGATTTAATCAATTTCTTAGAGGAATACTTGCCTTCCAAATTCCTGCCTCGAAAAGGAACCAGCAGCGATTGCTTTTTTGAATATACAATGCAGTGCAGGCAGAGGAGGATGCTCAGGTGCGCCATGAGACCACGGACATCTAGGCTGCATATGATTCATACAACAGGTTATTGAAATGCGTCATAGAAGACAAATTCCGTTTATCTGAGTCACTTCATTCCTTCATCTGAGAAAGAAGAAGCAAAAATGAGATTGTACAGGGCATATAGCTATGTAAAATCACGTGACATGAGTCACTTGCACGGTCTTTTTCCTTCCTGGCGAAGTTATATCAAGCCAATTCTCGCTGGGAAGAAGGGAAAAAGCTCGAGAGAAGCCAACCATCCACTGCAGTGAATTTTCTGCTTTCTTTCCATTAATATTACCTCTATACCTGCCATAAACCTGCTCCATAATACTATTCTCCACCGTCGGGGCTTCCATCTTTCTGGGCCCCGCACCAACATCCTCTGATTCGTTCCGTTCTTTTGCTCTGCGCCAGGGAAATTTAATTGCCCGCATTCGCACAACGAGAACCCCTCCCCCTCCTTTGCTTCACGCGCGGTTTGAGTCACCGGTGGTCAAGATACTTATCCGACGATTTGTGGCGCGATCGGCGCCCTGGAGATTCACTCCTCCGACATATCGATCATTTTCAAGGATGTCTCAATCCTCTGCACCCCAGAACCCGAGTGAGTACCGTTCTATCTACTGGTAGCCCGCTGTGACTATCGCGGACCGCGGAGAGACCATCGGAATGCTAACCGGCGCGAAATTTTTGCTGCAGTTGGTGAGCCCACGGCTCCCTTGACGGACCGCCCACCCCAGGTCGACGCACAAACGGGAAATCAGGATGCCTCTGCAGCCCCCAAGGTGAAGAGCGAGAAAGAGTGTATGTTTCCGGAAGTGCGGATTTCGCAACATTGTTGGTTGAGCAATACCTGACAATTGGTTTAACAGTGGAGAGGGAACGCAAGAAGGCCGAGAAAGCAAAGAAATTTGCTGAGAAGCAGGCAAAGGCTGCGGCCAAACCGGCTCCCGCTCCCAAGACTGACAAGAAGGCCAACAAGGTCGAGAAGGAGAAGACCACCGACGCCTACGACCCCAAGACCATCGAAGCTGATCGATACGCATGGTGGGAGGAGCAAGGTCTCTTCAAGCCTGAATTCGGCCCCGATGGCAAGGTCAAGCCCGCCGGCTCCTTCGTCATTCCAATTCCTCCCCCGAACGTTACTGGGTCCCTGCACATGGGCCACGCCCTTACCAATGCCCTGCAAGACACCATGATCCGCTGGCAGCGGATGAAGGGTAAGACTACACTGTGGTTGCCCGGTATGGACCATGCCGGTATCTCGACCCAGAGTGTTGTCGAGAAGATGGTCTGGAAGAACGAGAAGAAGACCCGCCACGACTATGGCCGTGCTGCTTTCACAGACAAGATCTGGGAGTGGAAACACGAATACCATGCCAACATCAAGAATGCTTTGAAGAGAGTGGGTGGTTCCTTCGACTGGTCTCGCGAGGCTTTCACCATGGATCCCAACCTGTCCGCTGCTGTCACCGAGACCTTCGTCCGACTTCACGAGGAGGGTATCATTTACCGTGCTAACCGCCTGGTAAACTGGTGTGTGGCTTTGAACACCTCTCTCTCCAACCTTGAGGTCGACAACAAGGAAGTCGAAGGCCGTACCCTCCTCGACGTGCCTGGCTACGAGAAGAAGGTTGAGTTTGGTGTGTTGACTCACTTCTGCTACGAGATCGATGGCACCGGCGAGAGAATCGAGATTGCTACCACTCGTCCTGAAACCATGATCGGTGACAGTGGTATTGCTGTCCACCCCACTGACAAGCGCTACCAGCACTTGATTGGCAAGAATGCCCGCCACCCCTTCCTGGATCGTCTGCTCCCTATCGTCGCTGACCCGGAGGTTGACCCCGAATTCGGTACTGGTGCTGTCAAGATCACCCCTGCCCATGACTTCAACGACTTTAACCGCGGAAAGGCGCACAACCTCGAGTTTATCTCCGTCATGAACGATGATGGTACATTTAACAAGAAAGCCGGTCCCTTCGCTGGTATGAAGCGTTTCGATGCTCGTTACAAGGTCATTGATGCTCTTAAGGAGAAGGGATTGTATGTCAAGTGGGAGCACAACCCCATGAAGATCCCCCGCTGCAACAAGTCGAATGATGTGATTGAACCTATCCTGAAGCCCCAGTGGTGGATGAAGATGGAGAGTCTTGCTGAGCCTGCCATTAAGGCTGTCGAGGATGGCGAAATTATCATCAAACCCGAGAGTGCTGAGAAGAGCTACTTCCGCTGGATGAGAGGCATCAACGACTGGTGTTTGTCCAGACAGCTCTGGTGGGGTCACCAGGCCCCGGCTTACTTCATCCAGGTTGAGGGTGAGGAAAGCGATGACAGCGATGGTAACTTCTGGGTTACTGGCAGAACCGAGGAGGAGGCCCAGAAGAAGGCTGAGGCTAAGTTCCCTGGCAAGAAGTTCTCTTTGACAAGGGACCCCGATGTTCTCGACACATGGTTTTCTTCTGGACTGTGGCCCTTCTCTACCTTGGGATGGCCTCGCCAGACTCACGACTTGGAGAACTTGTACCCCACCTCTGTTTTGGAGACTGGCTGGGATATTCTGTTCTTCTGGGTCGCCAGAATGATCATGCTAGGTATTAAGATGACCGGCAAGATTCCCTTCAAGGAGGTGTACTGTCACTCCTTGATCAGAGATTCTGAAGGTCGTAAGATGTCAAAGTCTCTGGGTAACGTTATTGACCCTCTGGACGTCATGGAGGGTATCGAGCTCCAGACACTCCACTCTAAGCTTCTCACTGGTAACCTTGCTGACAAGGAGGTTGCCACTGCTACCAAGTACCAGAAGAAGGCTTTCCCCAAGGGAATTCCGGAGTGTGGTGCTGATGCTTTGCGCTTTGCTCTCGTGTCTTACACCACTGGTGGTAAGTCTTGATATACTCTATTTCTAAAATGGCTTTCCATACTGACTTCATTTGTAGGAGGTGATATTGCATTCGACACCCAGGTCATCTTTGGCTACCGTCGTTTCTGTAACAAGATCTACCAGGCTACCAAGTTCGTCCTTGGCAAGCTGGGTGAAGACTTCAAGCCCAAGGCAACTGTCGGAAAGACTGGTCGGGAGTCCCTTTCCGAACGCTGGATTCTGCACAAGTTCAACACTGCTACCAAGGAAATCAACGAAGCCCTTGAGCAGCGTGACTTCTCCATTGCTGCTTCCACTGTTTACCAGTACTGGTACAGCCAGCTTTGCGACGTCTTCATTGAGAACTCTAAGACTCTCCTTGCACCCGAGGTTCCTGCAGAGGTGCAGCAGTCCGCCAAGGAAACCCTCTACACCTCTCTTGAGGGTGCCCTGACCATGATCCACCCCATTATGCCTTTCGTTACGGAACACCTGTGGCAGCGTCTCCCCCGCCGCCCCGACGACAAGACAATTTCGATCATGACCGCTCAGTTCCCCGAATACCGGGAAGAGTTCCACGACCCTGAAGCCGAAAGAGCCTACGAACTCATTCTGAACACCTCCAAGGCTATCCGTTCGATCCTTGTTCAGTACGACGTCCGCACCAAGGGCGACATCATCATCCAGGCCTACGATGAGACCAGCTACAAGACCGTCTCGGACGAAGTGTCCATTATCAAGTCCCTGGGTGGCAAGCTCTTGGGCGAGCTCAGCGTCCGCGGACCTGAGGACACCACCCGCCCTGCAGGATGTGTCGTGTCGGCTGTCGGTGCCGAGGTTGCCGTCTATCTCCGTGTGTCCAAGGAAGTTGCCCTGGAGCAAGAAGAGAAGGCTAAGGCTAGTCTCGAGAGGGCTCGCGAGAACCTCCGCAAGTCGCAGGGCATCATTAACGGTGCTGGTTGGAAGGAGAAGGCCAAGCCTGAGGTGCGTGAGGCAGAGGAAAAGAAGCTGCGGGACTCCGAGAGTGAAACCGCTCGCTTGGAGGAGCAGATCCGCGAGTTTGAGAAATTGAGATTGGAGTAGATATGTCTATGATACACTTGCAAAATTCGAGTTAATATGTTCTGGTTGTTACTTTGACCATATGCAGTATTCCTATCGTAGCACTATGAATGGGAATTCCCAGGAATTCCCAGAATATTCCATACTATTTCTTAGATGACCGCTTCTAAAAAACTTCATAATTCAATCTGACTTCATGCGTGTATTTAATTAAAATGAGAAAGAAAAAAAATTCTATCTTTTATCATGTCCAACGCTCACGTTTTCATAGTTAAGCTTATCGATAAGGAGCGCCAAGACTTTTTCCGCCAAAAGTTTTTCGCTCCGCCTTTTTTTCTGTTTGAATCCCTCGAGATCAATTCCAAGAAAAAATCAACTCCACCCCCAATCACACAATTCCAAGATGTTGAGAGAAGTGTACGTTTTATCATGAATTCTCAGTCGGATAATCTCACTAACATGATTTTCTCGCAGAAAACCCAAGAACCCGCGCACCGCGCGCATTCTCAAAGCCAAAGAGCCCCAACTCGTCGAACCGCCCAAACGAACGCTGGTTATGCACGGAGGAAAATGTCCTCAGGCGCTGCAAACCGTTCTCAAGACGTTCCACTCGCTGACGAACCCCAACTCGGTCCTTTTCCACAAGAAGAATGAGAACATCCACCCGTTCGAGAACGCAGAGAGCATCGAATTCCTGGCCAACAAGAACGAGTGCGGTATCGTTGCGTTCGGTAGCAGCAACAAGAAGCGCCCCAACTGTGTAACCCTGACGCGGATCTTCAACTCCAAGGTTCTGGATATGTGCGAGTTGTTGCTGCTTCCCGGAACCGAGGGCGATGCCATCCCCACGATGAACAACTTGACCATGCACATTGGTTTTGGTCTGCGACCTATGATTTTGTTCGCGGGTACTCCCTGGGATGACCCGACTGCGACATCCCACGCAATGGTGAAGAGCATGTTTCTGGATATGTTCAAAGGCGAGGAATCGGATAAGATCGATGTGGAAGGGTTGCAGTATGTGCTTATGATTGGAGCCGATGAGCCTACCGAGGGGCTGTCTCCCGTCATCCACCTGCGATGGTACAAGCTCCAGACCAAGCGCAGTGGCCACAAGCTGCCCCGTGTGGAGCTTGAGGAGATTGGACCCAAGTTCGACTTCAAGATCGGCCGTCTACAAGAGGCACCGAGCGACGTCATGAAGGAGGCCATGAAGCAGGGCAAGCGACCTAACGAGAACATGAAGAACAAGAAGAACATCAGCGTGGATAGCGTCGGTGACAAGGTCGGACGGGTGCACTTGGGCAAGCAGGATTTGAGTGGATTGCAAACGAGAAAGATGAAGGGTTTGAAGAGACGGGCAGGTGTGGAGTCGGATGAGGAGGACAATGATGATGCGATGGATGTTGATGAGATTTCGGAGGATGAGGGACGGAAGAGGACAAGGACGAACTAGATTTCCTGTTTGTTTTCTTGGATGCATTCTTTCGCCCTTCTGTCTATCTTATTCCATATAACTAAGGCGTTCCGGGTTGGTTCGGTTTTTTCTATTGATTACGCCAAGCAAGTTCATTTATGAACCCGGGTATCTGTGTATGTACGCTGGTAAAAAGTCTGAGCACTATGCTATCTTACATTATTGTCTTTGATGAGGTTACAGTCGAAATGTATTGTCCAAAATACATTCCTGAAATAGACTAGAAGCAAATATAACACCATTTACATTTGCCAACGCTTGAAAATATGGAAACAGTTGAAATGGAGACAAGATACTCCCAACAGGTCAATCTTGTGTAGGAACTCGCTCTGAACCCTGGTTGCTTCCGGGGACATTGCCAGTCGCAGGGCTGCGAGAAGCATCTGTTGGATACAGCAAATCCACATCGGTACTCTCCCCTGGGGAATCTTGAGCCTCTTGGACGGGGCTCTTTGGTGTGTTTTTGTTGCAGTACTGTACTGATTCCCCTTAATCCCCTTATTCCCTATTCGACGTTGAACCGGAGTCGTGCTGAATACCCACGCATATACATTTCCCTTTGCCGACGCCATGGCCTCCTTTCCATTTGAATCTCGCATAACCCGTTCCATATCCTCGGGGGATATACCGGGGATATTCAGCCTCTCTATTGAAGTTGCGCCACGAGATATAATGCTGAGGGAATAACCTAATTCTCTGAGACGACGGGATATGATTGTCTTGCCTTGGGTTGAGTTGAACTTTCATGAAGATGTGCGTTGATATCCTTGAGTGTTGACAAAGAGTTTTGGTCAACGTATTGGCGGAGTTCCTGCGGCGATTAGTACCGATGTGTCTTCAAAACGATCTAAATCTCCCTTTACTTGTTGTTTCTTGGGAATTTTTCTTGTGTGCATCCCTCCCTGAGGCTGGTATGGAATGGACCTACTTCGAGCATCTCAGGAGTAATCGTCGACGGCCGACTCATCGGTTTCGTAGGCTCCTTTCAAGGCGGATGAGTAGTGCCATAGGAGGTTTTCAAGCACCTAGCCATGCATTTTACCGAGTCTTTAGGGACATGTTGGGTTTTGGCTATATGGGAATATGATTCCTGGCGAAAGAGAGCTACTGTGATATGCTGTCTCTTTTCCAGAGGTATGAGGCGGGCCATGGTCTACTTTTTTTAGTGCCACCCTTTCTCTCTCGTTATTTTCAGATTATCAAAAAGATCAAGCTGATAGGACTGTAGGAAATTGATGTTTGTTGATGGGCGTTGGACTCGGTGTTGACGTGAAAGCAGGCGGGTTTCCGCGTTGTGGTGATGAGTCCAAAATCGCTTCATGGTCGGCAACGAATAGGGAAAGTCTTGGCTGGAGTCACTTGAAGGCCATCACACCAACTATTTATCATGCTGCAACAGAAAACAAATAGAACGAATATTCTCCTGACAATTTGCTATCTTCAACACCACGTGACATGACGTTGCGCTCGGCCGGGCTCTCACATGCCGAGGATCTTTCTGGCTTTTGCGGATGCAGCCAACGCCATTAAATGCCGTGCTCTTCTTCATTCTCCTACATCCCCCCCACCTGGGTCTTCTTTCTTTTTGCTCTGCTCTGAAACATCCTCTGAATCGCATCTTTTTCCTCTCCCCATGACCCTGTTAGCACCTGCGATTCGTTTGGGCGGAAGTTATCACCAATAGCTGATCCGACTTTCCTCTTACCGAGGTCCCGAGATACCATGGACGCTCTCCTGGTAGGAACTGCTCTTTTGCATCTTGTCCGTTTCGATGCCATTCTGATCGCATATATAGTCCCGTTTGGACTCCATCGTCCTCAACCCCGAGCTTGCGCCTCTTCTCTCGTTGCTCAAGGGTATCCGTAATGGCGTCGTTTACGGATCAAAAGTGCGATTCCCGCACGCTTTGGTGTATGTCTCCCCGCTTCGTTTGGATACAATCGGTTATGGTGGTCAGATTTAACTAACGGATGGCTGGAATTATAGAATGATCTTTCTCTTTCGCTCTGGAACGTAAGGCGACACCCGTGAACATGACATTTACCCCTCCTCGCTCCGACCATACTGACCCGGCCATGCAGCTTCCGAGAAAAGGCCAAGCTTGTCCTCAGTGCCACGCGCCAACATGCGCGGAACCTTGCGACCTTCGCATTAATATACAAGAGCTCGATGATTGTCCTGCGGAATGTGAATCCGGCCGGTGTCGGGAAAGAGGGTCGCTACGATAGCTTCTTCGCGGGGTTGCTAGGAGGGTATGCCGTGTTTGGACGGCACTTTAACGGCGTCAGCCAGCAGGTATGTGGAAATAATTTTGCACCTGGCAAGGATACAACACGGAGGAGATATATTGACTAAATTCTCGTTTAGATCGTCATCTACATCTTCGCTCGAGTGATGCTTGCTCTGGCTAAAATTGCCGTTGCACCGAACACGCACCCCCTTTCCTCCCTCATCACACCCGAAGCTCGAACTAAGCTTTACGACAATGCCTGGCCAGCTTTTGCTAGTCTGAGCTGGGCTCTTGTCATGTACATTTTCCGCTGGTACCCCGAGACTCTCGCGTCGAGTCTTAGAAGCAGCATGGTTTATATGTATGTTTCTTTCTTATGTCTTATGTTTCCTCACTAACGGCATTCAGATATGCCGACTCGGATCACTGGGATTCTTTCCGCAACCTCTTAATACACAACAAATAGATTTACCCAGGCTGGATCGACCTTTTTTGTTTACGGCGCATGGCGTTCAGAGTTATATCGTTGGCCCTTTCCCTTCGTTGTCTATTTTTAACACCGGTATTCTATTTTTATATCTAACTTTTGGGCGTGGAATCTCCCAACATGGAATTACCCAGGGCGTGCTTGTGCCACAGCCATTTTGATAGTGCGGACTGCGTTGAAACCCTCCCGCGGGCGGATGGGGGAGTCATTGGTCCTTTGACCAATGTAAGTATACAGGTTTTTGTGAGAAAGATGCATCATCCGACTCGGGATGGTACTCTGTATGCTTCATAACCTAAGAATAAACCATAATGACCATGGAATTCTTGTCACAAGTCTTTCGGTTTATAGTTTTGCATAGGAGCAAAGATACAATTTCAAGTAACTATGTCCATTTAAATTTAAGCCGTCTTCATCTTGCACTGTTTATCATCCCGACATAAACCATTATACCCATAAATCTTAAACACTGAGCACCGTAACCACATAAAATTATATCATGAATCACATCAACCCCCATAAGTTCGCCCATCCAATTGGTTGCTGTGTAGTGGTAGCTCTTTGCTTGATCTGATCCAGTCTTCGGATTTTATTCTTGACCTCTTCCAGATTCGAAGTATCCTCTAGTCGCCATTGAATATTATGCCACTTCTGAAACCGGTAGACCTTGAGACAAAGCCAAAACGCGATAAAGCACATGGGCTATTGCTATCAGCACATCTGTATCTCCATGTTGATATAACGGACTTACTGCAAGATATGCGGAAAGAAAAGCTGTTCTGTGGAATCCGTTCCACAAAGATGAGCCATCTGCGACTATCAGGACGAAAAGACATCCAAACAGCGCCGCGTACATGGTCAGAGGCTGGCCATGCGAGCGCCATGGGTACCTGTCGTTCTTTCGACCGCGGCGGAATCGACAGACATGCGCGAAAAACGGGTCATCTTCCAGTTCATTCTGGTGGATTTTGACACTATAGAAATTGATATAAACGCTGAGCATGGATTCGAAGACTTGCGCTTATATGAACTCACCAGTTGTAGAATCGGATGAAAGCCAAAACTTGACATAACCACACTATCAGACAGCCCACTGAACTCATTTGCGAGAGGACTTCGAGCAACTAATAATAAAAGTTAGCGTTGTTTCTCTCCGTACTGCATTGAGATGGATCAATCTTACACTTGAGATGGTCGTGCCCGGGGAGTTGTTTGGCGACAGATACAGAAATGGGACCCAAATAAAAAGGCAGGAGAGGAACATGGCACGCACTGGCACTCGGTAGCTATTTGTTCGCCCAAAGAACGCTAGCCACTTCCATCTGGCCCCGTCAAGTTCGCGTGTAAGTCCAAAAATCGTTCGTGAGGCGACATAGATATTGGTATTGGCTGCTGAGATCGCAGTGAAGAGAAGAATAGCGGAGAACAGGTCCGCCAAACCAGTAATTTGGGACCTTGCAGCGCTTAATACAAATCCTGAATATGACTTCGTTGCGGCATTCGTGCTGGCTGGTGATCCCAGCCAACTGACACCGGGTAGCCCTGGGTTGTCCCATTTGACGTTAAAAGTTAACATCAATGCTGCGAAGATGTATATGATCCAAACAATAAAGGTTGTCCATGTAGCAGAGAACTGAACTGATATTCGATCCCACGGGCTCTTAGTTATTTCTTTCTCAATGTTGTTCGGTTGTGTATTGCTATCAAATCTGGATTCAAAAGCTGGCACTGTTGCGACCTCCACGCCAGTAAAGGAGAATATCGCAATAGAACACGAGATGCTCCTAGTTGTCAGTTTTGCTAGGAAATGATGAAGCTGTTAAACATATCTGTGATTAACTTACAAAAAAACAATAACCCAATTATCACCAGTTTTGGGATCATATTGGAATATATTGTTTTTATAGTCTACGTAACACATTGATGAGGAACTGGTTTCAATACATTGACCCGGAGCGTTCGTTCAGGTACCTACTTTCGATGCCAATATAGCCCTCCGATCCGACTGTATTCGTGAGCACATTAAGATCTTCAATCATGTGGATATCTTCAACAAACCTCCGACATTGATAATGATCATCGCAATGATAACTACTATAGCTCCTGCCAGCTTAAGCGTACCGGCAATGACCTCAATGAGACCATATATCTGGCATATATTAGCTATATCTCCATTCATCACCGATAAGAATCGAATGAACGCACTTGAACCCCGAAGCTGTTGAATAGTATGAGAAACAGGGGGACTAAGAAAAACATCACCGTCCCTATAACTGGCTTTCCAGGATTCCAGTATTCAATCACACCGGCCGCAGCGACAATATCAGCCGCAAAGTTCATCGAGTATGTGAACCTAAAAAATATTGTACATCAGCAATGAACTCTTTCTATCGGCATCTCAGACGAGCAGGGGAAGTAGGCTAGAAATGCAGCGAAGCCTCACCAATATGTTACTCCTACTGCAGTACCTAGCTCTCGATCAACAAATGTTGAAACATATTCCGTTAACGCCCCTGATATCGGCCACAATGCAAGCATCTCTCCGATGCACTGCATAACTGTCCACGCCAAAAATCCCATTGCCGAAAAGGCGATTATCACAGCAGCCGGGCCTCCAATATGGAGGATCGTACCGCTTCTCACATAAAGACCAACCCCGAGAACGCCGCTAATCGTGATCATCTAGAGCTCAACGAAGCCATGTCAGATGAGGATATCGCACCAGTCGAGTTATGGTATTCTTACGAAGACATGGATTCCACGCAATTTACGACTAAAGAAGAAAAGTGCGCATCAGTATCATGACTCAACATTCTGGGCTGCTCATTTGTCCAGGAACCTACTTCACCGTACGATCGGCATCATCCATAGGAAGTCCATCGCTCACAACTGAGCTCGCGGGATGCTCAGCTAAGCTGCCGAAGATAGAGGGCTCTAATGTAGTCCTGGAGCTGACTGACTCCAGAGGAACCAATCCTATAGGTCCAGAAGAAAGCTCTTCTAGATGATAATCAGTTTCGCTGGAGTGTATGTGGCCGTGTTCAAAGCCTTGCGTGGAAGACATCTTTCCATAACCCCGAATAGCAAACGTAAGAGAAACCAAAAGACAAAACGAATGACTTCTCCGCGGACTGAAGTTTTTGAAGAAACACTAGCTGTGTGCATGGCATAAGGCATATTATGTGAACACATCCGAGCTTCAAGTAATCGTGGTAAAAGTAACGACTTGCGCGGATAATCCCAGCAACATTGATTGACTCCCGTTCTATCTTGCGGCTTTTTCATAATTTAGCGAAGTGACACAGAGAAATGGGAAACAAACAAATCGAAACACGAGTTGACTCTCTTATCTTTGGGACTGCGGGGCTGGATTCAGCACCCTGTCAGCGACAGACGAGGCTCCCACGCGGAGATAAACAGCGAAGACGGGTGGGATCCCAAGTCAAGGCGAGAAATATTCCTCCTCAAAGTTGAAGAAGAGGATCACCCAGGCACGAACTCAATAATTTTCCCCCAGCAAGTTTCCGATAGTCTCCATGGATTCTTTGAGGCGAAGCTTCACTAGTCGCTCCTTCTCAATGGATACCCCGATACCATCGACCGAACGACAGGTTATTCACTCCAGATACATCGATCGTGGGGACCTCCAGGTCCTTCTGGCAAGACTCTTTCCAGACCAACCAAGCTTGAACTTTATCATTAGAGTAAGCTTAGAGGCGATGCCAAGGGCTTCAAGCCAAGATGCTCATTCATCCTTTGCAACATTAGCTCAATAATGATGTCCTCAGCTTTGTCGCTCCTCGCCAGGTAACAGAGGTAATCATAACCTTCCTAATATTAGCAACGACCGATTCAAACGATTATTTCCACAAGCTGACCTGTTCATCTCATCCAGGAGGAACTCGAGTAAGTACTCATAGCCCACCCCAGCCCACTATCGGCCTTCTCCGAAAGCAAAAGTGCCCAAGGCTGTGTTGCTGTGGTGGCTGACTGGCTGATCTTTCCTGCTATCACCCGCCAGTGAGATAACGGGTCCAGGCTCTTGAGAATGGCCTGTTTGTTCCCTCCGTTTTATCGGTTACCACAGCCTTGCGCTTCCCCTGGTGCTTCTGTTTCATGGATGAGTGTGACGGTGCCGTGATCAAGTGGCGTGTTGTCAGGGCATCGAGGCTGGTTCCTTTTCAAGGCAGAATTCTGGAAGGCGAATCTTTTTTATGAAATATCTGATATTAGTATAAATGAATTTGGTTATGCTCAAAATCCACTAGCTTGATTACCTTCTAGAAACCAAGAGCTCCTCCGTCCTTGCCAATTCAGACAATGGAGCTTGACGATTTCCCCAAAGCGAAGGAGTCACCTGCACTGACGGTGTCGCCTACCGTGGCCCTTCTTGACCCTTTTGCCCTTTTCCCGTATCCAGAGGATGCCTGGGCTCGGGTAGAAGAGCGAAAGTGCTTCACGGGGAATGAATTGTCGATTGGTGTTGACTGGGTGGATGTCAACGCGGACAACTCTGGTGGGTGAAAGAATAGAGAGAGCGTGGAAGAAGTCTGACTGGACACTGCAGCGATCCACAGAAAATTCACCTCCCTGGACCAAATCAACGAATATATTTCTGAGCCTGACAGAAACCAGCCTGATTTACGTGTCATGTGAGTATTTTCTAAAGCAGAAACTATTCCAGCTCAGGCTAATAAACCAGATCTCTCAATCAACGCTTTTCCTGGGGATTTTTGAATGTCACGCAAAACATACTTAGCAGCATTATCGATGCAATCAACGCCTCACCGGAGCTCCTTGAGGTTATTTCATGCTTCTACAAGAAAAACTCGCCTATCGAAGAGGCGTTTAGCAATGCCCCGTTCATTAAGCATAACAAGGACAGTATAGGTGAGGATACAGTCTCCATAGAGGTATGTCACGCAACGAAACTTATTTTTAAATAGAAATCATGTATATCTTCAAATATGTCGCATATAAACACGGCCAAACGCAGAATAAGCCATGGTCCATTCGCCAGACTGGAGTTTACCAAAGATACGATTTAATAAATAAGAGGTCTGTCTGGATTTTCATCCATCCAGGCACAGAATCACCTTTTCAATCTCGTCTGAATCAGCTCTTAACATCACTTGAAGGATGCTCCCAGATACAGAGTCATCCTCTGTTGCTTCACAATCTTCTCTTCACGACTTACTCCCCTCGATGGAGGGATTTCATGTCTTATCAAGAGAACAAGATTTGGTCACTGGTATAGAAGCCCCTGCATTGAGTTAGAAACTCGAAAACCCGGTGCTAATAGTAACGACAGGCTGCAGAAGTGAGGGGAAACGGAATCGAAACATCGCGGGTGAATTATCAAACACTTTCATCGGCGTACCCCATCGAGAATGACTGCCTCGCATTGCGACCTATCTTTCACTCTCTTGGAAAGATTCTGGAGGCAGTCCACAAAACCACGAATTCTCTGTATGAAGAAAATGTCCTAACGGAGCAAGAATATGGAAATATCGTGCAGGTCCTCGATAACCATTCAAAGGTTCTGGATGCATATGTCCAAAATAACCTTTACCTTCAGCATATGGTAGAACGAACGGCACAGCTTATCACAGACACAATTTCACTCAAAAACTCCGAGTATACAATGGATCTGACGCTGTCTACCGTCAATGATTCGACTACTGTCAGAACCATCACAATCGTGACGCTTATCTACCTCCCATCTACCTTTACAGCGGTATGTTGTTTTCGAATTAAACGCGAGTCTCAAAAAGCTAACACGGGGCATGATAGACTGTTCTCGGAATGAACTCCTTCTTTGAGATGAGCCCGAACAATGATTACCTTGTGGTGTCTCATCAATTCTGGATATTTGTCGCTTGCGCAGTCCCGCTCACAGTCATCACAGTTCTATATTGGTTAATACGAAAGCGCGTTCGAGATAGAAGGAGAGTTATCAAGATGGAGTCGCGGGTTTGAGGAAAAGTCGCTGTGATTCCAGAACAGAGGGCGATGCGCATAGTCGAATATTGTCAAGGTATATCTCGTATTTCCCAATGCATACCAATGATTTTTAAGCTGATAAAGCATAGATATTTAGATTGAATTTGAGTTTCAAGAATGATTCAACTCCTTTCCCTTGGGGAGTTTGATTGCTAAGAAGCTGCCATCATTTTTCGATATGAGAAGCTCTCTATCGCCGCTTCCGTAACCTGTCAAGACAGCACTATCTGTTGATTTCCTGTAAACAAACTTCTCTTTGTTGCCTATCCTGGCTGGAGCTCCATTTCTCAACAAATTGAAGCTGGTCATTGGCAGCTCATATGCCTGCTGAATGTTGGTGTTGCTGTCTCCACCAAGGAGTATCAGTGAACTATTCTCGCCGTCATCGCGTGCAAGGATATCAACGAAATAACGATTCAGCGTACAGCAATGATAGCTTTTTTGCCACGATTTGATGACAACTAAATATCTACACTGTAAAAGTAGGACGAAACAAGGAACCGTGTCAAACATGGTGCAGGCAGTAAAGGTTGCCTCACTTGAGCTTGCAAGTCCCTATAAAGTAATTGTCAATCTACCTGCTGGAAATGTCCGGTTTCTCTTCTGGAAGGATGTCTTACCTGCCAAGGAAGGATAAACCCAGCAAGAGCCTTACCGGAATTCGTATCCCATGCTTTGATCAGCATCCTTTCGTCGGGTTGCTGGGCGACGATGACTAGGGTTTGACTGTCTCGAGAAAACATGAATTTGAATATATGTTTAATAGAGCCAAGCTTTGAGCTTTTCACAATGACATTACAGCCCAATGGGGTCGTTTCTGAGCTTGCGCTCGAAAAGGCGGATGTAGATCGACTGGACCTTGGAGAGTAATCACTAAGAATGAGTGTTAGTATTTGATAATGATGGTATATTGTGAGTACATGGAGGTCATACCTGCTAGTTGCGGAATCCATCATAGTTTGTGTGCGAAACAAATACACCTTGCAATCCGAGTTACTGGAGCCAGGACATGTGACCACAAAGGCCATAAACCTGCCATCCGCTGACATGGCAATAGATTGAATGGACCCAGCTTCTGGATGACATGCTATCTTCGTTGGCGTAATATTCCCCGTGTCATCTTTTATCTGCAAGTCATATGATATAGCGAAGATATGGCACTTCCACTGGTCAGCACAAGCGCAAATTAGCAACGAATGTAATGGGAATACCTCAAAATGATGACTTCCACGAACTACTTTTGGTACAATACATATATAAGATGAATTAATGGCAAAACATTCCCATGGTGATCTTCTGGTGTTGACGAACGGTCCAAAATCAGGCTCTATCCGTTTTTTAGCACGCCTCAACGTGTCAGACTGAAAGACGTCAATCCTTTCCGGTGAGTAAAAGCCCAGCAGCTCCCCATCGATCGAGAACATGCTATTCCTCATATCTTTTATTATTTTGGACTGCGGAAGAATATGTCTTGCCACTGCACTCAAGGTGCTTTCTCTAGCAATTCGATGGGGTTGGTCGAATATCTGAGTGATCCCGCCTAGTTTGATCTCAATAGCTCTAGCACTTTTTCTCGATTTTGGGTCTAGGCTCAAAGAATCTTTTCTCAAAACATCCAGGGTTTGGCAAAAGATCTCATGCTCAATCTCGCCTCGGACACGGGAATTCGCTTTGAGCTTGTCAAACCACTCATTCACGGCAGGCGAGGGCTGTGGTTTCCCACGCCTGCTGACGAAAAAAAGATCACCATCTGGGTTTGCCTCGGCACGCTTTTGACTGAAGGAAAGTACGCTTCCTGCTCCACCATCGATGAAGGACAAGACAAGACTTAAAATACAGCCATAGCTCCATATATCACTTGTCCAACTCACTTGCCCTCGTTCATCAGCATACTCTGGGGGGAGGTAGGTTCCTTCCCCTCGAGGACGCGATGTTAACTCCGCATCTATGGGTCGAAGTGAGCTTGTCTTTTTAATCCAGGGAGTATCCAGCTGGAGATTTATTCTTTTTCCGCCATTCATCTTTCGGCTCTTCACTCGCGAAATACCAAAATCGGTTATTTTCCACTTCTCCAATGGTGTTCCAGCATCAAAAACAAGGATATTGTGGGGTTTGAGATCAAGGTGGTAACAGGAAAGGTCTTGAAATGTTTCCGTGTTTTTGAATTCCCCATGAAGAAATGCTAATGCACCAGCCAGAGTGACTCCACGGTGGAAGATGGTGCGTTTTTCTGGCATGTCAGAAGGCTTGCGACTTTCACTAGATTTGCTGAGATAATGCCAAAGATCGCAGGTAGCCAGTGGGAAGAAGATACTGAAAACATCCTCGTGCTGTAGAATAGCCTTCGCCAGTGTGATGGAATCGTGTCGGGTCGGTTGGTTCATAATATTTCGTAAAGTTTTTTCCTCAATTTCAAATCCCTCAAGCCTGGTTATCTTGAAATCTTTGCGAGCAAGAGCAACTGGTGTAGAGTTTGACAATCGGCCTCTGTCCGACCTCACATGATTTCCTGCGATGTTGACTTTCCAAACCTTCCCAAAAGCCCCTGATGCAATGCTCTCTTGTTGAAGGTAGGGAAGCGGGCAACGACCCTTGTCATTATTGTAGATGACTCTTTCATTTTCGTTCAGTACTACTGGGCAAAAATGAAATTGTTTTTCGTAAAACTCATTTCCGCATAGCGGAAAGATACGCCGGGCCGTTTCGCGACTTATGGGGAGTTCATCGTCCGTTATCGAGAGAGGCGACCCTGGGAGGTTCGTTTCTGAGGGCAAGAGCTGGCTGAACTGTTGTAAAATTTCAAGGCCTTCTTTTAACGACAATAGAATGGCGAGTATGTTACTCAGTGTTTCTGTTACCAGTTCCGATAAGCGGACGGTATCCGCAACAGGGATATCCAGCAATATTGAAAGAAGGCTTTTGAGCTTCTTCTGGCTATTCCGTAATACCTCTTCTGCAGTACCTCGGGGAAAGAAGGCTTCACCATTATGGTTTGTCTTGACACGGTCCTCCAGTCTGTCAGTAAACGAGCGGCAGAGTGAGTCAAGTGTTCCATCAGCCATGGCGACAGTGGTCAGGATCCTTGTGTGATGGTGAGGTGCTGAGCTTCATGACAGAAAATAGGATTTTGACTGTGATGATGATTATGATGATGAAATGGAGAAGATGGCTGATAAGAATAGCCGCCTAGACACGGGGAAATTGGGTGACAGTCTAGAGTCCCAAGGCACCGAGGCGGCTGAGGCAACCGAGGGGAGGGAGTGCTGCTACTGGCCACTGTTGAAATGGGCTGCATTAGGCTGGGTTCGTACAGCCATCGGGGTAGGCGTTTTACTGATAGGGGATTGGAAGCCGAGTCCCTGCTAAGGTGGTGACGGCGTATCGGGCTTTGAGGGTGGCGGTGCCTGGTAAGCCATGTCATCAGTGGGATTCATCAAAACAGGCCAAATAATTCCTAGAGCCAAATGGAAGGATCCATCCACACTGCTCGTTGATGCAAGATGGATGCGGAGTTTTCGATATGACGAGCAGAGGTTCTTGCGTGGGGGAAGCGGGTTGATCTGCGGATTGCGAGGCCTGCAGGCGCTTGCAATGGGATCCCATGACACTTGCCTTGCATACGTGTTGAGATGACATTGAAGAAAATAAATTAAAAAAAGAAAACAATATGAGTAATTGATGTTCACGACGGAAGCACTACATCGTTATAGGTTCCAGTAAATAAATATAAATATTTATCCGAAGAACGACCGAGGCTTGAGATAGCAGGCACGCGAGAAAGCCTACATAGTTCCTTCTCAATGATAACGAGCATAAATGGTAGACAGTCTCTATCGTTGATTTTTTCTATGATGAATATTAAAAAGACCATGCAAATGCAGCGGCGCTGCAGGCACAAATGTCAGGTCAATCTGGCATGAGTCACGTGAGCGATTCAGCGACAAGGATTATTGCAGACTCAAAAGGAACTTGATCAGCATCATTTTTTGTAAGAGTCAGGTTTTTTGGCGGTTTGGCTTATATCTCTGAATAATGTTACCATCTCAACAATCCCAGCATGTTAGCTCAGGGGAAGAGCGTCGGGCTCATAACCCGAAGGTCCCTCGATCGAAACGAGGACATGCTACTTTCTTTTTCTTTTTTGCTCTTTCTCCAGGCAACCAACATAGTATCTTCCACCCAGCCTGCCGTTGTTTTGTTTTAAATTTTGCTACATCAGAGAAAGACGCGCCAGAAAACTCCCCTCGCCAATTGTTTGAATTCTCAAGTCAGCGTCTTCTATCAACCATTATGCCTTCTTCTCAATATGCTCGAATGAGGCATCTTCTTCTTTGTCCTTGTCCTTTCCACCCACATAACGAACGTCCGTGGTTGGCACGAAATGATCACGCACAGCTTCCCTCTCAAAAAGCTCATCCATGAACTCCAGCGAGAGCCCTGTCAGATCATCAGTCAGTCAAGCTCGATACAAGAGTGCCAAGTATGAGAGCTCACCCTTCGTTTCTGGCACAAAGAACCAGACATAAACCACCATGACGAAACAAAAGCTGCCATACACAAAGTACGTCCCGTAACCATTCTTGCCCAGTGTTGCAAACATCGTCGGGGTTGATTTAGCTACTACGAAATTCCAGAACCATTGCGAGGATGTCGCCATGCCCATATTGAGGGCACGGAGTCGTGTTGGGGGTATCTCCTATCGAATGTGAGTCTCTGCAAGCAGATCCAGGATTATAATGTTACTGACAGCACAGTAGGTCCAAACCACACTTCCCCAACCGAACTGATAAATCGCCGCGAAGAGATATATTGCAATGAGAGCGACATAGCCTTGCGGGGTGATCGGTGCGTTTTCATCGATAGTATCGAATCGGACATAGAACCCGACATAGAAGAGCATCGCACCCTGAGGGATAAGGTTAGTGACAGTGCTGGCAGAATATAAGGGACATTACCTGAGCAATTCCCGTCCACAGCAGCGATTTCCGTCGACCAAGCGTGTCCGAGACAAACGTGATAAAGATTGCGCAAGCGACCATCTTGACAATGCCATAGATGCCTGTTGCAAATAGACCAACAGACGAAGATGACAAACCAACACTGGCAAAGATAGTGGGAGAATAGTATGTCATGGCGTTTGTTCCAGTCATATTACTCCACATCATCAAGGCGATGCACAGGATTGACCTACGTCGATAGGACTTTTTTGAAAATGACTCTTTGAGAGAAGATAGGAAACTGTGAGATCCCTCTTCTTCGAGTTGTGCTTTCAAGGTGGCCAATTCTTCTACCACATAAGGGTGGTCTTCCGGCAAGCTGCGCAGTTTGGACAGAACCTTTGATGCCTTCTCTGGATGTTTCATGGCGAGGTATCGAGGAGACTCGTTTGAAAGGAGCATTCCAACGAAGAGGATCAAACCGGGAAAAGCCTGCAAAGAGAGTGGGATTATAAACTGCCCTTTGCCGGTGAGATGAAGCTCGCAAGCATAGTTGATCCAGAAGGCCAACTGACTTTTATTAGAAATGACCGCTTTAATGCCTGAGCACTCACAGTAAGACCGAAAACCAATGTCAACTGATAAAACCCAGTAAGAAAACCACGAATACCTCGAGGCGCATTTTCGGCAATATAGATTGGACAGACGGAAGATGCCAGTCCAATCGAAAGGCCACCAATGAATCTGCACAGTTAAATTTGAGATTGAAATAAGTATGAAAAAAGCCTACCTTCCAGCATACAACACTCCGACCTTCCCACTTGCCCCGGCCTGCATGGCAACACCGACAAATAGAACCAACGCAGCAAGGATCAAGGACTTTCGTCTCCCAATAGCATTTGCCAGCCATGCGGAGGTAAGGGCCCCTAAAAACGAACCTGCTTGGATGACAGATACTATATTTGAGGAAAGATTTGCAAGGACAGTAGCGTCTTTATTAACGAGACCATATTCTCTGCGTATGATTAGACAAATTCACACCCGGATAATGGAGGAAGACTTACTCTTTGAAAGAATCCATGGTGAGGACGCCTCCTATAACACCCATATCGAAACCAAAGAGCATAGATGCCCCGCAGGCCTTTCTTGTCAATATCCAGCTCAATTGTCGAGAAGATAACTTACTGCAAAACTGATCAACACAACCCTGAGATTATAAATCTCTTGGGGGTCATTTTTGACCATGTCATTTCGGACAATCTTACGAAGGAGCGACATTTCCTTTTACTAAAATATCCAGTTTGGATAGTTAATACCTACTCCCAGTCTTTAAGTAGTGCAGACTGAGTGCACGGCTGTAGACGGTCTTCTGCACTTTGACCACCATTCCGCCACAGACAATCTAGCCAGCCTCTGTCACTGTCTTCAATCCTACCATACAAGAGCTAGATGAAGTCATGGTTTGATACAACCCCCGCTTTATGATTTGATGCATCCAGAATCCGGGGTAAGCGGGGAAATTGCGGAGAAGTTAGCTCCGGCTATGGATCGGGACGCTGGTTATTTATCTATTGCCAGGGAGATACCTGGTTCGCTTATCCAATGGAAACATGGTATTCACTATAGATCAGACATCAACAGCTGACCAACGCCACTCTCGTCTAACTCTGGAAACCCCCCTCGTAAAAAGGGCAAACTGGACAAAAACGCATCCGGACAATCTAGCGCTTCTGAATCACCAAACATTGGAAACATATCTACAAACGGAGAACTTAAATCTCTATTCTCGCCATCTACTGCGTCAGATACATTCTGAGCGTCCATGTGGATGGTTCCTGCAGGCATTCCTTGCGTGGAATCTACTCGAGTAAACTGAGCGAACTCTGGGGTAACCTGACCCTGAAACCAGAGATTGGTGAGAAGTTTCACGTAGCGATACGCCATGTGTTTTGGACTGGTCGCTGCGCTTTTGAGCATTGCAATGAATTGTCGGACAAGTAATGAGCAGGTTTGATGTTCGTCTGATGCCAAGGCTCCAACGGATGATGCTTTGAATAGGAAGACTGATGCATGGATTTCATATCTGCAAAGTCAATATTGCACCTCATTATGAGACATGGGAACTCACAAGTAAAACCGAACAGGAAGGTATCGCAAATGCTTGGGCGGATTCAACCGGTTCATAAGCGTCGTCAGGACTGCCTTTGCCGCGTCAATCGCGATATAGATATGCCTCCCATCTGGACTCGCAATCACACTATACGGAAAATACGAAACAGAGGATCCATTCTCTGCTGTGCCTCTCGATCGATAAAGCACAGCCTGAAATGCAAACGCGTTAACATAAAGCCTCAAATACTCAAATTGCAGTATTAAAAGCCCATTCAAATATGATGGCACATTCAACCTGCCCCAGGTTTCTTTCCACATTGCCAGCGCTTTTGAGCTATCGTCAAGGTACTTGGTGTAATCGCCCATGAGCATCAGTTGCACGGTGCGTGTTTTGGATGCGTACAGAATGTCATGGATATTCCCGAATAGAGTTGTAAGCTCGACCTGAGCTTGGACCAGGGAAGCGTAATCGATTTCACCGGGCTTCTGGGGCCGGAGAGATGGATAGTCATCAACTGTGAAGCGGGTTGAGAGACCTGGCCCGCGGCACCAGAAAGCCTGGCCCATTTGGATGGAGATTTGGCGATCGGCGAGGTATGTAACTTCGTCCTGTTAGTCGAGGCTGGATCTGTTCATGTGTGGGGGCCATACATATCCAAGCCAGTCTCTTCCGATTCAAGTCCGTTTCAGCCTCCCCCTTTGCCTCACCGCGAAACGAATATTTCTCGAGATGAAGCAAATATGCTTGTCTCACAGCCAACCCGACAAGATTCCACGCAACGCTATCCTCCGTTCCCTGGCCCTGACTCTGTCCTGATTGATTCGCCTCTTCTGTGGAAGAACTAATATGTGGCACCCACTCAGCCAGCAACAACAATCCCTCCACAGAACTAACATGGCGCACACTTGCAGCGCCTAGAACAACACGGAGGAGAAGCTTTTCCATATAGGTTAATGCTCGAGAATGTAGGATTTCCAGTCCTGGCCGGTCTTTTGTAGCAATTGTTAGGATTGCTGTGAGGAGGAAGGGCTCTGTACTCCAGGACTGATCTATTCTGTCTAAGAGGTGAGAAGGGACGATCGGGAGATAAGGATGGTAATTGTGGATGTAGCTGAATAGTTAGTAATGAGCTATAAGAGAGTAACTGACGTACTATTGCAGAAGAGGCTCGACAAGTTGTATATCAACCACACCATCACGGATCAACTCCATCCTGGAAAGGCCAGATGAATTAAGCTGAGGTATAACCTGACTATCTGACTCGCCAGGCGTAGTGGTGACCGTAGCTCTCCTCTCTATATTATTTTCAGCAGAAGCAGTCTGAGCAAGAATCTGCAGTGCCTCAAGCGGATTTTGAATCCCGCAGAGATCATGCTCTTGATCTTTCGTCGCCGTCACCACAGGGTCAGGAATTCTCTCTGAACGATCAATAGGCTGCCTCTCTTTCCTCCGAAGACGAAACCTCGAATAATTGCCTCCTCTCCTCGAAGTCCCAACTATACACCTATGTCCTTCTGCAGAGCACTTTGAGCAGGGCTGATAATCATCGCCTGTATATTGTCTGTAACCAATGTTATTAGATAGAACAGTAGAGGGGAGAACATACAAATCGCATTTTGTCTTGCGTTGTCGACAGCGAATGCACGCACGATAGAGCCTTTCTCCTGTACTTTTAGTCATGGTGATTTGTTTTCTGAATTATGGAAGAAAAAATAAAATAAAATGAAATAAAATGACGCGTGGAGGAAGTGCGGGGATGGTCGTTCGGCTATAGAGAGTGGGTGTAGATCGGCTATAGACGGGAATAGCTTCATCTGCCCACTGACACAACTACATATAAGTGGCATTCTCGATGCTCTGACCATTTTGAGATGAATCTAATCAAATTACTTTGAGTAAAACAAAGCAAGATGAGCACTACCACAGTCGAAACGCAGGCTCCCCCCCCACGATGACATGTACGGCAAATACCATCCCACTGATCCGAGAAATCTCAACCTGGAATCCAACTTTGGGCCGATGATTCCAGAGCAGATTGGGTATTTGCAGCCTACGTCGAGGGATACGCCAATGGAGATTATGAAGAAGCGATTCGACCGTGATGGATATCTTCTGGTATGTCTCATGAAGGAGAATACTGCACTGTATACCAACGTAGCAGGTCAAAAACCTCCTCCCCAAACAGCCCGTCCTCGACTGTCGCCGGGAATACTTCAAGCACATGTCGCCATCTGGTCTTCTCAAAGAAGGAACGGATCTAGTCGACGGCATCTTCAGCGAGAAAGATAGTCGCAAGTTCTTACCCCCGGGTAATCTGCGACGACTGTTCGGACTCAAAGACGACGAAGAATCAGACAAGTATCTGGAGCTGATGATCAGCGCGCACGAAGCAAAGTTCTATCTTGATCTCTGCGAGATTCCCGAACTCCGCGACTTCATCCGCAGGTTCGAAGGCTGGGAGCACATCACCATGTTGCAGCGGACGATGCTGCGGGCATTCACGCCCGACTGCGAGCTCACGCCTGTCCACTTCGACCAGATGTATCTCCGCGCTGGTCCGGCGACGAGTCTGACGGCGTGGGTTCCCATCGGGGACATCTCGCTCGAAGGGGGCGGGCTGATGTATCTCGAAAACTCGGCGGATATAGGCAGACAGACGGAGGAAGAGTTCAGTCGGAATGCGGGCAATCTGACTGACGAAGAACGCGTGTCTGCGTTTAACAAGAACATGAACGACGGGGGGTTTCTGAGCCGGGATACGGTTGAGTACGGACAGAAGACGAAGCGAAAGTGGCTGATCACCGAGTATGAAGTTGGGGATGTCATCTTCCATAATCCGTTTATGGTGCATGCGAGCTGCAAGAATAAGGATCCAGAGAGGAGGATTCGACTGGCGACGGATTTGAGGTTTGTGGATGCCACGAAGCCTTATGATAAAGTGAGTTGTTCGTATTGTAATAAAAATTATGCTGATGATTTTGTAGCGTTGGATGAAGGTATACAGACCGCTGGATGGGTTGTAATCTACATGCATCTGGAGATATACTTATTTATTAAACATGATGTCTATACCTCATATGGTTTCACACCCAAATACTTCCACACCATGGCACTGTCCAACTCTACAGCCCGATTCTTCACCGACAAAGTCACGTCAGCCGATCCATCATTGATATACACCACACTCTTCTCCTATACAGATATTAGCAATTATAGCATAAATGCAGTAGACACTTACCATTCCCAAAGTCAACTTGGATATACCCTCCCACCACTGCGGGCGATATTCTCTCTGTTCCTGCTTCTTAATTGCACTGACGATATTCTGCGCCACAATCTGTGCTTGTTGGACTGCGCCGTATCCATTGATGTTTCCCATGTCGATTACATCTCCTGCTGCGTAGATGTGGCTGTATCGTGTGTCTGATAGTTGCAGTGTTGGTCGTACTTTGATATGGCCTGAGGGGGAGATGGACGAAGGGGAAAAGGAGGATAAAAGACTGGAATTCGGGGTTTGGCCAGTGCATTTTATCTATTTTTATGGTTAGTTTATATAAATCATATGGATAGAGACATACCAAGCAATCACACGCTATCCTCCTTCCTGAGCTCAGAATAACCTCATCATTTGAAGACATCATTCTCTCGCCCAGAACAACCACAACACCCAAACCCTCCAACGCCATCAACACATTCTCACGCAGTTTATCCCCAAACCGAGCATTCAGCAACGCCTCCCTCGAATGAACAAGCGTCACATTCTTCCCTGGATACTGCGATTTGGCATCCGCTGCAATCTCAATCCCAGCCGGTCCACCGCCGACAATAACAACATCCTGCGCGGCTTTGACTCTCTCCTGCTCAGCCTGTATAGCTTCAATTCCATCTCTTTTATCTTCTTTTCCAACGCGCGAAGGTAATTCCGCAGATGAACCAGTTGCAAAGACCAAATACTCATAGTCCACACAATCCCCGGTTCCAAGCTGTACCTTTCCTGATCCATCCCCACTTTCATCCGGGAGTATCTTCTCAACACAATCTCTAACCCAGGTATACGAACCATCCGGCGCACCCGCTAAATACGGCCCATACGGAATAAACGCCTTATATTCATGCCCTCCCACCGTACAGAATCTCGGCAGAACCCAGCTTAATTGGAAATGACTATTCTTCTCAACAACGAAAACTCGGTACCCAGTCGGGATGGAATGAGCGAGACGGTGTGCTGCTGTGTATCCTGCGAACGAGGCGCCGATGATGACGATATTGCGAGGGTGAGAGACAGGGTGGTAGGTGAGGCGGTGGATGAGGGAGGTGAGTTTGAGCTGGGCGCGGGAGTAGAGTTGGTGGAGGGCTGTTTTGAAGATTTTGAGGAAGAGGAGGATTTTGTAGAACATTCTGCTTCTTGTAAGAGTGAAATGAATATATTATCTTGTGGTGTTGATGTTGGGGAGATGGGGAGATGGGGTGTTTAGTAGGATCTTATCTGATCTCCGATTATCGGATGAACCCCTGCATACAACATCATCTGAGTCAGATTGACATTATAGATCCGTGACAGTTTAATAATAAAACTACATCTTATTGACCCTAAAACCCAACTGCTGATCCATAACATCTCCAATCATCTCCTCCCATGACCTCCACCGCATCCCCAACTCCCTCTCTGCCCGGGACGTATCCGTCGCCCACGATTCACCCTGCAGATCCTCGGTGATCATAGCCCCAGCATCCGGATACTTACTCTTCACAATCCTGGCAACATCTTTCCATGATGCCTGCTCTCCGGTAAGAAGGTACTTTGATCCATCGGGAATTTTTGCATCGAGGGCTTTGACATGTGCGTCTGCGATATCTTGCACGTGAACACCGGTGATGCCGTTACTGGGGACGCCTTTCATGATAGCACCAAACAGTAATCCATTCGTCGAGCCGTTGATCCCTTCGGCAGTGGTTTGGATGAGATTAGGACCGAAGACATAGGCAGGGTGAAGAGTGACGAGGGCGTAGTTTGGTTTGCTCGTTGCCCAGAACTTCCATGTCTCGTTGTTGGCGAGTAACTTGGAAGCGTGGTAAAGACGGCCTCCTGTTGCAGTTGGGTTGTCAGGCACTGTAAAGTCTGCGTTTGGATCGACGGTAAAGTCCCAGTCATTATCCTCTTCATATAGTCAGCATAATAACCAGTATACCACTATAGATAGGCAAACCTTTAATAACACCACCCTCAGGAACCCCCATCACGGGAACCAACGCCGCAATCGACGACGTAACCACCACCTTCTTCACACTCTCCACCCTCGCTGCCTCCCTCAACACAGCCATCGTCCCCTCTACCGCAGGCCCAAAGTACGTCTCCTTGTTCACGCCATGCGGAAGCGGGGATGCCATATGCAGGACGTAATCCACACCGTCCAACTTGCCGCGCAATGCATGCTGATCCGTAAGATCAGCGACAATGACAAATTCGACCTGGGCGATGTGTTTGGCGAATAAGGATTGCAGGGTTGGGATTTGCGACTCCTTGCGTAGACAGATGCGGAGGTTGTAGCCGGATGTAAGGGCTGTGAGGGCGGTGGTGCTGCCGATGAAGCCGGTGGAGCCGGTGATGAAGATTGTTGGCATTTTCTGTATAGGATTCTGGAAGTATAGAATGATGGAGTTGGTTATGATTATTCTAGGATGGTTAAGCTTAAATAAGGACAATTAGGGATATAAATTTATTACATTTATAATATTACATTTATAAGCTGAATAGAATAGAATAGAAGGAGTGATTAGAAATGCCATCTTGATGAATTTGTAGATGTTAATGCCGAATGATTAGTGATATTTATACTCTGGAGATCACTAATTCTACTGTCGACTAATCTGTCAACTGATCACAGACCGAGGCTTCATTTACTAAATTGGTATATATAAGATGTGAATAAATTAGCATAATCGATATAATCATATTTCTCAATTACTTCAACTTTACAAAATGCCCGTCTGGTTCATCAAACACAGCCCCAACATCCTCTCGGCCTCAGAGAAACAGTCTCTCGCCAAATCCATCACCGAGCTGTATGTCTCCGTCGGCCTCCCTCCCTTCTACGTCCAAGTCCACTTCATCCAAGACGAGCCCAACTCGGCCTTTATTGGCGGTGAAGTCCACCCCAACTTTGCCGCCCTGACCATCTACCACATCGCACGAGCCTTCCGCACCGACGACCAGAAACAGCGATTCCTGAGTCGCATCGATGCAATCATAAACCCAGTCTTCGAGCCCAAGGGGATGGATTGGGAATATTTCATCACCGAATCCCCACGCGATCTGTGGAAAATAAATGGAATGGTGCCCCCGGAAGCCGGGTCAGCGGGAGAGAAGGAGTGGTTGAGGTTGAACAAAGCTGTGAAACTCTAGTCTTTAAGCATATTATATGGGCTTCTTGTTTATTAGTGATTGATATTTCAAATTCAATTAGCGACAATTGTGGTCGAGTTACACCGTTTAGCGGCTTAAAATATCGAGCTGCATATCTGCTGCATATCAGTCTGCACGGATGAACTGGCCTTAAGTGAGGCGATCCCCGTCCATCCAGAACATGCCCTGAATGTGTTGTTAGATTGCTGTCAACAGCTGACAAGTCATTATGAAACACTCCATCTTCTATTATCTGGTCTATCATGATGCTGAATATGCTGAATACGGTAAATGCCCGATCTATCAGGCAGCATACATCTCCGGCCCGAACGGCTCACCGTATTTTCAGCTCACGTGGCTGGAGGTTCCCGGAGGGTGGAGAAACACGACCCGGACCAATCAGCGGCCCAGAATGCGGAGATGTACACCCAACCACGCACTTTATTTACGCTCCGCCGTGCCCGTCAGATTGGGTTGAATTCGTTGAATTCGTCGATCTATTTAGAGCCACGAAACACTTTGACTTTGTTGTTACAACAGCTGCACCCTCCAGGCTGTGACATGGTGGCTGCTGATTGGCTGCGCTTTTGAGGGACAGCTCACCCCGACAGTCCATCCCTGCACCAGCGCTCAATAGTTAAGCTGTGTCTTTCCGCTGCTCGAGTCTGACTCTTTCCCAACTTCTTCTCTATCTTCTGAGATTGTGAAGAATTTTAATTCCAATTGTTGATATTTATTGGAATACGCATACGGCATCATGACCAGCCACAGCAGCAAAAATGGCCTGAATGGCGACACCGCCGTCACTAATGGCTTTCACGACGACGAAATTGAATACCCCTACCCCCAACCTTCGAAATCGTAAATACCCCCTATATCAGATTGGGCTCGTACTAATCCTTGACAGTCCCTACCAAACCCCCATCATGACATTGTTCATCGGCCAGAAGAGAGACTCGTACTCCATCCCGGAGAACTACCTCCGCCAGTCCCCCAAGTTGGTTCTTGCCAACGGCTTCTGGGGCAAGCATCTGTTTCTCTCCGACGTCGACGAGGACGTCGGCCACACTCTCCTGCACTACTTGTACACTGGTGGATACGAAACTATCAAGCCCTGGCCCTTTATGGATGTCGACCTCTCCAAGTGGGAGCTGGAATACCGACGCAGCGCGCTCGCCTACTGCGCGGCCAGGACCTACCAACTGGACGGCCTCATCGCCCACGCTCAGCACTACATGGAGAAATTCGCCAGCATGATCTCGATCTTTGCTCTCTTGAACATTGTCACTGGTGTGTACCCTAGCCTTTCCGAAGGCGAGGACTGGTTCCTCGACCACGTCAAGTCGAGGATTGCCGCTGCTTTTGCCGAGGACAACACGCTCTTCGTGCAGGATTCGTTCTTGAAAACGTTTGGTGAAGTTCCCGCTTTTGATCGGTTCTTGATGCAGAGTGCGCTAGACATATACTCTGAAGGCGTGCTGCGCACACGCGACAGTAGTATAAGTAAGTCTCTGCACCGTGTCTAAAGGTATCGGAAATACTGACTCTTCAGGTCGGGAGGAAACACCTGAGCAATCAGTCCCCCCTAGCGAACCACTCTACCCCGACGGGCCCCTCCCCGAAGATGGGCCCGTCCAAGAACCGATCCCCGAGGAACATCCCAACGGGGTGCTCTTAACCGAGCCCAAACTCGAACCGGAATCAGAGCCAGAACTCCAACCTGCGCCTGAACCGGAACGAGTTCTCGAACCAATCCCCGAACCGGCTCTCAAACAAGAGCCAGTTCAGGAGCCTCTCCCCGAGGCTCTCCCCGCAGCAGCAGTCGAACCAGAACCCATACCGGAGCCAGCCCCAGCGCCGGCATCGGTATCCACACACCAACCGAGTCTGTTAAAAGGCGACCAGTCCATCCCTGACCTGTGGTCCGACCAGGCCCCAGAACCAGCTCCAGTGCCCGCAGCACCGAAACCCGCCGCATCCAAGCCGGTCTCTAACTCCAAGCCGGCATTCAAACCGCCTTCAAAAACGCCCGCCCCACCCTCCTCCACCGCTCCCTCTACCGCTACTTCTCCCCCTCAGCCAACCAGCAATGGTAACGGGCACAGCAACGGGACCAGTACTCCACCTGCCAACCAGAACGGTGGCGCCGGCGGAGGATCATCTCCCAGTAAGAAAAGCAAAAACAAGAAGAAGAAAAGCGGCCTTTGGAAGAAAAGTCCGAAAAGCGGTAGCAGCGGTGTGGCGAATTAAGGATCTTGTTCACAGTTGGGGGGCGCGTCGCAAGGAGCCCGATGCCTCTTGATCTGTATGATAGTTTACGACGGTATGCCGGTGATGTCTAGTAGAGGATATATATATATCCAGTTAATGGTGGGTAGATGAATGCATAGTCTGATATATTTTGATATATACTAATGTCAGAAATGACTGATTTCTGTATCCGTAGCTGTATACGAACGTATTCCTGGCTTTCAATCCCAGCTGCATATTTATATTTATGACATCCATCAGGTACACATACATGACCCATTCGGACCGACCCGAGACTCTAATGTAGCATGTAGAAACAGTCACAGCCAGTTACAAAATTATGGACACATACAGCTATCCGGATAAGCCGATAAACCCAACGATCTGAAATGTAAATAAAATATCTATAAGATTATTAGTCACGATTTAATATTCACACGATAACCCAATAGCCAACATGATTGGCTGGACCCCGCATTCCCATGCAACCTGGGCTGGATGGACTTGCCGAATCGGAACACGCCGAAGATTGAGTCTCCGCATTCTTGATAAGGCTGGCATTGGCATATATCAGTCCTTCCATCACTCTACATGCAGTCTGCACATTTACTCAATTCAATCAATCATCAAGCAATATTGTATCATCATGAAAGACCATTTGCAGGGCGATGACGCCCAACTAGCTGCCATGGGCCATCGGCCTGAATTGCAGCGTAACTTTTCTACCATGTTAGTTTGGCTTGCTATACCATGGTGCATGCTGACTAGATAGGTCGATGCTGGGATTGGCGTTTGCGGTGTTGAATGTATGTATTCATCCTATCTGTGATATCTTACGCTGATTATATAGTCGTGGACTGCTCTATCGGCTAGTTTATCGATTAGTTTAACGTCTGGTGGGAGTACGAGTGTTATTTGGGGTGGGTTCTTAATATTTATCTTGATTGTGTGGGTGTTGACTTTGACTGCAGGTCTTGTGACGGCTGGGATATGTAATTTGTGCATTGCGGCTTCGCTGGCAGAGTTTCTGTCTGCGTATCCTACGTTCGTTGTCTAAAGATTCTTGGTTGGTTGGTGCTGATATATTATAGGGCTGGGGGTCAGTATCATTGGGTTGCTGGTAAGATATTCATCCTTTGATATGATCATTACTAATGAGATAGTCGGTATGAATATATTCCCAATTACATGGAAGCTACTAATATCCCAGTCTCATGGCCAAAATGGGTCCCTATTCTATCGTGGGTGACTGGATGGATCAATGTAGCTGGATGGGTATGATCATCATCACCTAAGTGACGTGTGCTAATGAATAGATTGCCCTCGTTGCCACGAATGCCCTGCTGTCAAGTGAGCTCATCATGGGAATCATATCAGTTTTGCATCCGGGCTTTGAATCTCAGCGCTGGCAGCAATTCCTGATCTACATCGGGTTTACGCTTGGGGCGTTTGTGATTAATGCTTTTTTGAACTCGGTTTTGCCGGTGGTTTATCGTGGGGCTTGTATGTCACCCTTTATTATTTGGGGTTTATACTGATGAGATAGTTATCTGGTCCATTGGTGGCTTTGTGCTTGTTTCTATTACGGTTCTTGCGTGTGCTTCGCCGGATTATAATTCTGCTGAGTATGTTTTCATTCCTATGGTACTCAGGTTACTGACAGGATAGTTTTGTGTTCCGGAATTTCATCAACCAGACTGGCTGTAAGTATATCTACTGTATATGATTGATATATGCTAATTGACAGGGCCGGATGGAATTGCCTGGTTATTGGGAGTATGTCCGTCCTATAAGTAAATGTGTCTATCTAACATCGACAGCTACTCCAAGGAGGACTGGGAGTCACTGCCTTTGACGCAGTCGCTCATATGATTGAAGAAATCCCCGGTGCATCAACCGAAGGACCCAAGATCATGGTCTCCTGCGTGGGGATAGGAACATTCACAGGTGCCATATTTCTTATCGTACTGCTCTTTGTAGCAGGAGATATGAAAACCGTCGTGAACTCCTCTGCTGGCCCTCTGTTGCAGATTTTCCTCGATGCAACCAAGAACAAGGCGGGTGCTATCTGCCTGTTGATGTGAGTTTTATCTGTCAGTATAGAAGACAAGGCTGATCAGATAGGCTTCCTCTGGTGTGTTTGGCATTTGCGACAATCAGTGTGATGACGACGAGTAGTCGGATGATATTTGCCTTTTCGAGGTATGCATTTCATCTGTATAACGGACAACCACTGATGATAGCAGAGATGGGGGACTGCCGGCATCTCCGTTTTTTGCTCGAGTTCATCTGAAACTGGGGTTGCCTTTGAATGCGCTGATCTTGACCTCTGGAGTTGTTATTGCATTTGGATTCATCTTCTTAGGGTCGTCGAGGTATGTATCTTCCTATCATATAAGACAATGCTGATCATGCAGCGCATTCAACGCCATTGTCTCCTCGTCTGTCGTCGCTTTGGATCTGTCGTATGCAATGCCCATTGCCGTCAACTGTCTGCAAGGACGAAACAGCCTCCCAGAGAGAAAGTGGAAGTTACCCAGTGCTGTTGGATGGGTGGCAGATATGGTAAGTGATATATCCATCTGGTGACTGTGTTGACCTGTTAGATCTCCCTCTCGTATATCCTCCTGACGACGGTGTTGTTTCTCTTCCCCCCTGCTCTGCCCGTGACCGGGAGTAATATGAGTATGTTTATCTTCCCTGCCATAATCAGCTCTAACAGTTTAGATTATTGTATTGCCGCCTTTGCCATCATCGTCATTGTCTCCGTGTTCCAGTGGTTCGTCGATGGACACAAGAACTTCACCGGCCCACGCATCGACCTGACAGCTTAGTCTATATACACTGAATGACACAACTTTTCCTACAAATACATATTATATTATACACACATAATATCATAAATCACCCCCCACCACCCTCAACGTCTCATGTATCCCCTTTTTCTCCTTGACTGGCAACTCCACCCCCTCCCCAGGCATCCCAAACACCAACTGCGCCCTCAACCTCCACTCGCCCGGTATCCGAAAACTCTCCGCCACCCGTTCATCCACAACAGGGTGATAATGCTGCAAATTCGCCCCGAACCCCTCCGCCTCCAGCGCCATCCACACCATCAACTGGTGCATGCCACTGGTATGTTCGGACCAGTCGTCAAAATGCTCCGCATACGTCGGGAACGTCCCCTTCATGAAATTAATCGTCGGCATGTCCTCGTAAAACAGCACCGTGCCGTACCCGGCCTGGAAGCTGTCGAGTTTGGGCGCGTAGTGCGCGAATCGCTCGCCGGTGAGCCGCTCGTAGAGCACGCCCTTCACGACGTCCCAGAATTTGATGTGTTCGTGTTTGAGGAGGACGACGATGCGGGTGGATTGCGAGTTGAATGCAGAAGGCGTGCGGTGTAGGATTGTTGCGATGATCGATTGGATTTTTGTGTCGGGGATGGGCGATTTCGAGGTGAGGCCGTAGTGGGAGCGACGGTTTGTGAGGGCGTTGAGGACGCCGGTGCTGTCTGGCATTGTATTAATTAATGAATAGGTTCGCACTGCAGAGGTTGGAGTGTTTGGGGAAAGTTGAGGATATTTATACAGGGTGGAATGCGATGATGTCATGACTGAGTGGATCGGGAATTGTGGAGATGGCGATCTGATTCAGGGCCGTGGATGGCCTTGCTTGAGTTATATCGTCTCGAATATAGATTATATGAAACAATGGAGCAGGACAATTGAAATTCCATCTAAAAATAAAACAGCAAGGGATTGACCAGAGTCAGTGATGGTATAAGGAGAAAAAAGTCAACGCCCACCACACCTAACAGGACATGGCAATTGCAATACGGAGTACGGAGTAAAGGGATTGATATTCACTGCAAAATATTCATAGCATTAATGCTCGAGATAATAATAATTATATTATTAGACATGTAACTGCAGAGAAGGAGATTATGTCGATCTCGCATATATCACAAATTCCAGCACATCGATAATTGCTCTACACGTCTGATAGATCGCCTATTTCTCCTGTCGTGTGCTCTCCTCGCCTCACGTATGAAGCCATCGCAGAAACCTGCATCGAATATCTCCAGGACATTTTCATCATCATCATCATCATCATAACCATGGTACCACCGACCGTTGACCCGCGTGGTATGCCGATCTTCAATTAGCCCATGGATCGTCAATAAGAAGTAGGGCAGCTAGTGCTGGGAATTTAGGTTTGTTGATCTGGGCAACGATTCATTTACGGGTATTTCTCTTCCAGACTGACAGATTTGATATCGAGCAGGGATATGCGTGATAGATCACGTTGCGCTGACTCGACTCCGACCCCGCTTCTCTGTCGATCCTCCCTTTCCCCTGATCAAAGCACTCGATCGCTCCACGATATTTCCAACCACAGACTAGCAGAGATAGACTATGTCTCTTTCCGGATCTGGGTCCCCGCCAGCTGCCCAAAATAACGGCGGGCTTTTTGGAAATTCGAATACCAACAATGCACAGACAACCACGACCACAACTTTTTCGTTCGGAACTCCAGCGGCATCTCATTCACCTGCTCCAAACAGCAACAATGCACAGACAGGACAATCTACTCTTGCCATGAGACATGGTGGTTTCAGCTCAGCATCAACTGCAACTCAAAATACCCCAGAACCAGACAACACGAAGATCAAGCGTTCTGGCTGCGTGAGCACACCTCTATTTCCAACCGATATAAACGAACCAGATCCAAATGGAGACGTTACTCTGATCGTCACGCCTCGTAAAAAACCGCAAGGTTTATTTTCAGATATACAAAGCGCCAATCCAACCGAGCAACCGGCAACTCGTTTTAGGGTATCGTCCAGACATTTGATGCTGGCATCGACATACTTCGAGGGCAGATTGAGTACTCGATGGCCCGAAGGCGAGGAACTCAAAAATAAAGGCTCCGTGGAACTGCAAATCCCTGATGCCGATCCGGATGCGTTTTTGATCATCTTGAACGTCATACACGGTCGCCTAAATCGGGTCCCTCGAGTTGTGACTTTAGAAACACTTACGGAGGTGGCCATTTTGACCGATTATTTCCAATGCCATGAGCCGCTTGGCCTTTTCCCATCGAAATGGGTGGACTCGTTGAGGAGCCCTGTCCCTAGACCAATATATTTGGGTGGCTTAAATTGGATTTTAATTTCCTGGGTCTTTGGTATCGATGATATTTTCACATCATCTACAAAATTTGCGCAACGCCAGCTTACTAGAAACCTGACTGGAAATGAATTTGAGCTTCCAATCCCCGGAAATATTCGAGGTTCGTGACCGTAAACCTACGAGTTTTTGTCTGTCGGCATATTGACGACTTTTATAGATGGCATCAACAACGCACGGATGAAGGCTATTTCAATGATATATGAATATCTTGATAAAGGCTAGCAGGAATTAGAGAATGGAACCTTTTGCGGATATGAATGTGACTGCGCACAATTAGGGGCTCTCTTCAAGCAACGGAAGCAGCAACACCTTTGTTACCCAGCCAAGGAACTAGGATACATCTCTCACTCCGTCGATAATCTTATCTCTGATATCTCCTCATTTAGATACCCCAAATGTGTTCAAAATCGATTGTATTCTGGGCCGGACCGCTGTTTTTCGAGGTCTGTCGGTTGGAAGTTTAACCCGGAGAAGTATACATCTTCCTTGAATGGCCTTTCCCTGAAATGAATCATCAGTCCAGGTTTTCAAATAGAAGCGACACTTCTGGAACGGCAGATTCTATTTTGATAAACACATAAATATATTCTTTTTGTACATTGGATATCTTAAATCTCAATTGTCGTGCTTTTGTCTTGTATCTGTCGAGATATAAGACACCTCAGGCATAGAGAGCATGACTAATCAGAAACCACAGCGATTGGCCAATGGCAGGGACAAATTGATTTATTACTCCCACCCACAAATCATCATTTCATCCCCGTCAAGGGCTCTCTTCTTGCAAATCGCATTGACAACAAACAAGAGTATCTTTGTCGAGTTGGATGTTTTTAATCCAAATGGATACGTCGTACTGAGTGTTTCTCCCCCAGAAAATCCCCCAGCATATTGTCCACGACGTCGAGCACGCCTCTCAACTGCAGCGAACTCATCCCCCCAAAAACAAGCCAAGGCGTAGAGCAGGCGGTTCAAAACATCGTCCAAGCACCTGATTCTCGCGTCGAAATATTTTGAAAGAAGACTAAGCAACCGCTGGCCTGAAGGCGATATACTTGAATCCAGAGGAACAGTGCAGTTGGAACTTCCTGACACGGACCTTGATGCGTTTAAGATCATTTTGGATCTTATTCACGGTCGAACCAATGCGGTTCCTCGGACAGTGGACCTGGCGCAGCTAACAGAGCTTACGGTGCTTACTGATTACTTTGGTTGCCTTGAGGCGCTTGGGCTATTCCCATCATCGTGGATAAATGGGCTGAAGGACGACATTCCCACGACATACTGCAGAGACCTCATGAAATGGATTTTTATCTCCTGTGTCTTTGAACAGAAAGAAATTCTCTCTGGGGTGACTCAAGTTGCTCAACGTCAAAGCAAAGATGTACTAGACCCACTGGACCTTCCCATCCCGCAAAATATCCAAGGTGGGCGGCCATGTGTCACGAAGAAATCAAGGCTAACGCAGGAAGATCGTATCAACGACACAAGAATCGAGGCCCTCAGTGGGATCTTCAAAGCTCTGAACGATCGTCGAGAAGAGCTAGAGAATAAAACCATTTGCTCTTTTGAGTGCGATTCATCAAAACTGGGGGATTGATGAAACAGGTGAAAAAGTATGGTCTATGCTTCCAAGCCGCTGATCCGCACTGCCCAGGCTATTCTGTTCAGGAGGTTGTGAGGGATATTGCCAAATTCAAAACCAATCAATACTGTTCGGGGTGTAATGGTGGCAGTTATCCTTACAATCGAGACCCTTCGCTCATCGGCAAGACTGCACAGTCCGAGATACAGAAACACGAGTCTTCTCTAGTAGGGATCACATTTGAATGAAATAATGGCGGACCGAAAGTGCTTTGATGCAGTATTATGCCTATTCAGATGTTTTAACCGGTGGGGCATTTTCTCCAAATTTGTATAATTGATTTTGGAGAGTTCCTTCATACAGTAATGCACATAACTAGATCAAATAATCCCCCGTCATTCATGATTTTTAACAGGACATGGTGATCATTATTTAAAGTACTCTACTCATCCAGCGGTTCAATATCAATATATTTCACCTTCCATCAAGCTCAGCATACCCCAAAGTGACTGGTAACTCCTTGTACGCCGTGTCCGCGGCCATTTCGCTCGGCATGGGATTATATAGACTGGGCCTCCACAGTTGAGGTATTATGGCCCTGAAAGCCGATACCTGGACTATGGCGTTTACGTCGACAGAAGAAGAATACTGCACGAGCAATGATCGAAACGGCAGTGGCAGCAGCAACACCGACACCGAAACCAGCCTTGGCGCTAGATGAAAGGCTAGATGAGCTATATGTGTTGTCTTCTGTGGACGTTTGCAATGGAATCACATCGCGGAGGTGACTGTTGTAAAGAACATAGCTGTACCAGGGTTAGTGGTGAATTCCGTCAACTACCAGTGAATCTTGACACCGTAAGCATGAATATGACCAGCGCTGTCGATCTGACAAGTAGATGGTGTTAATGTACTGTCTAGGGAAATCTGGTGGTCTCATTTTCGCCTGGTTGGTACTGGCACCTTTCGGCTAGTATCAAAAATCGGTAGAGGTGGTCCTGGGGCGGACTGAGTAAGTGTTGGCGCCATGTCTGGGGTTTGCGATCGACGTTAGCCTGGACCTGGCTGCATTTTGTGTGATCACTGCGACCATTGGCGGGGATGGACCTGACTGACATAGGACAAGCTGCCTGGGTTCTGTTGCAGTACCGTCAATGTCAACGGTTGTGTTGGCTACAGTGGCATATGCCCCCGACATATTAAGGGGAAATAATGCGAGGACGTGGCCCAGCCAGAAGGAAGACATTCTGAAGTGTTTACAAGGCCAGGAAGCGTCCAAGTATAGATGCCTGAGCTGCTGCTGCTGCTCCGCACCACCCGAAGATCGCTATGCATGACTTGGCGGTTTGAGCGTGGCCGTCAACAGGAGCGGCCCGAACAGTGACGATGAAGTGGTCATCGTGAATAGGGATGGTGGGTGTTGTAAACATCGAGAAAGCTGTGAGTGATGGTAGACATGGATTACCAGCTGACAGGCATGACAGGCTAGAATTACGTAGAAGAAACACCTAGAAGGACACCCTACTTTTTCCTATCCGGCAGTAGTGTTGCTTTGTTTACACCCTGTTTCCCTTATTAGTTAGCTCTCTTAGAATGGAATGCTGTAGGGCTAGGGTCCAGATTTAGGGCTGACATGTAGGGTTATACTGTAAACACGATGCTTTGATCAGTATTCCCCTCGAAACCAACTCATCAGGTCAAAACCTTCTGGGTAGTGTCTAACACGCTATGAGATTGATTTAATATGGCCAAACAAGCGAAATACTGCTTCTCTCAAGGCCGGAATGAATCAGATTGTCCGAGTTCTGCCATCGGAGCTTTTCAAGAGTCCGCGGACTTTAAAAAGGTCGTCCGTCAACATAACCTCCGATGATGTCCACGGAAGCCAGGTGAATATTGATGGTACTCGCGAAGCTCTATAAGGTAATTTAGGCCAGAAAAAATATATAAGAATATGGAATTTCGTTTTGAAATAACCATCCACTGATCCAATCCATGTGCTATCGCGATCTCCTTCCTCGACTCCACCTACGACAAAATGTCCTCTACCAGATCTCTCGACAAGGAAGCCATTGAGCCAGCTGATCGCTCCGTTGGCATCAATGAACCGGATTCAGTTCCTCCCTCCCATTTCTCCTCCAAATTCCAAGAGGCCCTGTTCATCCTCGTGATTGGCATGTCGCAGCTCTTCTCAGTCGGAGGTCTTGGAAACACGGCGTTTTCGGTGCAACAAATCGGGCATGCCCTCGATGCGACCAGCAATGGACAAATGTCGTGGTTCCTTGCTTCATACTCACTCTGCGGTGGTGTCTTTGTCTTGGTGACTGGACGACTGGGTGACCATTTCGGCCATAAGAACCTCTTTCTCTTTGGCTGGATCTGGATGGCCATTTGGTCTCTGGTCAGTGGCTTTGCGAATAATGTTATTCTCTTCGACTTTGCTCGTGGTATGACGGGTATTGGCAATGGCGCGCTGGTCCCCAACTCGTTTGCCCTCCTGGCGCGAGCCTTTCCACCCTTCTCAGCCAAGAAGAACATTGCTTTTGCCTTCCTCGGCTTCTGCGCGCCCTCCGGCTATGTATTCGGTGGTCTAATTGGCGCTGCCTTTGCTGAAAATGTCACATGGCGATGGGGGTACTGGTTTTGGGCGATTGGCTGTCTCGTGCTGGGTATTGCGACCTATGTCGTTGTCCCTCACCGTGTTGGATCTCCTATCCCGGGACTCAGCATCGGGAATTTCGACTATATTGGCGCCTTTTCTGGCGTTTCCGGCCTCATACTCTTTTGCTTTGCATGGAGTCAAGCATCCGTGGTCGGTTGGAACGAGCCTTATACATACGCCCTCCTTATCGTGGGAATCATCTTTATCGTGGTCTTTGGCGTCTCTCAATCATACGTTGCAGCGCCAGTCTTGCCCAACACGCTCTGGACTCGCAAGGGATTTTCTCCCGTCGTGATCGCCATGTCGTTTGGCTGGATGTCGTTCGGTATCTTCCTTTACTACACGACCCTCTTCATTCTTACGATCCACGAGGAACTCCCTCTCACGGCCGTGGCACAGATGGTTCCTTTAGTCATTGGCGGTCTCTTCGCTACCGCATCAGTCGGCATTTTCATCGCAAAGGTACCCGCTCAGTATATATTCGGTGTATCAATGTTCTCCTTCTTCCTTGGCAACCTTCTCATGAGTTTCGCCAACTACTCAAGCACCTACTGGGCCTTTATCTTTCCCGCGTGTCTCCTTGTCGTCGGGGGACCAGATCTCTCGTTCGCATCGTCTGGTATCCTTATCACTAATGTGGTTTTACCTGAAGAGCAAGGTGTGGCAGGGTCGTTTATCTCCACAGTGGTTCAGTACTCGATTGCCATTGGCCTTGGTATTGCTGCGACGGTTGAGGGGCATGTTGGTGGCGACGACGTGATTCTGTCGTATCGGGGTTGCTACTGGCTTGGGATTTCTTTTGCAGCTGTTGCGTTTCTTGTGGTTGTTTTGTTTGTTCGTGATCATCGTTTTGATGAAGCGAATGCGAAGGGGGACCGGGAGTAAGACTAGAAAGGTCAAATTAACCATGTAGTCTGTGACTGAGTGTCGCTTAGAATTTAGTTACATAGATTACGATCTTAATAGCCAAATAGTATTAACTCAAGACTAGATTAATTCATACCAAGAAATCCATAGCCCATGATATCCTATTTATATAGAAGAACAGGCACGTAGCCAAAATGGAATATTTACAAGGTCCTGCACTACATAGGCATTACGTGCTACAAGATAATCTTATTATACACAAAATAAGCACTAATCCTGTACTAATTGCCCACTCTCCGTGATCATCTTCGGAGTCAGACAAAACCCCCGCTAATCCTGCAAACTCCGATCTCATTTCCAGGCTGTGCTCAAAAAGCAGCACAAAGTAGACAATCCTCTCATTCTCATTCATCCTCCATCATCACTCTCAAAAGGTTTACCAAAATGCCCATCAACCACTCCATCCTCGCCCTCATATTCCCTGAATTTGAAGCCCTCGACTTCTTCGGCCCGCTGGGCTCCATCATCCCCTCCCCGAACGACTACTACACCCTCAAAACCGTCAACGTCACCAACTCTCCATCTGCAGAGACGTCCATGAAAAACGGGCTCACCGTCTCATCCACGCTCTCCTTGGCCGACGCGCTTAGTGAAAATGAACACTTCGACACCCTCTTCATCCCCGGTGGATACGGCATGATACCCATCCTTTCAGATGCGGGGTTAATGCAGCAGATTGGGGAGCTGGCGGATAAGGCTTCGACTGTGTTTACGGTTTGTACGGGGTCGATTGTGCTAGCCGCGACGGGGATGTTGGATGGGAGGGGAGCGACGACGAATAAGATTGTTTTTGATGAGATGACGCCGAGCTGTATGTCATATTTCCTATAACTTACGTGATGTGTGTGGCTGATAGTGATGCAGACCCCAACATCAAATGGCAGAAACAAGCCCGTTGGGTCTGGGATGGGAAGTTCCTGACCTCATCTGGTGTCACGGCGGGGATTGATGCTGGGCTTGATTTTATTGCGAATACGTATGTTGCGCCGGAGGAGCGTAGTGCGGATACACAGGAAGCGCGTGGAAATGGGGATGCAGCTGTGATACCGGGGTTTGAGAAGGAAAAAGCACTCAAGTTTGCTCGTTTTGTGGCTTTTAGAGCCGAGTATAGATGGCATGAGGATTCGGGTGATGATCCTTTTGTGTAGATAGACAGTTTTTAGAAGTGGAATAAGTATATTTCATTTGTATACTATACTGTTATTATGCATCGCCTGCCATAAAAAAAGCAGCTATATACCCCCAACCTCATATCGACCAATTCCATCCGAAGAAGGCGTAAAGGGCATCGAGCCGGTGATAGTTTGTAGACCTGCCGATTCCTGAAGGTCATTTTGACCGGTTGTAGAGAAAGGAAGAGGAGAAAGAGGTGAAAAGTCGACGAATTGCCAAAAGTTACAGTTTGGGTCGTTGGAGAGGATGGGTAGTACGTCGAGATCTTGGAATGAATCAGCAGTAGGCAAAGACTGGATATGCATGTTTGGACTGGAGAATGGCTGGAATGTGTTGTTGGTGTTTGTCTGAAGAGGGCTAAGGATTTGCATGACTTTGTTCTTAAGCGTGCTAGCATTGGTGTCGTTTTGCATTCCCTGCCTGCCGTCTTCGTTATTGTCAAACTCTTCTTCCTCCAAACCCATCAAGGATTCAAGAATAAAGACACTTCGCTGTGCAGAATTGACTCGTCCTGGATAAGCATCATGTGTCGAAGAATCCTCTTCACTCCGCGACATCAACGCAATAGCCTCCCTCACTTTATCCCTCGCCATCAACCGACCCAACTGCGCAATGGAATGTCCCACCGCATTGTTCCTAGCCGGAAACAACAAATCCAGAATCAACACCATAGCAGCACTAAACAGCCTTGTTTCGGCGGTAGACAGAGATCCGCAGACGGTGCATCTTGCCTGAATTTGTGCTTGGGTGGTTATAATGTGCTGTGCGAGTAGCTGGCATGATGAGCGCCCGTCTGTAGATGAAAGGGCGCTTCGATGGAGTCGCAGAAATAGACTCCAGAGATGTTGGTGCAGCATCCATCGGTGGACGGGGATAGCGGCCATGGGGCCTTGGGCGGCGAGGGCGATGGTGCTGCCTAGTCTGAAGTGGGGAGGTAAGGCAGATACGAGTTTTTCGTATTTCTTGTTGAGGGTGGCGTTGGAATTTTTCTCTTGATGGTGCGGGTCGATAGATTCGTGCACGAGAAGTGCGATTTCTATAGCGTGGACTGTATACGACAGCATGGTGAATTCGGATCGAGGCCGCTCTGTAATATCACCATTTGCAGTCTGACAGAGATCATCATCATTGATATGCAACGGCATCCGAGTGTTAAACTGGGTGGGACGGATACTATAGTAACCCAATAATTGCCCCCGAGACCAATCTCGAACCGCAAGTGCCCACCTATAACGAATTAGACTAGATTCAATATCACATCCAGAACTCACCATATCCGAATCCCAATTTCCGTCCGTATATGCGGCGCATCCATTGAGCTATCCGAAGTAACATCCAACCTCGCCTCACCCAGCCGATGCAAGCCCAATTTCTGAGCCGCAGAAATAGCACTGACCAACATAGTGTCAAGCTCGAATGGCTCCTCTTGGCCATTCAGCAAAAGCATGACGGCAGCTTGTAGACTTGCAATCGAGCCACAAAAAAGCGATACTCTGCCACGCAGGCAGTGCAGTGCAAGGGAGCTCCATGTCTTGGACAGTCTATCTGATGCTCGAAGTTCTTCCACACGGAGGGTTAGAGGTGTAGATACCCAGCCGAGTATGGATGGTGTGGGATGAAAGGCGAATGAGAGGACTAGCTATAAACAGCGTGAGCATATACTCTATGCAGAACATCAGTAGGGGATACTAACAGCCAGAATATGACAGGCAAGCATGTCCATAGAAACAGTATTAGATAGAGCTATAGCCCGTTCTTCTGGTGATACAAAAGATAGACAATCATATAAAGCTTCAGCTTGCTTCATAAACGTCGGTGTGTGGACAATATTCCCTAGGGGCCCTTGACACCGCGTGACAAAGACTTGGTGGAGAGCGTGAATAACATCCACCTCTGGCAGAGAATCGACGATTTCTCGAATCAATGCACGCTTTTCATCTTCTTTTTGAAACCAGTACGTGTTGGGATAGTCTGGTGCCACAGATGCTGATTGATAGCTGGGTGTTCCATCAATATATTGCTCGAGTACTTGGGCGACATCTTCTGCTTCTGTTTCCTGGCTGGGTGCCGTATTTCTGATAAGTCAGTAAGCTTCGTACAGCTATTGATCAAACTTACATCTGAGAACCAGGAGTAGCATTTGGGTTCTTCTTAGTCCTCTTTCTCCTCTGTCGAATTTCATCCTTGGTACAGAGATGGCCGACATTCCGTTTGATACATTCCATCTTCACAAATCAGCAACCATTAATTATGCATGATGATATACTCACACATGGTTCCTTTCTGTCGCATTTCAGCTTCGACGCTCTGCATCTCGAGCAGGAGGGTGTAAGCTTGCGCGCACCGTATGAGCCCGAGGATTGAGTGCTGACTCTCTCTGGGATATTCTGGTCAGGCATTATTGACAGATGGAAGATAAAGAGAAAGAGAAAGAGAAAGACAGACGAGGCTGACTGTTATCAGCCACGTGATTGTGAGACTTGTAGCCTCAGGCAGAATATATTGCCTGAGGCATGAGTATTGGGGGCCAAATCTAATTAGTGACAATTCAGAGTCCGATGTTAATGGGCAAATATTCTGTCAGGAGAGTACAAGTTGTAAACCTATCGGGATTACAGTGTATTATCAAGTGAACTGGCTGTCAAAATGACGATCTCTATTATTTCTTGTAATCTATTATGATTTAAATAATTATACAAGTTAATGGGGCGCTCATCAGATAAGACACCCTTGTTTTGCCATCAGACTGAGATGCCACAGCTGGGAGTACTCATTTCGCTGACACTATCTATTTGGTAGTTTCCAAGAATCGCTTGACCACAGCATTGAAAGTGTCCGGATCCTGGAGGAATCTGCATTGTGTTAATGAATGGTCCAATAGTGAAGGGAAAATACTTACGCAAAGTGGCTAACAGAGGGAAGAATAACGAGGGAGGAACCGTTGATCTGAAGACGTTAATAAGACACATATATGATGTAAAGGTGTAAGACTCACCCAGCTGTGCATAGTAGGAGCGGTATTCCGGTTCAAGAGCTCTTCAGAATCTCCATCAACAATCCAGATCAATGGTGCAGAAGGATCCTCGTAGAGAGTCGGGATACGGTCGAAAGCAGCCTTGCCCCAGGTCGGCTCAGTCAGGACCAGATTGGTCATACGGGCGTCGAACTGGTCATAGGTGAGATTGGTGGGCGACATGCGCTTGAAGTCGGCTTTGATCCAGCCTTCCACGGGTTCAAGAGAGCTGGTATCTCCGGTGGTGTTGTACCCGTTGTTGACGTTGTACGAGCCACCGAAGGAGAAGAGGCGATCCAGACGGCTGGTGTAGTTCATGGCCATGTCGAGCCCGATGATGCCACCGTCCGACCAGCCGATGACCTGGACCTGGTCGATGTCGAGGTGGTCCATCAGCCCGATGACGTCCTTAGTCATGAGGTCGTAGGTGATGTTCTTGCTGACGTCGTCGCCGGATCGGCCCTGGCCGCGAGAGTCCATGGTGATGAAACTGTAGTTCAAGTTCTGCAAAGCCTTGATCTGGTGGGAGAAGTACTGGCTGTTGGCCTCGTTGCCGTGGATGAAGAGCACCGGCGCAGCACCAGCCGCCTTGGTCTTCTCCAGGGGCACGCCGAAAGTGGCATACCAGAGGTCAATCCCGTTCACTTTGGCGGTGCCGTTGAAGTGGGCTGCCGGCAGAGCAGGAGGATAATGCATGTTCTTGTAGGGAGGCTCATATTGGCATTCGTAGGTGTTGCCCGCTGATCCACACAGGGATGCAGCAGCGCCTTGCAAGAGGGCCAGAGAGAGAGATGCTGTAAGACGCATGTTGATGATGATTATCAGATTGATAGTTGCAGTGAAGTGAGGAATTCTCCTTATTTATTTCTGCAGCATAAGCACTAGCTGACTAAGTTGGGGGCGCAAAGTGCGTCGCGCAAAATGCCGTTTTGGGCTGTTTCACCCGGAGCGACATTAGCCGGCACTAAAAGTGGTCTGATTATCTGATAATCTGGGAGTTGAATCTATTTAAGCCATAGATATATATAAAATATTATAGTACGAGATTGTATACTGCGCATAGTTTATTCAACTGCAATGTTCTATCCTGCATAGTACAGTAAACATACGCTGGAATCTGGAATTTGGATAGCCGTGACAATTATTCCCAAGGCAACGGAATCGGATCTAATCTGATCGATCGATAAACATATTAGTAGAGGGGCTGTGCTTCTGGCAGCCATCGTCCAATCAAAGAAAGCTTTCTCGGCCGGATCGGAAGAGCCCGACACTGTCTATTATTATAGGATAGAGTAGCCGAGGGCATATCCAGTTTACTTGGAATAAATTAGGCAGACTGGACTTACAACTAAGCGAAGACTACACTAAAAGCATCTCATTTGTTGAGTGTGAATTCTTGGCATTAGTTGGTTTCAACCTTCACTCTGGTTGGTCCTCAGCAAATCAACACGTGACTTGTATAAAAGAGGATGGACGTGGTTAGTACTAGTACTGCTGATTAAAGTGATTGGAATATTTCTCAATGTGATAAACAATAGTGATGTAAAGTGTTTAGATACTTGTGCCACAACATTGGTCAGTGAGAGTGATGTGCTAGTGGCATGGTGGGTGCAGTTCACTGTGAAGTGGAAAGGAATCTAGAATTATGTAGAATACTATACAAATAGAATTAATTCGCTGTCATGGATCACAGTTTCGAGAAAGTATAATGATTGCATAATATCTAATAGCTAACCTCTCTTCTCAAGCAACGACAGCAACTCCTCTTTATCCGCAATTTGGTTCCTCTTCGCCGCTTCAATCAATCTGGGCGTAATCCCCATGTCTTCATCGACCTCCAGAGTCTCTCGGATGGTTTTATTGTCGCATCTTTCCAAGATAACTTCCATCGTTTCTTGGTTTATCGGTAAGATCCGGTCATCGTCCATAACCTCCAGCACCACCTCGTCAAGACCATAGTTATTTTTATTTTCCGCATCATAGGGATAGTTTCGTAGCTTGGATGGTGTTATTTCCAAATCACTGTTAAGGAAAATCGCCCTTGTCGCGCGGTATTTTGCCTCGGGGCTGACATCCACATCCTGCCAGATCTCATCCCAGATTGCGAGCAGATCTAGGTCAGGATTCACTCCAAGTAAGCCATTGATGCCATCGGGCTGTTCGTTGTATGCTGCCTCTTTCACGACCTTTGTGGTGATTGCAGCTGGTTCTGTCTTTTCGATAACTGAAGCGGTAGTATACATTGAACGGGCTGCAATGAGCATCACATCTTCGGTGATAACCACATCGTCCGGTCTGTTTTCCACCAGTGCGTCCATGGATTCTTCAATGCTTGCTGCTTTTAGCAGGACATTACGTGTGATAGGTGCGTCGGGCTGTGATGAAACAACAATCTCAAAGGCTGATCCATTTGCAGCCAGAGTTTCCATCACCCATTCATCCACAACCAGGAGCTTGCGATCGAGTAGCACCTGCACCACCTGTGCTTCTGCATCTCCATATCTGTTACGTGCTACTTGCCGAAGAATATCTTGAATCGGAAGAGGATCGCAAGGCAAATCCAGAAGCACCTTCATAACCTCGGCTTTCGTGCCCGTAGCTTCAAGAACGCGACTCGAGACGCGGGCGTCGGGGAACTGCTTGATGATATTCGCACACATCTTCGCAGCAGCCTCGTCTTCGTGACCAACTGCTGCCAGCAGACTGTCTTCCAGAGTAGGTAATGATCGTCCCGGGAGTTGGAACAGGTATTCCACAGCAGCAAGCGAGTTTCCTGCGGCCGCGCACACAATCGCCGGAGTGATGGCCACATCCGCGCCTCCGTTCTTCCTCAGGAGGTCGAGGATTTCCACGGCATATTTCTCGTTAGAGGCAGCTGCCTGTATTACTTTCTCGGTGACAGTGAAGCCGGCTTCCTTTCTGTCCAGAGCGGTTGTGAGCATAGCCAGTCCATTTTCGGTATTTGACGCAATTTGCTGCATGTCATTTTCGGTCAATAGCTCTCGGTTGGGGAGATCGGCGCTCCAGCTGCCGTTGGTCATGTTGTTGGTGTTGGTGTTAATATTGATATTGTGTTGATGTTTGGTTCTTGAAAAGAGAAAAAACCAGAAGAGGGAGAGGTTGAGTTTAAAAAGACCACGAGTTGAACTGCGGCTGAAGTTCAGCTGAAGTTCAGCTCGTTTACAGCTCAAGTAATGATATTCAGATTCAGATCCAGTGATCTCATTGGCTGGTTGAGGGCTGAGGGCAGCGAAAAGTGGGCTGCTATTCCTGACGACCAATCACATAGTATATGAAGTCATAATTTTGATACTGTGGGTCTTTATTTTTAGGTAACCTACCTGTATTCTCGCCTGTTCTTCTTGAATATGATTGGTGGATAGTCTGATGCAGAATCCTTAATCTCACATGGCTGAGGTCCGCTTAACATTGTGGGTATTGACTACTTTAGCCATTATAAATATGTAAAAGATGTTATACTACCTATCTTTCTATATATTATTCAAATCAACGTTTATTGTACATGAATAAACGCTATTCCTATGCAAAACCTAGCCATCCCATTATATATACAATTAAAACCACAGATAGAAAACCTTAAACATTGCCAGTCGTACCCCCAGCCGCAGCTTCCCAGCGGCCAAAATATGTCCGCAGCAGCTCCGGCATAGGCTTGATATCCAGAATTCCGGGACAGTCCGCCAACGCCCGGTGCAGATTCGTAGTTTCATACGTGGTCATTCCGCCAGTGGTATCCCACCAGATCAGACTGTCCGCCAGACGATCCTGGAGCATTGGAGTCGCGACTTTCATGCCCTGCTTGCCACGTTCCCTGAACATCTGTAGCCACTCGGCTGATGAGACCGCTCGGAGGGGAGCGGAGCAGCAATTGCTGAGAATCTCGAACGTATCAGCCATTGTGATGGTTGAACTTTCGTCTGGAGGGATGACGTTAAAAGCGTGGCCGTGGTTGTCTGGAGACTGCGAGATCTGCAGGACTGCTGCGCATACGTAGTCGACAGGGACGATGTGGGTGCGTTGCTGAGGAGGAGTTGGGAAAGCACCGAGCTGGATGCAATTGGTCATCAGGCGACTGAGCAGGTCTTCGGGCTTGTCGACTCCTGTGCCGCTGTGGCCCATGACGATTCCGGGGCGATAGATGGAGATCGGGAGACCGCTGGCAATGGCATTCCACACGATGCTTTCTGCAACGAGCTTACTTCTGGTGTATCCGACATGGATCTCGAAGGACTTGCGATCCAGCACGGCTCTTTTGTCTTCTGGGACAGTAACACCAGAAAGATGGGCTGAGGTAGCAGACGCCGAGATACTAGACCAGTAATTCAATGCCTTGAGACGGCCGGAATTGACGAAATTCAAAACATTGAGGAGTCCGGTGACATTGGCATCGCGGTGAGCAGAGTAAGGAAGGGTGTAGTTGACATGAGCTGCCAGGTGGAAGACAACACTCGCTGTCTGTGCGTGATGATCAAAGTCTTCCTTGGACATGCCTAGGTTCGGGTAGGCGATGTTGCCTGGGACAGCAGTCACCCGGTCCAGGCCATCCTGTGGCAGGCCGTATCGGGTAAGCGTCTGTTCAATCCGGCGCTTGCCTGATTCGGGGTCTGTCGTTCGCACCAGACACGTGACGCTCTGGACGTACGGCAGAGCAAGAAGATCCAGCAGGAAAAAGGCGCCCACAAACCCTGTCACACCCGTCAGGAATATTCTTCCCTCGGACTCAGCGCACCAGTCAGGGACAGTTCCAGGAAGAGGTCGCAAGTCACTCCCCAGCTTCATGTCCTCCAGGCAAAGTGTTAGTTCATCCGGTTCAGCTGAGGATGGCAGGGTATCTGGGCTGGGGGTGCCTTCTCCATCAAAGTGTTTCTTGCGCAGGGTCTTGACTGCAACGACGGCAAGGCCTCCAACGGTACCAGCATTCGATATCTCGACCAGAGATATGTCGATACCCGCGTTCCGGCGGAACCAACTGCGGATCTCAATGCCCATTAAGGAATCGATTGCAATATTGGCGAGTTCCTCCTTGCTCATGTCCTCCCCATAGGCAAGATGAGCAGCGACGACCTTACCCAGCTCGACGGTAATCTTGTCAAGTGTGGACTGCTCATCCAGCAGTTTGGGATTGTCCTGAATCTCATCCAGAAGAGAGCGAAGTTCATGAGATCGAGGGACGGATGTTGCTTTGCTGCTGACAGCAGCATTTCGCCAACGGCTGAAACGACCCTCTGGCACCAATGGTTCCGTGGACGCGTTCACTGTTCCCATACCCATGATGATTTGCGATGAAGGGTGAGGGAACTGAGAAAAAATGGAGATTTCCAACGCTTGAAGCAGATGCTTTTCTTCCAGTATCTGGCCATCCATGGTATTGACGATCTTTAACGTTTGTGGGCTTTGCTCCGCTGCGTAACCAATGTCTCCCATAAAGCCAATATCAAGTACACTTGCCGGCAGGTCTTGGGAGTGACGATATTTGACAAACGAGTCGAGGAAAGTGTTGGCTGCAGCGTAATTGGCCTGGCTGCCAAAGCCCATAATACCCGTGATCGAGCTGAAAAGAACAAAGAAATCGAGAGGCGTGTTTTGGAGCTCAAAGTGGAGATTCCACGTTCCTTGCACCTTGGGCGTCAGGGCAGCTGTCCATTCCTCGTAGGTCATTTTGGAGAACATTTGATCCCTGAGTACCATGGACAACTGGAGGACACCTGCGATGGGGCATTTTGCTGCAGAAATAGCCCGCTGGACGTCTACATTCTTGGCGACATCACCCGTGATCACCATAACGCTGACCATATAGTTGCTTTCCAAGTCTTGGATGAAGGCCTGGGAATCAGGGGATTCAGCACCGGAACGAGACAGAAAGATGAAGTTTCGGGCGCCCTTTCCCACCATCCAAGTACTGATGGCTCGACCAAGTCCCCCGAGTCCACCGATCAAAAGGTACGAGGCGTCTGACCTGAAGATGGGAGTGGTGTCATGTATCTTGGTTATTGGCAAACTCGCCGGATCGTCTGGCATTCGAACCAAAATCTTGCCCATATGCTGGCCTGTTTGCATATGACGGAAGGCTTTGACAACATCGCAAGCGTCGAAAACCGTCACAGGTCTGATGGGCGTCAATTTTCCCTGCTTGAAGTATTCTCCAAACTGATCATGCAGGCCCCGAAGTACCATTGGATGCGCAAGCGCCAGCAATTTGAGATCCACGCTGCAGAAGGAACGGTGGTTGAGGAAAACATCCATATCAAGCTTTCCGTGGCCCAAAAAGTCGCGTTTTCCAATCTCGACCATCTTACCGAACCTGGCAACGCATTTCCACGAGGCATGGAGCATTTCGCCGGACAGAGAGTTCAGCACCAGATCGATCCCACGCCCATTCGTTTCCTTGAGCACACCCTGCAGGAATGACGTGTTTCTCGAATTAAAGATGTGATTTGCTGGGATTTTTATAATATCCGTGAGATACTCAACTTTCTCGCTTGTCCCAACCGTGGTATAAATCTCAGCTCCAATCATCCGACAGACCTGGATTGCAGCCAGACCGACGCCTCCACACGCGGAATGGATAAGCACAGACTGGCCTTTCTGGAGGTTTCCCACCGTGATCAGGCAATATATCGCCGTTGCAAAGACAATTGAAACAGCTGCGGCATCTTCAAGCGATATTTCCTCCGGAACAATGTGGCAAAGAAGGGCCGGGACTACGACTTGTGTGCTGAAGAGACCATCATAGAGGAAACTGACTCTGTCACCGACTCTGAGATGCTCCACAGACGATCCAACTCGGCGAACAATCCCGCTACCTTCGAATCCCAATTGGTCTGTGTCTCCCAGAAATCCCATGGTGATCATCATGTCCTGTGCAAGTTAGAAGTGGGTTTAAACATGGTATAGGAATACACTCACTCGGAAGTTCAGCCCAACATATTTCATATCCACTTCGACTTCATCTTCTTTCAACTTGGATGGTAAGACTGGCGACCTGCACATAGCCCATCTTAACGAGTCGAAAATCCCATTAAATTTGATATCCAACGACCTTGGTGCCGATGGATGTTGCACACTAGCCAGCTGCTGATCCAACGAGGACCATTGATTTCTAGACAGAAGAATTTTTCCGTCCTGGAGGACGTACTCATAATCCGCATCCAGCCAGGGCCGATTGGATTGAACCCTCAAGGTGTGCAAAACTTGAAGCACAGAAGTCACGGCTATGGTATTGAACTGGTCAATTTCCAGAGTCGCAAATTTGTGGCCTAACTCTGTGCGGAGGTTTCGTGACATTCCCAATGCCAATGCAAAACGAGGGTCTTCGCATGTGATTTGGACACCCCTGGTGATCCAAAGGACATTATTGCCTGCTAGTCTAGATACATAACTCTGAAACAACACAAATTCGTTGGCTGACAAGTGCTCGAAGAATGGTCCTTCAAGATCAATGAGAGAAATTACATCAGACCCAGACGGAGGTTTGTCATGCAATGTGTGCCACGTCACAGTATAGCCTGCCAGGGAAAGGGCTGTCTCCAACTGACGGCCCCATTCTGAGATATGTGACAGATAGAGCAGCCCGATTTGCCCTCCTTGTATATGCATATCGGCGGTTTTGGCTCTCGACAAGAGTACCGCTGTCTGGCTCAATGGTCTGTCATTGGCATATCTCACGGCATCCACACCAGTGAAGTTCGTCTTGATCAACTCTTCATGCCATCTCTCAACAGACAAAGCCGGGCTGTCACTCCTGCCATCATTCTCCCCCAGCCACCATCCTGGTAAGACTCCCATTAGGAAATTGAGCAAGGGAACATCTCCACTCAGCTCCTGCATGAGGAGCCGGCCACCGGGGGCCAGTAGCTTGCGGACGTTCTGTAGTGTGCTGGATATTTGAGGCGTTGCATGGAGGACATTGCCAGCCAAGATTAAGTCATAGCTATCCGGAGCATAACCCTGCCCTTCTGGATCACGAGCAATATCAAGTGTTGCATATTCAACTGCATCATATTCTTGAAATCGCTCTTGGGCATCTGCTATAAACCCTGCCGATATGTCCGTGAACGTGTACCGTGAGTAAAGCCGGCCACTGTCTGGACTGAGAGCCTTGAGGGCAATCGATGTCAAGCCACCCGTTCCAGCGCCGATCTCGAGAATGCGAAGCTTTGGGTTGGAGTTACCCAGTAGTGCAAGGAAGTCTTCACAGGGTGAAATTGCACCCATAGCTTCAAAGAAACGTTTCATTCCATCGTCCTGCATGAGAAGTTCGAGAGAATTAGTGCGATCCTCCAACACGTCGTGCAGTGCGTAGCAGAGTCTCTCAGCGAGATTATGAGTAAATCTCAGCGATGGAGGCAAATTGCGTAAATCCTTGCGCAATACATCGGCATAAGGACCGCGGAGGCTAAGTGCTGAAACATCCTCTTCCCTCATTTCAGGAACCAGGTCAGGCGACTTTTGCTGGATCTTCCAATACTGATCTTTGAGCCAGGCGTGATATCTCTTGAGATGATCCGAAGTGGGGGTTGAGTGCTTGGTGAGACGATATGCTTCAACTATGTATACACATGTTGCCCTGGCCACCGTCTGTCCGTTGAAAAGGGGCTCATGACGCGGCAGCTGTTCTTGAAGGGGGATATAGTCAATATGTTGCGTCCAATGCACATTCGATGTCAGCAATGTATTCGAGTCATCTGATTCTGGATCATGAACGCTGAAGAAAACACCCCTTTCCAGACAGAGGGAGACACAATTGTTGGCGAATAGCGTTGATTTCACCTCCATGGTGCCACCAATGTTCTCGCAGGAAGCATTCAGGTCCATTGGCCCGCGGCCTTCACTGACGTATAGAGACTCAATGGCCGTTGGGATACACATGCACGTCATTCGCCGCGAGATGCCATGTGTCGCTGCTGCAATAAACAATTGCAAACACTCGTCAATGCAGGTTGGATGGAGAGCATAGTAACTGCTCTGGGGTGGTTCACTGCTATGCAACATCGCGGAGGCATGCTGAGTAGTTGGGCTTGCGGTGATCTGTTCCAGTCCCCTGAAATGGGGGCCATAGTCCAACCCGCGTTTCTTCAGCGCACGATACCATTTGTCCGAATCAACCGGTCGAGAATATATTTGTCTGGAGGGAACAGAATATTCCTGGTCAGGGCCCCCGCGAACCTGGCCGACGACGTGTTTTTTCCACTTTCCGTTTTGGTAAGTAGAAATCGTAAAGTCGAACCATATGGAGTCGACATGATCTGTGAGCTTGACGGGTCGCAGATTCGTCATGATCTCTGCAGTGCCGTCGAGAATCAGTGCATTTCGGATAAAGACGTTTTTTAGAGAGTAATCTGTTGAGCCGGTCATTTGCCGAACAGCTTCACCGGCCATGGCAACATAACCAGCAGCAGGAAAGACAATATCCGTGCCCAGCTTATGGTCCATCAACCAGAGGACATTTTCCAGTTTTAGAATGTTTCGCCATGATGGCTCCAAATGGTTGGACTCTAGCGTCCGAGAGCCAAGCAGCTCGTGATGAGGATGCTGGCGGTGTCTCCAGTCATGAACAATACGAGGCTCATCCCAATATATCTCATTGTGCTGCCACGAGTAAGGAGGGATCTCTGTCACGACCTTGCCTTGCGGAATCAGGGAATGGAGACTGATGGATGCACCGTGCGTGTAGAGGTTTCCGGCTGTAGCCAAAAGACTTCTCCATACGTCTTTCCCTCTGATGATTGTCGGGATATATCGGTGCTCTTTGCTGTTGGCCTTTGCGATTGACTGTCGGATAGGACCAGAGAGCGCTGAATGGGGTCCGATCTCCAGGAAGAGCTTTGACTGGTCGTTGTCATTGAGGATTCTCTCGATCGCGGTATGGAACAGCACGGGGGATTGAAGGTTTCTGCGCCAGTAACCGGGGCCCAGAGTCGAGGGATCCGATACAATTGTTCCAGAAACAGTTGAATACATTGGGGCCATGGATGGTTGGTGTGAGAAATGGGGGGAGACCATTTTCTGATATGCTTCACCGGCTTCAACCATGTGGTGCGAGTGATACGCCACATTGACGGCGAGCTTTCGGCAAAATGTGTCCTCGTCGGCCGCGTGGATATCATTCAAGATCTCCCCGAGGACGTCACTGTCGCCTGATAGCGTGACACTATCTGGGCTATTATCGCAGCCGATGACCACGCCTGGCTTTAGAAAACGTCGTGCCTTGTCGGAGCCAAGACCAATAGCTGCCATGCCACCCGAATGATCAGACAGATTCTTCATTGCCTGACCACGGAAATAGGCGATGAGAATGGCCACCTCGGCGGATAATGCACCCGACGCATAGGCTGCTGCAATCTCTCCACTGGAATGACCTACGACTGCATCAGGTGTAGTACCCCAAGAGCGAAGAAGGTTAACAAGAGCAATTTGAATGGCGGTGCAGAGGGGCTGTGCGAATTCTGCTTCTGCCACTCGACTCTCGTCGTCGCTTTTTAGAAGTTCATCTAGCACTATTAGATTTGGTCTTTTGATATATAGTGCAACATACCTTCAATGGACCACAATGGTCTGCTCTCCAGCCCTTGCAAAACTTGGTTCATTATCCGGATATCTTCCCTGAAGGCTTGGACATTTTGGATCAATTCCCTTCCCATTCCAGCCCACTGGGCACCTTGACCGGTAAATGTGAAAATTATGGGTGTCTTGATAGACGTGGACCTTGTAAAGGACGAGACTTTCCCATCGGCTTCAGTGAGTGCGAATGCCCGATGGGTCATGTGCTCTCGCCTCAAGCCCAGTGTATAGGCGATGTCGCCCAAGGAAGACTTTGTCGTCTCAAGAAACGTCTGTAGACGCTTGATCTGGCCATCCAACGAGTCCTTTGACTTTGCAGAGACAAGCAGAAGGTGCGGACTATCACCATCTTCACCTGTAAATGTGTTGTTCCGTTGCGAGGAAGAGAAGTCAAGAATAACCTGGCGCTGTTAGCTGTCATACTTCAAATAAAGGACCCAGCATACATGGGCATTGGTTCCGCCAATTCCAAATGAATTGATGCTTATTCTTTCGCTTCGGTCTGCTGGCCACGGAGTAGGCTCCACGGCCACCTTCAACTTGGCCTGTTCAAACGGGACTGTCTCGATTAGTACTTATACTGACAGGAACAACGGATGGGATGGTATACTGTTTGGATTCGGATTGACAAAATGAATATTGGGTGGGATGGTGTGATTATGCAGCGCCAAAACACTTTGAATCACACTTGTGATACCAGATGCCCCCTCGGAGTGTCCAACATTGGGTTTGACCTTATTCATCAGTATACAGTGGTTATTAATGATGATAGGAAACCATACCGCTCCAATGTGAATGCCCTTGTCCCCAAAGATCTTGGCCACAACAGACGTCTCTGCTAAATCGCCCACAGTAGTGCCTGTGCCATGGCATTCGAATAGCGCAGTTTGCGACACGTCCAGTCCAGCTTTCTTATACGCTCTTCGGATCAGCCTCTCCTGCGCGGCAGAACCAGGGGTGGAGATGCTAGGAGTCTTTCCGTCGCAGTTGACTGCGCTAGAGCGAATCACAGCCCGGACGGGGTCACCATCGCGAAGGGCTTTATCCAGCGGCTTGATGAAGATGGCATTCACAGCCTCTCCTCTGCCGTAGCCATCAGCGGCTGCATCGAATGTCCTGCAGACACCACTTTTTGAAATGACCATATTATCCGACATTGACGTGGTCATTGTGGGTGTAAAGATGAGGTTAGTACCAGCCACCAAGGCAGCCGCACATTCACCCGAGTAGAGCGCCTGACAGGCCTCGTGCAGCCCAACCAGCGACGACGAGCAGGCTGTCTGGATCGTCACACTCGGCCCTCCCAGATCATACTCATACGAGACCCGGTTGGAGAGCGCATACGGCCCCGCCCCGACAACCCGATACCGATCATGGTCCTGAGGATCCCGGATCTTCACATCCAACCAATCCTCCCCGAACACACCCACATAGCACCCGATATTCTTCCCTCTCCACCCGACCTGCCCCCCATTCTCCATACACTCCCAGGTCACCTCGAGCAGCATGCGCTGCTGCGGATCCAGCTTGGCCGCTTCAATCTTACTGATCCCGAAAAACTCCGGGTCGAACCATCGAATGTCATCGTGCAGGAAGTATCCGTGCTGGGTGCGAATCGCGCCGGGCCGGGAGTCTTCGTGGAATGCGTCAATGTTGTAGCGGGTCTCGGGGACTTTGCAGAGCCCGTCGCGTTTGTTGAGTAAAAAGTCCCAGAATTCCTGCTCGCAGCTTACGCCGCCGGGCAGTCGCATGGCCATGCCGACGATAGCGATGGGGATGGGGACGGGGAGTTCTTCGTCTGTGTCATTTTGAGAGTGTTGGGGTTCGGGGGTGGGATTGATGGATGTTTCGTTTAGAGAAATCCCGTGAGGGAGGGAATTGATGAATTCACCCATTGTCATGTATAGAGAGGAAATGGAGAGGAAGAGGACGAGTGGAATTGTCTCGTGTCGGACAGACGTAAACCAAGCCTCATATACAATCCGGTCGACAGATCAGACTGATCACCTAAACTACCCCACACGCTATTGGTGATCGACAATCTATTGACTTTTCAGCTGTCACATTCAGCTGAGGGAGCTGACAGGACGCAGTGGGTCGATATGTGATGCTATTACCCAAAAAGGAAGTCCCATTTCATTAGCGCGTGATAATGCGCATCGTGGATCAGTTGCATCCTATTTGGTCAACATGCATCTGCCATGCAATATAGTCACTCCATAGTTCGTTCAGCTGCGATCCACCGCTCGTTTCCTTGTACTTCTGGTATTTTTGCATTTCCCAAGTCGATGTTGGGCGCATTTGCAATTTCCCTCTTGCATCACATCGACAATGGCACAGATAATCCCTCTACACTCCAAGGACGCCACGTGGATGAATCGGGGGATTGCCCTCGAGTTCACCCTTCAGTTTGATGATGTTTTGGATGCAGAGCATCTCCGTCGGTCTCTCCAACGGCTGATGGAGATCGGGGACTGGAAGAAACTGGGTGCTCGTTTACGTCTGAATGTACGTACTGCTCCACCGTTGCTCTGCGCTTCTATTCAAACTGACAGATGTACAGCACGGCAAGCTTGAATACCACATCCCCGAGAAATACGATGCGCAATGCCCCGGATTCACGTTCTGCTCTGTCGCGCATGATGCACGCTTGGAGGATTCGTGTGACTCGAACCTGCCACGCAGCACGAAATCTCCGACCGTGTTTCCCTTTTCGGCGTCGAATCTCGACCATCTGCTATCCAGACCGGATGCCCCGACGAAGCTCGAAGACTGGATCTACGCCGACCGCCCACAACTCGACATCCACGTTGTGACATTCCACAACGCCACCCTGCTGAAGCTGGCCTGGCTGCATACATTCATGGATGCCTCGGCGCGGGCCAGCCTGCTCACCGCATGGACTGCTGTTCTGCGCGGTCGCGAAGACCAAGTCCCTCGGTTCTGTGGATTCGTCGATGATCCCCTGGTGGATTTGAATGCGCAGCCGCCGATGGAGTGGTTCGTGCGGTCGCGGTGGATGCTGGTCCTTCTGCAATGGCTTGGGCCGCTGTTGCTGGTCATCCGGTGGATATGGGAAATGATTCCACTCCCCAAGCACGAGCACCGAATGGTCTGTATTCCGGGGGAGACGGTGACGGGGATGCGAGAGGCGGCCATGCAGGAGTTGTCTGCAGGCGATGCTGACACCGGCGACGCACCGTTTGTGAGTGAAAGCGATGTCCTCGTGGCGTGGTGGGCGCAGTGCATCGTCAAGTGCATCCAACCGGCTGCGCACTCGCCCGTTACGGTCCTGAATAACTTCAACATCCGGCCTGCGCTGCCGGAGCGGTTCCCCCCGGGCACGGCGTATATCGGGAATGCATGGCTGACGGCGCATACTATCCTGTCATCTGGGCAGATGGTCGAGCGGCCCATCAGCCATGTCGCTTCGAAGCTGCGGCATTCTCTTCTGGGCCAACGCTCGAGAGACCAGATTGAGTCTTACGAAGCGGTTCAGAAAGAAGGCATGGCCCGGGCTGGAGGGACACTTGCGTCGGCAATGGGTCTGTCGGATATGTTGATCCATTGCTCGAATTGGCATCAGGCGAGGTTTTTCAATGTGGATTTCTCGGCTGCAGTGGTTGGGTCGGGTGAGAAGACCCGATCGGGGAAGCCGGTGTTGATCATACCGAATACGATCTATCGATGGCCGATGCTGCTCAATCTGGGATCGGTGATTGGAAAAGACGCCAATGGGAACTGGTGGTTGACGTGGCATTTGAAAAGGGGGGTGTGGAGGGATATGGAGAGGCAGCTGCAGATGTAGATAGATAGATGGATATAGATTGAGTAACGAATGTATTACGATAAAGCATTCATAGCTAATGGATACAGGACCAAAAAAACAGGTTTATCCAGTTCAAACAAAGACAGTCAGCGTCTTTTCAAATTCATCCTTCAGACTCTCAATCGGACCAGCAATTTCCGAATGATTTGCAGCCGGGAGTTTCTGCTTGGTCAAGACCTCAAACGTCGCGCGTTCGCTGGCAAAGTTGCGCAAAAGGACGCCCGCGAACATCTTCAGACCGGCCGAGTCGACATGATTGACCTTGCTTGTCAGCATCTAGATGATCAGAGAAGATAAGGCGTCCTACCTTTGAGATACCCGTGGTCAGCGTATCAGAAACCGACGACCGAATGTCATGATAGTAGTCGAGGTACTCCTGGACCTGGTCGGCAGGGACGGAATCCAACTCGGCCAGGTCTTTTCTCGCCGAGCTGCTGCTCGTCAGGAGGTGGTAGAACTCGAAGCCGCAGTAGAGAGTGTGCGAGACCCCGCCGTTGAAGTCCTTGAGGCAGTTGTGGGCGGAGTTGATGCGTTTGTGCAGATTGTCGAAGCCCGCGAAGACGGTGTCGGTGTTGGTGGCACCCAGGGCCAGCGGGGCCACCAGGGCTGAGACCAAGACCTGTTTGACCAGCATTGTCGAGAGTGTCTGGATGGTGCTGTGTCGAGTATTCTTTCCGGTTCTTATACGTCCACGATGGTGGAGACAGGGATGGCGTTGGCAGTCAATAGTGCGGGTGATCGCAGTTCACTGGCTGCATCAGTCACCTTTTTTTTTTTTTTTTTACAGTCAGTAACAATGATCTTTTCAATACAGATCGGACAGATGGAGGACTCCGACAAATCCCACTGTGATTGGTTGCAGTTGTTTGCCTTCCACTTGCCAATTGACAGCATCAGCGGCTTATTCACAATACCCTTGAATAAAAATGTGCTGGGTACAAACATTATGAATGCTTCTATATATCATATATACATATATAGAGTGAGCACTGCATTGGTGGGTCTCGATGTTTGATTTACTATAATAAATGAGCAAGTGAATGTCTAAAACATAGGGATGATGGAGTGGAAGTACTGAGTATCCATCCGCTGAACATGGATGATTCTTCTATAGCCCTCTCTTATGCTAAATCTAGTACATACGACCACAGGGTGTGGAGAACAGGGCTTCCCGTCCGCTCAGCCGTACTTAAGCCACACGCCGGCAGGTCAGTAGTTGGGTGGGTGACCACCAGCGAATCCCTGCTGTTGTATGTT